CGTCAGAGGCGACTTTCCGGCCACAAGATTCGATTTAGGAACGCTGCCGTTCTCGAGCTTCATGCTCCTCGGCGACGCTCACCTCAACAACGGAACGATAAAGCTCACTCGCGAACTCTCCGTTCCGACTTCCACCGCCGGGAAAGCTCTTTACGGAAAACCGGTTAAATTCCGGCACCCAGAAACACAATCTCCGGCGAGTTTCTCGACTTACTTCTCCTTCTCAGTAACCAATCTCAATCCTTCCTCAATCGGCGGTGGGTTAGCTTTCGTAATCTCCCCCGATGGAGAATATATCGGATCCGCCGGCGGATTTCTCGGTCTCACTGGAGAATCCGGATCCGGGTCGGGTTTTGTGGCGGTTGAATTCGACACGCTGATGGATGTGCAATTCAAAGACGTTAACGGGAACCACGTGGGATTGGATCTAAACGCCGTCGTTTCAGCCGCCGTAGCCGATCTAGGAAACATCGACATCGATCTCAAGAGCGGAAACGCCGTGAATTCATGGATCACGTATGACGGGTCGGGTCGGGTTTTAGCCGTTTACGTCTCCTACTCAACCGTGAAACCCAAATCGCCAATTTTGTCGGTCTCTCTCGACCTCGATCGCTACGTTAGCGATTCTATGTTCGTCGGATTCTCAGGATCAACACAAGGAAGCACAGAGATTCACAGCATCGACTGGTGGAGCTTCGCTTCCTCTTTCGAATCATCAGAATCTCCGCCGCCGTTGTCTGATTCTCCTCCACCGTCGTCATCGTCGTCTTCCCTCTCGCCCTCAGCTTCCACCGTCCGGAGAAAAAACACCGATCCATCTTCTTCTTGCCGTAACAAACTCTGTAAAAAATCCCCTGCCGCCGTCGCCGGTGTAGTAACTGCCGGCGCGTTTTTCTTAGCATTGTTCGCCGGAGCAATAATCTGGGTCTACTCCAAAAAGATCAGATACACCCGAAAGTCTGAAACTTTTGCATCGGAAATCATCAAATCGCCTAGAGAATTCACATACAAGGAGCTGAAATTAGCCACCGACAGCTTCAGCACCTCGAGAGTTATCGGGAACGGCGCATTCGGCACCGTCTACAAAGGAATCTTACCGGATTCCGGCGAAATCATCGCAATCAAGAGATGCAGCCACATTTCTCAAGGAAACACCGAATTTTTATCCGAATTATCCTTAATCGGAACACTCCGTCATCGAAATCTTCTCCGTCTCCAAGGCTATTGCAGAGAAAAAGGCGAAATTCTTTTAATTTATGATCTAATGCCTAATGGATCTCTCGACAAAGCACTATACGAGTCTCCGACGACGTTACCGTGGCCTCACCGGAGAAAAATCCTTCTCGGGGTCGCTTCCGCTCTAGCTTATTTGCATCAGGAGTGCGAGAATCAGATAATTCACCGTGATGTCAAAACAAGCAACATCATGCTCGACGCAAATTTCAATCCGAAATTGGGTGATTTCGGACTCGCTAGACAAACGGAGCACGATAAATCGCCGCACGCAACCGCCGCTGCCGGAACGATGGGGTATTTAGCGCCGGAATATTTACTTACAGGTCGAGCGACAGAGAAAACTGACATTTTTAGCTACGGAGCCGTTGTTCTAGAAGTATCCAGCGGGAGAAGACCCATAACTCGGCCCGAGTCCAAACCCGGTTTGAGACCCAGTTGCAAAACCGGGTCGAGTCTAGTTGATTGGGTTTGGGGTTTGTATAGGGAAGGGGAGCTATTGACGGCGGTTGACGAGCGGTTGAGCGACGGAGAGTTTGACCCGGAGGAGATGAATCGGGTTTTGATGGTGGGCCTTGCTTGTTCACAACCCGACCCGGTAAACCGGCCCACTATGAGAACAGTGGTTCAGATTCTGGTTGGAGAAGCTGATTTGCCGGAAGTTCCGACGGCGAAACCGTCCTCGTCGATGAGCTTTAGCACGTCGGAGTTATTGCTTACTTTACAAGACAGTGTATCAGACTGTAATGAAGCTTTAGCTCCGATCTCAACGACTTCTTGTTCCTCGTCGGAACATGACATCTTCATTGTTGGCAAAGGCCGATCGGTTTGATATTAATTCAAAATACAATTACATATATATAATCATAAATTCGAAGCACAATTTTGTACGTAAATTTGAAATAAAGAAAAACCTGAATTTACCGTTAAAATACTAATTTTAAAATGCTAGATTTATAAGTGTAAAATTCCATTGTATATAAAATAATTCGGTTTTACAAGCATTATAGTTATGTCTAATTATCTTTCTAGTTCAACTTGGATGGTAAGTTTGGTGAATGTCGCTTTCTTTACTATAACTAGAAGAAGTGGGAGCATAGGAAAAACTGTAACCTTTTTTATTGTTCAACTGTATAACCTATTGTTCTTTGGTTGTCATATCAAATTATAGACTAGATTTTTTTTAAGTAGTGTTGAATTACATGTAATTCAAATCCAAGTAAACCGCTAGACTTTGGTAAAACTTAGATTAACAAAATCATAAAAAATCGAAATTGTACTTGCACAGGTAATAATATATCATGATATAGAAAAAAAATAAAAGTATACAGATAAAAAGGAACAAGAGATTGAGTAGAAGCATGGCAAGGTCTAGGAAAACAAATTAAGATAAAGAGATAAAATATGTTAGGAAATGGTAGTTGGTCGTAATCATAATAAAATAAGACGCACTAAATGGGAATCGTACTGATTTCTACACCAATCAACATACAATACATATATGATATAACAATAAATCAAATCAAGACTTTAACTAAGCTTTTTTGAGTGGTGACGCATTGGTCCTTACACTAGTTAAGCAGGCGTGTGATTATTTACGCGTTGCATAGTTGGGCGATCTTAAGTTAACTAATTCATATAACTACTTTTTGGATAAGAAAACTGCCCTGTTAGAAAGGCCAAACATGAGGTTAGACAAATATTTAAAAGGCATTAAAAATTAAAACAAAAATAATACAATAAAGAGATTTTGGTTTTGGAGTTTAATAGAAGTTTGTGCTAATTGGAAAACTTAAACCTAACTTGGACACCATTTTGGGTTTTAGGGCTCGACCCAAATGTTAAGTATCCAAAGTCAAATAGTTGGGCCAGGCATTTACGGCATTCCAGTGGCAGGCCGAATATAAGGGAAAAAAAAATAGAGGCTCTTCGCAGTCATCAAAGAATGTAAGTTGTATCATTTTGGAACTTGTAACTTGTAAGCTTGAATGCTAAGCGCCTAAGCCAAAGTGTAATAAGAACCTAAACAAGTTGTTATTAGAGCAGGTGCAATGCGGTATGCAAAGTAAATTTCTTAACATAAACAAATATTAAAAATGTGAAAAAGGAAGAGAGAAAACTAGATTCAGTTCTTATTTAAGAAATTAAGAAACCATTTTTAGCAACAGAGATACTTTAAAAGAGTCTATCATTATATCATTGGTCCAATTATTTTTGTATTTAAAAATTAATATTGTAACTAAATTATAATATTATAATATATGTAAAAGCTTTTTGTAAGAGATTTTACCGTTGAACATCGTCTTATGTGTCTTATGTGTGGTAAGAACCTGGCTCAGTTCTATAAAGACAATATTGTGGATGGAAAGCAGTAGATCATTTTTTAGTGTTCGTTATCAAGAAAGATGAAAGCCAAGGGATATATTCTAGAAACCGATTGTTCGGATATTCGCCTGTAGCAGTTTTTTTTTTTTATTGTATTTGATGGAGTTAAAAGTTTTGTTCGATATACAAAAAGTTAACATCAATTAATTAGTGTACATGTCAAACGCTTGGTGAACGTCTTCTTTTTCGTATTGCAAAAATATTCCAACATTGATTGGTGGATCTAATACAATTCCAATTAAATGAGATGATTGTACATAACAAATTAATCATACTCCTAAACTTTCCTCCGGTATGAGAGACACGGTTTGGTTAAATAATACACACATGGTCCAATTTTGAAATGAAATGATTGAGGTCGTGATTAAATTGGTGGGTCCACTTCTCATAAAGCGGGTCCCTGCGCATCCAGTGTCTTAGATTACTCGATATGATCACATGTTTTGATTTTTAATTATAAAACTATATACTAACAATCGTCGACGAGTGTTTTCGATACATCCTGCGCCAACGAATGAATGAACGCTCGGAGGACTTTAATTTTTCAATAACAAATCCAATATGCTGGAGCCTGGAGCAATTCGGTTTTATCAAGATAGAAATGAGTGTATAAATATACAGAACAAAATGTTTGTATACCAACATACAAAACATGTAATAATATATATAGATTATAGATATTACATATCGTTTTCTCATATTTATTAGTATCTTCTGCCCATGATCAGCTCCGATCGAATAGACAAGGATTCAAATATTTGAGAATGACACTGATATTCATTTGGTGACACATTACCAGGAATTAATTTGATTTTTTTTTACCAAAAGATTAAGACCGAAAAAATAAGAATATTGAACGGTGCATGAAGAAAAAGATGAAAGAAAATACCGGACATGACATGAGAAGAGTAGTGACAAATTGTACCAATCTCACATCGATGATCATCATATATATGATATATATATATATGTATATAAATAAGTCTGTACGCACATCATTAATTATATCACAACTCTCATATACTTCATCTTCAACCTGAAGCTTCTGAGTCTCTCTCCTCTCCTTGAGAAAAAATCTCTCTCTAATCTGACAAACGGAGAAGGCAGACAAATTAAAACATAGAAAAGACATACATAAAAATACAATTTGATGATAATATCAGCATGCGTTCCACCTTGTAGTTAATTCATAGTAGTATCATCAAGTTTCATATGTTCAGTCACCGTTACCCCCAAAGAAACACTTGCGTTCTTTGGATCATAATCACTTTTACCAGTTTTGTTGTCAACTTAATTAGTTTACCATTTTTTGGGAGTATTATATAAACATATTATTTAACGTATGTTATTAACCTAAATGGCATAAATATATTTATGAGCAATCAATTAAAGTGGAGAGCATAATTACTCTGTCCTCCAACATGAGCGCCGGCGGAACTAGCGGCGGAGGTTTTATGGTGAATGTACGGTGACTTGCCGTGCAAAGTCTCCGGCGGAGGTCTAGAATTATGAGTCTCTGGTCCTCTGTAATCGATCTCATACACCTCTGAATCCGTGTTCTCCGATCCTTAATTATGTTTTAAAGTACAACGAATCAATAATGATACTAAATAATGATTGTTTAAAAACCAAAAAAAACAAACATACCTATACCGAAGCAAGGCACGGCAAGGAGAAGATACATGAGGAGAATCACGACGGTCGACTTCATTTTTATTGTTTTTAAACAGTTATGAACTTTTTGAATGCTTTTCTATTCTCTCAGATCTTAAGCTCCTTTCAAATAAATCCAATCAATGCTTTTGTTTTGAATGGTAATATTTCTGCTACATGCTGATGGCCTTATTTATAATGGCATGGACTGCAACAAAAAAAAAAAACACGTGTCATGTTTTACATTTTATATTTAATTTGGAAAAAATAAAAGTAATCTTTAACCAAAAAATAAGTAAAAATGTCTAACTTAATATTATTATTTCTTTAACTACCCCCAAATATTTTGTTTTAAATAATGTTTTTCGTAAACTTAACTAGATTTTGACTAAAAACCTAAGAAAACAAAGTAGCTATCGTGAAAAGTATTGTATTTGTGTTCGTAGAAAATAAATTACATTTTGTTTTATATGCAACTATTAACAAAGTTTAGATTTTTCTACATGCTCATCTGAAACATGTTTATCTCTTTTTTTACATACATGATTACAGTGTGCTGTTGTTCCGACTGTTATATTTGTGTCCGTATAGGCAATAGATTCATTATACTGTATATGGACGGTAGAAAGAACCGAACACTATTAGTATTTTTTGACGACCATATATTATTAAAAAAAGTTAAATATTATAATAGGGAGAAGAACTTACAAAATTAAAATTAAAATAAGAAAAGACAAGTTCATGTGTGAGGGACAATATTAGCTTTCGAATCTCATGGCTTCCAAGCTGAATTCGTGTTCCAATCTATCACTTTTTTTGTTGCATCAAAACGTATTTAATGAACAATAATAGTAGTACTATTGATTCATTTCTAAAAGCTTTATTTACTAGTTTGCACCAGGTACTTATTTCTTGCATCGTTGCTAACTAGGTTTTGTCCACTGACAATTTTTGTAGGTGTGAAATAAGATCCCGCATAGTAAATAAAATTTAGAATAGTTTCGATTCCGTTTCTGAATTTTGGCTAAAAACACGGTGTGTTCATTCCATACACAGTTAACTTATATGTAGAAATACAGGTTTTTGTTATTTATGAAGCCACCATACACACAGTTAACCTATTTTGTTAGTTTGGCGGTGATATAAAAATGTATATAATTTAAATCGCCTACGTACATAAACATTATTGATTGGAAAAATCGCTGGTATGAAGTTGATATATACATTATTGAGTTTAATGAAAAAATTGAAACGAGAAGATGTTAATGTTATATGCTTCATCTATCCCCACTTATTTCTTACAACTGTACATCTCTGTACTCTCTACCTTCGCATTTATTTCAAGTTGGTCGATTGATGGATCGTGCACCCCAAATACATTAGTACCAATATTATTATATTCTTCATTCAGTTCACCAATATGTTGTATACATTTATGTGTATAGAGTGAAATATCAATGCCATGCAAAAGCTATATGCTTGTTTATTTATTTATGTTAGAGCAAAAAAAAACTATACTTCATCATAAAATTTGCAAGAAGAGTAGAGTTGATTCTAGAATTTGAGAAGGGAACAAAACTAGTATGGATCTGATATTTTCGACATTACGATAATGTGTATTATTTACAAATACAGAATTATTTGTGTTTTATTAAATATCTTGTTAGTAGTCAAGAAAGTTGACTCCCAAAACCCATCTATTATCAACCATGCATATATATAGCTTTTGAAAAAATTATATTATACTAATTTATAATATAACCCAAGTACATCCGTACGTTCCGATTCCAATGTTTTTGCCGCCTGACCTTTGGGGATCTCATAATTTAAAAGGAAGGCCTTTGACTTCATAAGCGAAAACTAAAAATTTGCTTTTTTGTTTGTTTGTTTATCATGTGTTGCATTTCACCGTACTAAAAGAACTAGCAAGATTTAGTTCATCTTCATTCGAACTAACAGATACACGGAAAAGAAAACAGTCGAATCGGAGAAGGCAATCACACCCGCTTTCAGTTCAGTTTGGTTTCATCAGATGATTCAGGCACTGATCAGATGAAATACCAAACAGAAAATGAAAAAATTTAATTTTCATTTTTTTTAAAAAAAAATTAAAATTATAGGTGAGAGATGTCTCAGTCTTGAGGATGTAAATTGAAATATGTTGTATTATTTACATGTATATATGTGTAGGTGTGTGAGAAATCCATAAATGATTTTGTCTAAAATTAAATCTTCGTGGTTCTTCTTCAAAAATCATAAATTGTAATGGGTCCATATTTATCTCAACAGCTATTTCATGGCTGTGTTTTCTTAGGCGTCTCCTTTCATTATCACACCCACCCATCTTTTTTATACTTTTTTTTTAATAAAAAAATGCCTTCATAATCCTACATTGCATTACACATATCATGCATATATCGTTGATCTATTTTGTAGCAAAATTTTATATACCTCGAAGGTTTTATTCTGTCACGTAGTCGTAGTACGCAGTCTACAAACATTTTGGGTCTTCAATTGGCCCCAGTGGCCTACAATATGTAAGCCCATCTATACGTTGGGCCCGAAGTTAAGCCTTTTCCTTTTGTCAAGCTTGATTCATTTTTAACAAAATTATTGAATAAAGGAAAATGCTATGTTTGTTTTTAGAGGCTAAATATTTTTTAATTTTATGTGTTGTTTTGAAATATGATGTTTCATTGTTTTGTTAGAAAAAATAATAAAATAGAATAGAAGTATAGAAGGAGTTTCTAATTGTAACATTTTGTTTGATTTCTAGAAACTCGAAAAAGCTATCTTTTGTTTGATTGTCGAAAATTATGAAATAGAATATTATGAATCAAGTGAAAATAAAACAGATAATGCAAATCTAGAAATTTAAAAGGATTTTGTAAATGTATTGTCAAACATTTTTATGCCAGACATACCTAGACCTTACGCTATATGTGTGGATACAAATCTACTATACAATTTGTTTCCTCTATACATAAATCGCAAACGAAAAAAAATTATACTACTAACACAGTCAATTTATCCTAATCAACGAAAATTAACTTTTCAAACTAGCGATTAATTAAATAATTAGTCAAATTGACTAATCACGTGAGAGACCTAAACCCTGCCTAACCTTCTTCTTCATCCGGAAGCAACCCCATCTTCTCGCCGATTCTCGCCGGCTCCGATTTGCTCCTTATCAACTCCGGCCGGCGAGCAAACCCTAAATCCGTTAACTCTACGTCCTTTCTGTCATTGTTTACTCCGAGAGAGCTCGCCGACTCGTAAACCCCATTGATTTTCTCGGAGCCTTCCGATTCAGTTTTCTCCGATCGAACATTTGGCTCCCCGTTTTCCTCTCTTCTGTTTCGTGATTCTAATTCGCGTTGGTTATTTTCTTCCCAGAATCTGAAAGCCAACGACGACGATCTGTATGGCGCAGATCTGCTTCTCGTTAACAAAAGCGCGTTTATCGGCGGCGTAGAAGCCGGGGACACATATAATTTAGGAATTTTGAAATTTTCTCCTTCCTCCTCGTTTTCCTCTCCAATTCCTCCTGCTAATTCCGTTGCCGGGCGATCTAATTGGCTTCTCGGAGAATCTTTCTCTTTCTCGCTCTTCGATTTGCGCCGAGAACACGGAACCGAAAGCAATCCCCATTTGGGCCAAAATGACATCGATTTGATTTTCCCGGCGAGTCCGTTGTAAAACGACGCGTTTCGGATCCACTGGCATCGTCGCCGGGTCGGGTTTTCGCGAGGTTCTGGTTGAATTTTCCGCTTTGATTGCTTGGCTCGGACCTGACCCATGCAAGTAACCTTCGGAGACGACGGTTCTTGAGTTACCGCCGACGCAGATTTATTCCGGCGAACGAATAGAGGACTCGCCCGTGACCTTCCTTTGCTTCGGCTTCGACTTCTACTTCTGCTTATGCTTCCGCCGTTACTCTTGCTCCTAAAAAACCCCATAAAGGGCGGTGGATATTTCTCGACTCGACCCGGACTCGAGGCGGGCCTCCGGGAAATCATCATCTTCTTCTTCCTTTCTCTTCTCTTTCTCTCTCTCCTCTTTGCTCTCCACTGTGTTCTGGTTTCGTTTTGTCTGCACGTGGATTTTTTTTCCGTTTTTTTTTCTTTTCTTTCAGCACTTAATGTTTTTCTTTAATAAAACATTTCTTTTATATAGCAACGGACGAGTCAATTTTAGTTTTATTTGTGACTTAATTTGCGAGATACTTTGATTTACTTCTTAATTTACTTTTGTTTGTAACCATTTTGTGGTTCCCTAACTAGTAGAGATTAATAATACTCATAAGTTACACAACAAACGCTTAAGATTCCAACAAAGAAACTTACTCTTTTAATATACTTTAGTATATTTGATTAGTCTTTTTCTGTGTCTTTGACTGCTTTGGAAGGAATCTTTAGAAATATTAAATCTAAATTTGTTAATGTCGTTTTGAGTATGAGAAGAAAAAAAAATCCCATCAGATTACTTACGGTCGACAAAAAACAAACTGCGTCACTTATATATGGAACGGAATCGATCATTTGTAAATTGTTTCAGGATTTTGTTATTGTTTCTATTAGAACCCAAAAGCACACACAATATATATATATATATATATATATTTTACTGTGTTTAGAACTAATCAATGATAATACACAATTACACCCGATAGATGATGGATCTACATACGTAAGTTACAATCTCTAGATGTAACATTGTATAGTAGTAAAATGGATATTATAGATAGTTATTGGTTCATCGTTCTAAACAATAACTTTAAAGTCGATATTAAAGTTTTCAATATGTATGAAGAAAAAAGAGAAGAAAAGAAATGAACCCATTTCCAAAAAGATTGCAATATATTGGGCAATAATACAAAATGAGATCAGTAGAAGTTGATGGTCTAAAAGAAGAATCCATGAGAATTCTTTAGAACCTATGAAGTATTAATTTGACCTCGCTTTCGATGTTAATGATTTGAAGATGACTAAAACATAAAGTGAAAATCTTTTTGGACAAACAAAAGCATCACTCAACTCTCCATTTCAACTCTTGTCTCCCACTATCAATTCCGAGCTCGCTACTAACCCATCCACCCAAAATTCACTCTATAAATTGTTTTCAAAGAACAAAAGAAAAAAAACATATGGAAACAACAATTTTCTTTTCAGCCACTTGATGGAGAAATGAAATGCACCGAAGATAATAGTTACGTGGATCATGTTTCAACACAATCCAGCTAAATCGAGTTTCAAGTTTTTGTTTGGCTTCTTCTATGTCTAACCTAAAAATATTCAAAGTCGAAAAACAAGAATTAGATAGCTTGGAATGAAGAGGACGAGATTATTAAACAATTAATACTTGAATGTTGCTGTCAATGTACTAAACCAAAGACCATACCAAGTCAACTAAATCAAACTAAAGCAAAAGCATAACATAGAACGAAACTTTTTGTTTGTCCAATTGCTTTAGAAAGTTATTTTCAAACATTGCTTCAAATATCACTTTTCACCACATGTGTGTAGACGTAGTGTGTGAGATCGCAGTTTCTACAGAAACGTAATATAGGGAGATCCGCTTTAGACGGAGGAAAGTTTTTGACTTTTGCGTGTAGTGACAAAGTGAAGAAGACACAGCAAATACGACACAAGCACACGGAAAGACACGAACCTAAACACAATTTCCTTCTTTTCAATATGAACTCCAATCATAATTCTTAAAAGCAACAACTTGGCACACGCATTAATCAAGTTAATCAGGTAGCAACCATTTTTCTTTGATATCAAACTCTTCACGGAATAATCGCGAAACTGTTTAAGACCGCGTTAGCTCGACTGTGTTTTCTGCCATTCATGTAGCGAGATAGCATCGGAAGGAGCTTTTGATACTCTGTTTCACTAAGGTAACCTCCCAACCTTAAAACCACCGTCTCTAATGTCTTTGCGTTCCAAAGTACAAGTTCCATGAACAAAGCCACATGCTCTGACTTTACATCCACAGCTGGAAAAAAGCCCATCCAGCATTGATCGGGGTTCAAACCTTGCGCATCTAAGTATCCGTCAAACTCCGTGACCTGTGTAGTGTAGATAACAAAAAAAAAAGAATGCTCAAGCAAACTAGTACAAATGGGATTGTTCCTTACTCGTAAAAGAGGTTAATGGGTTCATAAAGATACCGGTATGGCTCTGCACTCCATTGTGCAAACTGTTATCTTCTTTAATCCAGGTGAGCTTCGTAGCAGCCTCACTATACCAGGAACAACGGATCGAACAATTGTCGTTTCGACAGTCAACGCTTTGATCTTGAGTTGTGGAAAAGTAAGTCCACGGATTTCGGCAAGAGTTAGAATCTATAACAAAGGAATGACAGAAATATAGTGACGACTATGCGACATAGAAAGCTGTAGGACTAAGAGAAGAGGAGTGAATATAAACCTGAAGAACGCGTGCCCCAATAGTAAGCCTTTCTATGTTTTGCAACTTTGCTAAAATCTTAAGCATAATTATGTCTCCAAGAAAGTCAGCCTTGAGGATTCTATGCCAGAAATTGCTAATGTTGAAGTTAGCTTCGGTTAAAGAGGAGACATCCACTAATGTATACGGTCCATAACGTGTTGTCAATCTCAAATAATGGATGTGTGGCGCTACAATCTCCCCTGGTTCGCGATTCTGGTTGTTTATCTCCAATCTTTTGAGGTTTGGTGAGTTGCTCAGATCAAGATGATGGGGTTCCTCGCAGAGATTCAGTATCAGGGTTTCTAGCGTCGGACAACCAGAGAGGATACTGGCAAGGGATCCATCGGAGAGACAGCAACGAGTCAGTGACAAGCTCCTTAGCGATGGCCAAGAGACGCTGCATTTGGGATTCATATCGGTGTAGTATCTCAAAGTCACGCTGAGCTGCTTTACAGAGGAATTGTGGTAGAAGAAATCTGGGACTCTGTAATCGTCTCTACTACATTCGAGAGACAGATTCTCGGCGTTGCGGGACATGGCGAACTCGATCCACTCATCGAACTGGGTTTCACTGATATCGTCGCCGATACTGACATCGAAACTCGTGAGTTTGAGAGCCGAGTAGCTGCTTAGGGTTTTCTTTATCGAGCTAAGATGATCCGCTCTGTGGCAATCAAAGGAGAGACGAGGCGTTTCGCGCCATACGTGCTTCCATCGTTTGGACAAGACGGAGGTTCTGATCGCGATTTTTGTCGGAAAACAAGAGAGGATTTGCTGGAGGATCGCGTCCGGCAGAGAGCTGATGAAATCGACGCCGGCTAGTTTGATTTCCCCGTTACACTCGCTCTCGGCCATTTTCAGTTTAACAACCGATCACTGTCTAAAAACTCTTTCACAAACTTTTAGTGAAAAAATATGGAAGGTAAGAAGAAGTTTAGAGTTGATCTTACAGATTTACAGGAAATGTTTAAGTTTGGCGCTCCAACGTATCTTATATTTATATAGAGTTGAATAATTGTTAATAGATTTTGACATCTTTCAAGTTTAATTTTAAATCTTGACACATTTAACTAAATTTTCAACTCTTTTTGTGATCAATTTATTTAATAATTTCAGATTTTCAAAATTTATTAACATGCTTAGCTTTTTTTCCCTAAAATTTAGTAAACTTTAGGAATGCTATTTTACTTTTATAATAGGATAAGAACCCATTTGAGAATTAAAACGTGACTGACAACAATCTTTTTTGGGAATTTTGGTGGACAAAGTGATTTGACGTGGCATTAAACCGTGATCCAACGGTTAAGATTTATTGACTAGCCGTTGTCGCTATTTGTGATTCTGGAGAAATTAAATCATCGGAAGCCAAAGTCTTTGCTCGTGAAATATGGATATCGGAAAGAAGAATCAGAGTCAGAACCCTAAACCCAGTCCTGAAATCGAAGGTTTGCTGTGGTGACGAGAAAGAAATCGAGGAAGGGGAATAAGGGTAGAACGTAAGGGGAAGAAGGAAGTGCATCAATCATCGATCTAAGCCCAGCCCCGGAATCGAAGGTTTGTTGTGGTGGCGAGAAAAAAATCGAGGAAAGGGAACAATTCATTCGACTCGATTTGATGGGATTATCTTCCGGCAAAAACTATGGTCTGGTGAGTTATCTCGGATTATTGGATATGTTGATTTAGCAATTTGCCAACACACAATGCATTGCTCTTATTTCGGATTGTCTATTTGCTTTTAGGGTTGTTCAAAGTTGAATTTTGTCCTTGATTCGTTACCTTTAGACATACACAATCAAGTTTTTCAACTCGTAGAGAAGGGAAACCGAGTTTTTAAAGAATCTCGCTTTGCGGAGGTGTAAATCAATCTGTTTTGATTTTTTTTTTTTCTTGTTCTTGCTGCTTTTCTAGGAATTCCCAGAAACAAATGGTGAATAACTTCGTGAATGATCTGGTTCCGTAAATGTTGTGCTAAAAGTCTGTATAGAAACATATAAACACTCATCTGCTCAAGATAGTCAAGTGAAGATAAGATAGCCTAGTTTAATCCTTCGTTACTTGCAACACTTGTATTTTAAAAAAATCTAGTAAGGATTGTTGCTCTTTACCAATGGTCTGAATGAATAAAATTAAAATACTTGACTTATCTCAGGCCTTTTCGTCACTGATCCCTATCAAATATACATCTCAGGCTTCTCAAACACACATAGCGCGGTTCAAGATTCGTGCTGCTCTCTTGGCAAGCTATCACCGTAACGAGGTAAAGAAGCAGTATCTGTGTTTTATGGAAACTAAGATTCATCCCAATTTAACTCTGTTGCCTTCATAATCATTATATGAGTTTGTATTCCGCAGGTGAAATGTGGGTGCCAAGTGGATCTTTTTACCCAAAACGGCCTTTTCAAACGAAGGAGAATGGTTTTGTAGTTGATCATACACTGACTTCTGGGCTTATAGATATGAAATTTGTTTTATATTTGTCAGCTTCAGGTTAGTTTTGGTTTTGTTTTCACTTGGAACTTCAAAGGCTGGTAAATTTTTATCATCTTGTATCAGTTATATTGGTAACAATTATCCAGGTGGTCCTGCTCGTGAGAATGTTGCCCAACCTGAGAACTCTGTCATTTCAAGTAGAACATCAAAAAGCAAGCTGTTTTCTCGAGCTTCCCAAGAAGAGAAGAGTTACAAGTCAGAGCCTCATAGCGATGGACAAAAATCATCTGCTGATTATCATGAAGATCATCTCTGGTAAGTCGTTTTCCTCGGGTTTTACATTGTGATTTGTGTATAAAGAGCAGGCTTTTCTCACGCACTATCTCGCTTTGTTTTCAGGTTCAAACAACTTTTACCCTGAATCTGATCATATCTATCAAGGATGGACAAGGTAAGATCTCTAAGTTTAAGTAAACGCTGCTGTTTAATTGGAATTTGTGGATTTCTTTCTCATGATTAGCCATTATGTGAACCTCCATAACATGTCGTTGTACTTTTAATTAAATTCTCAGCTAGAGCAGGAACAACATGGTCGAAGTTTTGCAACAGAGAAATGTTTCTTAATGACATCAAAGATATGTCTCTCTTCTCTTTGCTTTTTCATTTCATTAAAACGTGGATTAGTTTATAAGAAACCAGATTAGATTTACAGTGGTTGTTAAACTAACAGGACATGTATCCAGTCATTTTTGATCGTCAGAGATTACTATGTTCAAATTGTTTCTACAACTAATGTAGATCAATCAGTTTCTTATTAGGAACTTAAATGATAATTGTGTTAGAAATAGTAAAATGAAAATAACTTTGGATCTAACCCAAACTTGTTGTTGTCTTTTAATGTTTCATGTTAAAACTGAGAAAACTAAGAGATGCCGAGAGAAGAGATGGAAAAACTAAGGGAAGAAGCAGAATCTAGCAAAAGCCACTTGCTTCAGGTATTTCCTGAATAGACTTGGTTAGTTTTGATTTCATCGCCAAGAGTGTAGATCAGGTGAATAAGAAGTTGAGACTTAGGTATTTGGTTATTATGTTGTAAGGCGTCGGGTTGCTTATCTTCATTGAACAGACTTGTGGCTGAGGAAGCTGCTCGTGGGCAATGGAATCTCTATGTCGGAGAAGAGATTATCGTCTTCAGGGGGAAACATGAGAATCGTGCAACTCCTTTTTCTTTTTTTGGCTAACCTGATGTTCTTCTTGTGCAGGCTTAACTTTGGATACAATACAGAGGAAGTTCGTGGGAAAAATAATAGAAAATGCCAAAATTATTATCACAAATACACAAACACGAATCATCACCACAAAAACCATTATCTCAGAAACCAAAAACTTTAAAATCACAAAACAAAACACGAATCATCATCACAAAACAAACACAAATCTCAACATGAAAAACCATAATTATTTCAAACAAAAAGTTACACAACTAACACGTCACGCAAACAAAATTACAAAACACCAAAAGCGAAATCTCAAACACAAGCTATTTACCTCTCTATCTCTATATTTTGTAGATTACCGTTTTTCGAATATTTTGTAATTATATTTATTTTATAATATTTTATTTGAGTGATTTCTGTTTTGCAAGTTGTAATTTTGTTTGCAATTTTTTTTGTATTCTAACTCAAATTCTCAATGCTATAATCTGATATTAATTTAACAAATGCAGCATGAGTGTGTATATTCTCATATGTTCATGTTGTGATTATTCTCTATCTCTATTTCTCTCTCATTTTTTTCCGAACACAACAGTTTCGTCTTTATTAGTTGTAGTGCTTGTGTATGTGTAAAAGCATATATAATATATTTGAAAAACTTGTCTGCTTTCTTCGTTAAAATCCAGCTTCACTTACGATTATTAACACAATTTGCTTGTAATATAAGATACACTTGATCCATAACTTGATAAACTCTTACAAAAAAAAGTTTTTCTATTTATGCCATGGTGTTATGGTATGAGCACGATTTCTGCCTCATATCATGTTTGGGCAACAATGAGAGATAAGAAACAATTCTGATAATTTATGTAATATCTATAATTTATGTTTGTCTTGACTCGTGATTACTGAAACCCCAAAACCACATACCAATAGTATTCTCTTTAATGTATGAACCAATGTCTCTTTGACTCTTTCAATAGATAGGTGAAGACGAGAAAAAAAGGAAGCAAATATGACTTAAATAAATAAGTGTGAAGAAGGTTCTTCTTGTGAGTTTCGTGTTCAGATGTGCAGCTAATCTCACCAATGTCATAAAGTCTTAGAACAGTGGCTAAACAAATCTTCCAGAGTTCTTGAGCCTGCAATAGATGAAGCAAATTAAGACGGGAAACTCAAACAGATCTGCATTTTTTGGCGGCATTGGGCAATGCAAAAACAGATTTAATGTTATGCCGGATCTAAAGAACTCCACGAAGAATGGCTCAAACTGGTTTTAGCCGTTCTTGTTAAACTAATAGCCTAATATACTGAGAAATAGTTTGAGATAAGACAAGATTTTGCAAACTACAGTAGTTGTGAAATACAAATACAGTAAAACAAAACCAGCTTAGCCCGTACACAGATTCCAATTCTAATATTGAACAACAGAGACGGAGAGAAGAGATGGTTCCTAATGTTTTCCATTAGTGTTTCAATAAAGTCGTGTCTGAATAAAATTCTTAAAATCTTTTTGACTGTGAATAAGTTAACAGCTTATAATCAGCATGCATAAGTGCAAACACGGTCTACTCAACGAGCGAATACATGTGTCAAAAGTGTGGCAAGCAAGAAGATGAATCTAGAACTAAGTCTGGAAAATCGAGAAGACGGGTTAAGAAAAGGCATTTCATTTACATTCACATTGTTCTTCCTGTGTCTTCTATTACTTAAGTGGCACACTTCCTAAGCAAGAATATAACAGATACTAACTAGTTTCATTTATTTAGCTGACACTATAGCAGACCAAGATGAACAAACCAATGCCAAGTTCAGTATCAAGATCGAAAAAAGTCAAATGAGCATTCACCATTGCCACCAGTCAATGCCAAGAACAAACATTCAGAGATGATTCCCACATATGCTTTATTCTAAGACCTAATCGGATCCAAATCAATGAAAAAGTGATGACAATGTGAGACATACCGAGAATCAAATTAGCCAATTAATCGGACTTAGTGTCCACATTCTTCCTAGCAGCCCTTGCATTGTCATATTCGAACTTCAACACATCAGGAATATGCGAAGTATCCTTCACAGAGAGCATCCTCCCTAATGCACTCTCCTCAATCACCGGAAAGTATGGATACAGAACAGAATTCACCACCCAGAACCAGCTGGCGCCGACAACCGCCCCTAGCGCCGCGCCGGCGAAGACCTGCGCCACCGTGTGGTAGCCCAAGTAAACCCTAGAATACATGGTAACGAGAGCTAGGGACCAGTGGAGGAGATTGAGGACCCATCTGCTCTTTAGGCCGAACCAGAACCCGATCCCTTTACACGCCATGAGGCTGAAGTAGGTGGCGAAGAAGAACATGAACTGCGAGTGGCTGGAAGGCCATCCGTGCGAATCGCAAGCCTCGAGCAGCGTGCAGGTCTCGGGGCGAGCCTGTTCTACGGATGTCTTGATAAACTCGTTGATGAACTGCGAGATCACGAGACCTACGCCGAAGAAGATCCCCTGAAGCTCGCGGCGGAAGAGGAAATGGGAGACGAATCCGCCGAGGCTGATGAAGACCGGGACGAGGGAGATCCAGGCGAGGAAATGCCCGAGCTGATCGCCGCGACGGTACCGGACGTGGGTGAGAGTTACGGCCTTGAGCTGCTGAGGTAGGTCCATTAGAGGTGCTGAATCGAGCGAGGAAGAAAATCGAGAGAGAATCTGGCTTTGATTTTCACAGGTTTCTTCTTCGAATTCTCCAGAATTTGTTTTTGTTTTTCTGTTTTCTCGACTGAGAAAGTGACGGAAAAGTGGATGAGAAAAGGCCAGAGGGGTGAAATTAAATTAGGAGGTTTTCAACATTGTGGATGCGTGACACATTACATTACGCTGTACGCAAGCCTACAAGTTAGAAGTCGACACGTTATGTGTATTTAGTTTGCCACATCGGCAACTGCAAGATGCTTCGTGAAACACACGGTCACGATAGATAGATAGGCTTTTGAGATCGTCTTGGAAATACTCAGGGACTAGATTGCAATTATAAAGAGAAACGCACGTCGGCAAAATTAATTTTTTGGACAGAGAAATTTGTTAATCTTTTTGTTATTTCTTAAAAATGTATCCAAAAATTTGGAGAATTGGAAGAAGTAAAGTCTAATTGATCTTCGTTCTCGTCACTGTTCTTTTGGGTATTGTTAACACTTAACACACGGATATGGTATATATTCATTGTGGACCCTGTTTTTTTTTTTTGAACAATTTCTTTGCATTAAATTAAAAGTAGCAAAAGAGCTTATTGCATATTACAATAAACCATCTTTACTAATTAAACAAGAGACCCATTTAGAACCCAATATAACCAAAGTAAAGTAATTGCCCAGACAAGCCCAAATGTCCCAACAGAATAGTCCCCGTAAAACCTCAAGTAGTCCAGAGAAGCCCAAATCCCTGTAATTACCATCGATCCCTAATTTTTCTTCATTTTGGACCCTGTTGGCACTTGGCAGTAGATCTTCTTCTCCGAGTCTTTCTTCTCCCATAGCTTTTTCAAACTTCATATTCGATCTTCTATCTTCTATTGGATTTCTGGGTTTGTTCATTTCAGTTTTTCTTCTACCTTCCCTTCTCTTTCTCTCTCTCTATCTCTTTCTCTTTCTCTTTAAACCGCCATTAGAGGTTTGGAAGAACCATTTGAAGCTTTACTTTCAGATTCTGTATCTTGCTGCTAAGCACGTACCTGTCTAGCAAGGATTCGTCTCGTTTCAACTCGAGAAGGCCCCTCGTTTCATAAACCCAGGTGTGTGTCTCTGCGCCTTCATTCAAATGGGTCATCTCAAATGGGTTTCTTCTTATGAATTTCTGGGTTTTTTCTTTGCAGGTCCTAAGAGTCGTGTGAGAAGACTCCCTTCAGCTGTGAAAGATTTTGAATCTAATTTGATTCCGGGTATGGTTTAGACTCGAAGCTAAACTTTTGTTTCCCCTGTTTTTATGTTCGTGTTGCATACGAATTCCGTACTACTTAAGTTCATAAACCAAAAAAACATTAAATTTGTACAGAGATTGATTAGATTTGCAACTTAAATTTTAGCATACAAGAGAATTGTGCTTACTGCTTACTCGTTTTAAGATGTTATAGATATGCCATTGAAATGATACTTATATTTGTGTACATGGTCGTGATTGCCGAGTCTCGTTTATATATGAGTCTAGTTTATGTATACGCTGCATCAATACATGGGTCCAAAATACATAAAATTGGATTATTAGTTGCGAGTCTATATAAATATGCTTACATCTCCTTCATGTCTTTGCATGAGTTTATGTTTGGTTCAACCAATTCATAGGATAGAAACTTCTTTTAGCTTGTATCTAATATCCTTCAACTCGCTTCTTTGAGCTTTGCCATACGGCGCTTAGTTTGGTAGTGTTCTTGCAGTGAACTGCTTGTGTTGCATACAAATTCTCAGTGTGGTTGAGTGATTCCTTCTGGTTTTATGTTCGTGATGCTTGTAAAAGCAGTGAGATGCTTTTATGTTGGTGATGCTTGTGGTTTTATATCTCATACACATAGTCTTTAGTATATAGATTAACAAGATGCCTTCGCTTTGTTGCAATTCATTTAGTGTATAGTATTTTTCAGGTTTGATCATTTAGTGTTTTGATAGTTTTGCTGATTTTTGTGATCGTTGTGGATTTGGATCTATAGAGAATGGCGACAGCTACGTATCCGCCGCCTCCTCCATATTACAGGCTCTACAAGAATTATTCTGAAAACCCTAATTCTGCTCCTGAACCTCCTCCTCCAATTGAAGGAACCTACGTTTGTTTCGGAAGCAATTATACTGTGAGATTCCTACTTTACATTTCCCCTTATCACTTCTCGCAATTTGTCATCTTTGTGACTTATACTGCTTTTCCATTTTGTTTTGTTTTACAGACTGAAGATGTTCTTCCGAGCTTAGAAGAGCAGGGAGTGCCTCAACTTTATCCCAAAGATTCAAATGTTGGTATGTCATTCTTCTGAACTTTAATGGTTTTGGTTAATCCCTTAATTGATTACATGACGCTGTTGGTTCCGATCACAGCCTTACTCTTAAGCAAGTTATCTTCTTTGTTTTGCTGAAGAGATTCCAATGATCTTGTATAGATTACAAGAAAGAACTCCGGTCTCTGAACAGAGAACTACAGTTACATATATTGGAGCTTGCTGATGTTCTTGTTGAGAGGCCTTCTCAGTATGCAAAGAGAATTGGGGAAATATCTTCAATCTTCAAGAACTTACATCACCTTCTCAATTCCTTGAGGCCTCACCAAGTAGGAAGATGTCGTTTTCATTTCACAACGTGTTTTCATCGGTTTTGTGTTTATCTAATTGTTCTCTTATGCTCAGGCCAGAGCAACGCTTATTCATATTATGGAACTTCAAATTCTACAGCGGAAACAAGCCGTGGAGGACATTAAGAGGTTTGTATATGCTTTAAGCTTTCTGTCTTAATAGTATCAAGATGAATCTGTAACCTTGTTAAATATTCTTTCAAAGCTTGTTGGTAGTTCTTCTGTGTTATTTTAATGCGTTGTAGAGAGATCAGAAATAAGTGGATATAGTGTTGTTTTGGCAGGAGGAGAGAAGAAGCACAGCGACTTCTAAAGGATGCTTTCGTCACTTTAGATGGCCAATAGAGTTTCTTCTACCCATATTTTTGTATGAAACCTTTTTTTCTGATTGACCCCCTTGAAGCTTATTTTTAATTGTTAACACTAAACCAATGTTAATCAGTATTTACTACTGTACCAAGATTACATTAGACCATAATTAACCGGTGACACTTGGAATCCTTTTTTTAGTGTCTTGGAAACCCATAGAAATACAAGCAAATGCAACATGTTGAATTCAATATCTAATTGATAGCCCCATGACCTTTCCATCGTTTTGTTAGGTTCTATCTCTTGCCGAGCTCCGTGGTGTTCCTTTCCCAACGCTTAAGGTCCAAACTTTGACTCTTGAAACAACATTTACAAGATCCGTTGTTCCTGATATAGCAAGGTTGCTGCAAAATTCACCTGGATTGAAGAAGCTTATAGCACACCCAACAGCCGGGGGCGAAATAGAGGTATTTTCACCAGAAACCCCTTTTATGTTCTTGTATATTATATTGATAAGTAAGAAGACGCAAACTAATAACTATGTAGGAACATTCCACAAAGGCACGACCCATGTCTTTCCCTTTTTGCTCGGCTGTTGATATTTCGTAAAATTCACTCGTGGTGGTATATATAATATATGCTTTGTAGTAAAACTTTAATTTATGCTATACAGGATGAGGATATGGACCGCTATTTGGTTGCACAAGGCTTGGGTCCGGATCAATGTTGGAGATCAGAATATGGGGTGTTTCCGAGCTCACAAGAGTTTCGTGCGATGGAATCTTCTCGTGAGGATGCGGAGTTAAAACTGGTCGTGGCTTCGTTCGTGGAAATGGTGCTGAGAAACGTGAAAACACTAGAGACGTTGGGTGTAACGTTCAAACATATCTACCGCCTTCGTGATCCAAAATGGTTCCAAGAGTTTCTTCAGATGCCTCCAACACTACCTAACAACAATAATGTCTCCATTGTGCTCAGACGCTAATAAAGTAGTACTTTGCATCAGTGTTTTACTTCATCTGAAATTTTATAAAACGTTTTTCAATGAGTCTCATGCACACTTGACGTGAATTAGTTATTTGTATATCTGAATTTTTTTTAGTGATAATTTACAGTTGAAAATTGGGGTGTTCAAAAGTCTTTTGAATTATTTCTCTGTCAGACTAACTATTCGGTGTATCTACTCCAAACTATTCTTCACCCTCTCTGTCTATATAATATAGAGTGGTGGATGTCCAAAAAAAAAAAGTAATATTGAGTGGTTAACTAATATCAAATTGATTAACAAAGTAAATATGAATTAAAATATTCGGTGTTTCAAAGAAGAACGAGAAACCCTACTCGGTGTTTATGAGGCAGGCATTAATCTCAATACATATGTAATTTTGAGGCAGAGTGATATAACTTTGTGTATTTTGAGATCGTCTTATTGGACTCAATTATACATATTTAAAGTTAAATTGTATTTTATATAATTTGTAAACACCAGGGACTAATTTGCAATTATAAAGAAAAATACTAGTCGGCGAAAGTTTCGAGTTTTTTTCTTTATTTTTGGTTTCATGGGCGGGCAGGCGCGAGGGAGTGGATCCAAATTATCCAATTCGTCAATTCTCTTTCCTTCCCGGAGAAATTCGTAAAAAAACATTTCTTTTTGCTGGAAAAATTTCTCCGGTGTGATTCTGAATCAAACCCGACTCCCGAAGAAACTAACTGTGCTACGACTTCTCCAATGGCAGATGATGGCTCCGCAGTTAATCGAAGAGACCCAATTAAATCTTCAGGTGATTTTTATTTTCTTTGCCTTCGGTTTTGGCTGCGATTGGAGAATCTTGACCAGGTGAAAAGTACATGACAAGTATTAAGGTATCTCTGTTCTGGGTTTTACCGTAAACCCTCGCGTTTGATTTGGCAGCTGAGCACTTTTCTTGTGGTGTTAGTGTTACTGAGGGAAAGTGTGTTCTTGTTTGCTTCCCGAGAAAATTAGGTTAGGTGGTGACTAAGGGTAGAAGAAATTTGGATGATTCATGCCTTAGTCTGTGGAATTGCATCCGGAGAAGATAAGGGTTCGAACAGTGTTAGTGTTAAGAAGGCTATTTCAACTTAAAACTTCACTGTTTTCATCCTGTAGAGTCTCTTTCATGATGCAGTTTTGAGAGTCAGCACAACTTTAGCGTCTGTAGTGTTGGCTTTCATGTTTATTGATGGGTTTGGGACCATAGAGATTTTACACATAACTTGCTGAGCGATTGGACTATTCGATAGGTGACATTGATTTGGTTGTATTTCTGGATATGACGGTGTGTAGTTGGGAATGTTGCGGGTCAAAGAAGGCGGCAACAAGCTGTTACGGTGGCGAAGGAAAGAAGAGAACTACTTGTTAGGGCAAAGCGGCTTTGTAGGGTTGGTACTAATGGCGATGACGAGGATGCTCATGTTGAGAATGAGATGATGATTGACGAGGAGCAGCCAATCTTGGAGGCTCAAACCAGTAAAGCCGTGGAAGAGCTCAAGTCTGCTGTTCAATATCAGTAAGTGAATCCTGTCAACTTGGTAAAACCAGAGAGCCTCTAGGGTTTGATCTAGTTTTCCACTCTTTTCCTTTTCATCACTGTTTTGGGTATTGTTAGTGAATGGAGTGATACACAATACAATTTTTGTGGAATCTGCTGGCATGAGATATCATCTTTTTGCTCAATTTTTAGGGGGAAAGGTGCAATGCAGAAGAAGGTGACTGCTCTTCGGGAACTCAGGCGTTTACTGTCGAAATCCGAGTTCCCTCCTATTGAAGCTGCGCTCGGCGCTGGTGCAATACCTTTGCTTGTGCAGTGTCTTTCATTTGGCTCTCCCGACGAACAGGTTTCTTGCATTAGCCTTATATATTTGTTTCAATGCTATATCCCTTTGTTATTCCTTTTATTAATTAGTCTGTATATTTTCCCAGCACTTTACTTTATATTTTGAGTACTGTAGGTCTATTTGTCAAAGAACTAATATGCAATTGAAATAAGACAGATTAAGTACGTTTGCGAGATGTTGATCTCACTTGTGTCTAATTACAGTTACTCGAGTCAGCTTGGTGTCTTACAAACATCGCTGCTGGAAAGCCTGAAGAAACTAAAGCTCTCTTGCCTGCACTGCCGTTGCTCATTGCTCACCTTGGAGGTTTGTACTGGCCAACGAAGTCTGTTATTATCCTCTTTTTTTGTTGGATTAGATTTCTTATGTTTCCAAGTTAATATTCAGAAAAGAGCTCTGCGCCGGTGGCTGAGCAGTGTGCTTGGGCAATTGGTAATGTTGCGGGTGAAGGAGAAGATTTGAGAAATGTACTATTGTCTCAAGGGGCTTTGCCACCTCTAGCACGCATGATTTTCCCGGACAAGGGTTCAACAGTAAGAACAGCTGCATGGGCTTTGTCAAATCTGATTAAGGTGTGAAATATTCTGGCGCGCATTTGATCGCATTTGTTTATGAATACAAAGCCGTTGCTACAAAGTAATTTCGCCATGCATTAATATAGGGACCTGAACCAAAGGCCGCAGCACAACTTGTTAGAGTCGATGGGATACTTGATGCGATTCTCCGGCACTTGAAAAAAACGTGAGCAAGTTCCATCTCTCTTTAATTGCAGCAACTGCGTCTTGCTTCTTGCTGATTGTTGAGCTTCATACGGGTCTTTTGTGTGCCATCGATATTCTATTGTTTGCTGGATAATTTGATCAATAAATTATGGATTGTTGGATTCAGGGATGAAGAAACTGCCACGGAAATTGCATGGATCGTTGTTTACCTTTCTGCCCTATCAGATATAGCTACAAGTATGCTTTTGAAAGGAGATATTCTTCAACTACTTATTGAAAGATTAGCAACCTCAAATAGTCTACAGCTTCTCATCCCGGTAACTTTCGAACAGACCATATTGTGCAAAAGAAACAGGATTTTAGTTAGTATTTAGTTCATATATTACCACGGATTATGCTGTTCAAGGAATTGCTTCCAGGTCCATTGATTTCATTTATACTCATATTAGCATATGATTGATTGAAACCAGAATTCTTAACTACATGCTAATGTTATTTTATAAATGCTGCATTTTGGATTCTATGTTAAAGTAAAGTTTGAATTCAGGTTCTACGAAGTTTAGGCAACTTTGTCGCTGTTGATCCCAAAGCAATATTAACCATCCTTATCCGCGGACAGAACACTGAAGGCGAGTATCTATTAATCTCTCCTTTTGAAACACCATTAACTTAATCATTTATCTTATTCGAGTTACTGATATATTCTTAATCAAATTCCAGAAAGTGTTATTCGTGTGCTTGCGAAGTGCTTAAAAAGCGAACACCGTGTTTTAAAGAAGGTCAGTCTCACATATACCCACTTGGTTTTTTTCTTTCCTCAGTTAGTTGAAGCTTTCCTTATCTTCATCACTAAACTTAATTATGTAGGAAGCCGCTTGGGTGTTATCTAATATAGCTGCGGGATCTATCGAACACAAGAAAGTGATACATTCAACTGAAGCAATGCCATTGTTGCTACGGCTTCTTTCCACGTCACCCTTTGATATAAGGAAAGAAGTTGCCTATGTCTTGGGAAATCTGTGTGTAGAAACTGCTGAAGGAGACACAAAACCAAGGATAATTCAAGAGCATTTAGTCTCCATTGTCAGTGGCGGTTGCCTCCCGGGTTTTATTGAGCTGGTCAGATCTCCTGATATGGAAGCTGCTAGGATGGGTCTTCAGTTCATTGAGCTGGTAACGAGGCCCTAGTTTGCTTCTATGTAGATGTCATATAGTCATTGTTTGGATCCAGAATGATCCTGATGGGTTTTTTTATTTCTGGGTGTTATAGGTTCTAAGAGGAATGCCAAACGGAGAAGGTCCAAAGCTTGTGGAAGGAGAAGACGGCATTGATGCAATGGAAAGGTTCCAATTCCATGAGAACGAAGAGCTAAGAGTCATGGCGAACACTCTTGTGGATAAATATTTTGGTGAAGATTATGGAATCGATGAGTGAAATCGCTTCGTTTCTATGGTAAATCCTGTGGGAATACAAAGAAAGTCGTCGGATGATGATGGAATCAAAGGGAAACCAGTCATCATCGTAGCTTTTGCTTGTTACAAAGGAAAGTGATAGAGAGTGTAGACATCTTTAAGGGTTTGGTTCCTCTTTGGGTTGTTGTTGTTGTAACTTGTAATACAGTTTCTGTCTCACCCTTTTGGGGTTTTTGCATTAGCGTTACAAGCAGGTCCATGACTACGAGTTGTAGTAGGGGGGGAGGGGAGTAAATGCCTTTTGAAAAAAAGAGAGAACCGTAAATGCTTAAACCTTCCTTCTGGTTCAGAATGTCATACCTACTCACCATTAATTATATCGTTTCTTGGATTTGCAAAATCTAAGTATATTTGCATAGTGAAGATAAAAGGAGAAATTATCAACTAGCTTTTGTCCGTTTTCTTAATTGAACAATTAATAGCAAAATTTAGATCATCATTTCATTGTTAAAGATAGGGTCGGAGTACTAAAAATTATGACCATCGCTTCAAACTAATTTAAAATTCTCTTAATCAAATACGTAAATTGTTTAACACTAGACAACGATTTAACTTGAATTAATATTAGTTAAATACAACATAATCTTCTTCAACTATGGGTCTTTGGATGCGTGTCTTTTCGCATTCCCGCTTCATTTTCTCTGCTCTTAGGGATTTCCTCTTCCTCCTGTATCTTCTTTCGCTTTGCAATAACTCTTTCTCTATTTTGACCTTCTTTTTGGCTGTTTGTTCGAGGCTTTGAAGAAGAAGCTCAAAGAGATTCTGGGTAAGTTTTTTCTAGGGAAAATGATATAATCTCTTAATCTTTCACTGTACATTTTGGTTTAGATTGTGGAGAAATTGCTGTACATCCGCGACTATTAAATATTTTTATTCATCTCTCGGTGGAGCTTAGAAAGATCTGGGCTCTAGGGTTACTACTACTGGTAGGATTTTTGTTACTTTCACTTTCGTTGTGCATTTTAGATTTTTCGGGAGACATTGCTGGAAATCTGACACTATTTTTGTTATTCTTCTTACGGTGAAGCTTAGAACGAATCTGGGTTTTTGGCTTTGTTCTGAATCTGTGAAATGTTTTAAATTTGGCAAGACTAAAGCTCTATCAAAAGCTTAGGATGCTGTTTGTGTTGTTCCAGGTTAGGGTTCGAAATCAGAAAATCATCGGGGAAGCGCGAAATCATGTCGGCGGCTACTCCGGCGAGAAGCATCATGTTTGCTGAAGATGAATTATTGACGACAAGACACGAAATCCTGGTGGAAAACCATGAGAACCTGAAAAAGGATTACGCAAGTCTTGCGGAAAGATTTAAGCTTGTAGAGGATATGAATGAGAAGTTGACGCAGCATCTTCAGAATCGAAACCAATCTAAGGAACTCGAGGAGAAAAATCTAGGCCTGCTTAAGGATATTGAGAGCGAGAGAAGCGAGAAGGACAAGTATAAGAAGATGGTTGAGGAGATGATGAGAGTGGAGAGTGACAGGAAGGCCATGGTCGATGATTTGAGGACCAAGAACGATGAGCTCTTGATTGTGATAGAGAAAAAAAAGGAGGAGCAGACGAAGATGGATGATAAGTATAATGAATTGGCAGAGAGATTTGGCGAGGTTGAAAAGGAGTGTTCATGCTTGAAATTGCTCTATAATGCTCAGAATCTCATCGGCAAAGGAGACAACACTGTGGCAGGTGCGGCTTGTTTTTCCTTTATTATGTTTGAAATGAAGCTGAAGCAAATCTCACTATCTAAGAAAGTTTTGTTTGAATCTGTGTGTGTGTGTGTGTGCAGATGCGATTGTGATCAGTGACGATAGTGATGATGAGAATGATAATTTTCCAAGCGAGAAGAACACAATCTCTCAATTGCCTGTTCGTGTAAAACAAGAAGAGTGCTCTGCTGAGTATGACAATCCTCCAAGCGAGAAGAAGAACACAATCTCTCTATTGCCTGTTGGTATAAAACAAGAAGAATGCTGTTCTGAGTATGACAATCCTCCAAGAGAGAAGAAGATAATCTCTCAATTGCCTGTTGGTATAAAACAAGAAGAATGCAGCAATGGAGCAAACTCATCGCAAGTAAATCATCCATCTTTGTCATCACCATCGAACACGTTGGCTTTGGACGATGATGTGATTGTGTTGGGTGAGAATCTTGATGCGAAGAACAACACTGTGGCAGGTGCGCCTTGTTTTTCCTTTATATGTTTGAAATGAAGCTACTGCAAACCTTATTATCTAAGAAAGTTTTGGTTTGAATCTGTGTGTGTGTGTGTGTGTGCAGATGCTATTGTGATTAGTGACGATAGTGATGATGAGAATGATAATCTTCCAACCGAGCAAAGCATAACCTCTCAATTGCCTGTTCGAATAAAACAAGAAGAATGCAACAATGGAGCAAACTCATCGCGAGTAAATCATCCATCATGGTCATCATCATCATCAGCATCATCATCATCATCATCAGATGATGACTATCTAGTTAAGTTTCCCTATAAAAGGCCCCGGATTGGTAATAACAAGTCTTGAACCTTTCGGATGCAGAGAACGCAGAGTGGGAAGATGTGGTACGAAAGTTGCTAACTCTTTTTTTGTGATAAGCTAGTTAAGGCACATATTAGTTTATCAATCTCCGGTGTGTTGTTTTTTTGTTTTGTCCCGGAGTTTTATTAATTTGGAGGAGCTAGAGCAAAACGATTATATCTGGTTAGGTTAATAATATTCTATCAATGTCTGTTCTTAAGTACTACTAAAACCGTGGTGAACAAAAAAAAAATAAAGTACTACTAAAACCGTATTGTATATACGGATTACTCGGCTGGATATTCGTATTGTATAGTTTATCTTCTTCCTGTATGAGTTTCATTGTAAACTTGATACAACAAATACATTTTGTTCTCCTTTTTTTTGGGTAGTATAAGAAAATTCGGCTCAATGTGATATTTCCAACCGCATAATCCATCCACTAATGAGGTTTAAATTCAGAATTAAAAAAATTCTTAAAAAATAAATAAAGTAGTCTTATTTAAACGAGCTTCCGTAATTCTACTAAACAATTTGGGTTCTTCATCGCTCGCTGTTTCCTAGTCTCCACTCTCCACACTCGCTCTCTGTTAAAACTCCTTCGTCTTCTCTCTAATTCCGTTCGAGCGGTTCTCCGATCTTCATCGCGTGGATTTCGTTTCTAAGCGTAAGTTTTCTCTACTAATCATTTTCGAAAGTTTCCTGTCGATTTCCATCTGGTTGTTTCCGTTCTACTGTAGAATCTTCAGGTAGATTGTTGGGGATGTAATCGTACAGTTTTAAATTTGTAAATCGGGATATGTTACGATGGTTTAGATAGCGGCTTCCATCGCATCCAGTAGAAAACCTAATCGAAATCTATTTGGGATGTAATCGTGTGTTTTTGCGTTCATAACCTCGGAATTCGAAGTTCATGAGAATCGTTCCAACTACTGCAGTTTGCATAATCACTGAAAATGGGAGAAGAAGCAGAGAATGGAGGATCTCGGAAACGCATGAAACCATCTGTACGTTGCTTACGGTATTTGAATTTTGTTATTTAATCTCTCGATGATCTGTATAGTGGATCAGATCTTTAGTTTTGGCCTAAAAAAATATGATAGGATGAAGAAGGAAAAGGGGATTCTAGAGAAGGGATGAGCCTGGATACAATTGAGAACGAAGAAACTGAGGCAAAACTTGTTGCTTCTGATGAGATGGAGCTTAACATTGCTCAAATTCTCGACAAGATTGAGAGCTTCACACAGACTGTAAGCTGTGTCAACAAAGGCATTTGCTTAAGTTTAGGAAGAATTTGATATAGCTATCAAGTTTAATCTGTTTGTCAATTGTTCTTCTTGTGTAGGTTTCTAACTTGCTAGAATCAGGGAAGACAATGCTCAAGGAACTCAGTAACCAGTTTGAAGAACGCTTGATCATGTGAGATTAAGTAGACTCTATAATGTTTCTGTGTGTACTGTGTACTATATTACTGAGATGTTTATTATACATTCACCTGAATATATATCAAATCACACTTGAACAGGATACACAAGGAACATGTTGAGAAATGGCAGGAGGAGATCAAGGAGTTGCGTTTGCTTGATGCATCTAACGAGGAGACTGCTTCCCTGCTACACAACGCTCGCTATCTGATTCAGAATCCTAGCATTGAGCCTTGAGGTAACAATCTAAGAACTGCTTCCCCATGAAGTAAATACACTATTAGCCATTACTAAGAACATATTATCTTCTGTCCAATGGTGTAAGGAGCCGTATATATATATTACCTTAGATCAACATATGGTTGATTGGGGAATTTAGATTTGGACAATTTGAAAACCATTTGATGTCTTGAAGGAAACTTTTGATTAACAATCTTATCATGAACCTTCTTAGATAATTTCTACATAAAATTTCTTCTTATGCCATGCAAAACCAGTAACTCTCCAATCTCTTTGCAAGTCTTAAAATGTTGTTTTCAGGTAATCTTTTGACTCAATTGCCCTCAAATTATCCTGCTTTAAGCAAATTGTATACAACCCTTTTTCTTCTGATCCTATGACTAGATTATGGGAATCTTCTACTTATTTAGCTGAGCTATAATTTGTTTTCTCCCTTTATACTCTTGTTGAAACTTTACTTCCCCCTTTTTTATCCTTTCAACATCTAAACAAGTAAACAACAACCCAATAAAGTGTGTTGTCAGTAAAAAAAGAAAGAAAAATATTTAATAAACTTCAGCAGCGATATGTGTGGACCAACCTTACATATAAACTATTTTATTTGATTGAGTTCACTCGAATAAAAAGTATGGGTTATTTATGAGAGTCCGGTTTAGGTGTTAGCCAATATAGGAATCTTTTACGGTTCTACCGTTGCGTTGTGTCACAAAACGACAAGGCATAAATGTCGGGTCGTTACCAAACTCTCTGGCTTATCTCTAAACGCTGACGGCCCTGACTATTTGCATGACCCACTGACATTACATATAATGCCAAATCGATTTTCGGTTCAGTTTTGGTTTTATCTATTTGCTTTTCTTTTCCAAATTCTATTGGTTTATAAATAATAAAAATAAAATAAACAAAACCGAGTCTGGTTCTAGCAGCTCTACAAAAACAGATTTATATTTAATACTGAAATGGATCAAAATAATTTGTAGATCAAAGAAATTACCGTCTAATGGATCTACAAAAAAAAAGAAACTGAAATTTTTAAGCAACGGTAGCGGTACGGTTTAAAAGTGTGGGTGGTTTGTTCACATATAGATATTTCACTTGCTAAAATTGCAAAGACCAGAAACAAATTGGACCGACGGGGAGAGAAAGTTTCACAAAGGATGCAATTAAATTCTCTTTTTTTTTCGTAACATATGTTTTTTTTTAAAAAAAACGGAATAACAAAGATTTTAGAATTATATACATTAGGTGAAATGTCCATATCCCAAGTTAACTACCAATCTTGGCGATACCTATTGATATTATAAATTATCAGAAGCATATTTCTTATACATATATATACATATTACGATAAGTTGGACGTCAATATATCATATGATTAGTTGAAATTATTTAATTCCAACGGCTAGTTCTCACTTATTTATTATATGATCCATATACGAAACAGCTTTATATTTAAAAGAAAAAAGGTTTTCTGTTAACGAGTGGAAGACGCCACATGGAGCGATGCGAAATTTTAAAATGCCTTTTCCGTTTTTCTAATAACGAAAATGATAACAAGACTGGTACAAGCTGGCCATTGATAAGGAAACCTGTTGGGTTTATCTTCAAAAAGTCAATGATTTAGGCAGCTAATACTTAATCCGTTGGAAAAAAAAAATACTATTTCAATCATCTTTGTTCATTGTATGTCAAAATGGTATTTTTCGCGGTATAACTATAAAATATAATTGTGAAATTGCGTTTGTGATCGATATACGTTAATAGAAAATATTACTGTTTCTTAAGCGTTGTACTAATAAAGATATGTCGTTGCATAAAACGAGTTTTTTTTGTTCATGCATTCATTGGAAACTTACTTAGAAGTGTGGTGGTTGTGTACATAAATATGATACGGTGAACAAGTAATGAAGATGCAAGTATTTTTCTGATTTACCAATCCAGAAAATATTAATAATGCATGTTATCTATAAGGTGGCTTATTAAAACATATTAATATAAATGATAAAAGGCTGTCTCACTGGTGGATATATTTTGTTCTCATGTTTTGTCGGTTCTGGTAATGTAAGCGTGTATTATATGAAACACAGATACTCTATACGAATTATACAGAAAATGTTATATTTTGACTTAACAACAAATAATGTTACCGTTTTGTTTGAAGATAATACGATAAAAAATTTATATTTAGACGAAAAAAGTAGGGTGTCGTATTTTAACTTTTACTCCACTAAAGACGAATAAAAACTTTTATTTAACGATTTTGCTTTATTAGCTGAGTAGAGGACCGATCTTTACTGGATAAAGTTATTTATTAATTCAATTTAGATGGACACTGTTACCGATCCCCATATCTAGAAAAGCTTTAAGTTCATTAAAAATCAATTTTTTTTTGTTAAAAAACTTCATTAAATATCGTTTCAGAAAAGGTAAACATAAAATAGTACTCCATTAATTGGCAGTTAAATTTTTTTAAATCCAAATATACCCATTTTAAATGTTTTTCACTAATTAAAACATCCCTCTATACCAAATTAAAGTATTTGAAAATCATGGTTAATGAAGCTTAAAGAATCAAACTTATGATTACTGTTTTTCCCCATAAACTAATTACAATAAGTTTATGGAAAAAAAGTAAACAGAAATAATGACCGAGCTGGTTAAAAAAAAAGACCAGTGGGCCCCACAAAAGCGGCCCAATTAGTGGCTTCACGCACAAACACACATACACACACCGTCACAAATACTCTACACACAGCTTTGAATCCATCTGTCTCCCCTCTCTCTCTTCGCAATAATGATAATGTGAAGAAGAGAAGATATCTTCGCACCTCAGCAAAGATCCAAACTCACCGATTTTTAAGGCTTTTCGTCTTCTTCTCCGATAAGCTCACAGAGAAGCGCGTTGAGGTGGGTAGACTCGAGCTGCTTTATCTTAAAGGTTCTTGGAGCTCTTCTTCCACCAGATCTGGTGTCACTGTCTATCGCAGGTACGATTCCTGATTCGAGGTCGTTTCAGTATCAACTGTCGAGTTTAATTGAAGAATTTAGCTCCTAGATATCGAGATCTGGCTATAATCGTGATTTTATCATAGTGGCGTTTGGTGAATGTTGAATTTATTGTTTCAAGCTTAGTGACTTACGTGTTTGCTCAGGAGGAGTGTATTAGAGATCACTACTAGATTCAGATTTTTTTTGGATTCTTAAATAATTTGATTTACTTTTTCTCTGTGAAGAATCGTACAGAGAAGGGTGAAGAGATGGGCAAAAAAGCAAAATGGTTTTCTAGCGTTAAGAAAGCTTTCAGCCCAGATTCAAAGGTATGAAAGTTGGTGAGTTCATATATTGATGCGAATTCATGTTCTTATGTCTCTTTGACGTTTGATGTTTTTTCAGAAGTCGAAACACAAATCGCCAGAGAGCCCAAACGGTGTGATCTCTAACCCTCCTCCTCCCCTGGCGGCGGATAGCTCGAGACAATCTTCTTCTCCTCCGCCGGCTCCACCTCCTCTTGAGGTGAGAGTAGCTGAAGTGATTGTTGAACGGAACAGGAATCTCTTCCCTCCTTCGACAGATGTCGTGAATGCCACGACTACCGATATTCCTGTAGCTCCATCTTCATCTGCTCCTGAGGTTGTTCGTCGTGCTACTGCTCGTCGTTTCGCTGGAAAGTCGAACGAAGAAGCGGCTGCGATCTTGATTCAGACTATATTTAGAGGCTATCTGGTATGTTTTCACTTTATAGTAATCCCGTTCTTGAATTATCTGTCGTTATGCTTCCATTTCTTGAGTTTTTTTTGTCGAGTAATAGCCTTATCTTGTGTACAATACAGGCGAGAAGAGCACTGCGGGCAATGAGGGGTTTGGTCAGACTTAAGTTATTGATGGAAGGATCTGTTGTTAAACGGCAAGCTGCAAATACTTTGAAATGTATGCAGACTCTCTCTCGTGTACAGTCACAAATCCGAGCTAGGAGGATCAGGATGTCCGAAGAAAATCAGGCTCGGCAGAAACAACTTCTTCAGAAGCATGCCAAAGAGCTTGCTGGCTTGAAGGTCTCTCTCTCTCTCCCTCTCTTTCTCACATCCATCTGATTCGGCTTTTCTTCTTTTATAATCTTTTGAGTCTTCTCGAGTTAATGCTAATAGATTCTATTTTTTGTCTTTTGCGGCTCTCAGAACGGGGATAATTGGGATGATAGCATTCAATCGAAGGAAAAAGTTGAAGCGAATTTGCTAAGCAAGTACGAGGCAACCATGAGAAGGGAAAGGGCATTGGCTTATGCATACTCTCATCAGGTATTCCAAAAAAGTGAACATATCCATTAAAGTTGAATTCGTGGCGGCTCATTTGAAATGGTGTGATTGATCGATCATATGTTCATCTGCAGCAAAACTGGAAGAACAATTCTAAATCTGCAAACCCGATGTTCATGGATCCGAGCAATCCGACGTGGGGATGGAGCTGGTTAGAGAGATGGATGGCTGGTCGGCCATTGGAGAGTTCCGAGAAAGAACAAACCAACGACAATGCCGCCTCGGTGAAGAGCTCTTTTAACCGTAACGAAGCCACAAAAGCTATAAATCGCAATAACTCAACCCAACCAAACACGCCATCATCCGCAAGAGGTACCCCAAGAAACAAGAACAGTTTCTTCTCCCCTCCAACTCCTTCGAGGCTAAACCAGTCCTCCCGAAAATCTAACGACGACGACGCCAAAAGCACAATCTCGGTCCTGTCCGAGAGGAACCGTAGACACAGCATGGGTGGTTCATCAGTCAGAGATGACGAGAGCCTCGCTGGCTCACCGGCTCTCCCGAGCTACATGGTTCCAACTAAATCAGCTAGAGCCAGGCTCAAGCCGCAGAGCCCACTAAGTGGCACCACACAGGAAAACGATGGCTTCGCGGACAAGGCATCGGCTAAGAAACGCCTCTCTTATCCGGCTTCACCTGCGTTGCCAAAACCGCGTCGGTTCTCAGCTCCGCCTAAGGTGGAGAGTGGCGGCGTCGCTGTAACCAACGGAGGAGGCAGCTGAGGTATTTTTATTATTCCACTGTATGGATGTGTCCGAGATTGTTTGTCTGTTATGTGTTCCCTTTCAGTTCGTAATTCATTTGTGCAGTGTAAGCGACCGTCATTTATTTTTTACCATGATAAATTTTATTATTCGACCATAAGTTGTAACCTTTTGTTTCTTTGAATATTTATGAGATTTATTTAAATCGGAAACCCTCTGGTTGTACTTATTTATATGTAAGTATTGAGATCTGAGGTTGTAATTTGTATGTTTCGGGAAGGATGGCTTTCTACATCTCAGACGCTCTCTAGACTTCAATCATGACTTAAATCTTATCCTCTGTGTAAAGCTTATAAAAACTTTGATCATATACTAATTAAGGCCAAGGCAGATTTTTTTTTTAACTCGTATATGAATATCTGAGTTTGTGTAAAAGGTATTGGCTTTGACTAGAATACTTTTTAAACCGAGTCGGTTTAACCGACCCTATAAGAAAAGAGGAATTACACTCACATAACCGACCTCTTGCCCACGCAAAAGGTAAAACTAAAATAAAATAAAATAAAGCGAAAGGTCGAGCGAGTACTTTTATTTTCCTCTTGAAGAACCCTAAACCCATCCGCATCCCAATTCGATAGTTCGAATCGATTATTCGAAGAAATCATCATTTGTTGAATCCGATTGAATTTTCTCTGAATAACGTCTTCGTGAACAATGGTAAGTTCGTGGGTCTCTATTCTTGTTTCCGTCAATCTCGATTTTTGTTTTTTCTCTGTTCTTTATCATTATCGGTGGACGATTGTGGAAAATCATCTGGTGATAATATTAAGGACCTGGGTTTCTTTAATCTCTTTTATTTTTCTTCCACTTCTTTTTCACATTTTCAAATTTCTCCGACTGATTGGGGAATCTCGATTTAGATGAGTTTTCTGGGGGGGGGGGGGGGGGGGGGGGGTGTTAATCAAGATCCGTTTGTTGTCTTAGTATATTTTAGGGTCTCACGGTAGAGAGATGATCAATCTGTGGGTCTGTGACAGATAATTGAGAAAGTTTCTTGTATGCTTGTCCCCTTTGATTCAAAAGCCAAAGTGGGTTCCTTTCTTTGTTGTATATGACGTTGACGTTACTTGTCTTTGTGGTTCACAGGCTACACCAATGGTTGCAGGAGCTGCTGTAGCTGCAGCTGCTATAGCTGGTAGATATGGTATACTGGCTTGGCAAGCCTTCAAGGCGAGGCCACGCATGCCTAGAATGCGCAAGTTCTACGAAGGTGGCTTCCAAAGTGCTATGACACGGCGAGAAGCTGCTCTCATTCTTGGAGTTAGGTGTGTTACGCTTCTTTAATCCTACTTCATCTTCTTCTTTTTATGTTTTTTGGTTTTGCTCCTTTAGTTGATAATATGGTCTTGAGTTTCATCAACGCACATTCGATATATGTAGTACGTTTTGTTGGGTTTGAAAATCTGGCCCTGCAAGTTATATTGTAGTTGATTTAATGCCCTTGAGATTGAAGCCAACCTTTTGTAGTTTATGTTTTGGAGAGAAGATTAGAGATTTTGTATATTGTTCTCGGGTGGCTTGAGCTTGACTGAGTTTGTGTGTTGTGTTTTACATTAACAGGGAGAGTGTTGTGGCAGATAAGGTGAAAGAAGCTCACAGGAGAGTGATGGTTGCAAACCACCCGGACGCTGGAGGCAGTCACTATCTCGCTTCTAAGATCAATGAAGCCAAAGAGATTATGCTTGGCAAATCCACTAGATCTGGCTCTGCATTTTGATTGTCATGAGTTTCGCATACGAACCCGATGAAACTCTTGATTTGAATCTGCTCTACAATTTCGTGTTGTATATCAATTATTAGTATGTTTCCAGAGAAAAACAGTTGATTAAGATTCATCATATATGATAATAATCTTTTTTTGTTTATATTTTTTGAACACATCCACGAGATGCTAACTGATTCTGGCAAACGTTAAAATCAAAGCGTGACGTAGTAGTGTAGCTCAATGCAAGAAGAAATTAAAACGAATTTCACAACCATGGACACAACAGGATCAAAGCGTGACTGTGGCAAAACCAAGAAGGGAAATGAGTCAGTCCACCACTAGATAAAGGGCGGTCCAATGTTGAGAGCGACGTCGTTTGGTAAAGACCAAAACGAAGGCCTTAGATGACAAAACTCTCGAGATTTCCTCCTCATCTCTTCCAAAGCTGCGTTTAGTTTCGATTTTGGTCCTCTTCTTTTCATACATGCTTTTAGTTAATCTGAAAATTTATAAAATCAGCTCTAATGTAAATCATTTTCTTTTTAACCTAATGTTTTTTTTTTGGGTACCCAAACTTTGTTTAAAACCCCGAAAGTAACTAACCAAAGTTTGCGATGCAAGAAACAAGAGCACAAAAACGAGATCTGAGACTGATGTTTTCTTCATCTCTTCCGTCGTCATTGTGTTTACTTGGGTATTAATTAAGTTTACATGAGTTGGTGCCCTAAATAAATATTTTTGAGAAACTTAAAGCGTGTTGTATTAATGATTTGACTAATAACTGTATTTTTCCCCTCAAGTAATAAGAACAAGAAAACCAGTCAGTGATAAATTTCTTCTCATTCACTACTCTTTGCAACGTAAAATGGCATTCTGTTTTGTAATAAACCCTATCGAATCTCAAAAACATATAAAAAGGTAGTTTTGATTTCTATAGTAGTCCACCACCTCTATGCCTTTGTACTCTTTGGTGGTTTGTAGTAATAGTACTACTGTTCAAGACTCACCCTTATGGGTCTCTGTCTCGACTAGAGTAGTTTCCTTTGTTTCTTTCTCCTTCTCAAGCTGGCCTTTGGGTTCCCCAAATAAGGCATCTAAAATCTGTCTATGGCACTCATCGCAGAAGGAGAAGAAGGAGAAATGACCTTCGTCTGGGATCTTATGTACAGTTGCTTCCGGAATCATCCTGCTTATGTAGTCACTCACCGATGGCGGAGCAACCCGATCGTCCATTCCCTTTTTTCAAGACACACATATTAAAACTACTATGTTTAGGTTACATAAGACGGTTTAGTTTTTAGTTAAACTATGTATATCTGCAGAACTTACCTGCCATATGTGAATGGGTTTTCGGAATCCGATTAGCTCGCATTCAGCTTCACTGTACATTGACATGAGCCAAGAGAGGACACCATTAGTTGTACATTTCTTCTGTGTGCGGAATTCGGATAGAGTGAAGCCCCAATTCGATACTTGAAGCACGGCTTCTTCTACAAATGGTTTTGTGATTCCTTGACGCACGGATTCCTCCACGTTCCTTTGGTAGAATTCTCGGAAAGTTGGGTCTTTGAGTAGGAGTTTATCCTGAGAGAAAGAAAGAGCAGAGTCGGTAAATATGAGATTTTCCAAGCAAACTTGATCGCTTTGTGATCTAAAAACCATGGATAAGATGTTATACCTTTTCTCCTAATGATATCGCCATCCACTGATCGAGATGATCGAGTTTACCGGAGAGAAAAGATCTACGGTAGAAGAAAGGGAGAAGAAGTGGAAACCGGCGTGCTAAAAAGTACATGAGTTTCCTCTTTGGTAACCATTGCTCCCATGTTTTCACCATCTCTTCCTTGGCCATGCTTGGCTCATAAGGATTGATCACCGGAGCCACCATTGCAGCCCCTGTAGTTTCACAATACCAAACCCAATGAGCAACAGTCTATCAGATCTCAATCAATATTTTTCTCTCGCAAACCATGAAATTTGCTAATACCTGCGATTTTCTCAGGGAAGTATTTCATTGCAGCCCATGTATGCATACTACCAGTAGAGTAGCCGAGTAACCAGAATTTGTCGTCAATTCCAACAGCAGCTGCAAGGTTGATCAGATCCGAGGCAGATGAGCTGAGGTTTCGACCTCGATGAGGGTCACTCTCTCCAAAACCTGGAAGATCATATGACACTAGACGGACACCATACTCCACAAGCAGTGACTTCTTCACTCCAGGTATCCCTTGGATTAGGCAATTTCAATCATTAGAGCTAAACCAGACGTAATGTGAAGTAACTGAAGCTGATGAAAACTAATTGGATACCTGCAAGCCGAGAGGAAAGAAAAGAATGCGGCGTCACCAAAGTGTATCTTGCTCTTTCTGCTGAAACACCAAGCTCTTGGTAAGCCACGTATCTACCATCTGGAAGCTGTACACGGGTCGCACCCGTAGGATGTAAACGCAGTTTCGTTATCACTGGCACTGGTCTATCCTGCTCCGGACTAAAGCTCAATGCTGCACTTCAAAAGTTGACTATGTCAATACAATCCCTTTCACAGATAAAGTCTCTCCAAAAACTGCTATTTAAGCTAATTACAGATCGATCAACAATGACTGAAGCTACTGTTTCTATTCCACAAAAAAAAACTGCATGCATTAAGCTAATTCTACAATCTGTTGGATTGGATTACCTGCGAGTGCTAGGAGGAAGACGAAGAAAATCACAGGCCATGCGTGAATCGGATCACGATCCTCAGGCAAAAAGTCGTTCATGAAGCTAAGCTTCTTCGACACTTTAGCCGCCGGTTTCCCAAGCTTCCGCACGACGAACGAGTCCTCAGTCACCACCGTCTGCTGCACAATGTCCTTGCATCCTTTCGCGAGGTCCACAAGCATCTCTCCCCACGATTTCATAAACCCCGTCACTTGATCTTTCAATGTCTCCCTCGCTTCGGATCCGGATCCATCCTCCGACATAAAACCCGATCGCTTTGAGCCGGATTCAGTAGCCGCCGTCAAATCGATCGGCGCTCTGTCGTATCGCAACCCGGCGTCCACGAGACTCGCCAACTCTTCCTGCCAAGTAGGCACTCCTCTAATCTCATCCATCTTCTCAATCTCTCTCGATTTCACCAGCGTCAAACTCCTTTCAAACCTAAATCCCTAATTCGAACCTAAACCTAAACCCCTTTTCCGAATCAGTTCTTCTCAGCAATACCTGCACATTCATAAGTAGACGAAAGTTTAAAGAAAACAAAAAAAAAGGAGAGAAGATGCGCGAGAATCAGCTACGAATGACACCTTTACAAAGCGTGAGTTTCAAGCTCTCCATTTTTAAAAAAAAATTAACTCGAAACAAATTTCAGTAACGAATCATATCTCTCTTTTTACTAAAGAAAGCGAAGGAGACAAAAGTTTGTCTTACCAAATGACGTCGAAACAGGTTACTATTCTATGGTCCGATTCGAATCTCCAATTTATTCTTTTTCTTCATGTTCTTCCTTTTCAATATTCTCCATCGCCTCCTTGATTTGACTGGCTAAGGTAAACAAGTCTCAGTCTGCCATTGACGAGATTCTGGAGCTCCTTCTCTCTCTTCCTAATTTCATAAGTATTTATTTTCTATATCTACCTGGCGCATATTAAAATATGGACCACTGGATCAAAATTGCCTTTTTGAAATAAACGGTTTTCGTTTGTCCACGTTGGTCTGCCGTGGTCTCGACGGTTAAGTGGTAGGGACCGGCAGAGCCAGTGAGTGTCGTGTGGGGACAGTGGGTGGTTTGCTCTTTGTGTGCTTCTTTTACCTGTTACAGCCGGTTCCGTAAGGAGTACGGGTTATGCTGACGTGGCCGAAGTTGTAGGTTTGGTGGGGTTAGGTGCACGTGACTCGTCTCTACTCTCTAGCGTATTCTTAAAGATGAAGGAGTAATTTATTCCCTGTATCGAACGAGTGTATACGTCTACATCATCTGAACCGTCCGTTAGATCCAACGTTTTAAGACTAATTAGAGCATCGAAAGAAAATGATATTAAGTGTGGGCAATTTTATAAGCCCAATATATGATGGGCCTTTGTATTAATGGATTGACCCATATTATTATAGATCGACTGAGTTATATAGCCAGCGTCACATATATTAGGAGTCACTGCGTTTAGGGTTTCCACAGCCGCTTTTAAGCTATCTCCTCTTGCTTGCTGCAAATACCTCCTTGCTGTTGATCTTCTTCTCCTCCATCGACAAACATGGGGTACGTTTTTCCCTCTTAGATCCTTCGTCCTCTGTCTCTTTTCAAGCTTTTAGCGTTTAATCGATTTGATTTCCTTGTTGTTTCGCTGAATTACTAGGAATATGAACGAGTTTGCATTTTTATGTTTGTTGAAAATGGTTTCATAAATCGACATTTAATTGTGGTTTCAGATTATCTTTAAGTTCCATATGGATTCTGTGGCAATGCTTGTTTTTTCTGTATATGTATATTACTTTTTTCCAGTATGGATCCACAATAGGTTATACATAATTGAGCTAAGTGCTTGTTTTCTTATCTTGGGAAAGTTAATTCACCTTATACGAGCTAATCAGGTGATATCGAGTATATTAGAACACCTTGTGTTATAGTCATGAAAGATTAAGGATTTTTTGTTCATATGATCCCTAAGTTGTTTTGCTCAACGAGTTTGGTTAGTTGGGTTTATGATGGCATTCACTCTTGATGAATTTAAGATTATCGTTTAGTCTTCTCGTTTGTGATTAGACAAATTGCTTCTTTGTTGTTTATCAGGTGAAATTGTGGTCTTGTGTTGTAATGTAAAATTTAATATTATTTTTTGTGTTGTAATGTAACAGAAAGACAAGGGGTATGGGAGCCGGGCGCAAGCTCAAAAGGCTTAGGATCAATCAGAGGTGGGCAGACAAGCAGTACAAGAAGTCTCACCAAGGAAATGAATGGAAGAAGCCTTTTGCTGGATCTTCCCACGCCAAAGGAATTGTCCTTGAGAAGATGTAAGTCTATAGGAGTTGTTCTTTCTCTGCCTATATTTTATTTTAGTTTGTTGTAGATATTGGTTTTGATGAGTCTCTGTGTTTGATTATGCAGTGGTATTGAAGCTAAGCAGCCTAACTCTGCTATCCGTAAGTGTGCTAGAGTTCAGCTCATCAAGAATGGAAAGAAGATTGCTGCTTTTGTCCCCAACGATGGTTGTTTGAACTACATTGAGGAAAATGTAAGTTCAAACCTATGTAGCTAAATCAGTAAGTATGCTTTAGTTTCTCTGTCAAATGTTGAATCATCTTTTGTTAATGTTGTTGCAGGACGAAGTCTTGATTGCTGGATTTGGTCGTAAGGGACATGCTGTGGGAGATATTCCCGGAGTTAGGTTCAAGGTCGTGAAGGTGTCTGGAGTTTCACTCTTGGCCCTCTTCAAGGAAAAGAAGGAGAAGCCAAGATCTTAAACAAGGCGTCGAGCTTTTGAGATTGATTTTGATGTTATAATCACCTTTTGGTAGTTTCAGTTAAAACCATCTCGTGTGTTCTCTTCTTTTCTACTTCAAGATTCAAGAACTTGATGTGTTAAACTTTTTATGAGTTTTTGAGTTTAGTCTCTTGACCTTATATTTTTATATTGTTTTCCGGATCACTCTTTCTCGCGTTTCTCTTAACTAGATTTTCTGCTTACGCCCTCGTAGGTAAATAATAATAACCATCCCAATGTTGCGGGTTTAATTTCTCAAATATCGACTCATGACAACGGTTAGCTGTCCTAATCATATCAAACTCTAAACTTTGAAATTGAACAGACAATGGGTTTCAATTGGTGATGTTGTTCTGTTGGGCTTTTGGAGAAACGTACTTGAGACTATAACTTAGAAGAGACGGTCCGAAGATGCTGTATTTCCCGGAGCTGCTGAAGGCTGTCTTTGCGTCTTCGCCTCTTTTGAACACCACTTTGGCTCTCTTTCCTTTCTTCATGATCGGAGTCTCAGATTCTCTAAGCGGGCCGTAACGGTTAAATATGATGTTCAGTTTTTCTTCGGTTGGAACAAAACCTGAATCCGAAAACTTGAGGATCAACGCATTGGGTGCTGATGAATCTTCAGGACAGTCCTTGAGACCCGTTTGATCTTTCGAGCCTGAGCCAGTTAAGTCTTTATTCACAGGTAAGATCAGCTGTTCTGGTGTCTCGGTGATGGTCGCCTTTGGTTCTGATGTCTCGGTGATACTCGCCTTTGGTTCTGATGTCTCGGTGATACTCGCCTTCTTCGGGTCATCCATGATACTACTGCAAGACAATTCCTCAATGAACTTATCCAAATCTTGATATCTCGAGGGGTCTATGCTGATTGATTCGGGTATCGCCTTTCCTGTTTTGGCAAGGCTCGAGAGCATCTCATCAGGTAAGACCTGCTCTTCTGAAGGGTCTTTCACATTCCAAGTTTCTGATGTCTCAGTGATACTTACCTTCTTGGAGTCGTGATTGAGATCACTGTAAGATATTTCCTTGATGAACTCTTCAAAATCTTCATAATTCGAGTGTATGCTGAATGATCCGGGTATCCCCTTTCCTGTTTTGGCAGAGTGAAGGCTCGAGATCATCTCATCACGAGAAGACGTCTCTTTTCGGGAAAGCTCTTCCTGCTCGGGCTTCTTCCTCTTCTTGTTCTCAACTTGCACTTTTGGTGTAGAAGTTAAAGAAACCATCTCGCTTTCCATTCTGAAAGGGAAAGCTCCAATCCCAAAACATACCTTCTCCACTTTATTACCCACTGAGAAATTGTTTTCCTCATCAGAGTTTTTGGATGCTGGCTCCTCTTTTTTCTCAGACTCGACCTTAAGCTTCTTGCCGGAATACGACTTCCCATCCACTTTTAGTGTAGAAGTTAAGGAAACCATCTCGCTTTCCATTCTCAAAGGGAAAGCTCCAATCCTAAAACATACCTTCTGCACTTTATTACCCACTGACAAATTGTTTTCCTCATCAGAGTTTTTGGATGCTGACTCCTCTCTCTTCTCAGACTCGACCTTAGACTTCCCATCCAATTTCACAATTGACCCGCTCCCAAAGACTTTGTTTGCAACAATATCGGACAAAGCCTTGTCTTTCCTCTTTTCATCAGTTGCATCCTCAAAACCAAGCCTTTGCTTGTGCTCAGCGTGATCTTTGATATCAGTCTTTCTCCTCTTGGGAGACTCTTCTTCATTCGTATTTGGTTCAAGGAGAGAAGCTAAGGGCGCTGCGGATTCTACCGACCTTGTAAATGTTTCATATTTGGGAAAGATAAGATAGCTTGTCCACTGTTGAGAAGCCAATAACTGAGCTCGGTGAATCACAAACTGCAGCTTATCAGTCTCTTCGTATCTCGCAAGGCAAGCTAATTGCTTCACATACTCCAAAAGTTTTGCAGGCTCGAAAGATAAAACACTCGATAGCTTGTCTCCAACATCTCTCACACGAGCGTGCTCTCGAATCCCAGGATTGTTTATGTTCTGTGTCTCGAGTTTGCTATAGGCATCCTCTGAGACGCAAACGCAAGACAAACCAAACTCTACTCTCCTCGAAACCTCTTCCAAAGCACAATCAACAGCATGACGAAACACTGGCGAGTAACTCTGCTTCTCCATCTGTGAGAAATGCTCATGAAAAGGCTTAATCCTGGATGCATCATTCCAAGCGAAGCTGCGATCCCCAAAATACGCAACCAAAGATTTTCCTTTCTTGAAGTGCTTCATCGCGGTTTTCGACGCAGAAGATGCGTCAAACAACTGTCCAGGCCACCATGGATAGCTTCTTACTCTACCCCAAACCAAATCTGAGCCAGAGAGCTTCAGATTCTCATTAGCTGAAGCTGAACCAGCTGATACCGCACCTCCCAGATTCTCATGTTTTGGTTTTCGCTTTCTTGGGCCATCAAAATCTCTCTTGCCGCGAAAACCCTCAGATTCCGCGTCAGAATCGTTCTCAGACTCACTTCCGTTAAGCGCCATGTCTAAATCTCGGGTCGCATCTACAGAATCTGTTCCCTTCTTCAGATGAGAAACTCTGTTACTCTTTTCATTACCTGAAGAGACGCAGCATTTTCGCTCAACCCCAGCTAGCTTCACTAGTAGGGTGCCAGCAGCAGCTAGGGTTTCAGATGTCTGACCAACTCCGCTCTCAAACCTCGAAACAGCGTCCGAGTCTGATTCAGTACACTTCCATTGAAGATAAAAACAGTCCCTCAAACACGAAAGAACGGAAACTAACCGAAGAGTGGAACAAAAGAAAGAAAAGACAACAGACCTCGGGTGACGGCGAAAGTTCTCCGGCGACCTGGAGCTCGATTCTAGGAAATAAATGAAGTCGAGAAATGAGTTTCGCATTTCTATGGGGGGTATACAAGTGAAGTGAGCTACGTGTATGTCAAGGGATAGGCCACGTGGCACAGTACTTGTTTTGTCGGACTCATCACCACTGCATTTCTCTAACGTCCCTTTAAGCATGTACATTGATGTTCAAAATTCAAACATTGGTTTGCTTATCCTTTCCTTTTTTTTTTAATTGTTTTTTATTTGAAGATTGTTTAAAATTCAAACATTGGTTTGCTAGCTTCCTCACAGCCTGAGTTTCACTCTGATGATGACACTCGAATTTGATCGTGGATAATTAAAAGCATAACATCACTACAAGAATAATTAAAATACAATTAATCTGAATTAAAGAGATTTTCTGTATACAATGTTGTATGAGATTATTCCTTATGATACATATTTAACAATGGCTATTGCTTGATCAATTGATGATCCTACATTACCGTTATGAGAAAGTGTTGCATACATTCTTAACATGGCTTTGCTTGATCGAAATGAAGACATTGCTGCTGTGAGAAAGTGTTGTAGCCATCGCAACAAGCTCTTCAAAACCTGATGCGTCAAGGTAACCTACCAAGAGCACAACCATTGTTTCTAGACTTCTTGTGTTTCTCAGTAAACGCTCCATGAACGAAGCCACAAGGCTGGACTCTGCATATTTACCCACCAACATTGATATGGTCTCAATAGATCCCGGGAAGGCCAAATCTTTCGATCTAAAGCATTGACGCTGATTCAAGCTATGTGAACGCAAATAACTGTTGAGATGCCCTTCCTGTTAAACACACAAAAACGATTTCATCATGCAGACTAAACAACTTATATCCAAAAAGAGTGTCAATATCTAACAGTATGATACCGAAATGATACTGCATTTCACGGTGTGAATTGTTAGCTTCCTTAATCCAGGTGAGTTCTGTAGAAGCTTCGTTATTCCAGGAACAACAGACCGAACGATCATCGTTTCAAGAGTCAAAGACTCGACCTTGAGCGTCGGAAAACGTACACCACAGAGCGCGGCAAGAGATAACATCTGAAAGGCATGCAAATGTAGTTAATTGCCGAAACACAGAGCCCTCATCAAAAGAACATTGGTCAAAATACATGCTCATGCTTTCACTTCAAAGGACAATGGCAAAGAAGGATAGATTCGTGCGTGATTATGCATTTGACTCAAACGCTCCTAAACGAACTAATCCATCAACTATGAAAAACGAAATGACGACTCTACAAGAGCAGGCTATGTGATTCAACTACATAAGAGAGATGTATATGCTTTAGAGAATGCAAAAATTGGCTAACGTACATACCTGGAGAAAGGTAGCCCCAACAGTAAGCTTCTCCACATTCTGCAACTTTGCAAGCATCTTTACCACGTTACCTTGAAGAAAATCAGCCGTAAGGGTTCCAAGATCGCAAAAGTAAATGTTCAAGTTCGCTTCGGTTAAACAAGAGACATCCACTAATCTACACGGCAACCTCGAGTGTCTCAATCTCAAACAATGCACGTGTGGTGCCACAATCTCTGTTGGCCCGAGAAACCAATCGCTCCGGTCCATCTCCAGTCTCGTTAGGCGCGGTGACTGGCTCAGATCAAGGCACCGGAATTCATCGCAAAACAGCAGTTCCAAGGTTTCAAGCAGTGGACAGCCAGAGAGAATCTTAAGAAGGGATTCATCGGAAAGCTTACAGTAGCTCAAAGACAGGAACTTTAGAGATGCCCAAGAAACGGCGCACCTGGGGATCATAACAACAGATCCCGAGTCGACAAAGAGCTGCTTCACGGTGGAATTGGTGTAGAAGGAATCAGGAAAATTGTAATCCCTGACACGAGTATCACGAAACTCCAGAGAGAGCTTCTCGGCGTCGAGGGAAATGGCGAACTCGATCCAGCTGTCGACAGACTGAATCCTATTGACTAGGCTGGTTCGGAGATGGAAACTCGTGATTTTGGGAGCCGAGAAGCTAGCTAAGGATTTGTTTATCGATCTGGTGACCACTTGATGGCTATCAATGGAGAGAGAAGGTGTCTCGCACCAAACACGCCTCCATCGCTTGGACAAGACGGAGGTTCTGATCGCTGACTTGGTCGGGATAGAGGAAAGGATAAGGTGGAGAATCGCGTCGGGTAGAGAGCTGATGAAATCGATTGAATCGCCGCCCATCATTATGTTCCGGTGGGGAAGAATCAGAGAGGTTGTTGGTAGCGATTTCAACGGCAGCCAGTGGCGCCGTCTTGCTGCCGGAAATTTTCAGCCGTGGCCATCGAATCTCAAAATATCTTTTCTATATTACATAAAAATAAAAAATTCAGACTCTTTTTCTTTTCTAAATACAAGGTTTTTTTTTTGTTGTTGTGGGACTATTGAATTTATTGAGTTTAATAGTCTGACAACAACAAAAAAAAACCTTGTATTTAGAAAAGAAAAGGAGTCTGAATTTTTTATTTTGGTAAGGAAAAAATCGGTTTTAATTTATATAAATTTATGTGTAGATTTTGTTTTGTTTTATATAACTTATAATATTAATTATGTGTAGAAATTTCTTTCAATGTCTTTTAATGAGCAAATCTGGTAGTATCCAAATCGTAAACTGTAAACAAGTTCTCAAATTACATCTCCAAAAGTGAAATACATTGAAAAAACGTAAGTGGAAGAAAGAAGACTAAATAAAACAAGTGATGCAAAGTACTAATTAGCGTTTGAGAAGCAAATGGATAGAGACATTGATGTTGTTAGAGAGTGTCCTTCAACTTCTCTTTCAACTTTTTAAAAAAATCCCAGTCGTCCGTATATTTCACCTTTACAACCATCGTCTCTAGTGTTTTAACCTCTCTCAGCACCATTTCCTTGAACAAAGCCACAACTTGGGACGCTGCATCCATTTTACTACAACATCTTATCATCGCATTAAACTCACGTGAGGTAGGAAACATGTCATATTTTGATATCCAACATTGATCCGGATTCAAGTCTCGTGACTCCAAATAGCTCTCCAGATCCTCATCCTGTAGAGCATAATAAGTGCTACGAAATATCAATCATATATATATATATATATATATATAGATTAAACCAACAAAATGTGAAAGACATGGTTCTACTTATCAATATACAAGAACATAAAAGAGGTATCTGATGAAAATACCTTTATTATGGCCAAGGTTGTTGCGTGTGCTGTAAGATTCTTCAATCCAGGTGAATTCTGTAGTAACCTTGCTATACCAGGAATAGCAGCTCTGGTAAAAGTGGTTTGAAGATTCAAAGTTTGGACCTTGAGCGTTGGAAAAGGAACACCACGGAGCTCAGCAAGAGATAGAACCTACCAAAACGATGAAAAGGTAATGAAACAGGAAGATATACAGGGGAAAAACAAAACATAACGACAAGAGTATATATATATATATATATATATATATTACCTGAAGAATCGTTCCCCCAAAAGTTAGCCTCTCTACGTTCTGCAATTTTGCTAGCATATGTAGCACCATGGTTTGAAGAGAGTCAGCCATCAGATGATCATCGAAACTATGGTGAGTATTGAAAATGCCGAGGCTAGCTTCCGTCAAAGAAGAGACATCCACTAAAGTAGATGGTTCCTCTTCCTCTGGCTCTCTGCAACTGAGATGCAAATGATGGACGTGTGGTGCAATAATCTCCATTGCTTCTGAATAGCGAGCCAATCCCGGATGTATCTCTAAAGTCCTCAGACTCAGTGAGTTCCTCAGATCAAGTAGACCAACACACCCAAACAATCTCAAGGTTTCAAGATTTGGAGAGCCAGAGAGAATATTAGCAATTTCATCAAAGCGATTATAACAAAACAATGTCAAATCCCTTAGGGATTTCCAAGACACTGTGCATCCGGGAAGCATATCATAAACATGCCTCACGCTGAGTTCCTCTAAAGAGAAACTAAGATAGAAGCAATCTGGGAAACGATAACTCGCGGGTACCTGAATGTGCAGAGACAGCTTCTCCACATTACGAGACACAGCGAACTCGATCCACCTATTAATCGCATGGGGTTGTTGATCAGCAGGGACACTATGGGGCATGCCAAGTTCGAAGCTCGTGATCTTCGGAGCCCTGTACAAACTTAGGGTTTGGTCTATCCCTTCAGCCGTCGCTTTCCGTTTGCAGCGGTAAAAGTCGAGACAAGGTGTGTTGTACCAGACATGCCTCCATCGTCTTGACAAGACGGAAGTTCTGATCGCGAGACTGGTCGGAAGAAATGAGAGGATGTGGTGGAGGATCTCATCTGGCATAGAGCTGATGATACTTCCACAGTTGGTTGAAGGATCCATTCTTGCCCCTTTGAGTCTAGGGTGTTTTTAGGGTTTTGTTTCTGTGTTAATTTAGTCCAAAAATACGCTATTGGTAGATTAAACTTATACTAGGTGAGTGAATGAGGAGCAATTATTATGATTTAAGAATATTTAGTAGTGGCCTAGTGGGGAGCTGAAACGATTATGGGGGTGAGTTAGTGTATTAGGTGGACGTTACATTCGGAGGAAACGGTTAAATTTTGCCCAAAAATACGCTCTTGGTAGGGTTTTCTTTCTGTGTTCTTCTATCAACGTAACGTACAGTTCCTTTATAAAAAAAAAAAAAAACGTAACGTACAGTTTGGATCTTTTTGTATTTCCCTGGTTACATAATTTTTGCCCAAAATTACGCTCTTAGTATATATTGTCATGGATGGGTAGATGTAACTTATATTTATATATAGAAAAAATATAGGCTTCAACTGACCAAGGGAACGAGGAGGAATAATGAATTCCTATTCATTCCTTAAAATTTTTACCATTTGCTTGTAATAATATTTCCCTATCATTCTTTATGATTCCTTATCATATAAAGAATTATAGAACAAATATATTTCTTATTAAAACTGAGAAGGAACAAAATATATTTATTTACTTCCTTATTTATTTTTTATTCCTATTCATTCATTTTTTTTGTTCATTTCATTCTTTTCCTTTTCATTCCTATTCTTTTTTTATTGGTCACCAGTTAAAAGCCTATATTTTATCGTTTAAATCATAAATGATCAAAACGTGGATCGTTTCGGTCACAGCAACAAATTAAACAAAACCTCTAATTTTAGCTGATTCAAGCTATGTGATCACCAATCTTCGAATACGCGGTGAATTATATTACTAGTGTTGTTTTTTTTTGTTTTTAAATTTAAATTCTCTAACAATGTTGCCGTATTATTTTAGAATTAGGAAGAAACATGTATCTTCGAAACTTTAAAGTTAACATATGAGATTACTACATGCGAAAATAATGGGTTTTATTTATGAGGTCCAGATTTTGGCGGGGCAGTCCCACAATATTAATATAGTAGGTGGTCGTTGAACACTAATTTTCTTATAAAAGTGGCTAGAATCAAATCATCAACGTCAAGTTTACAAACATTACGGTTTGATAAATTAAACATTAGTACTACTTTTTCTGCAACATACAGGTCATTAAATTTCCATATTTACTTTTTACGCAAATCGAGAGAAAAAGAGAAGGGATCAAGTAAACATGTTGATAGTATCAGTTAATGCAAGTCGGCTCAAATTGGATCTGTATTTACGATACTCATATTACCGTTGGTCTTCCGTGCGGAAATTAAAGCACCTCTCTTTTCGCTTCTTAATCTTGTTTTTATCACTTGATTACAATGTTAATCTGCTTTATGTTCCTATTTATAGCAGAGGACGACCTGAAGCCAATTTCACATATTAGAGCCAAAAATGGAAACCAAAATCCCCAGATCGTTGATCGCCGGAGTACAGAGCGTCATGCCGGCGGAAGTGACGCAACACCGCAAAGTCCGTTCCATATCCGTCAGTGATTCCGTCGGCGTAGGAATATTCAGGCGAACACTGAACATAGTTACGTACTACAAGCAGGCAGGTGATAACGGTGAGAGAGGGTGGCTAGCCGCCGGGTGGATCAAGGAGTCGTTAGGGAGAGTTTTGACAGAGCAGCCCATGATTTCCGGTAGGCTGCGGCGGAGGAGGACGGCGACGCAGGAGGAGGAGGATGGTCTGGAGGTGGTGGCAAACGACAGTGGCGTTAGGCTGCTGGAGGCTACGTTTCCGGCGAGTTTGCCGGAGTTTCTTGAAATGGTGAAGAAAGACAAAAGCAGAGCAGAAGCAGAGACTGTCTTTTGGAGGGACATTGATGAAGATGCTCCTCAATTCTCTCCATTGTTCTATGTTCAGGTTATCTAGATAAATACTTTAATAATTTACAAAACTGTGTCAAAAGTTATAAACTCCACATTTTAGGTTGAGATTGTTTTTATTTTCCATTAATATATGTTAATAACAGGTGACTAATTTTGAGAATGGTGGATACACAATTGGGATAAGCTGCAGTATCTTAATAGCTGATCTCCTCCTTGAGACGGACTTCTTGACCAAATGGGCTCAAATCCAAAGCTCTTTATCTCATTCCCAAACCACAATCAAACCAATCTTCTACCTCCCATCGGTCAAAAAAGACCTTGCTGGTTCCCTCACCCAACTTTCTCGCTCAGCCTCGGTTCTCGACCGTGGCGAACCTCTTGTTTTTCGGGCCAAAACATGCTCGGAAACGTCCATGGAAAAAACTGTTGCAAATCGCGAGAAAGCGCGTGCGGATGTGTTCTTGTTCGTCAAGGAACAAGGCGGTGGCGAGGAGGATAGTACTGAACGTGATGGTACGAAGGTGGAGATACATTCGAGAGATGAAGCGATTAGCGATTGCGGTTGCGGTGACGGTTTGGAGGAGACAGATGTTGGAGCACTACTTAATGTGAGTTTAGCGTTTGAGAACAAAATTGTAGGCAATTCATGTTGGGTTGGGTCTATCTCACAAGGAGTTGTGTTTGTGGTTCCATCTACTTTGGGAGGTACCAAGTACTCGCTTGTCAAAATTGTTGTTGCATTGCCTAAAAATTAGCTCGTTAAAAATCAATGAGATGACTATTTAAATTTGTATTGTAAAAAAAAAAAAAAAAAGTTGTATTGTATGGTTCCGAAAAATGTATAATGTTGTCAATTTTTTTTGTGTGTAAATCGACGATGCTACTATTTTATTAGGTTTTGAGTATTGATTGTGTGGTGTCTTACAAGTGGCATCTATACTAAATAAAAGGAACTATTTGAAGCTCCTTAAGCTATCCACTTTAGCTTTTCAAACTACTATAAAAATATGACACATCAACAAAAAATAATAATACAAATTCCCATTTAAGATTTTTTTGAAATACACATAAAGTAAATGAATAGAACCAAAATTAATATAGTTAAATACAAGAGTAAATAAAAATAAAATATTATTTTTTGAATCAATAAAATAAATATTATTTAAATCTATAGCATCAATATATACTCTTTTGTTTGTAATATAACAAATTAACAATAATGAAAATTCTCACTTTAGATTTTTTTGAAATACACATAAAATAAATAAATAGAACCATTAAATTAATATAGTTATTAACAAAAACTAAATAAAACTATATATCATTTTAATCAGTAAAATAAATATCATTTAAATTTGTAGCATTAATATATACTCATTTTTGTCACTAAAATTAATATAGTTACGAACAAAAGTAAATAAAATTAAAATATCATTTTTTGAATCAGTAAAATAAACATCATTTAAATTTATAGCATCAATATATACTTCTTTTGTTTGTAATATAACAATAATAAAAAATTTTACTTTATATCTTTTGAAATACACATAAAATAAATAAATAGAACCACTAAGTTAATATAGTTATTAGGAATAAGTAAATAAAACTAAATATCATTTTCGAAATCAGTAAAATAAATATCATTTAAATCTGTAGCATTAATATATACTCCTTTTTGTAATATAGTGAATATGTTGGACAACAAATTGCTCTAAAAAACTTAAATAATAGTTAATAGAAACAAGATTACAAAATAATAATTTCTAAAATAAATTTTAAAATATTTACAAATTATAAAAATCTAAAACATTCACCTTTTAGAAACATAAAGATTAAACATCATAGTACGTTAGATTTATGACAACCAACAAGACAACAGAAATTATAGGAAACTTTTCAAAGCATCTATCTATATGAAGATTTCGATCATCGTTACTATTTACATTGCAGAAAATGATAGACAAAAGAAGAATTTTATGCACTGATATTTATTCAATGTGTGTCTTAGTTGGCTTAAGGTAGTCAAGTTACTACAAGCGATACATGTCAACACATGAGTTAAACAGTTTATAAAAAAAAATTAAGTTTTAGATGACAATTAATTTTTATATATATCAAGTTAGTAAATTTTTAAATTAAATAATAATGTATTTTTGAACATACACATTTTTTATGTAGAAGAAAATGTCTAAAAAAATCTCTAATTATCCACATCAACAAAATTCCTTATAAACCCAACTTGAATGAAAAACTAATATGGTTTTTTTTTACTGGGTTAAGAAACTCCTTTAAAAATAATACAATATATATTATTAGTTTAATTATAAAGGCTCATCAAAATATATATGTGTAGTTTAAGAAAAAATATTTAAGTTAAATTACAAGCAAAAGTTTTTACATTTTTTGAGTTTTGAGAAACTCAACATACTTTATTTAACATAATGAGTTAGTATGAAATTGTATTTTTATATGTATTATTTGCCTTATTCATCTATATTTTTTATAGTTTACGTATACTTCATAGACCAAATCAAAATTGCATTTTATCAATATGATTGTGATTTTTTATACTATGTAAATATTGTTTTTATTTATATGAATCATAGTTATTTTATAGATTTATAAGAGATTAGAACATTGAGTGTTGTTTGTATTTGAGATTGCTAATTATATAAAAACACTACACGAACAGAGTTGAAATAAAAATAAAAAAACTAAATTAATTGGAACAATAATAATCAAATTTAGTCAAAACAAAAAATAATTTTAATAATATTTTGAAAGTTAGTAGTGAATAACAGTGAGTTTATATACAAATATTAAGTTTTAGATTAACAGTTAATTTTAGTATATATCAAGTAGGTAATTCTTAAAATTATATCATGATACATTTTTTGAATACATTAAAATATTTTTGATGTATAATCATATCAAAACAATTTTAAAAATTAAATATTATATTTAAAATATTAACTTAAAATGAAAATAATTTAACTTAGATAATAATCAAATATCTATATAAAAACAATCCACACGTAGCGCGGAAACATCCCTAATTGATATCGAAAATAGATAGACAAGATACTGAAAGTATCTGGGGGCAAGACGGTATTGATTTATAATTATTAAATCGAATTGACAACTACCTACACAATAAGATTCAACCATGCAATCTCATAATGACGAGATAGGAACACAATAAGATTCAACCATGCAATCTCATAATGACGAGATAGGAACATAATAAGATTTAATCATATAATAAATATAGCATGAGTCTATGAATGCATTCGTGAATGGAAGAGACATGTGAAGTTGTGAAACATACATCACTTTGCTTGTTTATTTGTTTTCTATTGTCAAAGTGAAACAAAACCAAAAAATCATTTAATATACAATAATATTAGGGATCACGTTTGAGGTGAATTATTTTATGTACAACTTTTTTTCCAGCAAATCCAAAAGAGAGTTTCTTTTTTTATCGTTCTACTTCTACTGATTACTAATCTTTTGTACAAAATCCTAAAAAAAAAACGAAAACTTAAATAAAAAGCCATGCGAAGGAGCAGCTTCCCTCTTGTTAATCCACGCACATCTCCTACTGCTTCTCCTGATTTTTTTACAAGAAACTAATTTAAGAGAGATGGAAGGAACCTTGACCTTCAGTTATGGCATAGATCAGCTTCTCCTTCATCTTTTCCTGCAAAAACACATACAAGAAAATAAGCACATGTGAGATCGAGCCTGAGAGCTGGCTTGGTGTACACAGAAAAAACCAGAGACTAAGAGAGTGGTTTAACAAAGATGAAGAGAGATGTCACTTTGGAAGAGTAAGGAGGAAGCTTCAGATAATTGGCGCATGTCATCACACTAGGCAGGTCCGTTTCTGAAGAATCGCTACCGTGCTGTTGCACAACAGACGAAACAGAGCAAAACAAGGCTTGATGAGAAACGATAAGAGATTCTATAACATACATAATAACGTAAGACAATCTGAGAATCTTCCAGTCACTGAACCTTGCGGACAATTGTAAGTTTGGGATTGAGAGACGCCAAGCCGCCAGGAGGTAACCGAGGGCATCCTGTTACAAACTGCAGAAAAGCTCGCTGTTGCTCCTTGTCAAACTCATGCAGAATCTCCAACAACTGGAACACATATAACAATCGAACCTTTTAGTTTGATCCGCAAAAACAAACATGTGGAGAAGGAAAGGTATAGCTGATTTGAGTTTTTTTCTCTCTTTTTAAAACCCACATTTTCAACTGGTGGGCTGCTAGAAGTATATCCATGATCAAACTTGATGTGATCCAAGACTTCATTCATCTGCAAAGGAACAACTTTGGTTTTCAGCTGACGAAAAACGGTACCCAAAACCGTAGAACCTGAAGGTTTACCTACATTAAAGAGATCGCGTTCTCCACATAACATAGTTTCCAGTTCTTCTTCATTGAATATCCCAAGATGCTCAATAGGGAAAACCTGAAAGCGTGTATAACAAAAGGAATGAATTTGCAAAGAATTTTGACCAAAAAAAGAGAAAACAAAATCGGTAGAGAAAAAAAAAAACTAAAGAGAAGGCTATAACATACTTTGTTAAATCCAGACCGAAAAGCTTCCAGTTGTTTTTGGATCCCGTTACACACTGTGGCATTGACAATAGCCTTGATATATTCATCAAGGTTATCCAAATTTACCTAGAACGAGAGAAGAGTAGATATTAATCTCACAATGTACGGGAGACTTAAGAAAGAGATTTGCTAACAGTACTGAAATATTACGTACCATATCATTAACCGAATGCGGAGCGAGAGCATAGTCCGTGTAGCCAGGCAGGGAAAATTCAAGACAAAGGTCCTCAATCTTCGTTCCACGGAAACTTAAATTACACTTGGCTTCTCCGGAATCACTTTGTGCTTCTGCGAAAATCTTTCTCCTACGAGCCAGAGCTTGCAATTCCACCAGTGTTTTACAAAGTTCAGGGTCAACGAAGTGGATGTCAAACAAACTCAACTCCTACAAGAAAACTTGCGACCTTGAGATTTTTCAAAAGTCGGAAAGAGACATACATATGTAAAATGAGATGCTTGAAGAACCAAATTTACCTGTCCGAGAATTAGTTTGTAGAAGGCTTTGGAGAAAGGAAGATCTAAGACTCGTCGATCTTGTAGAGCCTTTGCTACCACTGTCCCCAAGAGGACAAATTTCTGCAGCACACCTGGGAAAGCAGTTGATGCACCCGACCAAGGGCGTGGAAAGAGTCCTGAAGCAGACACCAAAGCTCCCGAGTCTTCGCTTGATTTTCCAACAAAGGAATTACGATCACTCCTCCACATACCAAGATCGGTATTTTGAAATGCTCGACTGACAAGTGTATAAAACTCCAGCGTTGGCCCAAGACCGGTTCCGACTTCTTCACTGTATTCAACCTCAATCACCACCTTCTGGTTGCCGTATAACTCCATCATTTTTGCAGCAGACTCCAGAATTTTTTCACGGCAAGCTAAGAACTTTTTACGAGGTGCACTACCAGTTACTGGGCGCCCTTCACCATGAACATTTGAACTGCTAAGGTGTTGAGGATTGTGATGGACTTTCTGTGAACCGAATGCTGCAAGTCGGAAGTATTTTGATTTGACTTCAAAACTAAACAGAAATGGGCATGAACCCATTAGATCAGTAAACCATGGTGGAAGACCGCAGGTTGAGACAGCAAAAGAATCACGCAGCTGCTGCTCTAGCTTCTCCGTAAGCTTACTGCTAACAAATTCAGAATGTGGCACAGGACAAACATGTACCTTCAGATCATCCAAATTCTCCAGCCTACCTTCAGCAAAAGCATTAATCCTTTCATGACAAATCAGGTGGAAGAGAAATCTGTTCATGCCCTCCAGACTCTTAAGCAGAAATAATACGTCATACGCAGGAAGACTTGACCCGTTGAGGGGCATAGCAAGTCTATGAGCAAACAAGTAGGATAAGAACGGGTGATACTCATCAGTGTCAATAGATCCGAGAGGATTATCATGAGAATCTGCAAGTTGCTGTGGAGCCCTTTCATAAGTAATGTTGTGGGGTCCACTCATCTTTGCACCGTTGGTAGTCTCAGTTTCTGATTTTAGTTTGTGCAAGAGAATTGCTTGGTAAACTGTCAAAGAGCGGTCTAGTTCACGCCCTTCCAGACGGAACAAAAGTCTAGGCCGCGCATCCTCTTTTTCAGACGAGGAAGCATTCTCTTCTCCTGAACCATTACATAGATCTGGAAGTTGCTCCTGGTCTTCCTCTTGAGATCCCTTAAAACAAAACAAAATTCCAAGTTAAAAAGGAAGGAAACCTACGAAGGAAGTCAGCTTCTTCTCAAGTAAACCCAACAACCAAAACACTACCTAATGCTTATCTTGAATTCATGAAAGCGCAAATAACGTTTATGATGCCAAAGTAATAGCTAATGATGGTGCAGCCATTAGAAAAATCAAAAATCAAATCCAGTACTTTTATTCCAACTTGAAAACTTTTACCATAAGGTTGCACATGCTACTTCCGTAAGGCTGAAGATTTAGAGGCAATTTAGAAATTACCTGCAACTGAGGTGCATCAGGACTGTCAATCTCCATATGACTTGAGCTTTCTCCTTGACAAGATATCGACGTTGACTGTAACTGAGAAGATTGACACTCTATAGCATGATTCTTTGCTTCGACGGAGTCTAAAGGTACCAGATTCACTTTAGGCCACATGAATTGATCGACAGCATCCAAGTAACAAAGTGGGTCAACGGTGACAAAGTCTTGGGAGTAATCACGCAAACAAGTCTCCCCCTCTGCTTTAATAAAACGAACTCTTAGGCATGGATGACTTATGTCACTGCCATTCGGAACAGCCGCGTATGTGTTCCTTTGCTTTAAAATTTGGCTTAGGACAATTGGGAAGTTTTCTAAAGAAGATAAGGAATTTTGGAGCTTCTGTACTAACACGTATGAAGATGCCTCGCCACCAGACCAAAGTGATTTTGTGAACACTTCAAATCTCTTACCAACATATAGTAAACTATCATATTCGGGATCGCCTTTGCTAAGTTTCCTTTGATAGAGTCCATTAGACAGATAATTTGCCAGAGCCTTTACTACTCCACTCTCTGTAAATTCAAAAGTGGATACAGATTCCCTTCCGTTGAGCCTTTCCATGATTTGATTCCATATTGAGAAGAACTTCTCATGCGCATCAATAGGCACAGTCATCAAATCGCTAAGTGCCACCGACAAGTTCTTGAGGTTTTGGAGGACATCTGTCAAGCCTTTTTCAGAGTCGAATACCTCAGGTCCAAAGAAACTCTCCTTGATACGTGTCGCGAGAATGTAGACAGAATCATTCTCAACCTTACAAGTTTGTGAAGACGAGGGAAGCGATCTTTCAAATGACTGGCACAAGCATTTCACAATCTCTTTTGTAACAGGCTTTTGTGGAAGGTCAGCTGATCCTTGAATGACACCAGATACTTGATTTCGTTGCCCCCTATCCGAATTTAAGAGTGCTTCAATTGCGAAAAAAACACCTTCCTTTATAAATGGATTCAAAAAAGCATCTCTGTATTTCTCAAGAAATACTTCAGCAATCTGTAGCGCTACAACGACCACATGAGGATCTTTCCTCGACAAAATGCCCGCCAAAACACTGCAGCATCATGAAATGCATTATCAATAGCTAGAAAACAACAGGGTTACGTCAACTTAAAGCTCTGCAGTAAGAGATCACACAAAAAAAACTACCTTGAAATGTTAGCACTCTTCAGTAACTCGACAAGATCGTCTGACTTACTCAAGCAAGTCAGCTTGTGAATTGCTGATAGGCAGCCATAAGAAACATATACATTAGCTCCAGAGTTTAGCACCTACACAAAATTCGCAAGATACGTCATACCCTTGAAGAGTGAAATAACCAGATGATTCAGCATACAATTGCATGTCAGAAATAACCTGAATCATAACAGGAAGCATGTCTGCTCCAAATTGATGCAAGAGATCAGGCTGATTGACAAGAAAACTTTCCTTTTCCAATGCCAGTTGATTATCCGCTACAGGTGAAGCTGGCAGAAGCTCAATTACCAACTTCAAGACTTCATGCACCTGAGTGGTAAGTTTGGTTTCCACCACCAACAGTAATTCGTTATTCATTTGAAGAAAACAAAAAACTCTGTTGGAGTACAAAAGAATAAAAGAGTTATTGATGAAAAAAAAACTCAAACCTGGTTCGAACATGCATTGATGGGATGTGTAGAAGCCACTGAATGAGAAATGTCATACGTGGACATAATTTCTTTTAGTCTGTAGCCAATGTTAAGCTCATATAGCGTCTTGAAAGCCAAAGTTGAGCCAGACGATAGTTTTCTTAACAATCCAATCACGCCCTGCCAACCACAGCCAAAGAGCATGATGTTACCTTTATGCAAACGAATATTGACGACGGTCATCGAAAAGGAGAAGAGATATCTCATGTACGTTGTAAACAGGTTGAGATAGGGTAGTGCGGCTATTCAAGTTCAAAAGATGCGTGGATTGATGAATTAGTCCATGCCCACACAGTTGATCCAACATTGCAGGTGACTGGCTAACATGATCTGCTATTTTTGTTAAGCAGATAGCCACATTCTCGACCAACTGCAAACATAAACATATATGATATCACTATTTCGCAGGCGAACATTGATTGAAGTGAAAAAAATAAAAAGAACTGAGCCTGATTCTGACCTGTCGATCCTCATATTGAAGAAGGTTGCATAATATTGGAACAGCATCCATGAAAAGCCAGGGGGATTCAGATGGAAGCTTCCTACATATATTCACCACAGTGGAAATTGCGACTCTCTGATGCAAATGCCATAATCAAATCAGTAAGTTTCTTTAAAGTCAACCATTCGAGCTATAACAAGTCACAGAAAACAGGCAAATCTGACATAGATGGCTAACCTGAATGCTTGTTGAGAAGAAATCGATAAAAGAAAGTACCGCCATAATTGCTCCAGCATTCAGGCATGCCACTGGCTGATCTCGGGAGATTTTCTCAAGTGCTTGCAAACACTAAGGAAGTCAACAGTTAGTGTGACATAGCGATCAAAATTAAGAAGATAAAGAGCTCATGTGGCGAAGAGTAGTACCTGCTCAGCAACGTCCAAGTACTCAATAGTCAATAGTCTTTGGCAGAGAGCAGGAATAGTCTCATGCCTTACAAGGAATGCTACTGACGGCGGATAAACATCACACAAGTAAGTGATCGCCCTGATCGCGAGCAGCATGATATCTGCATTGCTCTCATGCTTAGCTAACCTAACAAGCATCGGCGAGAGCTTGTCGGCCATTGAGCTGGACAGTGAATCTTCGGTACCAAAGGACAACACTTCACATAACTCTGTAAGAACAGTTAGCTGCAAAGAAGGATCGGTTTCTTCTCTCAACTTGGACAAGAGAGAAATCAATTTCTCTTGATCCCCAGATGATCTCCCCCTCTGGTATTCCTGAAGCACCCTCTGTCTCGGATCTGCATCGTCAGAATCGCAGGATCCATAGTCGGAATCCTTGTCTTGTTCGTCATCTGATCGACTGGAATGCGAAGCAGTTGAAGAAGTGTCCATGTCGGCGTCAGCGTGTTCATGTCCTGAACTCGTACCAGTAGCTTGTGCCTGAACAGATGATCCAGATGTGCTTGGCCTGAAGTCCTGTATGTTACAAGCTCTCTTATCAGCAGGAAGCTCTTCCACCACCTCCATTCGTTTCTGGCCTCTGTTCTCCATCACTTTGATCTTCCAATTAAATTATTTAACCTGTCAAACCAAATGATCAAAAAAAAATTAAGTCTTTTAAGATGTACACAAACCCAAAAGTAACAAAAACAAGATAAGAAGAAGGTACAATCACTATCCCAAATCAGTGGAAATAACAGCAACAAATTTAGGGTTTTTATGTTCCCTCTACGATTCTTTTTCACACCATTAATCCTCAAAAACTCCAAGTATCAACACAGCCACACACGATCAGTTTAACAGATAAAAGCAAACCAAGCACACACAGACGCTTCACTGGCGAGAGCAAAAGACAAAAAAAAAAAAAACATAGAGAAACAAGGGAAAAAATATCTATATTAAGAAGAAGACACAAACAACAAAAACGGAAGAAACGAAGATCATGATCGCATTGAAAATCAAAAAAAAAAAAAAAAAAAAAAAAACTCTCGTAATCAAGTCTCACCAGATTGACCCAATCTCTATGAAGAAATTGAGCGCCTTTGGATTGGTATCGAATACCTTAAAATATTCTCGCAGAGGATTGAATAAAAAGGTGAGAAATCTAGGGTTTTATCCTCGGATTATTAATCTCCAGAAAAGAAGAAATCACATAGATACAAGAATAATATCTATGTAATATACTTTCTTTGCTTATTACGCTGGTTGTTCATTAGACAGACTTCTAATATTTGAAGTCGTTATCCTCTGCGGATGTACACACGGTAAGTACTGTGTACGTCGAGTCTACCAAAGGTTTTATCAGATCGGACGGTTATAAATTGGTTGAAAGGAGATCCAAGGGACGTAAATTTTTCGAATGTCGTTTCTTTTCCGATTTTGAGATCAGAGAGTCTTTAGCACCGCCTCATGTGGTTGCTTGTGCCACGTGTCGTCATTAGCAGTTTTAAACCGCACAGTTAATAAGCTTGCTTTTTCTTTTTTGACAAATTAATCCATGATTATGGTATTTCATTATTTATAGCCGTAATTGGTCTTTTTGCATTTTATTTGGTAACTGAAAATTAATTATTAACCATATCAATGTAACAACATTAGTAAACTATAAAGTCGTTTACTTTAGGGTTCCGTATAGGAAGGAAATCTAATAAAAGACACGGCGGCAGCTCACGAACAAATAAAATAATATTAAGCTATCGGAAAGAAACTAATCACATCCATATAATCTTCTCTGGTATATCAAAATCGATAGTGTATATATCTTCCTAAAACCAAATATTTATGTTAAATTAATTTCCAAACAACAGGGGGGCGTTTAAATTGATTTATCTAGTATATACTTCATTTTATACTAAATGATATTTGAGCAAAAAGCACTGTTTCATTTTAAGTGATATTTTTAAATTAATGCAAAAGTAGTTAAGTTTATTTTAAGGGATTATTTTTATTCAGCAGCTTCATACAGATTAAAAGTTTATTGATAATTCACATATCTACACAAAATCTTCAACAATATTCTAAAGCGGCGAGAGTTGTTATCAAACGGAAAGCTGTTACACTGTTTTTAGAGTTAATCTGACGATATTTCTAATTAATTAAAAAAATATATCAAATAGTTGACTGGAAAAAAAATCTTAACATTGCCTTGTTTTTTCTCCATCTAGAAATTAAAGAAACTTGAGGTACAAGAAAGATACATTACGACTCACATATTTTTCCTATCAAGGGAATTTGATAGATATATATCAAATTAAGTCAAATTTTATAACTATATTGTTTCAGCACGAGAAAAAATATATCAAAGTCGACCTTCTCAGGTATTGCAGGCTTACAACTGCCAGATTATGCGATCTACACCATTGCAGTCACATTAGTCGTGATGGTCACAATCCCACGTCGACATTTGGTTAAGAAAGTGATGATGATCAAATTGATTGTTTCGTCATAATCTCCCGATGGAGGAATTTTAGAGAGAAGCAAAAGCGCTAAAGCTGGGAAAAAACATGTTTTGTAGTTCTTAAAACTCCTCTTAACATCTCAACAAAATCACACTTCAAGAAAGTAAATCCCAGATAAATCCAAGTCAAATGAAGATCATAAAACAGATAACCAAAATCTTTGCCTAAATATGAGATAATTTGCGATGATAAAAGCATATTATTACTGGCTGGCACCGAGCCACTTGGTGAAGTTATCAAACTCGGTGTAATCGCTGTCGGAGATCATAGTCTGGTACCAAGCCTTGCCTGCTGCTTTGATCGCTTGTGCCTCCTCCTACAGAAATGAAGATAACAAAAGCGTTAAAGACCACTTTGTGATTCTAACACACAACAGACATAAATCACAAGTGAAATGGAGAGGCAGTTTAGAGTAAACGTGACTACAATTATGACCCGGGACAAGGAAAACATAAAAGCAAGCAACTTTTGATCGTAAACATAAGAATACCCTAAGAAATGTTCAAGCTAGAATCCCTCTCTATCCGCAACACCAAGTCAATTCGATAAACAAAACCCATTTCCACTGAATACGACTTTAACAGGAGATAAGTGTAATAAGACTCGATCAACACAAGTATAGACGGCTTAGTAAATATATATCCTCAATTGGAAATGACAGAATTTATACGCTAAACTTCAAATCACTTTCTATCGTGCATTGTCAAGTAATGACCAAACTTAAGATACACAAAAGACTGATAATTTGTATACGCTATATCTTCAGATGCAAAGGAATCTCGAGTTATAAAATCAGAAGGTTCACATTTTCGGTAATAAACATTTACTAGACCCAAAGATAGAGAAATGAGAGCGTGAAGTGTTACCTTAGTGACGATTTTCCTCTTCTTCTCAAGCTTCTCCTTCTTGGACTTAACCCTTTGAGCTTCAGCCAACAGAGACATCCTCTTTGCGGTCTTAGCATAAGGATTCAACTTAAGCATCACATTAAGGTTCTTCAATGGGTTCTTCTTAAGAACAGCTCTAGTAGAGCCCTTCTTGATCGGCTTCACCACACTCTGGACCTCATCGGAGTTGATAATCCTAGCAAGATCGGCGTTCACCATCTTGGCACGAGGCAAGACGTAACCCTTCTTCTTCTCAGATGGCTTCTCGAATGAGCCATAGATGGACTCGAGCTTCTCAAAAGCACACTTAGTCCAGACAACAAACCGACCAAGGTGACCACCAGGAGCTAGCTTCAACAAATTAAGCCTCTCTACATGGCAAAGCTCGACACCTGGAAGATTCCTGAATGCCTTCACGATCTTAGCTCCTTCGGTTCCGAAAACAACAAGAGGACCTTTCCGGGAAATGTAACGACGGTTCCTCGCTTTACCCTTACCAGGGCGGATTCCGATACTGTCCTTGGCCTTCTCCGCATCGTCATAGGCACCGATCTGCTTAAAGAGCTTGATCGCAGCGGATGTCTTCTCCACACCTTCAGCTGAATCGCTAACAACAAGGGGCAACTCGGGGACATTCTCGATCTTGTGACCACGGGCCATCACGAGAGACGGAACAGCAGTAGCGGCAATCGCCGAAACAATGGCGTGTCTCTTCATGTTGACATTGACACGACGGTGCCAGCGTCTCCAGATCTTAGTGGGAGCAAACATCCGACCACCACGACACATGTTTCCGAACGCTGCTTGACCGGCGCGGTGAGTTCCACCACCCGGAACACGAGGGATACGCGACACCGCTCGTCCGGTTCCCCAGGACTCGGCGGAAGTCTGGTGACCGGCGCGTTTGGAGACAGCGTAAGGCTGACGGCTGTTGTTAGAGATTTGGGCGTGTACAAAACTGACGATGTCTGGCCTCATAGGTGCAGTCATAACGTCCGGCAAACAAACGGTGTTGGATTGGTCGGTGGTCATGTCACCGTCGAGTCCTTGGACGGTGACAAGAGGGCGTGCGGTGGCGGCTGCCATTGTTTTGGCTGGAACGAAAGTTTTGCTTTAGGGTACAAAATAGTTAGGGTTTCTGGAGATATATAAAGCAAATGGAGGAAGTATATGCGGGCCTGAAAAGCCCATAGGCCCCCAAAAATGTATCTTCTTATGCTTTGTCTCTAATTTTGACTGTGATTTGGGAAGTTCAAATTTGAAGATTTTCGTACAATACTGAAATAATAGTATAGTGTTAATAATCGATTAGAACGCTTTTTCAATGTTTTTGTTTTTCATATTCAAGAAATAATATAATTCATTTTGTTCAAAATATTTGATGTAATTACATACGAAACGTAGGTTTGAGTATGCATTGTAATAGGGTTTTTCAGTATGTACTCTGTTGGCGTTGTATGCCTTTATACCTTGTAGGGAAATCGATTCAAATGTCAAGTTGCATGAACTCCACCAGTTGCACATTCTGAATTTTACTAAAACTCTGAAGTTTGAAAATTTCACTTGTGATAGTGTTGAAAGAAGATCTATAAACAATCCAACTTTGTAGCCAAAGACATCAAAAGCTTTCTTGAAAGTTGAAACTTACTAGAAACACTGAAGATAAAGACTGACTCTAGCAAAATGATATGCAATAATTCTGTAAAATCTGAATTAGAATCCGGGTTTTGGTGCCAAAAGCCTCTAGAGACTTAGCAACTGCCAACAGTGTTTCTGCCACAAGAAACACATTTGATATATCACAAGATATCCACGTAAAGAAGCGGCCAAACAAAATGAAACCAAGTAGAAAACTTCACACTAGTCACTCAAACTTGATCAAGAATTAGCAGAGTAACATAGGTTAATCATTACCTTATATATCGAGAATCATCCTCTATCATAATGTTTGTTTATTAATCCTCGTCATCTGAGCTCCCGTCATCGCTGTCATAATCGCTGCTATCATCACTCTCCAAAATGTCGAGCTGAACAGCTCGGACCTGTATGACGTCAGGCGGTCTGTGAAGTCCTGGAGGAGGCCGCATTTGTTGCTGCTCATGGGCTCTAGGTGCAGGAATCGACTCCGACGGCGGTAACACAACAGGGTCTCCTGGTTTCCATCCAGGAGGTGGCAATGGCAAATCTTTAAGCAATTCCACTGGCATTCCTGGTTTCCATCCAGAAGGAACTGCGATATTAGGCGGAAGAAGGTTCTGAATTGCAGAAAGATTCATAGCTTCTGGTGGTGGTAATGGTGGCTCAATGAGTGCTTCAACCTTGTTTTCTACTGTTTTCGGTAGACCGATATCGAGATCAGCGAAGGTGTAGAGCTGAGAAGCTCTCATTTGCTCGTCTTGAGGAGCTGGTGGCAATGCACCACGGAGAGGTGCTTGCCCTGCACCGAACTCCGGCGGGGCAAATGTGGTGTAGCTTATCTTGTGAGCGTAAGCTAATATGTCCTTTAGTTTGAGCTGAGACGAAACTGTGGTTGCAACAGAGGTTGAAGGCGAAGAAGAGTCAATGTCATTATCTTCTTCTTCTTCACTTACAGTCCTGCCTCTCTTTGGCTTGCGATAATCGGAGTAATCGTCGACGAGCATGTCGAGAACACGTTCTGCTTCCTTGAGCTTGTTGGCGAACGCCAGAAGAGTGGAATCTTTGGATTTTACCTCACGCGCTACCTTCTGCTTCGCGTCCTGGAGATCGAGGATCTCTTGAAGCTCCGTAACGGCCTCGAAGAGCTGTGTCTGGAGGGAATTGAACTGAGAGAGGATCTCCTTCGTGGATGATGGATTAGGGTTTTCAAGCGGCGGCGGCGGCGGTAACGAGTGCGAGGAGAGGAACGAAGGGAGAGAACCACGGAAAGCGGAGAGCCAGAGTGCGCGATTGGGAGAGACATCGAAGAGCTTAGACGTTAAAACCGCCATCTGCTGGAGAAGAGCCTGAGCTCGCGGCAACGGCGGAAGGAGCGGTAGCAAAGCAGACGACGAAATAGCCGCCGAGGCTGAGGTTGCGCCGGCGACGGTGGAGGCAGGTAGTAGATTAGGAGGTTGCTGGATCTGTTGGTGCTGAGATTGGGAAGATGACGAAGAGGTTGGATGGCCATGACGAGGAGGCGTTGGATTTTGTACGGAGGGAGAGCCCGGACCTGTTAACCCTAATCTCGCCGGAGATTGGGCGATCTGATGCTGTAGCATCCTCCCCGCCGGCGAACTATTTCTCGAGATAAGGGGATTGAAGATTAAATATGCATTTAGAGAGTATCTCGAAGAAAATAGAAGAGAACAATCAATCCATAGAGAGTACAACGAAGCAAAAACAACGCGAAGCTTCTTTTGCACAAAGGAAAAAAAAACAAGCCGAGGCTTTCTTCTCCCTTCGACGGTGTGGATCAGTGGGGAAAAATAATAACAAATACCTTACAAACCTTCTGCACGAGCTAGAAGTTCTAGAGAACCTTTTGAACCGTACCAATCAGGTTCAGTTTCCCCGGTTATCGGGTTTTGGAGTATTATACAGTAGATAATAGAAATGCTCGAGACAAAATATTGAAGTTGACGTTTATACAAATACTCAAATACAACACAACAGAATTATCTATGCAGTTTAGTAACACTTGCTAGGTTGTTACATCGGTTTTGGTTTTCAATAGATGATCAAAAAAATTCAATCGTAGAAACTACAAATTACAAAACACATGAACAAATACATGTCAAAAAGAAAAATAGAATTGCTATTGGGTAACCATTTTTCTACTACATACACACACACATCGACAAATATCTACCGTTCACCAAACTGGTTCTGACCGAAACTGCCATGTTCCCCTCTTGTTCAATAATGTTCTCCTCAGACAACAACCGGAAGCAGCATCTGACACAATCCACCAAATGCCAATTGGTAACTTAAGAGAACTATGATCAGGATTGAGTACGGTAGATAAATTATACTGATGTCGGAGGGATGAGATATAAAACTACACTTACTCTGATAGACAGTTGTTGTGAGCAAGAAGTCCTAAAGAAGATACATACATCACTTGTTTGGTTCTTGACCACGGATCCCGCACTAACAGCTACGAGCTTACGTGTTCAGGACCTTCCTCTGCACCATCAAAGTATTCAGACTATTTCAAGGTTAGATTACATCTGTTGCAAGAAATCAATCCACAACTCAGCAGTAGACGTGTGTGTGTATGTATCTCACAAAGCACAACAATCATCATTTAATCTTTGGAGATTTTACAAAGGTAACATACACCAATAGCAGAATAGAGTGTTTTCTAACAATCAGCCAAATTCAATACAAAAAGACGCGTCTCACAGCCCAACGCAAATGAAAGTTATGATAAACTTAACACTTACAGCAGGTTCGAAGTCAGGGTTTGACAAGTTCACTGTGAGGTTTCTCATCAATAGTAGTACCTGCGAGACATACTGCAATTAGAAGGATACTATAATAAGAACAATTACTGACAGCTACGACTAGGTACCAGGACACTTAAAAAATCTGAGCCAAAGTTGTAAGAACCCATTATTTGGCCAACATCTCCACGGAATCATGGTAACAATCAAACTTTTAAAAAAATCTATAGATGCAGCCTTTATTAGATCTAGCTGTGTGAGAGAATAATTATAAAGATCAGTTCTTGTACAAGTCAAAATAATGGGAGGGAAACACCACAACGAAGAAGTAGAGAGATCAAAGAGGAAACGCAGTTTAAGTAGGATCTAACTCACAGTTTCGAAATTTATAGGATCCATTTCCTTGAGCTTTTTCATGCGGCCTTTGCTGTCAGGATCGAAGACACTCCCAATGAAGTTATAAACTTCAGCAAAATCAGGAAGACCTGCAAAACAACCATTAAAACAGTGTCCACCATAAAATGGAAGGACTACTCGCAATTGCTTGGATAATTACCGTGCATTGAGGGAACTTGATTCGCCGGTCTTAAACCCTTGGAATCTGATAGTGTTCTGTTTGTGCTTCCTACACCAGATGCTGAAGGACTACTCGCACTTGTTGTGCCGTTCGATTCAATAACATCTGAAACAATAACATCGGAAGCTGCATTTAGCATATGAACCTTCATCAGATGGAGCAACCAAAATACAAAATAGATCGAGTACAAATGATAATGCTTGCCTTCTCCTCCACAAAGAGTACCAAGTTCATCTTGTGGTAGAACAACCTCGCTTACGGCTATGTTTAGCAATGCAGAGGTGTCATCATCCCATGAGGTATATCCAGGCACATTATCAATTTGAGTAGGAAATGCCATGGAAACGTGAAGCGACATTTGAGCTGCAAAATTGAGTTGAGTTCAGATTAAATACAAGTGTTACTGCATCTCTCCACCCAAAGTACTTTCTATTGCAATAGACCGAACCATTCTTTGATGCCTTTTGAGGATATGGATGAGCAGCTTTGCGCTTAGGCCTAGGGGGTGGCACGTGTGCTAAAGTCCCGTTTTTTTGGACCTTCAAAAAGTATTTTTGGGCATGGCTCCTGATCTGTAGTTAATCAAGTAGTCACAGGAAGATTGAGTGGGGGAAAATGCCAATGTATTTAGATTAAAGCGAAATCCAAAGCAGATGATCTCATACCTGAATTACTGTCTTTGAACCAACAAAATCTTCAATTTTTTTCCAGTCACGATCAAACCTAAGGACGCAAGAAAATTGCCAGAAACGAGTAGCATCAGGAAGAAAAGTGTCAGAATAAAGACACTGGCTTTGCAAAAACCCATTTTATTATGCAACCTAAGATAACCTATACTTTGGTTTCAAGAGAGAGATAACAATCATAACATTCATCATCGATTAATTGAAACTCTGCTCTATCTGATGTACAATCAACGATAGCTTCTGCAAAATCCAACTTAAAATATCTTCATAAACTCAATTCACTATATTACCCTAACATGGTATTTTATCCAAAGGGCGAAATTAACATATAAAATCCTTGTCTGGTAAGTGTACTTAGCAGATAAAGAAGAAATGAAGCAAAATTACGCAAATTGAGCTACAATTGAGCTCGAAACCCACACAAAAATCACTCAGTTAAACAAATCCCATCACGAAGAAGAAGAAAAAAAACGTGAGAGAAAGAACCGGTAAATTTACAATTGAAGGGCTTCCAGAAACTTATCGTGCTCTCCTTCAGTCCAACTCTCTCTTGACTTGGTGATCGTGTAAGCTTTCCTCACCTTCTTCTCCGGAGCTTCCGCAGCTTCGGTCGATAAAGAAGTCACCGTCGCTGTCGTCTCTGGAAGCGCTGTAGACGTCTCCGTCGGTCTTTCTTCAGCGACCACGGGATTGCTTGACCCCGACGAGGTCATCGGTTTTGTAGATAGCGATCTTTTTAGAGAGATAGTGGACTCAGAGAGAGAACGACGACGATATCCAGATGGCGGGCAGGAAGTTGGTGTAAAATATGTGGAGACGGTTCGCTTCGAATTTGAGGCCATCCATTTTTTCCCCTTTTTCTTTTTATATTTTTATCAACTTTTAAAAATTATTTTATATTCTTTCGATGTGAGCTTCAAACTAACCACGTGCAACAGTTTCATGGGTCGATGTTTTTTGGTATGCAAAAAAGAAAATAACTGGCAAGACTCTCACTAGTTGCAGTAGATATTTCAAAATCTTTAATAAAAACAATTGAGAGCATGCGGTTTTCAATTATATTTCTTTTAAAAGTGAAACAACCGCAACTTCTGGTAGTGTACTACACTACACAATGTAAAAGCTCAATTATTAATACTCAACACCGATAGATGATTAACATTCGACACCGATAGATGTTTACAAATCAGCTGTGGCTCCATGAATTTGATACCTATCACTAAGTACTTGGGAACGACGTTTTATTGAAGGTTTTGATTAGTTCCTTCTTCCACAACTGTTTTCCATAAACATATATATATACATGCATATATATTTTAATACATTTTTCTTCTGTAATGACGTTTTGAAAATCAAAGATTGAGAGATGATAATTTCTTTATCTAGATTTGATGCTTTGCCAGTAGAGAGATTCTAGGGTCACAAAAAAGTAATGTTGATTTTCATCTTAGAAACGTAATTTCCACCAAATCATGATAATTTTTAAAGAAAACAAAAAAAATATAGCTCACAGAACCATTCGATTTTATTTGATGGATTTCGTACGTTTTTGTTAACCAGAAATTCCCTTTACTGGTTTAAGTTTGCTTCTGATCCGATTATTTACACTGACATTATCGGCCCATCAGGCCCACTTTAATCTCATCAGGTTCTAAAGGTTGGCCCGTTAACGGACCTACAAATATTTATGCTCTCGATCTTTCCTCGACACATAGACAAGTGTATGCTCGAAATACAAAATATATTTTAGAAAAAACCCGCGCGGGGTATAGAAGAAGGAAAAAAAAAAGGGGATTATATAAATACCTTCTGCCTCTTCGAGTCTTAAATCCCTAGATCGGAAAGCCCAGCGCAAGCGCATCCGCCATCAAAGCTATTATTGCCTCTCGAGAACGCATCTTCTCCATGGACGGATCCACCATCAAAGTAACCTCTTGTTCGATCCTTGTGGATTTCTTTAATCTATCTGTTTCTCGATTTCAATTTTCTGATTAGATGTTTTGTACCGTAGGGTGATGTGGAATTGAACGATAGTGATGCAGGCACTCGAAAAAGCAGGTACAAATTGATTTTGAGATGTGTATCTGTAAAATGTGTTGGGGCCATGTTAATAATATCATCATCACCTGCAATCAAATCTATTGCAGCAGCATGATGAGCAGGATTTACGTTGAGGGATACGACACATTGCTCCCTGGCAAGGTCGTTGCCGCTTTGAAAAAACATTTCGCTTCATGTGGAGAGGTGATATATGTTTATATTCCCGGATACGTTTGGAATACCACCCGTCTCAACAGGTTTGTGGCAGTTTGGTCAGCTTTTAAGTTAAATCCCTTTTGCTATATGAACTCTTGTTCCTCGGGTTTTGTAAGCTTTTTGAGTTAAATGCATTTTGCTATATGAACTCTTGTTTATCGTTATACAGCTTCGCCTTGATTTATCTTCGTGGGGAAGGTGCAGAAGAGAAGGCGTTGAAACTTAGTGGAAGCAAGATGCGAGGACGCATGTTAGTCGCTGAGGCTTACCCGTTTCACGCCAAACACCTTGACTCTGTCTTGTCTCCTATGAGAGTCTTAGACAATAAGCGATGTCACGTGTAAGTTGTTTTTTTTTTTTTTTGTTTGGAGATTTTTTGTCTGTAAGATATATATGTTCTTGTCATAGTTGATAATATTGTCAAATTATTAAAATTTATGTTACGCGATATGACCTGAGGATGATGTCGAGAGCATGCTGATGAAACATTTCTCTAACTGTGGACGTGTCCGGCATGCTGTAGTTTACGCAAAGAGGTTTGTGGCTTCTTCCTCACAGCGAATTCTTTTTCCCAAACTCTCATGTTATCAAATGCTAACCAAAGATTCGTTTTTGTTTGTTGCTCCTTTATTAGCCGCGCTATCCTCTTTCTTGAGGGAGAAGACGCATTAGAGAAGGCGCTGCAACTTAGTGGATGTGATGTTGTGAAAGGATTGGAGAATATTGAAGTTTCTGGGGTTGCGGCGCCACAAAATGGGCGTGACTGCTGCCCCAGCACTCCCAACTTTCCCTTCAAGTAAATGAATTTGATTCTTGATCCTTTGTTAGAACAAAGTAAAACCTCTCGCTAATTCGTGGTTTGGTGTAGGTCAAGGATGAATACGACTGGGAAGAAGATTGCCAAGAAGAAGAAGAAGAAGAAGAATAAGACTGTGAAGACTACGGAGTGGAAAACCCTCTCTTAGAAGAACACGAACACGAACACGAAGGTCTTTGGTGTTTTCATCTTCTTTACTGTTTTTTTTTTAGTTATCCCAAGCTTGGTTCGGCTTCTTTACTAAGTAAAACCCATAATTGCGTTTGAGGCTCATGAGATTGTTGAATGAATGTCTTATATGCATAAAGAAGTACATGGATGTTTTCTGTCTACAAAAGAAACAGCAAAAATGCTTAGTAAAAGTGAATTATGGTGTTTATGAATTCAAGTGATTACAAACTAGGAATCATAAAATTGAAAATGATCTTTTATTGATTTGGGTCTGGTGTCTGACAACAATCAGAAAATGCTTGGCCTAACTTTTACTGATTAAAGAATGCAATTTCAAGTGTCATCACCGTACCAAATCGGGCTAGACTAACCGGTATACTGTAACTCCACAAACCCGGTCCGGTTCGGAAGTTGTAAGAATACTATAGCCTTTCAAATCCAATCCATTTTACATGTTCCAAAATTGAAATAAACCACTAGAAAGAGTGAACCTCAATGATGATGATGATGATCCCAACCGTTGGCGAGGAATGAGGGACTTTGTCATCGTCTTTGGCTCCTCCTCCGTCATAACCAATCCTCACCACCACCACCACCGTCGCTGTTACGCCACCTCACCTGAGCCCAACCGGAAAACTAAATCCACTTCTTCTCTCACTAAACAACTGCCGTCGCTGCCGCAACGACACTCAGCTTCTCCTGCTTCACTTTCCTCGGCGAATCCTCACTCAGGTCACTTCTCTGACGCCGCTAGATGGATTCCAGACGGCTCGGTAGAGTATTACGCCGATTTTGCATCGAAGCTCGCCGAGGATGGCCGAATTCAAGACGTCGCCCTCATCGCCGAGACCTTGGCTGCAGAATCCGGAGCTAATGTGGCACGTTTCGCTGCGATGGTTGATTATGATCTCTTATCGAAAGGGATATCGTTGAATCTTCGACAAGGGAAGATCGAGAGCGTGGTTTACACTTTGAAAAGGATTGAGAAGGTAGGGATTGCTCCACTGGGCCTCGTCGATGTGTCGTCTGTGAAATTAATGAGGAAACACTTTCGAGCAATGGCTAACTCTGTGCAAGTGGAGAGAGCTATTGACCTAATGGAGATACTTGCGGGTAATAATTACTCTATCAACATCGCTGTTACAACCAGACTTTGAACCTCTTTGACATGAGCGGCTGCTTCTTATCTCAGGTTTCAAATTCAAAATCAAAGAGCTTGTGGACCCGTTTGATATCGTAAAGATTTGTGTTGACATTTCCAATCCCCAGTTAGCTATTAGGTAAGGCTTGTTGTTGCTCTCCCTAATGCTCCTGAAATGCAGAATGTAACTGTACTTTTGTTGATTCTCAAAGCATGTTAAGCCATAAAGCCATAGTGATGCCGAATGTAGCGTGCTAACGATTTGATGAATATGCAATGCAGATACGCATGTCTTTTGCCACATACAGAGATATTGCTTTGTAGAATTATTCATGGTTTCGGAAAGAAAGGAGATATGGTTTCCGTGTTGACAGCATATGAAGCCTGCAAACAGATTTTAGACACTCCCAACATGTATATATACCGCACTATGATAGATGTTTGTGGCCTATGTGGCGATTACGTTAAATCGAGATACATATATGAGGTAATTCCCTGAGATTATACTGGATGCTTTGCATAAGTATCCTTTTGTCTGAGATTTGTCGTTTAACTCAAAATCTTGTGGCAGGATCTTCTCAAAGAAAACATTAAGCCAAATATTTATGTTATGAACAGTCTAATGAATGTTAATTCCCATGATCTTGGGTACACACTTAAAGTATACAAGAATATGCAGGTATGTTCTTCTTTCTGTCTCTTGATAACACGATATGTGGATGTTGCTGTCGGTTTAGTCCACCTTAAAACTTTCTGATTAGGAGTGCGTTTTGACTGACCATCAAACTCTAAATGTCATGGGCAGAAACTTGATGTGACAGCTGACATGACATCCTACAATATACTACTGAAAACATGTTGCCTGGCTGGACGGGTTGATCTCGCCCAGGACATATACAAAGAAGCAAAGCGAATGGAATCTTCTGGTCTGTTGAAATTGGACGCCTTTACATATTGTACTATTATAAAGGTACAAGATTGGCATGTTTGAGTAACTAAAGCTACGATTTTTTTTTTTTTTTTATTTTGTGTCTCTTAAGTAATAATGCCTCGAGATCAGGTTTTCGCAGATGCAAAGATGTGGAAAATGGCTCTAAAAGTCAAAGAGGATATGCAATCTGTTGGTGTAACCCCAAATACTCATACATGGTCGTCGTTAATCAGCGCATGTGCCAACGCAGGTTTAGTAGAGCAGGCAAATCACCTATTTGAAGAAATGCTTGCATCTGGTTGTGAGCCTAATTCTCAATGTTTCAACATCCTGCTTCATGCTTGCGTTGAAGCTTGCCAGTACGACCGAGCTTTTCGTCTTTTTCAGTCTTGGAAGGGAAGTTCAGCTAAAGAAGCGTTATATGCAGATGATATAATTAGTAAAGGTGGCATTTTTAGCCCAAATAAATTGGAAAATCATGGTCCCGGGACTTTGATGAATAGCAATTCTTCACCTTATATCCAAGCTTCGAATAGATTTTGCTTCAAGCCAACAACAGCAACATATAATATACTCTTGAAAGCCTGTGGTACTGATTACTACCGAGGAAAAGAATTGATGGACGAGATGAAGAGCCTAGGTCTTGCACCTAATCAAATAACATGGTCGACTTTGATCGATATATGTGGAAGTTCAGGCGATGTAGAAGGTGCTATACGGGTGAGTCAATTTTTCTCTTAATTTCTTGAAATTATTCCTTCACTCATTTTTGCTATAAACATAGAAATGACATTAAGGTGATCATACTTCTTCTGCTTCAGTTTATAAGCTTTTGGATCCAATTAAAGTTCCCTGATAGACATTCTTCTTCCAGCACAGATTTTGAGAACTATGCATTCATCTGGGACCAGACCTGATGTTGTTGCCTACACAACAGCTATCAAGGTATTAATCTCTCTCTTAGTGGTGCTGCGTCTCTGCTTCGTTCTTAGTTATTGCTCAACTCAGAGGTGTGAAGATTCAACATGTTATCTTGCAGATTTGCGCAGAAAATAAAAGTTTAAAGTTGGCATTTTCTTTGTTCGAGGAGATGAGGAAATATCAGATAAAGCCAAACTGGGTAATTCTCCTGGTCGAATGGGTTTATTGCATTTTTCCTACCTTTTAAATGCCATATAATTTATCCCTCAGGAAAATGATTTGACCACTCCACTTTAGGGAGAATTTGCAGACTGAAAGGAAGAGTGTTGTGTATAAAATTGTGCATATAAAGTCCTGAATCTATTAGTACGGACCACATTTAGCTAGGACAGGAAATGCAGTTTCTCAATTGATTTCAGCATTTCTCAGTCCAGAAAGTTGATTCTCAGGTGACCTATAATACGCTTCTTAAAGCACGAAGCAAATATGGTTCTTTACTTGAAGTGCGGCAATGCTTAGCTATATATCAGGACATGCGGAAAGCGGGGTAAGTGCAATCAAGTTTTATGATCTACTTATATTTCTCGTCTTGATGGTTCTGCATCTTCAGATAAGCGAAGAGACATTCCTCTATTCTCACTTGCAAAAGCCATAATACTGCAGGTACAAACCTAACGATCACTTTCTCAAGGAACTTATTGAGGAGTGGTGCGAAGGAGTCATACAAGAAAACAGTCAACGCCAAAATGAAACAAGCGACCAGGAAGGTACTAACTTGGAGAGACCTGTAAGTCTGCTCATTGAAAAAGTAGCTACACACTTGCAAGAGAGAACAGCCGGAAACCTTGCAATTGACCTTCAAGGACTTACCAAGGTAAGCTCATGATGACAATCAATGAGACATTCAAGTATTTTATGCGCTTATAATCCTATCAATCCAATTCCTGAAGCATATGCTCGTGTCAAACTGCTGCATACATTTACAGGTTGAGGCTCGACTTGTTGTTCTAGCAGTTTTGCGGATGATTAAGGAAGACTATATGCGAGGTAAGAATTGATACACATACACCAATACATATCAAATGGGAACACTATACAATCATCACAGCACGGACAAAAATTCAGATGAAATCACCTGTATTTGACTTATATAGCAACACAGACTAAAAAGCACAATTGTAACTAAGTGAATCTCCCTTTTGCAGGTGATGTTGTAACAGATGATTTGTTGATCATCCTAGGAACCGGTGAAGCAAATACCGATCCGGGAAAGCAAGAGATTGATGTGAAAGATGTTCTAGTAAAGCTCATAAAAGATGAATTGTCTCTTGTGGTTCTTCCTGCTGGACATGGACATGTGCTAGATATAACACAAGGTGCACGATATGCGGATGATGCAGACCAAGATATAGAGCATATTTCACAGAACACTAAGTCGATTGTTGGCGTATCCTCAACGAGGAGACCTGCAATTCTTGAGAGGTTGATGGTGACAAAGGCGTCTCTGCATCAGTGGCTGCAGCGCAAAAAGTAGCCGATCCTGACTGGTACATAACTAATCATCTGTGTATTGTATTCAAATTTCAAACTAAATTGCAGAAAATAATGATGAAAGATTGCACAATATATCAGATGCACATATTGTGTTTCTTTAAAATAAACAAAGGGTTTTCCAATTTTCCTCTGTATCTCAAGGTAAATCAGCTTACAGATATCTCCGCAGTTCAAAACATAAATTAAAACCAAGTTTCGATCATTGCAATAACTCACATTCTAGGGGACAGACAATTACATGATCAGAAACTCGAAATTTGTAGCGTACACTTGTTGTTGGCCTCTAATAGAACAGTAACCTGATGATCAGAGCCAATCCTGCTGCTGCAGTTTCAGGGGCAAGTAAACTTCCGATAAATATTGGAAACCAAAAGAGCTCAACGCCTGAATCTCAGCTTTCTGCTTTGTTTTCACCATCAGGTTAAGTTCCTCGACCCACCCGGGATTCTTCTTCACAAAATCTTCCTCTAGCATATCCTTCCCTGTCTTAATATCCTGCTCAGTCATCGGCAACCTACACTGTTCAGGTATCTTATACTTGTCCAAATCACTTGGCCTGATTCCAAGCCACTTGATGTCAGGCGTAGTCAAGTTTGCACTGTCGTAAGACATGTTCTTCGACCCGCAGCCATAAACAGACAAGATCTTCAACCCGTAAGGGTCACTGTCCACCAGGGCAAGCACCGGAAGCTTAAGCTCCATTTTCATTTTCCTCAGGAATAGCCTTGTGGCTACATCGGGCTGGCCTTTTGCGGTCACGATGATACAGGGGAACCGGTTGTAGAATCTGTCTTCTGCTAACCTTATATAAGCTGCGTCTTTCTCAACTAAGAGTATGAACATAGCATCACTCTGCATATCCCCAACACGATCGATGTTTGGTGGAATGGCTTTCCCACCCATTCCCATCTTTGTGCAGTCTATCATGTCTCCATTGTCACTGAATATGAGCCTTCCCACTACAACACCTTTCTCCGCTGCAATTACATTGAGGCTTGACCTCGTGCAGCCGAGCATACACGAGACATCGTCCAACACAGCATCACTCTGTGTCTGGTCCTGAAATTCAGTAAGGTAGCAAATTGGTTCAACATTTTCCAAAATTGAAACTTCTTTGTTCAAAGACACTGAATCAATGCGAGTGAAAAGCTAGAGACTTCTTCCAATTCGAAGATCCAACAAGAACTGGATCTTAAAGTGACAAACTTTTTTTTTTTTATGGGAACAATGCATCAAATTTGACAGCTTGGAATGTGAAAATTGAAAGCAAAGGAACTTACCTGGAAAAGCTTAACGTCGGTGTAGAAGAGATCACGCTTGGTGACGTGAATGTTCCTGAGGCAGAGTTGGTGGATAAGGGCGAGGATTCGAGTGGTGATGGTGGTTTTCCTGACAGAAGAAACGGATGCAAAGGGACGGATGGTAGATTTGTCTTTCAGCACTATGCGGTCAAGCTCCGGGACATAGAGCTGGTTCGAGGCGGCGCGTGAGGGCACGCTGAAGGAGAATCCATCGCCGGCGAGGATGGACCGGGCGATCTGAACTATGACTGTCTCTATAGCTGTCTGCACGGAGGAGAGGGAGAGATCTGCGACTTCACGGCAGGAAGATGAGAGAGAGAGGTCGGCTAGGGTTAGTGGTTTCGGTGAGGACGAAGAGGAGGCACCGCTACCGCCGCCGGCGGCGGAGATTAAAGAAGAGGAAATATATGATTTGAGAAGCTGCAGGATAGCGTCATCTGATTCCAGAATGCTTTTGAAAGGAAGATCCTCCTCTTGTTCATCTTTAGATCGCTTGCGCTTCTTTTTATCGGCCATTCGTAGACGGCGACGGAGACGCGGCGGATGAGAGAGCACGGGTACTAACGATGGCGGGAAAATTTACTCTTCTGGTAAACGTACCTCGTGAGTGTCATTTCTAGGGCGAATTAAGCGATAAGAAACAGTAAGAATATGCAACAGTTTATAATAATAATTAACTGAAATAACAACAAGAAGTCGATATGTCCGAGTGGTTAAGGAGATAGACTTGAAATCTATTGGGCTTCGCCCGCGCAGGTTCGAACCCTGCTGTCGACGCTATAATTTTCTCCTATTTTTTTGGGAATCGAAGGACTCTTCTACTAAACAAGTCTATTTTACGGCCCATATATGGAACCCAATACAATTCATCATCAATAAAATCTAATCGACGTGAAGATGGGCTACTCCTTGGCGTTTACTTCCCACTGTTCCACGTGTCAGCTCGGAAAGATCTCAGATCCGCCACAAACCTCCGGGACGACTGTTTTTGATATCGTCCACGTCAGCAATCCTTGCCAATACGTGATGTGGAAATATCGGATCTGACGTGGATATTAGCGAACGTTCGGGACCTCTAGTTTTGTCCAGGTCAGATATATCAATTTTTTTTTATTTTGTTATTCCGCGACAATCTTTCTAATATCTATCTATCTCCGGAAAAAAAAAAATCGGTGGCTTATGGTCGTCTCCGATTTCCACTCTCTGGGAGACAGAAAAACCTCATAATCAAATTATTCACTCTCGTTTGTATTTGTTCTTTCTGAAGCAGAGAAGCTCTGATTCTGGTGTATATTTGCTTGCCTTTCTTAATTCTGTTGTCGTTTTGAGTCTATGCTTCTCTTTCCCAACCGTTAGCTGCTTTGTACTGGATCCATTTTTCTGATTGCAGAGGTGATTGATGCAACTTTTGGAGCTCCATTCTTCTTTTTAGGATTTGATTATTGTAAGATCAGTTTCCCGTTTGGAATTCACCTTGTTTTGATTGGTTTTTTATTTGATGTGATTATTCGAGATTTGGTTTTTCGATTTGATGATTCTGCAAAAAAAAACCAACTTGATTTGGCTTGGTGGTTTCGAATTTCGTGGTCTTCAACTCTTTCTTCTATTATTCTGAGTTATTGTTCGATTACTACAACTCCTATGTATATTCAAAATTAGGGTTTCTAGCTCTGTCTTGAATTAGAAAGTCCTTTCTTTTTTTCCGAGTGATATATCTTAACAGTGGTTTTCTCTGAGACCATTCTACTTGAGGAGAAACATTTTAATTTTTTTTTTAATATTTTGATCCATTTGAACTCAGCGAAGCAGAACTGGTGTGATGAATGTTAACGAGGACGGCGAGGGTTCGCGTTACCCAATCACTGATCGGAAAACCGGAGAAACGAAATTCGATGGGGTTGCGAGTCGGACCGAGAGGCATAGTGGAGAAGATAAAGCCAATGGGATCACTTCGGATGTGAGAAATGGGAGTGGAGGCGCTGGGCAAGGTTCAGCTGGACTGCAAATTCCACAGTCGCAACAAACAGCGGCCACTGTTTGCTGGGAAAGGTTTCTTCATGTGAGAACCATAAGAGTCCTGCTTGTGGAAAATGATGACTGCACTCGTTATATCGTTACTGCGCTTCTTCGTAATTGCAGCTATGAAGGTCAGTTTTTGTAGCCTTGGACGCAGGCTGGTGTATAATCTATAACTTTTTTTTGTTTTTCACTTGGTTTTCTGATTGATTATCAAACTCTGTCATGGCAGTTGTTGAGGTAGCGAATGGTGTACAAGCTTGGAAGGTTTTAGAAGATCTAAACAATCATATCGATATTGTGTTAACGGAGGTAGTCATGCCTTACTTATCTGGTGTCGGCCTCTTATGCAAGATTCTGAATCATAAGTCTCGTCGGAACATCCCTGTCATCAGTGAGTTTTTTTTTCTTTTGTCTCTGGTCGTTGTTCATCACACACTTTCTTTAGTGGTTGCACGCTTTGTTGATTGTTCGTCATGTTGGAAGTAGATGCTTTTAACTACATTCCCCTGTGAGATATGTGTTGCAGTGATGTCATCACATGACTCAATGGGGCTGGTCTTTAAGTGCTTATCAAAAGGAGCAGTTGACTTTCTCGTTAAGCCGATTAGAAAAAACGAGCTTAAAATTCTTTGGCAACATGTTTGGAGAAGATGTCAAAGCGTAAGTCCCTTGCTCTTATCTGAAAATACGGTTGGCGTTTGTTTTCTCTATTTGATGTTACAATTGGTGATAAAGTCTAATTGTGAAATGGTGTCTACTTTTTGGATTCTCATGCTTGTTTCCTGTTCACAGTCTAGCGGCAGTGGGAGCGAGAGTGGAACACATCAAACTCAAAAGTCTGTGAAATCAAAGAGTATTAGAAAATCTGACGACGATTCAGGAAGCAGTGGTGAGAATGAAAATGGGAGCATTGGCCTGAATGCTAGCGATGGAAGTAGTGATGGGAGTGGCGCTCAGGTAAGAAAAGTGTGCAATACCAATAATCTTATAGTATAAATCTGATAAGTTACCCCTTGAATTTTTTCTCCATAAATGGTAGGGACGCTTTACTAACCAATTCTATTTTCAGAGCTCTTGGACGAAAAAAGCTGTGGAGGTTGATGACAGTCCACGAGCGGTATCTCCATGGGATCGAGTTGATAGCACTTGCGCACAAGTGGTACATTCGAACCCCGAGTTTCCCAGTAATCATTTGGTTGCGGCAGCTGCTGAGAAGGAGACTCGAGAACATGATGAAAATTTTGGTAAGAAAGGAGCGATCTCTCAGTTTCTTCCATTCTCTTCTTTACACCGAAACTCAAAACATTATGATATTGAATGTTTTTTTTCTCCATCATTTCTGCAGAAGATGTCACAATGGGTAGAGACTTGGCCATTAGTATTCGTAGAAATTGCGATCTTGCACTGGAGCCAAAAGATGAACCCCTAACTAAAACTACTGGCATTATGAGACAGGAAAATTCATTGGAAAAGAGCTCTAGTAAATCGAAAATGAAAGTTGGAAAAGGACCATTAGACCTCAGTAGCGAAAGCCCTTCAAGCAAACAAATGCATGAAGATGGAGGCTCGGGTTTCAAAGCTATGTCTAGCCACCTTCAAGATATCAGAGAACCCGAGGCACCTAACACACACTGCAAAACTTTAGATACGAGTGAAGCTGCCGTCAAAAATTCCGATGAGCTAATGCACGTGGAACATAGTTCAAAGAGGCATAGAGGAATTAAAGATGATGGGACAGTGGTTAGAGATGACCGGAATGTGCTGAGACGTTCAGAGGGTTCAGCTTTCTCAAGGTACTCCTCTAGAATCATTAACAAATCTTCTTTTATATAACGGTTAGCATGACGTAGTGAAGAAGTGTTAACAAATCAATTGTTGGACTTGAGCAGGTATAATCCAGCCTCAAATGCCAATAAGCTTTCTGGCGGGAACTTGGGAAGCAATTCTCTTCATGATAATAATAAGAGCCAAGATCTTATAAAAAAGACTGAAGCGGCATGTGATTGTCACTCAAACATGAAGGAGTCTCTCCCCAATAATCAACACTCACGCGTCGGTAGCAATAACATGGAAATGAGTTGCACAACGGAGAACAACGCTTTCACGAAACCAGGAGCTCCAAAAGTAAGCTCAGCAGGATCTTCATCAGTCAAGCATTCAACGTTTCAGCCTCTGCCTTGTGACCATCATCAACATCACTCCTCCTATAATAATCTTGTTAACGTCCCTGAGCGGAAGCTGGCGCCACAATGTGGATCCTCAAATGTGTACAATGAGGCGAATGAAGGTAACAACAGCACAGTGAATTACAGTGTGAATGGAAGTGTGTCAGGTAGTGGTCACGGAAGCAATGGCCCATATGGAAGCAGCAATGGCATGAATGCTGGAGGGATGAATATGGGAAGTGATAATGGTGCTGGCAAAAGCGGAAGTGGCGATGGTAGCGGAAGTGGAAGTGGAAGTGGAAGTGGAAGCGGGAATGTGGCTGATGAAAATAAGATCTCTCAGAGAGAAGCTGCTTTGACAAAGTTCCGTCAGAAGAGAAAAGAGAGGTGCTTCAGGAAGAAGGTAAAATATAGTAGTACTGTTTAAACATGTAAATACAAACGCAAACGCTGATAAACAATATTGACATCTTCTTAATTGTTTGCTTGACATTTTTAACGGTGATGATAAATAAAAATGGTTCTTTTGGTCTCAGGTACGATACCAAAGCCGGAAAAAGCTAGCGGAACAACGCCCTCGTGTCCGTGGACAATTCGTCCGTAAAACTGCTGCTGCAACGGACGATGACGACATAACAAACGCCGAGGATAGCTAACGGAAAAACCAACAAAGACATTAGTAACGTCCTCATCAACTTTGTTGAGATCTATCAATCTATCTATCACACCTGTTTTAACAATTTTTCTTTACCCTCAAGGTCTGATTCTTTGATACTATCACTATTCCACGAAACAAAGACACGACACGACATTTGGTTGTTTGTTATTGTCGTTGTGTGGTCTGGTTTGTGGATTTAGGACGAAGGATTTGGTTCATGAGTTGGAGGATGTAGTTGTAGATGTTGTAAACTTGTAAAACAATAACCACTGTGTGTATATTACTATATTCTCTTGTACAAGCATTTCTTTGGAGCCGAGTATGATACGGTGTCGTATTTTGCACTAGCACTTTCTTTTCTATCCTAAAAATATTTTGTAAATTATTTATAGAAAAAACTCGAGAATATTTATTCTATTTTGTGTTGAGAGAAGGTAAAAATTTCATGGGCAGTTGATAATACTTTTCTAGAAATTAATGATCAATTTGTCAAAGTCAAACCCGTTACACATTAATTAGGGTCACAAAAATTTAAAATTTAAATTTAAATTAGAGAAAGAAAATCGAGAAATCCAGCGATTGGCGTGCTCTTTTACATTTCAAAGTTCTGGACTTCTCTCTCTCTTTTCGTTCTCTCGCTTTCGAGATCATCGAACGCAATCAAGACGAAGAATCATTGGAAGAAGAAGAGGAAGATCGAGAAGCTAATGGGTTGGATCCCGTGTTCTGGGAAATTGAGCGGGAGGACTAAGACAAGGAGGAACAGTGACGAAAAGCTGAGCAGGAATTGCTCTGTGTCTACAGGTATGCTCTTTAGAACGATGCCAAGCTACAAACTTCGATTCTGGGTTAGACCCTTCTCTAGCCAAAACTTTGAAAATTGTCAGCTTTTATCATCTCTGTGCTGTCTGATTCCGGTGAGCAATTGATTAGGGTTTTTTGACTTTTTATCATCTCTGTGCTGTCTGATTCCGGTGAGCTTTGGACTGTTTTGACTTTTGCTAGATTCAATTGTATTACTCTTACAAGTATCTTTACTCAAAAGATGTGTTATTGGCTTGTTGCATGCTTCTTTCCGGTTTATTGTGACATCATGGATTATTATTCGGTGAAATAGTCTTGTTGAAATCGTGAATATAAGCTATTTTGATGATTATTAATCGAATGAAAGCTGAAATCCGAGATTTTTCTGTTTGTTCTGGTATGTTTCTTGTCTTGCACTAGTTGAAGTGTAATAGGATGATGGACTCTGATTCTTGCCTCAAGAAGATTCTTTTTGCTTGATAAACTTTGATTTTTGTTGATTCTGCAATGTAAAGCATTGATCTTGAAAAACACTTTTTTTTTTTTTTGGGTAGAGAAAGCTAAGGCCAAATTGTCCGTGAGTGAATCCAAAAGCAAAGGGTCAGATAACATTGTGGCACAAACGTTTACATTCTCGGAGCTAGCTACTGCCACTAGAAACTTCAGAAAAGAATGCCTTATAGGGGAAGGAGGATTTGGTAGAGTTTACAAAGGATACTTACCAAGCACTAGCCAGGTTCGTTTCTTTTCTTTTTTGTCTTCTTGGTTCTCTGTTTTCAACCTTTTGAAAGTCGTGAAAGCTCACCGACATTATTCTTCATTTGTAGACAGCGGCCATCAAGCAGCTCGATCACAATGGTTTACAAGGAAACAGAGAGTTCCTCGTCGAGGTTCTGATGTTGAGTCTTCTTCATCATCCGAATCTTGTTAACCTAATTGGATATTGTGCGGATGGAGATCAAAGGCTTTTGGTGTATGAGTACATGCCTCTAGGGTCACTGGAAGATCATCTGCACGGTATGCGCTTCTAAGATCACGTGCCTATGAATAATACATTACATTTGGATGATCTAAAAGTCTTTAATTTCAACCGGACGAACCTTTTCTTTCCAGACATTTCACCTGGTAAGCAGCCACTTGACTGGAACACCAGAATGAAAATAGCAGCAGGTGCTGCAAAAGGGTTGGAGTATCTGCATGATAAAACCATGCCTTCGGTGATCTATCGGGATTTGAAATGCTCCAATATTTTGCTCGGCGATGACTACCATCCGAAGCTATCTGACTTCGGTCTGGCTAAACTTGGCCCAGTGGGTGACAAGTCTCATGTGTCGACTCGGGTCATGGGAACATACGGATACTGCGCTCCCGAGTATGCAATGACAGGCCAGTTAACACTCAAATCAGACGTGTATAGCTACGGGGTGGTTCTCTTGGAGATTATAACCGGTAGGAAAGCGATAGACAGTTCAAGATGTACTGGAGAGCAGAATCTGGTCGCATGGGTAACAAAACGATCAGTAACAAACTTTGGTTTTCTTTCTCTGTAGATGCTTCAATTCTAATTATATTCTGTGACACGCTCTGTTTCAGGCAAGACCTTTGTTCAAAGACAGGAGGAAATTTGCTCAAATGGCTGATCCAATGCTTCAAGGACAATACCCTCCGCGAGGATTGTACCAAGCACTCGCTGTAGCGGCGATGTGCGTGCAAGAGCAGCCAAACCTAAGACCCCTCATCGCTGATGTTGTCACTGCTCTCACTTACCTCGCCTCCCAAAAATTTGATCCTATGGCTCAGCCGGTCCAAGGCTCCCTTTTCGCCCCCGCGACTCCACCCAGATCAAAGAGGCTCTGAAACCAACGCCGTGGTGATTTATTTACCTTCAACCGATCCCAAGCTGTCCTTTTTTTTTTATTGGGATGTGTTTAAGAAGTATGAAAGTGTATTGCTTCAGAGCTGCCTGTAGATATGTGTAAGAAGAGAAAGGAGATTATTATAGAGGCCGGTTTATAATGTTGTTATAGGTGATGATTGTCTCCACGTTTAATGTTATGTAGCACTTGCTTTGAAATGTGACAGTATATCATTATATGGTATTTGAGGAATGTCTCTGTTTTCATTCAAGAACTGTTGTAATGTACTAGTGTTTCAAAACTTCTAATGTTTGAGATTTTGATTGTATTAACTGTGATACTAGTGTTAAAGTCTCTTGGTCTAGAATCCAGACATAGATACCAAATGAGTGACCCAGTACGGCTTACAAAATCCGTAGCCCATAGCCTCTTATATAGACAAAAATGTTCTTGATGATGAAAAAAGATCAAAAGGAGGCAAAACATGAAATTTCCAAAAACCCAGAATCCCAAAGATAGATAAAATTTAAGTCATAAAGACGAGCATTAATTGACAGAACACCTCAAGTGTGATACACAAAACGGAACAAAACTGACTCAGTTCAGTCGTAAAAACTAGAAACTAGAAAGTGAGAAATTTTCTCGCAAGTTTTTAGTAAAATTATTTTTAAAAAACGGAACTTTTGGAAACCCAGAAGAATCCCCAAATTGACTAAACTCATCATAAACAAGACCACACTTCTTTGTCGCTATCCATGGAGTCAACCAGAAGAGCTTCTCGATCGAATTCTTGAGCAAGAGAAAACAGAGAGGTGTCGTTCATGGTTAGCCTCGGGTGCGACGCCAATGGCGATTTGAACGACGCAGAGTTTAGTAAACCTTTGCCTTCGATTGGTTTATACGTAGCCGTAGCTTCACTGATTTGCGGGCTAGCCATGGCCGCCGACCTTCTTCACGGCTTCCGACACCGGAAATTCTGGTTCCCCTGCAAGTCCTTCTCCCTCAACGCAACTTCTCTCACTTTCATCGGCGTCGGGATCAAACTCTCCGTCGATCTCAACACCTCGATGCCGAGTCGGCACGATCAGCTATCTAAGCTCAGTAGCAGCGTCTTCGTGTGCACAGTGATGGGCAATTCGATGCCATCTCTCGGTATCATGGAAAACAATGATCTCCTCATGAATCTCGTGGCTTTAGGGATTCTTGTAATCACCGACGTTGTCAACATCTGTATCCAGCTAGGTACAGGCGCGATCTATGTGTTCAAAGAAGAACACTTTCTGGTCGTGCTTCTCATGCTCGTTATGCTGATGATCCTGAGTTTCTCGGCGACCACAGTCCCCACCACGAAAAGGATCTTGGAGACCAAATACAACAAGAGGTATGAGGTTGCGTTGAAGTGTCCTTTGGCTACGGAGAGGACAACAGTAGCTAAGAAGATTCAGCAAGATCTGTCCAAGTTCTGGATGATGGCTCACACCAGTAGCCCTCAGTTCGTGATGGCTCGTTCTGTAACTTGCACTGCCTCTGGGTTCTTCTGTCTCTTAAGCGCCGTTACGCTAGGTGAGGCCATGGTTCGGTCTTACTTGTTGAGACCGAGGTCGCTTTGGTTCTGCCGCGGAGATTCTGATTACAAATGGTCAACCTCTCTGGTTCTTGTTTGCCAGGCTAGTGCAGTAGCCATTGGGACTGTCGCTCCTGCGATCAGATGGTTCACGGCTGTCAAGTTCAGGTGTCCGGCTAGAGGAAAGAAGTATTACAGAGATGAGTTTAGAGTAGAGAGTTACTGGACACATTGGTTCTCCGAGAAGAAACAACGTCCCTTGAGCGTTTCGTTCCTCAAAGATCGCAGGTGCAGGAGGTTTGCGCACGATGCTAAACGCTGGATGTTGGATGTTTGTATAGGGATACAGTATGTGACAGTGTTTGCAAGCAAAATCATCCGTTACATCTCTGTCTTCTGTGTGAGTAGAATCTTGCTCTGCTGTTATCTCGCCATCAGAACAACGGGTACCGTCTCTCACGTCGAGTCAGAACCGTCCGGTTCAAATCCGAGCTCGAGACAGGAGCTTGCGAGTTTTGTCCTGCATCTTGAAGGAGAGGACGAGCTGGTGGATTTGATGGTGCGGAGCAACCGTGAGGCCACGGATCACTGGATAAAGAAGGGCAGGAAAAGACAACCGGTGAACCTGATAGAGCTTTTGGAAGCAACAACGACGGTTTCAAAGGGATTTGAAGGGATTAAAGAGTTTGACAGCAACGAGGTGGCTTCTCTTGCCGCATCTGGAGAGCCACCTAATTGTTGGGCTCTCCCGCTGGTAACACTCGCAAGCATCGCCGTTGCTCTTCCCAATGTCAATCCTTGCTCTGTCAAGAAGTTGCTCAATGCTGTCGATGAGGCCCTGGACTCTGTCAACAAGTTTGAGAACATCCTAGATACAGGAGGAGAGTTGGCTAACCTCAGGAAAGCTGCTGAGGTAGTTTGGCTTGGAGTTGATCTCTATCATAAGTGGTTCGATGTGGATCTTCGGAAACTATCCAGGCAACAAAAAAGTCCAGAAGAAACACTTAGGGAGCTCGTGGAAGTCGCCAAGAAAGAGTTTTCAGAGTCGTGGCAGATGAACCTGATGGTGTGCATGAAGCACAAGCCTTCTCGTTGGCCCATCAAGACTCTAGCGGCCAACTCCATGTACCGAGTCTGTCAAACCATTCTGCACAATTACGAGTCAAGAGACTACGGAACAGGGGAAGCTCTGTTGAGAAAGCTGGAAACCATAATCTCGGACATAGTCTCAGGTTGTTTTTGCAACGTAGCACAGGTGATATCCGTCAAGTGTTTGGTGACGGCTGTAGAAGTTAGGGAAGAGTCGGTAAGAGGAGCGGCTCTGCATCTCGGAAGAACAGAGAGGATTCTAGAGATTGTTGAGGGAAGATGCTTACCTGGACTGAGATGTGATCAGATGAAGAACATCGATGAATGGAGAGCATTCTACAAGATGAACTCTTCCGAATGTAAAAAGACAGTTTCTCCCGACTCAAATGAGCTTTGCATCACAGTTGAATAATTTGTAGACTTAAGTATGAAAGTATCTCTAAAGAACTGTTTGTACATACCCGTAAGAAGAGAAAGATCCATATAGAGGCTGGTATATAACGTTGTTTATAGTTCACATGTAATGTTAGCAGTTGCTTTGAATGTGACAATATCTCATTATGTACTATAGTTTCAACACTTTTCTTGCGTCAGGCTTTAATTGTATTACTATCATCTGTGTTTAAGAGACAATAATGTCAACACTAAATCACTGATTATTGATGAACAGTAAGATACAGATGAGGCTGTTGCTGCATATAAGTTTGAGTTGCATTCAAAACGCTTTTAAGATACAAAGACTAAACCATGTACTTTTTCTTGAAAATCTCAACAATCTCCTTCGTTTGTGCAAAGGCATCAATATTGTTCAACTCCTGCAAGCATAGCATCAATCACTTTAGTATCAATTCCTAATGAAGATTAGTGTAATCTTTTCTGACTTCATGGACGATTGCTTATACCTCGATCCAAGCTGATAGTTTGGGACGTTCTGCAGTAATGTCACACTTAAATATTTCATAGAGTATGACTTGAAACATGTTAATGAACGTGATGTAGGCGATATGTTTCAAGGATTTTGATAAAACGCTAACAAGAAAGTGAAAGCGTAATTTATCTGTTTAAGACACGTGGCAGTTTTCAGGATTAACTTCATTTCACATAATGGGCCGAAATATACTTCAACTTTGTAAGCCCAATATAAGGTGGTCCCATGTAAAGTCGTCTTCTTCAGTATCATCTTTCATACTCTGTTTTCTGCGAAAATCTATCAGAAACAGAGCAAGAAAAGAAAAAATGACTTCTCATGCTTTCAATTCCTACAAGAAGGGAAAATTATTGAATGCTTTGGAAATAATAAACGAATCTCGTTCCGTCCAAGGAAACGGATTCGACTATGATTTCTTGGAAGGAGTGATCTTTGAAGACTTGGGGGAAGAAACGAAAGTGCTGCAGAAGAAGATCACCTATGCGATGGGCTCTCTTGAGTGCTTTTCAAGGATCGAAACGACGCACAAGGCAAAGCCACTTTTCAAGTTGGCCGAACTGATTGGTTCAAAGATGTACTACAAGAAGTTCTCGGCCATGGCAGAAGAAGGTTTAAAGATCATCAGTTCGGTTTTGTCTTCCCAGGTATTGGGCAATGATAATGGAGTATATACTCAGTTACACAAGGAGAAGGAGGAATTGGAGATGTTAATAAAAACTGCAAAGTCAAGGATCGCTGATCCCGAGACTCTGGTTCCTTGTCCTGTTGAATGCAAACAAGAACATATCAAGGGGTCAAAGAAACAGGAAGAGAAGAGAAGGGAGAATCATGAGATTGTTGAAGATGTGAGGGCTAGATGGGAGATTTCGAGCGTTGGGACAAAAAGGAGCTACATGAAAGTAAGCATTGCGGATCTCAGGTTGTATGTGAGGGAGAAATTTCGCAAAGCTGGAGAGGATGCTTTGGAACAAGTTCTCGCTTACGCAAAGAAGAAACAAAAATGGAAGGTTTGGATATGTAGAACATGCCCCAAAAAGTTCACTAGTTGCGAAGAATGCAGGAGTCATCTTGAACAAGAACATGGTGCGAAACTCAAACTGTCTTCGAGGGTAAGTGAGGTCTGGGCTGATAAGGTATCGGTGGGAGTCTGGAAACCAGTGGATGCAGAAGCTGCCGTTGAAATGATGAAGAAGGATGTGAAAGCGTTTGAATATCAGGATGGATGGTGCAAAGAGTGGCCTTTAGCTGAAGATGAAGAGCGCAGTGAGGTACTGGATGGAATCCGATCGCTCCTGGTTTCATTTCGTAAGCACAAAATCCTCTCAGAAGGCATACGAAACAGGATGATTGATGCTGTGGTTACGTTTCTAGGAAAACTAAAAGTTTCCAAGCAAACTGTTACTGATTGTGGCCTTTTGGGGACACCTAAGAGTATCTGTTTTCTGGAATATGGTGAGCTCAATAAAATCCTGGACTTGCTAAGAAGCATCAAGTGTAAGAGGCATGACGGTATAGATCTAGTCTGCAGCGCAGTGGAGAGTTACTGCGGTGGTACTAGAGTTAAGGAGAAGATGGATTTCGACTCAAGTTTTTCATTTCTACTTCTCGATAAGAGACTGCTACAAGACAGTGTTGATGGTCGTCCGTTCGATGAGGAAGGCAAAATTAGTTTTATCGATCCCAGTCTTCACTGCGCCCGGGCTAGTGGTAGTGGGGATGCGTTCCTGTCCTGGTTAGGCGTTTACTCTTCAGGAGATGGTAGATTTCGATTCCCCAGGCATGTGGAGGCACACAATCTGGATTTTTGGAGCGCTGCTCTGAGAGCCTTTCAGTTCACGTGTAGGACTCTGGGAACCAAACATGCAAAGAAAACGCAGTGGCTTACTTATGGTGCTGCCCTTAATGACGCCAAGGAGTTGTGTGCTACTATGAATCCTCAGGGACGCCAACAGAACGTAAATGCAACTCTCCTACGCACTAGATGTGAAGAGAGTGAAACTGGAGATTTATTCTTGTGTGCAGTAGCAGATGTTCTGAGTAAAGAATCGAATCCAAAACTTGGTTCTCCAGATTTAAAGGCTATGCGTGAGGCGACACATCTCTGGGATTCTCAAGTGACGGAGTCCATAGCGCGTTTGGAATCAGTGGTCAACAACAAGGTTCATTTCTAATCTGAATTTTGAGTTTACAAGCCTGACAACAAAAGTGAACAAAACAAATTTCCTATTGATTTGCAGGTTGCTCGAATGGAGTCAAGGATTCTGCTGATTGAAAACTCAAGGATTGATTTGCTCAATTCCCTCACCAGACTCTGTGGTTTTGACTACCGGTGTTATATACATCCACCGCTGAAAGAACATCTGCTCGCTCGATTGGATCGTCAGTTTCCATAGCTTGTGAAGATAGCAAGGTTGGTTTTGGATTGATGCAGACATATTCCAACTACGAACGACTTGTGTGAATACATCACTTGTGACACTACAAAGTTACTGGTGGTCTCATTTGATTTTTCTTTCTAGCAACTCTGGATTTTTTGGGAGTCCTTTCGTTCAAATAAAAAGTCGTATACATGTCTGTAAATCAGACTCTCTCTCTCTCTCTCTCTCTCTCTCTCTCTCTCTCTCTCTCTCTCTCTCTCTCTCTCTCTCTCTCTCTCTCTCTCCTACACATATCTACAAACAGCTCCTAACCAGCTACTGAATACCAGCTCCTGCTCTGATTTGAGTGTTAACTGGCCTGTCATTGCATACTCAGGAGCACATGTCATTGCGTACTCAGGAGCACAGTATCCGTATGTTCCCATAACCCGAGTCGACACATGAGACTTGTCACCCACTGGGCCAAGTTTAGCCAAACCAAAGTCAGATAGCTTCGGATAGTAGTCATCGCCGAGCAAAATATAGGAGCATTTCAAATCCCGATAGATCACTAAAGGCATGGTTTTGTCGTGCAGATACTCCAACCCTTTTCCAGCACCTGCTGCTATTTTCATTCTGGTGTTCCAATCAAGTGGTTCATCCGATTGACATTTTAAGACTTAGATGATCCAAATGTAATGTATTCATAGGCACGTGATCTTAGAAGCGCATACCGTGCAAATGATCTTCCAGTGACCCTAGAGGCATGTACTCATACACCAGAAGCCTTTGATCTCCAATTAGGTTAACAAGATTCGGATGATGAAGAAGACTCAACATCAGAACCTCGACGAGGAACTCTCTGTTTCCTTGTAAACCATTGTGATCGAGCTGCTTGATGGCCGCTGTCTACAAATGAAGAATAATGTCGGTGAGCTTTCACGACTTTCAAAAGGTTGAAAACAGAGAACCAAGAAGACAAAAAAGAAAAGAAACGAACCTGGCTAGTGCTTGGTAAGTATCCTTTGTAAACTCTACCAAATCCTCCTTCCCCTATAAGGCATTCTTTTCTGAAGTTTCTAGTGGCAGTAGCTAGCTCCGAGAATGTAAACGTTTGTGCCACAATGTTATCTGACCCTTTGCTTTTGGATTCACTCACGGACAATTTGGCCTTAGCTTTCTCTACCCAAAAAGAAGAAGTCTTTTTTCAAAATCAATGCTTTACATTGCAGAATCAACAAATTAAAGTTTATTTCGTGAGGCAAGAATCAGAGTCCATCATCCTATTCCACTTCAACTGGTAGACACTACCAACAAGAGCTCAAGATAAGAAAACATAGTAGAAGAAACAGAAATATCTCGGAAAGAAGCATGCAATAAGCCAATAACACATCTTTTGAGTAAAGATACTTGTGTAACACAAGTGAATCGAAGTCAAACCAGTCCAAAGCTTCTAAAAATGAGAGGAACAAAAAAAAAGTCAGAAACCCTAATCAATGGCGCACCGGAATCAGACAGCACAGTAATGATTAAAGATGACAACTTTCAAAATTTTGGTTAGAGAAGGGTTTAACCCAGAATCGAAGTTTGTAGCTTGGCATCGTTCTAAAGAGCATACCTGAAGTCGACACAGAGCAATTGCTGTTCAGCTTTTCTTCACTTAGTCCTCCCGCTCAATTTCCTAGAACACGGGGATCCCAACCCATTAGCCTCTCGATCTTCGTCTTCTTCTTCCATTGATTCTTCGTTTTGGTTATCTCGAAAGTGAGAGAAGGAAAGAGAGAGAGAAGCCCAGAACTTTGAAATGTAAAAGAGCTCGCTTTATTTTGTCGTGTAAATGAGCAAGCTAATCGCGTTATTCGATTTTCTTTCTCTAATTTTAATTTAATTTTGGTTTTTTTGTGATACGGGGGTTGGGTTTGACAAATCGATAACTAATTTTATAGCAAAGTGTAGTATCAAATATTCTTGAGTTCTAAATAATTAACAGTTTTTGAAATAAATAAAATAATCTGAGGCTATATCTTCCTACTCCCTAGAAGAAAAGAAATATACAAAGTATATCTACTATTTACAAATACAGATGAAAAAGGGTTAATAGGATTCGGAAATCCTAAAACAAGGGCAAATCATAGTAATCATGGCGAAAAGGCGAGGGAGACGGAGCCGTCGACAACGTCGTATAAACAGCCACCGCAAAATCCACCGGATAATCGAGGGTGCAGATTTCATCAACTCTATGCCAGATGAAATCCTCCGCCACATCCTCTCATTTACTACCATGGATCTGGCGATCAGGACTTCCGTCTTGTCGAGACGATGGAGGCATGTGTGGTGCGAAGTACCTTGTCTCAACTTTTACACGGCGGCTCGAGGGATCGACGAAACCTTAGTTTCCTACAGGGCTCCGAAAATCACGAGTTTTCGTGTTTGGATGCCCGATTCTGTTGTCACTGCGCCGCCCCAGGTTGATAGCTGGGTCGAGTTCGCTATGTCCCGCAGTGTTGAGAAGTTGACTCTGGCCAACTGTCGTTTTTATCATCCCGAGACTTATCGTTTCCCGGATTCCTTCTATCTTAGTTCCTCCTTAACGCAACTCACAGTGGTGGCTTTCTATGTGATTCCCAGTTGCGCAGTGTCTTGGAGTTCCCTGAGGAACTTGACATTGAGTTTCTGTAATCTCTATGACGATAGCGTTGCTAATATGCTCTCTGGCTGTCCTAAGCTCGAAACCTTGAAACTGCATCACTTTGCTGGTTTACTTGAGCGTCTCGATCTGACGAAATCACCGAGCCTCGCAACATTGGAAATAATGCGTGGGTTCCGGAGGTCAGGGGCAATGGAGATTGTAGCGCCGCACATACATTCTTTGACTTTGGAATGCTCTGAGGAACCATCTACATTAGTCAATGTCTCCTCTTTGACCGAAGCTAACCTTCACATTCGCATGCCTATCATCTGTTCGAAGTCTAGTTTTCTTCAGATGGCTGCTTCTCTTCAGACCATGGTGCTTAAGATGCTAGCAGGTTTGCAAAACGTAGAGAGGCTCACTTTTGGTTTTGGGGGAACCCTTCTTCAGGTAGTTATGTTTACCATTCTCTACCTCTTTTTTTTCTTTTTCACGTTTCATTTATCGTCACCTTTTCATCGTTTTGCTAGATTATGACTCTCGCCGAGCTCCATGGTGTTCCTTTCCCAACGCTCAAGGTCCAAACTTTGACTCTTGAAACCATGTTTACAGGATCTGTTATTCCTGGTATAGCAAGGTTACTACAGAATTCACCTGGATTAAAGAACCTTATAGTACACGCAACATACTCAGGCAAAATACGGGTATTTTCGCCAACACCCTCTTTTATTTCTTGCAACATTCCACAAAGCCACGAACCATGTCTTTCACTACTTGTTAGGCTAAACAATATATGGGGATTGGTAGTTTCTTGGAGTAACACTTTTTTTAATGCTCTACAGGATAAGTACATGGACTTCTATTTTTTGAGTTTACGAGTTAAATGTTGGAGATCAAACTATTATGTGTTTCCTACCTCAGAAGAGATCAATTCCATGTGGGGTTGTAATGATGCAACCTCGAAACTTTTGGCCTCGTTCATGGAATTGGTGCTGAAAAACGCCAAGACGCTAGAGAGGATGGTTGTGTGGTTGGGAGGTACTGACTTTGATGATGATCAATGGGTTGAAGAGCTGCGTCAGATGGCTGGAACACTTTCTCACAGCAATATTGTCTCCATTGTGATCAAACGACGCAATTGATATATTTGAAACCGAACCGGTTTATTTTTTTTAACATACATATTTTGGGACAAATAATTATGCATGAGTGCATGAGCATGGCTAACCAGAAAAAAGGGCAGAGTCTTTCTAAAATGAATTGTATTTCCCTTCAATTACGTTTTCAGGTAACAATTTAGTTCATTTTAACCAAAAGGTTTTAGTCTTCTTCTTTTTTTTGTCAACCTAAATTCCTAATTATGGGTTTTGAACAGTGTGTATATCAAATGCATTAGAAACTGAGCAATTCTCGAGAAACGTTCAACATAACACAACAATTCTGTGAATTTCAGATTAGTGTTAACTAATTAAACCGAGTCAGGTTTTATGGTTTTCAGATAACAATTTAGTTCATTGTAAACAAAATAGTCTTCTTAAATATGTGTTTAGACTATAAAAACATGATTTTGGTTTTGTAGAGATTTGGAAACTCTTACTATAAACTTTTTAAATAGTCTTGTGAGCAACTTCATCCTATAGATTCTTCAATAAGCAACATCTTACAATCTAACAGAGCAATCTCCTCTTGGGCTATTGCTGCCAGATTGTCTATGGATTCCAACACACTATCATCACTCATTTATCCAATTTGATAAACTATAACATTCTGCCATTTCTATGGACTGAGTACATCAAATCTTGGATGTATATCATACAAAATTCATTTTCTTTGCAGGGCGGCTTCCCAATATCACTGATCTAATACACAAATAAAAAGGGAAAATTGAAGTTGTGAGCATGTCAGAACTTTTCCCATAATGTTGGATAACATTACATATAAAACCACTTACCTATAACAACACTATAAATCAGTATATATATGAATTTTTCTCTTTTCTTAAACATATCTTCAATATTTTTATACTTTTAAAATCCATCCCTAATCTTATTATTTCATTGTCTTTTTCTTGATGATTTAGACAATGTCGCGCAACGCTTGTGCAAACTAAATTTTGTCTAAATCTTTAATTATAGAACAATTTATATTATATTTATATATTTCTAACTAACCATTGCCTCTTGTCTTTCACGCTTGACGGTCAAATAAACTTAATTTTTTTTTTAATTAAATTAAGAATTTTAGGAATATCTTATTTTAAACATATCTACAAGTGCCGTTGGTAACTAGAATTAAATGGACCGTAACCAATAGAACTAGACTTGAAACCGAACCCATTTATTATTAACATACATATTTTACAATCCGAGAAAAACTAGGGACAAATCTCTTTTGATTAAAGTGAAAACAATAAGCAAATCTTGTTTATTAAGAACGATGCCAGCTGGCCCAAATCCAAAAACTTATAGCACTTTGACTGCTTGATAATCCCGCATCGCTAATAAGCCGATATCAGACTTAGTATACAATTTCTTATTTTACTGCAAAAGAAAAACCAAAATCGATTAACGTTAAGCAGATTAAGCAAGAGTGAAAACCGAGTCAGATTTTTTTTCATCGGCTTAGGTTTTCAGGTAATGCTTTAGTTCATTTTAACCGAAATAGTGTTCTTAAATATGTGTTTAGACTACATAAAATGCGATTTTGGTATTATGGAAACTCTTAGAGCATCTCTAACCTATTGTTATTTTTTCTTTTACTTTTAGAAGAAAAAAATAGAGGTGTCATTTTTGTTCTTTAATCCACCTTTATTTTAGAAGAAAAAATAGAGATACTATTTTTTCATCTACATATAAAAGAAAAAATAGGTACTTCTATATTTTCCTCTAAAATAAAGGTATTTCTCTAAAATATAGATGAATTAGAGAGAAATATCTCTATTTTAAAATTTCTCTATTTTAGAGGAAAATATAACAAAATAGATTGGAGATGGTTTTACCATAAATTTCTTAAAGAAACTGATGATATATTCTGAATTGGTTTTCGTCTGTGTATATGCAACCATCTTATTCATTTCCTGTGCATGGTACATTGAGGATCAATCAGCTTATTTAATCATATAAATGCTTTAATGTGGGTATTGTATATATGTACCTCAATCCAAGCAGCTAGCTTTGGACGTCCAACAGCAATGTCATACTTGAAAACTTCCCCAAGAAAGACTTGAAATCGTTGGATAAACGGGATATATGCGACATCAACCTAACAAAAATTTTGAAAAAAGTATTGTTCATTTTGAAACTCAAGAGATTCACATTTTGAATCTATTAATTAAGAACAAAAAAAGAGTTTATATATAGACCAAGCTAAGCTCGCCGAGGAAGAATGGACCATCATCAAACTTTTGCAAAGCATTTTCCATGTGATCGAAGACAGGTGCTGATCAAAAATACACAATTTTCAGCTTATAATTACTCAAAGTCTTTTATAGTTTCAAACGATATATGTGTGTGTTTGTGTTATGTTTGTGCCTTAACGAGAGAGTTATATATGGAAATCAATCTTACCCGTATCTTTAGCCGGGTCACCTTTGAAAGAGCCAAACACAACTTTAATGAATGTTGTATCAACATAGTTCAACATGTCTTCGCCAAAGTCTCTCTTCGCAGGATCCTAGACAATAAGAAAGGACAATTACTACATATATAACAAGATGACAAGAACAAGCTCTACAACATCAAATACGTATGTGAAGGGAATCCGAACGCAGTCTTACCTCGGGGTAAAGTGAAGGACCGTCAAAATTGTTGTCGACATATTTGATTAAGTCTATACTCTCCCCAATGATTTTGCCATTGTGCTCAAGCGCAGGAACCTAAATAATCTTTACAATATTAAACTCTTCTATCGCTTATGAAGAAACCTTAATTTATAAGGATTCATATAGAGGTCGATTAAAATAAAAGGTTATATTATATATACCTTGTTTGCAGGATTTACTTTCTCCTTGAACCAAGCTGGCCTATTAGGAAGGTCTATAGGAACCAATTTGATCTTCTCTTGCAGACACTTAAAAACCACAATTTCAAAATAATTAGGCCAATCTTGCTAAAAACGACTTTATATTAGCCATACACATTAAAGAACAAAAAAAAAACGCACGGTAAAAGAGAAAACTCTTATCATATTGACGGCATAATCTATGTTTGTAAGGCCGTGTGTTACAGGAAATAAATTACAAGAACTAAATCCTAGAATTTGCAAATTGTTAGAACGAAACTTTAGATTAAACTGGAGTGAGATTGATCCATTCGAAACCATTTTAGACTATAACAAAATTGGTAAACACAAAACACAAAACCACTTGTACTTGGGGGGGGGGGGGGGGGGGGGGGGGGGGGGTGTGTCAAACACCACTTGTACTTTAGTTCCCACTTTGTGTGAATATGGATAAGACTAGACACTTTATTCTGGACAACTTTTCAAATGATCGTCATAGAAAATTAAACAAGAAGAAGAAAAACATGTACCTTCAGATTTCTGGTAATCCAAACACGTTGTGCAAATGGGCAGGTGTAGCTTATGAACAACCTTTTTTTTGTTTCAATTCATTAAACGAAAGACAATTCTAATCCATCAAAAAGCTCATTAACAAATATTTTTTTGAAGCTTAAATTAATTATATTTGTATATAAAATAAAAAAAACCTTGTGGTTCCATCGAACAGAGCAGGTGGATCGGAGGTAGCATCAAGCGGAACTTGAGGATCTTCTACCAAACTTTTCTCGATAAAGAACACAAAATTAAAAGGAGACATAAAGTTTGATTGAACATGAGAATCGACTTTATATAAAGTAACAAAGCAAAACGACCAAACAAAATAATTAATAAAGGATCTTACAGATGAGATAAAGCCATCGAGAGGATTGACAAGAGTTGTTTCTTCAGATGATTATTACAGAGATATTTTTTTACAGGAAACTAGTAGTGATCAAACACATATATAAAGTCATGTATTTAATTAGGCATGCTTAATGGGGATTGGAAGAGCATGGGTCATGATGATTCTTGCGATCAACAGTGACATTCAATAGAAAAAGGTAAAACGTCAGCGTTTTTGATAATATTCTCTGTCATTGAATTTTCCATTTTTCTTGTGAAGGTCAAAGCTTTTGAACAAAGCATTTGGTTAATTTGTTTGGAGAATATTGATTAAAATTTAGTTTCAACAAATACTAATTCGTTCACATTTTATTTTAAATTTATGTTATTTTAATGTGATGGTTCTCTCTATATAGCAAAGGGAAACAAGTGTTTATAACAAAAATGGTAAATAGAATAAAATCAGTTTTATCAGTTGTTTTTGATGATATCAGGACAATTAAAGAAGAATAAAATAAGAAATAAGATGGTTGATGTAGAAAAAAAGAGGAAAAGGAAACTTTAATGAGATTTGGAGAGGAGAAACAATGAGGTATAATGTGTATAGATTGGTCACCTTATATGTGTCTTTGTGAATCTTGAGGAGGTTTGGTCTTGACCGTTGTAGTTCAAGGCCAAAGACTTATGGTTTTTTAAAAACTTACTACAATTATTGGAGAAGCGAATAAAAGAAGTACCTGTGTGGATTTGTCACCAAAGAAAGAAATTTGTCCAGATTGATTCTCAAAAAAGTGGAACTCAAAACAAAACAAAAAGAACATAGTATCTTTTCTGTACTTACTTTTTTTTTTTTAAGATCGGGATGATATTATTCCTAGGGTCTTCGAGCTTCTTCAGGATCTCTGCAGATGTTGAATCCAACTCCTGTGCTATTTGTCCTCTGCAAATCCGTTGGAAGTAGTATCAACTCGTCTGATATTAAAGAGTTAACATAAACAGGCTTTTCAACATAAACTTTTTCACCGGTCGAGTGACATAGAAACGGTAGTCAAAAGTGAAAAGTCTGGTGAGGCTTCTGAGCAACTTCATTCTCGATTGTTCAATGAGAAGCTCCTTGCAATCAATGAGTGCTATTTCCTCCTCCGCCATTGTTTGGAGATTGTCTATATATGGCTTCCAAGACTCTTTCATCATATCATTGATATCTCCCAAATGCTCAACTACATGCAGCCATTCCTGTGGACTCACTACATCGAATCTTGGGCACCCTTCAGGTTTGATAACAATATCTCTCACTGCACACCACAACATCTTGTTGTCTTTCTCTATACAGCTATACAAAAGAAGAGATGCACATCCATTCTCTAGTTTCAGTTTCTCTTTCTCACACAAATCCTTTGCTTCACTAAGTGAGGAAGCGTATCTTAGAAACTCATTTTTTTTTGGCAAAGCTGCTTCTCATAGTTCTGCAAGTGAACTGAACGGCTCTCAGAACCGCCACCCAAATAATGGACCTCCGGACTATTTGGATCCGACCCGCAGTGTCAACTTATAATAAGTGGACGGTATTGCCCCTCGTTTCAGCTGACTAATGGATCGGATCGATAGTAAATTAGTAATGGATCCGACTACATTTACAGATGCGATCCGGTCCATAAGAAAGTTATAATTTGACGATATTGTCCTTGTATTGAGGGCTTCAAAATCACCACGACCCGGACCCTCCCCGACTCTAACCCTAACTGTGACTAAATCGCGAAAGAGATATCTTTCGACTCTCGCTCTCCCTAGACTCGTATTTTGAACGGAGCTTCGATTCCATGGCGAGCAACGGAGTTAAGGTTACCGCTACGATGGAGAATGGCGGAAGAATTTCTACTGGTGAAAACCCTAAGAAAATCGTAGACCTCAACACTGCGGAGCCAGATCGTACAGATGACATTCTCGACGAAGATGTCAAGGGATTGTCAGAATCCGTTGATGTTTCTGGTGGGAAGAAGGATGAAGCGGACTCTAAGGCTATTGGATCGGCTGATTCTGGGGATGCATCTCCGGTGGATGATATTCAGAAGAAGATTCGACGTGCTGAGCGGTTTGGGGTTTCTGTGAAGTTAACGGAGGAGGAGAAGCGCAATTCGCGTGCCGAGAGGTATCTTCTATTACCCCCTTAAGCTTAAGCTTATTTGTCGATTCCTATCGTATCTAGGGATTTTGAAATTAGGGTTTCTAAGAAGCGATTTTCTCTCTGTTTCGGAATTTATCAATTTTACCCAAGTTTAAGAACGCATCGTAGGCTTGTTATATGCTATGTTCACATATTGTCGAACCTATGTATGTCGGCGAGATTGAAACGTATTTCCCTCTCGATTACAGGTTTGGTACTGTAGCAGCGGGGAATGGCTCAGAGGGAACGAAGAAAGCAGAGGAACTGAAGCGAAAGGCTAGAGCTGACAGGTTTTTCACCATGCTTTCTTTGTGCTGACTAGTGTATTGCTTGTATGTTTGGTTTAAATGAAAAGAAGTTTCATATGCTCGTTTTACATTTCATACAGATTTGGGGTTCCTGCTTCATCCCCTACCAGCGACAACACTGAGGAAGAGGCAAAGAAGAAAGCTAGGCTCGCTCGTTTTGGGAAAGATACTAAGGCTGATGCTAAAGTTGATTCGGCTGAAGAAGATAAACGCAAAGCTAGGGCACTAAGGTACTTTTCTATGCAACCCAAAATGTATTAGCACCTGAGGCATGATTTACTTTGCGAGTTTGCGTTGATGTTTAAATAATTTATTTTGTGGTTTGTGTATTGCCCATCGTTAGGTTTTCTAAACCTGCTTCGGATTCGTCTTCAGATCTACCTGGAAAGCAGGATATTGGCAAGGTAAACCCCCTTCTGCTTATGTTTATTCGCGCATCTATTAGAATGAAAGAATATATAGAATAGCTAACGGTATATTTTGTTCTTCTCTTTGTTTCATCAGGAAGCAGCCGTATCAGGAAGCGCTGCATAAACATCCTGAATGAAGTTTATTCTGTGTTTGTAGTTAGGTGAGTTTCACTAAGTACTTGTGATTGCCCTGCAAAATTCAGTGGTGCCTGTTTTCATTCTCGTAACTAACACCACAACCTTTGACTTGGCAGGTAGTGTGTTAGCGTTTTATGATTCCCTCTCTGGCTGCTTCATTCTCTCTTTATTTCTCAATTAGAAGTCCCCGTGTGTAGTGTCTTTTCTGAAGTCTAAGTTCGGTCGTGGAGCAAGGTTTTGGTGTCATGTGATGATTCTCTCAGATGGACGGAAGCTAAGTTGTCAGCAGATGAGATATTGAGAAACCAATGAGTAATCTATAGTTCTGATTGTCTTGAAAAGCAGTCATCAATCTGGTAGGACCTAGGAATTCTTAAAGTGGCTGGTCTTGACTCATTTCCATGTTGCAGGTGCTTTGAAGTGGTAAGTATAGATTAAGTGATACCTTTATTTCATGAAACTATCTCGGAATGTGTGGATGGTCCTTTTTAACACTGCATATGTTCGTAACAAGTATAGCCAGCAGCATTAGAGGTTTTTCTCACCGTTTCGCAGATTGTGATCGTAAGCTAGTTAGAAATTCGTAGTGTTGATTTGCTTTTGTGCCAATGCGATTTCTTGAAAACCAGCTTATTTGACTAGCTTATCTATCAAAGTAAGTGATTAGTTATCTAAATCTTAACACTAAAAGTGCTGTTCATTTGGTATGCTTTTATTCAATATAATAACCTGTCAAGCCGCTACTTTAGAATTCCTTAGTCATATATAAGACATGATTAGAACTATAGAGGTACTTGTTGGTTTCCACATCTCTGGCAGTTGAAGAAAAGAGTGCCTCAGACGCTGAATCTCTGTTCCTCGGACTGCGGGACTTCTCTGATGCTACACAATCTCTTTGTGTCTGTAATAGGTTTTAGATAAACTTTTGTTTATACTTTCTTTCGGATTATTTTTGAATCGAGCGCCAGAGAAATACTTTTATGAAGGGAATGTAATCGTCATATTTTTCTATTCTTGTGTTTCTGCTTATTCACACACACCTGCTGATTAACTTTATGTTTTGTGCCATTAAAAAAAAACAATATTATTGCTTTTAAATTTTACAAGGATTGACATTAATGAACTTTCATACAAGTACCCTCGTGTATATAATTTGCATACAGGGGTAACATGAGAAATCGTATTTTTTTTTCTTTTCTTAAAAAGAGAACATATCAAAGATCTCTCGCAATTTAATATTGTTCTAGCTATACTAGTCGTAGTTCTTGCTCCGTGGAGGCGGCATTGGCATTACGCAGTAAGTGGATAGCCACCTCTTACTGATAGAGGAGAAGAAGCCCAAGCGTTGGTTTTGGCCATTTGGGGCTTGAGATAGACAACAATAACGGTTATGTCGTCGTGGAAATGCCTTCGAACACCAGGATGGATCTCATTCAGGTCTGAGTATCTCATCTCTCTTTTCTTTGCTGCTTCCTTCAGTGCAGCTTTTAGTAGTCTCCTTGCTATTCCCTGCCAATGTGAAGAAGATCTTATCAACAAATAATTTCTTGTGTAACAACTTGTGCCAATGTATATATGGCTTAGACGTTGGACTTACTTGGCGCGGGGAATTATGAACAATATCGACAGCTTCCTGGCTGCTAAGATGCTCCCATAGCCCATCCGAAGCAAGAACCATAAACTCGTCTTCCGGGTTAAGCCGTGTAACCGTGACTGATGGATCCGCGCTAAGGATTGGCTTGCTGAAATGTTCTGCTACTCTGAATTTGTGCGGCAACGGCTCTCTGTTGAACTCTGCTCTTTTGAGGTATGCATCGCCTATGGATCTCGTGACCTGGATGATGCCTTTCACACGCCACATCCGGTGCTTCATCACAAGGATGTTTGGGTCATTAGGATGCATCGACCACAGCTCTTCCCTCGCGGACTCTACATTCGCATTGTGCTCTACTGATAACTGAACAGCTCTCACTCCACCACCTCTCTCGGATCTTCCCAACACAGCCCTCGAATCTCCCGCGTTTGCAATGTACACCAGTCCGTTGCATATCACTCCTGCCAAGCAACATGACCCCACTGATGCCATCTGTGGGTTTGTGCGCCACTGCTTCTTCACTCCCGCGATAAAATCTTTGTCTGTCTCTGCAAATGCTTTCTTGATCACCTGCTCTGAAACCTCCCTATCCTCGGAGGCAAACTCTGTTCATGTGTGAAACCTGAGTGTTAGTGTGCATGACAGTTTCAAGAATGAGGAAGTAAAGAATGAGAAAGGGCTGTGTCTTACTCTTTAACTTGGGGAAGATGTTGTCTGCAACGAATCTGGAAGCCTCTGGACCTCCATGGCCATCGTAAACTCCAACAAACGTGCCTTGAACTGTCGGATTGTTGAATGTCAACGGCCCTGATTCGATCTGGCACTGGTCCTCCATCACACTGTTGGCTTGGATCATTGCCATCGAGAACTCTCCAAAGGCGTGAAGGCCAAGATCATTGTACCAAGTCAGGCCATCATTCTTTGTGGGACTGATCTTACTTCTCTCAATACCGGCACCTATTCTCCAACAGGGTTTAACCATCTTCGAGAAATATATCGTAGTATATACAGATAAGACTATATTGATTGAATTGATAGGGGAGTGGTAATTAACAAGTAGTAGCAGCTTTGGTTGTGAGTTATGAGTTTCAAGTTCAAGGAAGGGACCATGTATATATATAGCCGTGGAAGCCCTAGAGTAAATATAGAAGGTGTTGGAAACTAGGGAAAGAGGCCAAAAAGGTATGGGTCAAATTAACTCTGAAACAAAAATTAATGACTCTGAGAGCTAAGACAAGAGGGCAGTAGTTTAAAGTGGATATTCAGAGATTCTCTTCTTTACTGTTCCATGTTGATTCTCTGTCTTAGTAAGGTTAAGTAAAAGCTGTCATATTCTACTTTCTGCTATATTCAATTCACAATTCATATGATATGTTTTTCCCTCTAAAGTTATCTCTGCTTTGAGTACACCTTGCAACTCTAATTTTTTTCCTTTCCAAAAAAAAAAAAGAAAAGTTATCTTTGCGTTCTTATAGGTTAATCTTGGTAACTTAGAAAGCAAGAATGTTCACAGCCATAATAATCGTCGCTTTGATCATATTGTTTGTAAACTCTGGTTCGAGTCTTAATAACCCTTGTAGCTGAACCAGTGGACTCCAATGGTGCTCAAACCCTTCATACCAAACTTTATAATAAAATGGAACATATAGATTAGGATCATGAAAACGTCTGTTTTCACAGTGGTGGTACTGTGTCAGAGTCTTTATATACATATATCTCATCTTGTAAAATTTGGTTTTGCAGTTTGGTAATTTGTGGGGAGAAAATGGATAGAAAAGGAAAGGTCATAGGATGCATGTGTGTGTGAGGGAGAAGAGGGCGTGGGGTTTGGATTGGAGCATTGAACTTGGAACCATTTAAGATTTTGAGAGTTGAGAAAGACTCAAGAGAGAGGAGAGAAGTCGTTTGTGGGGCGACTGAGGAACACTCTTAGCTGTCTTAACCCCTACAGGTTTTGCCCTTTTCCCTGTCTCTTGTCTTCTTTATTTAACTTTTTTATTTTAAAAAAGTTTATTAAAAAAAAAAAGCTCTAGTGAGATTTAGATCGAAATTCATTTCATGGATTATGGGGTTGAAATGAATTCTCCAAAGAGGATGGATCTTTTTGGTCTTTTTCCTAAGTTCCAACTTGCATTGGCCCTTCTTCTTCTTCTTCCATGACTCTCATTGACCTTCTCTGTCCCGCCCCTCCTCGTTCTCTGTTCATAAGGATCCACACATCGATGTTACCGTAGAGAGAAGCACTGTCGTGTGTTGATCGATATATTACATTGATGAGTAATAATTGTTATTGTATCATCTTCAAATATAATATATGACGAAGCTAGCTTTGAGTTTTCGTTTTTCGTCCTCTATGCATGCCTTTTTCTTGTGCTTCGAACAGGTGGGTTTACACAACTTGGAACGAATATGAATTATCATGTTGAAGTCCATTCATACACAACACGATATTTGGATGATTTAGCATATGACGGTTCCACTAATTGGATAAGACCAATCTCATCAATTGGTGTCGGCTAGATCGTGTGACTTGACGCATAACTAATTTGGTTAAAATAAATTTGATGCAATATAGATCTTAAAGTCAAATCAAAGAGTAAGAAAATCACGTGTAGAGATAGTCTAATAGAAATAGAAAGAATGGTCCAGGTACATTTTCTCTATCGCATATCAAAATAACATTCATATATATGATGGACCGATTAAATATTGAACATGTGGTGGCCTTGGAACGTATATTGAAGAGTCCTTGAATGCACCATTACAGTACATTGTATTGTATTATCATGTGCTCTCCATCCTTAATTTTAATTCACTATCTTATTACAAAATTAAACAAAACTCAGTCTCGTTTTGATTAAACAAGATAAGAAGAATATATATAAAGTATCAAATAGCTAGGAAATAAAACAAGTTCCTATATAAAGAAATAAAAAAACTTAAAAGAGTTGTGGTGACAGGTTGGGCCATTGATGCTGCACTGTGTGTTTTGTCTTTTGGTTGAGGGAGCATGGATGTCAGTCTATCTCTTTAGCTTCTCACTTCGCTTTGTTTTTTGTTTTTTGTTTTTTTGGGTTTAATGTTGAGCTTAATTAACATTAGTTAAATGTTGGTTTTACTCAACATTAGTTAACTTACTACTCCTTTTTTAATTGCTTTGAATTTAGTATAGTACACAATGAAGTACCCTTGCAAGAAATGCAACTACAGTTCAGAAAACCTCTCAAAGAAATTGATTTAGACTCAATATTGGTATAGAACGAAATGAACTATCCACAAATTACTTATTACATTAACGCATCAAGATATTATATATCATTCATTGATTCAAATTAGGCATTGTCGTTAGAAAGAAAAAAAATTCTATCAATTAAGTTTTCAATTTAGAAGCATCAAAGAATAAGAAAACTGAATGCCTCGCGTCGACACTGTCTCCAATTTTCAAAATATTTTTGATGTTACCTACTTAATTTAGAGTATATATATTGTCATTGAGCATTAAGTGCATCTCATCTTTCGAGAAACCTAGCTTACTATATAGTACTACTGTATTAGACTTTTAGCTAACTGATCCTACCTTTAGAAGAGCGAATCTTAAACGCTAATTATATATGTGATTAATCGTACCAACATGTAAGACAACTGATCCAATTTAGCCTGCATATATTAACCTTTTTGCAAGTTCGATTAATCACAAATAAGAAAATGATTAAAACTCGAGACGTGGGCACGTAGAGAAAGAAAGAGTAAATAGAGTGCATGGCATGCAGGAAACATGAGACAGACATCGTGAAGGTCCCATATTGTCTGGTCGAACCAAACCTTGACATATTATCACAACACTATCTATCTAGTAACTAGTGTTCTTCGTATTGTCGTAGTACTTTTTATCATATCTATCTATTCATATTACAATCAAAACTAGATTTATATAATATTGGAATTTTGTTTTGGTATCTAGCTCACTTCTTTGCAATTGTATCTGGACGTACTATTATCTCTTTAATTTTGTACTTTTTTTTAAGATTAGATTTCTCATCTGCTCTTGCAACTTACCATCCATCATCATCGTTTTCTGCAATTTTTATTTTAAAAAATTGTAACGTTTAATTATTGCATTAGAATCTTTATTGCTTCAGTCCAAAAACTATCGGATACATACTTACATATTTTAGAACTGTACTATTGGAAAAGAAGTTTCTACCAAGCCTGCATAAACTTATGTGCATTTGCAATTTAAACCACGTCAAAATTGAAACTCTGGTAGTAGCTATACAATTTATAAATAGTAGTATTATTTTCGAAACTACACGTAGACTACCATCATTTTAGAATTAAGAGATGTCAAATAAAGAGAGAAAAAATTAATAAGTTTGTGTGGTGAAGAATAAAACTTCAAATCATCTTAAAATTATATGCAGATATTATTATTCGTGATTTTTCAAGAGGGAATAGATGCACATGACATGACTATGATTACTCAGAGCAAATTAATAAACTTTATTTGACGGCTATATATTTTACGTTACCAAGTGGAAGATATTTATATTAATTAATAAATTCTACGAAACACTACCTTTGCATTCGACTAATTCAGACAAAATGTAAATATTTGATTACTCAAAAGGTATTTTAGCGGTTCGCATTTTGTTTAGTTATTTAATTTCTAGGTTTAGGAAGTATATATATACCAACCAGATTGAAATTGAATGTTAGACTTCTCTTCTTAGTGTATATGCATGGTGTTATGAATCTATGTTTTGACAATAATTAATCAAATAACTCCGAAACTAATATGATTTTAGTCTTATAATTAGAATAAATTAGCATAGTTTGATCTTTGACCTCCGGTCTCCGACTCTCTTCATCTCCCTCTTTCTGCCTCGTCGCTATCGTTACGTCCGTCTTTCGTAAAGGGTGGTACCACGAAAAACAGAAGGAATCAATTGGGCTTCTTATCTTCCACTTTACCATATTCGTTGGGCATATACTATTTGGGCTTTACTCAAAATTCCAATTTGGTTTGGATGCTTAGCCAATTGGGCCATAAATGGCTTAGTATCATTTTAATTCTTAAGCTTCAATAGATAATCTTTCGAGACTCATGAGGCCCATCAAAAGGCCAGAAATAGTACTTTCCGAATTGACAATCCATCTAGTTCGCATTAGTCTCGAAAGGCCCAGTTGTTGAAAGGACCCATGAGTCCCTTTATTGGGTTTGGAGAAACTTGACTCCTTAGAAATCATTAGTGTGGAACATTGAAACCAAAATACGATAATTTTTTTTTTGCAAATTGTCATTATCGAGTTACCCCTTTCCAAATTTTAATTTTATTTTATTTCGTCAATGGATAATAATCTATTTAATTTCATCGTCTATTACAATAAATTTACGAATTTATTTGATAACAAGAAAAGTCGTCATGAGTCTATAACAACCACATGTGTCTTTATCAAAAGAAGAAAACTAACATAAAATTTGTAAAAGATCAGAACGGTCCAAACATTCCTATTTGTTACTTCACATATCTGATGACTAATACTGTGTATTGATAACGATGTACACGCTTTCTACACATGTATACCCCACCGCAAGCTCAGATCACGCCACGTGTAACTCGCTGGTCTTGACAAGGATCTCCCAAAGCCGTTGGATCTCCGAGAAGACATCGTCGGTAGGAAGTTGAAACCTACAGGAAGGACACGTGTTTTTCTTGCTAAGCCATGGCAATATACACTTCCAGTGAAACAAATGCTGACATGGCATTTCACAAACATCTCTTCCTTCGTTCATCTCTTCCTTACATATCACGCATTCTACTTCTCCGGCGTTCGAAGCGGCCGAGTTAAGAATTTCAACCGCACGTAACGCCACAACGGCCGCTCTAGCCGCAGGGACTTCAGAGCTTTCTTTCTCTCCTCCTCGACGAAGGTGGTTGTAGCCTCCCATTATGTCGATGAATCTTTTGCATCTAACTACAGTTTCTATGTAAGGTATCAAGATTCCGGCATCGCAAGTCCAGAGACCGGATATATTACTTAACATGGTTTCAGAGCATATGTTACCGAGAATTTCCCGCCAATCATCAGCGGAAGCTTCTAGAACATCTGGATCAAGCTGGTGGCTTTCGCAGAGGAAGAGGAGGAGAACCACCGCGTCGAGGTCCCGGAGCTTCATGTTGGCGGCGGAGGAGGATAGAGAGTGGTGATTACGGTGGAGGAGAAGCGGGTGGAGGAGAGAGAGGAGGTGAGTGGCGATGAGGAGGGTTTTCTGAGGAAGGGAGAGAGAGAGGAGGTGGCGGAGGGTGAGGGAAAAAAGCGTCGGAGAGGAGAGGACGGCGGCGAGACGACGGCGATGGTGGTGGGAGAGAGAGAGAATGGAGTGAGTGAGATTTGTGAGGTGTGAAGGTGATAGAGTAGAGAGTGACTTCATGATGATAGTTGTGTTTGCTTCTTCCATTATCGGATCTTGTGAGCTTCGTTTTCTCACTTCTCTTGACACTTTCACTTTTTGATGAATCTTTGCTTATATACATGATGTATTAATAAGCCATTGGGAATTTGGTGGTGATAACATAATAAAATATTGTGAATTTTCTATTCGGGAAAAAACAAAAGGGTGTGGTACAAAAGAGATTATTGTCGGCTTTGCTTGTTTTGGTTTTGATCTAATTGATAGATGGAGAATAAAGTTGTAGCTATGAATGGAGAAGAGTTGGCAAAAGCTTAACACTTTTCGCAATTGCTGGTGACAGATATAATTATGCTATAAAAAATGTGTTCATTACACATTTAACTAAATCTTGGAAATAGGCAATTTTGTGGAAGAAATTGGGAGAAAATTAAGTTTTGGGTAAAAACTAAAGGAGCTGTATATTTTTGTTAGTGTCATAATTAATTAAATTGTTACGTTTTACTGGTCATGAAAATTGATCAGGTGTGACTAGTAGGACCAGACAAGAGTGTGTGGAGTTAGAGTAAGAACTTGGATAGGCTTGTTTATATATATCTACTTGTCCTTATGGAATTTGTCTACTTTCAATACACAACATCACACAAAAGCACAAACCTAATAACACATCATTCATACCAAATGATCCGATAAGATTATTTACCTGACTCATGTTGTTGTTAAGGACAGAGAGATCTTTCTGTTAAGTGTATATGGACAACACAAAAGCAACACAACAAGAGGAAGATGGTCAAAAGTCAGAACTAATCAAGAACAATTGGTTTGGCTAAATCCATGCTTCTTCTACTTTTTAACTGTTGGTTTCAAGAAACAGTGTTGAAAGATTAATAATCCACATGACCACCACACCATTCCAAGGCTCTAGTCTCTATGCATTTGTCCCGGTGTGTTGAACATACTTTCACAAACTCTCATGTCTCTCAAATCCCTAAACAAGATTTCGGTGGACATCAAAAAGTCTTCAGAGACTATTTTGACATACTTACCCCTCACCCCTATTTACAACTTACCAAACTAACGAAAAAAACTAAGTTTGATCGCATAGCTCAATCATGATCCTACTAGAAAGGCTTGGCCATCGAGTTTATTGAAGATGTGACCAACAATCGAGTATACCTAGCATAAGCATATCAAAAGGACTGACTTGCACGTTCCCTCTCAAGTTATTAAAATCTACAAATTTAACAATGAATTATAACTATCAGATCTTCCACAGAGCCTATGGAACTCATGATCGAATACCGTGTGAAGATATGATAGCAAGATGCGTCAATAACAAGTAAAGATGACCCACTAGAGAAAAGCACGTGAACAATATAAAACTCATAATAGTATTCTATTGTACTCGACTTCCTATGGCCCTGGTGAAAAGTGTGCCCCACCAAGCCCTTACAGTACAAAGTCATCCACTTTCTAAAAGCAAGATGGATCACTTCATCACATGGGCATCCAAAGTTAACAAGCTTAAGTCAAGATGCAAGACAGAAAAAACATCAGATAGCTGAATCTGCTTAAACTTCAGATACCCAAATTTGTTATTTGTGAACTTCAGATTGTACCAGACAACAGTAATTTCAGCATCATGGAGTTTGCAGAGTATAAATTTTCAAAAAATCAAATTGACCTAGAAGATAGCAACAGTAATGACACAAAACAATGTGCGTCGGATGTATTAACGTTAACGTACACCATGAGAATGGAAAGGGAACAAAGAAATTACTGCAGAACTTGCAACGAGATTCGTTGGTTGAGAAGGAAGTTCCGGTTCTTTGTAATGTATGCGTTCATTGCCTGGGTCTGTGATGTGAAACGCACCAATGCCACCCTCTTAGAACTCCCGAGTCCTTGACTGTATAGTCAAAGAAGGTATAAAAATAGTTTCATGTCCTTATTCCATCAGTAATCACTTCACAACACAGCTATAAGACACAAAGATCTCTAGATATGATGAATCAAACAAGATTAATTCAAGTCATGTGTTGTACTCAGAAAAAAAAAAAAAATATAACAGTCAGGACTTTAGCTAATGTTTGTAACATCAGATAGTTCATAGAAGTAAGTTTTGTAGAGAGAAAGGGTGTTACTAATTCTACATTTCTTACTCTAGTCAGAGATCTGACTGAACCATTGTAACTGATTAACCATACACGAGAGCATTGGGTTTGCAAGCCTGTAGGTCAACTAATAGCTAACCGAACGATCGAGTAAAGGCCAAAAGAAGGTAAGAAACATAAAAATCACTCACATTGTGAGAAACTGGATGGATCCAGGATGATAGAGACAGCCGGATAAGAACCTATCGATGTCATCTATAATAGCATTCACAGGAAGCCCGTGCAGTGCAACCTAAACAATATAAAAATCTCATCATTTTAGCTCGGACAAATCAATCATTACAGAGAATATAAGGATAAACAGAAATTATAACTTACCACTTTCCCGTCATACGGAACAATGGGATTCCACTGAGAATGAGTAGCCTAATCCATTGACAAGGAATCAACTCCGGATGAAATAGTCAGATGCACATAAATAGGAACCTTTTGTAAAAAATGATTACCCTTTCTAATCTATAGAGCCTTCCCTTCTTCGCGATTGCCCGCATTGCACTATCGTACGAGGAGCGGGAAGGGAATTGCACATAACTGATTGTTGACAAGGATGAAGGATTGAAATGTGTTAGTTTACACTTACAGTCCAATTTCTTACTTCCAAAAATATAATTTTGTAAATGATTAATGAAGCTAATACTCACACTGCCGCAGGGTTTAAGTTTCCACCACGCATATAGCTGAATTTGAGATCATCTGGTGTCACATTGCATCCCTCAAGTATGCTCATAATATCAGTCTTCAGGGTATGTTTCGAAAAGCCTGAAAATTTCCCATACAACTTCCCTGAAAGAACAAAAATTACGATCAAGGTCTCTCTTTTATTCATTCGCGTTCCAAAAACCATCGTTCATCTTCAAAATGAGCTCAAGTCCAAAAAGCCATAACAATCCAGAATCCTTCTACTGTAGGCTCTAAAGCAATGAAAATAACAACTAAAGATTCCGGTTTTTACTCAAAATTCAACAAAAAAACTTTGACTCAGAAACTATATCATTAGCTTCGGATATATTCGACTGAAGCAAATAAACCCCTGCAGTCTGTGATCTAGGACTTTTGCTCCACAGATCGAAGAAATGCTCGCGAAGAAACAAAAGCTAAATGGAACAATGACACAACCTTCTCCCAACGGCCTATTTAATCCGCTGACCGGCGAACCTCCGGGAGACGGTGGTAACGGAGAGGAAGGAGGCTGCTCCGTGACAGTAGATAGAGATTTCCTCCACTCCTGAAGAAACGGAAGAGAGTTACGACTGGTCACCGGATCCAACGGCCGGATGCACAAACTCGAACTGATAGCTTTACGGATGATACTCATCTCTCTCACCGGAAAATGTTAGGGTTTTGCTCTACAGAATCTCAGTGACGCACACGATCAAGATTCGAAAATTAGCCACATTGGCTTACTGAACGACATCGTTTTACATAACTTGAAAAAAATACAAAAGCCCACATAGTAATTATTATCAGATCCAGACCCAGACCCAGTACCAGGCCCAGGCCTAGACCCAGGCCCGGGCCCAACCCATTTGAGAAGACTTAACGAAAATAAACAGTACTTTCAAGTTTCAACACATTTAATTAGACTAAAATTTTCCTTAATCATTGAGAACCAAAAACAAAAACAAAACAATAATGTTTCACTTAACCAATTAGAGAGAGAAAAAAAACATGAATTTTATTTAGGCTAATCGAATGGACTTTCGCCTTCGTAATTTCCACTAGGTGAATACTCGCAAATCACTAGGAATCCACGGTTGTTGCTACACTTTGCAATGGTGCATCCAACGGCTGTGGTTGTACGCCAAACGATCTGCGTATAATGACCGCACATCTTGCCGGGCGTACACGTGTTAGTAATCCGGTTGTAGTTCAAACGTTCATCCATCCATTTCGCAACTACTTTCGCCGGCGACCAATTCTCGCTCCTTTGGTACCAAAATATGTTCTCTCCGTATGGACCACCTGAATGGGTCATTTTACAATCCGATTTACGTTGTTTGGCCCAATTATCTGCGAAATGGACCAGGCCTTTATCCCATTTGAGATTCAAAGCGCCTGAAGCTACACGCGCTATGTTGTGGGCGTTCAAAAACTCCATTGATTCCCTATTCTTTCTTGCTCTGTTCCTCGCACGTGCGGTGGCATTAGATACGTCCGGCGAGATAGTCCCGACGGCGGAGGGAACATCACCGGAGAAGAGAAGGAGGAGGAAGACAGAAGAGGTGAAGAGAAAAAATGGATGACGTAACGAAGACGACATCTCTCCCTGTCGTCTTCGTATATCTCATTCTCAACTTCTTTGTTCCTCAGGTATTTATTTTTATTTTTGAAAGATTCACTATTCGGTTAGTGATTTGCCATTTTCTGACAAGCTTTGACAGATTGTCTCTCATCTGTTCGTTTTCAGGTTTTTTTTTTCTTAATTTGTTGAAAAGAAAACGGCCATACAGAACATATGTAAATTGACTTTTTTACTTCAAATTTTTGGGGGAAAAAAATTACAACTCTTACAATGCTAATTATAACCAGTACTTTATGGGTTTTTGAGCGATGTTTCACAGTTAAATGTAAGATACAATATTTTATATGTCTGTTTAATTTTTTTTTAATACGTACGTTACAAATTGGTGTGTATTGAATGTGTAATTCAAGAGGGAGAGTGTTTAGAGGGTATGCGTGAGACATACGTGTCAGTGTGGATCTCCCTCCCTCTTTTTTCTCTGAGCTTTCTTCTTCCTCCTCTGTTTCATTCGCAGGTAATAAAAAGGGAGAATTAAACGGAAATTAATTCAGAAAAAAAAAAACTAAATAAAAATGTCGAATCGGAATTCGTTGATCTTGAAAAATGTTGTTTTCTGGTCCATCACCCACATGTTGATTCCAGGTAACGTACACAGACAACTCTTCCGAGAAACAAAACAGCTTTTGTTTCGTTTACCAATTTTTTATCTGCAAAAGATTCGATGTCTTCATGATTTTCTTTATTCCATAAATCGATTTGTCTCAGAATTTAGAAATAGATTTCCATGAGGGGAAAAAGAAAAGATTTCAAAGAATCTGTGATTTTCAATTTGGTTTGTTGGGTCGGAAGTTTTGAGTAAAATAAAATTACGTCGACAGCAGGATTCGAACCTGCGCAGGCAAAGCCCAACAGATTTCGAGTCTGTCTCCTTAACCACTCGGACATATCGACTTTTTTTTTAAGTTGTCTACAAAATTGCAGGATTTGTCAGAGCACAATTCATCACACTAGACTCCATTGAGATATTCACGAAGCATGACTGGTTCAAACTCAAACACACCGTCTACTTTCAATGCAAGGGAGAGAACAAAACTGTTCTTCCTGATGTAACCAAATCAGGCATCTTGTACACTTTTCGAGGTCAAGAGTCATGGCAGGCTCGTCCCAATTCTCTTTTTACATCCGTTTATTACTACCGTATCTATTAATAAGAATCAAGAATGTAAGAACTTACTGTCGCTTACTACAGCCGATGACTGAGATCAGTGGGGAGAAGTGTAAGCGATGCGGAATCTATGAGCAAGGCAGCCTCATATCAGACAAAGAGTTTGATGAATGGGAGCTTTGTCCTTCTGACTTCTCTGCTAGCCAAATCTACATGCACTCTAAGGATAAGGAGATCAATGCTACTTTTGTCTGCCACGGTTGTGCCAAGCTCGAATCCGGTGAGTTAAAAAAAAAACTACCTTCTGCAATTGTGTTTCCTGTCAAAAGAAACGAAACGATAATGATGATCAGAAGTAACAATATATGAATTGAAATGTAGTATCTGCTGAAGCAAAGACGGGTTCTAGTTCAAAAGAGGAAGGAGATAATGGTGCAACAGTTGCGATAGCGGTTGTGGCAGGGGTCTTGTGTGCAACTCTTGTTGTGGTTGGAGGCGTTTTTATGTTTAAGCACTCTAAGAGGATGAAGCTGCAGCGAGATCAGGCTCGGTTTATGAAGCTATTTGAGGAAAGTGATGAACCTGAAGACGAACTTGGACTTGAACCTGTGATATGACATGGTTTTGGGCCGGTTTTGTCCACGCTTTTTTAGCACAGAGACTTTAGTGTTTCATCAATTTTGAAAGCTACTTTTAGGGAAGAGGATCAACAGTAGGAAATCTCAGTTTCTGGCCAACTGGTTTTTGTGGTATTTGTATCTCTTCCCCATAATTTAGAAATCAGTCAAAATAATACCAATTTTTTTTCAATACTATAAGGCTATTTGTACACAACACATTGTATTCCACAAGTGCATTGAGGGAACGTTAATGTATAAATAACCAAGAAAAGAACTGAAACTGTACTTGCCTTGGAGACTTCGAGTTCCTCTGACTGTTAACTCGAGCTTGGACTACTTCTGATTGCACGGTTGAAATTATCTAGTTCTTTGGAATCGGAGCCATATATCGTCTTAATGGTATCAATGCAGCAGCTGAAACGTAAAAAGAGAATAATCAGTTTCCCACATTGTAGAAGCATCCATTTATCTTAGCAAGTTTATACAACTTAGTTCTTATAAGATTCGGATATGCATTAGAGTTGGCTTCAGCACTCTCATTGTAAGAGATTGCGAGAGAGAGAGAGAGAGAGAGAGAGAGTGTAATAAGCTCTTGCAGGGGAAAATGATAAAACCAAAGAGAAACGTTGATGTTTACCTGCAAGCTTCCTTGTTGAATTTCTTTTGTTCGATCCCGTAGAGAGTCTGGAAAACCTCTGGCTCAACCCGGCAGAAATATGGACGATCTGATGTCAGGAAAGGAAGAAAACGTTCAAATTCTCAACATAAAAAGTAGGAATATGTAGATTTTTAGTAGAAAGTTTCAGTCTTTAATCAGATGTTATCCGAGAGAGAACAATCTGCTAACAAACTTGCCAGCATAAATCGAGCATTTGCGTGTAGCTTTGTCGTAGTTTATGCACCATCCATCATCACCGATCATACTTCGATACAGCTGGATTAAGCAAAAGATATTAGCGTCAAAAGAAAAATAGACATTAACCGGTAGAGGAATTTCGTCGAACGAGTGGTGGGTGGAAACATAACAAACCTCAACATCATCAGGGTCGTCGAAGATTTCGTCAGGTGTGGCGAAAGCGAAGTCCTTGGCGAGCTTACAGCAAGCTCCACAGCCTTCTACGCACTGCCACGTCAACTCCTTCGCTGTTCTGCCGGAAAAACCGCTCGTCGACGTCGTCGTTGGCCGCCTGTTCTCCGGCTTGGTTTTCTTTGCTTCAAGTTTCGAAACTTGAGTCCGTCTCGTGGCAGAGATAATCGTCAAGGTCATTGGTGCCGTCGATAACGCAAGAGAAGGAAACATTTTTTGCGCTAAATCAAACAGAAAGTTTCTTCAAGATAAGAACCCGATTTGTGAAAGACGAATAAAACGATAAGCTTTTAAAAATACAATTTTTTGTTTTCAGAAAAAGAAGCAAACTGATGTCTTTATTTTTTTTTGCTATATATTAGAAAATGGGAGAAGAAGAAAAACAGAGATAGTCATAGAGTGAAGTCTTCAAACACTTAAAAAAAAAAGTTACTCCATACAAGTCTTATAAAACCGCAAGTTCATCATATTGTTCGAATAGTTTCTTCACTCTTTGTGAATCGTCGTCTCAGGGACTGGGTTCGTCTCTGGGACTGTGGTCATGTCCATTGGCTGCATCGCCGTTTTCTTGACCTTTCGGGCTTTGACCGTTGTTCTCAGGGACTGGGCTGTTTTCACTGGGACTTAGGCTGTGGTTTCTATCTTTGAGTGGTGGAGAGTTAAGGACCGTTGGCTCAGGGCTTCTGCTCCTCACGGCTGGTTCAGGAGTCCGTTCGTTTTCAGTCCTAACCGGGGATCTTGACCGACTAGAAACAATGTCCAGAAGAAGAAAAAAGGTGAAACAGGTGTTGAGTTATTGGGAACTGATAGTGATGTTAAATGTGTTGGGAGTATAAACCTGTAGCTTCGGCTTTGGCTTCTGCTTCTGCTGCGGTTTCTTCTACGACGAGGAGGAGATCGAGACCTAACTGGTGATCTCGAGTAACTTTGGTCCCGCCTGAGTAAAGAAAAGAACGATCACAAGACAAAAACAAACAAACTTACAAGAAAACAAAACAAAGCATTGTTTAGGGGTGAAAGGTCTGTGTACTTGAGCTTCTTGGGACTGTTCTTGCAATTCCTCTCAATGTGGCCTCTATCACCACATCGATAGCATTTGTTCTTCCAGTCACCAGCAGTGCAATCTCTAGCCCAGTGTCCATCAAGACCACAGTTGAAGCAACGTCCACTTCCTGGAGGAGGCCCTCTGCTTGAAGATATTTCTCGCGAACCAGAACCAGAACCACGCGGTATCTATACATGACAAACATACCCAAATAAAAACACTTTTTTTTTTAACTTGTCTCATAATCAACATTAACAAACCATATCAAATAATTATTACCCCTTTAGCAAATTCCACAACAATGCGGCTTCCATCAAAGTCCCTACCATCTAAACGGTACCTTGCATCATCAGCATCTCGGGGATCGCTAAAATCCTGTTTAACAAAAGGTGAAAAAACAGAGAAGACCAAACAGAAGAGACAGCCATGTGGATTAACATATACATTGTAAACTACCATTTGGAGTAAGAGGTTCAGGTTATGAAGTGGAACTACTTACGACAAAGGCAAAGTCACGCTTCATATCCACATCTCGTACTCTGCGGAAATTGTTTGGCAGAAACAGTAAGGCCATCATTACTTTTCTAAGTAGTGCTACTTCACCATCACAGATTTTGTAGCCAGTTTTTCACCAATAAAACACGCAACAACACACAACAAACAGAGAACCGCCATTTATACACCATCAAAGAATTCCCACCAAGGAGACCCTCTCACCATAAACACCCTCCAGGTCTGGCAATAGCCAAGAAAACCTTCAACAACATTACTTAGGTTAAAATTATGCTACAGTTTCGACCACCTACGTATGATCTTGGAAGGTTGTCACACCATAATCGAATATGTCAATTCAGAAAGTGAAGAATTTGCGTAGCCACCAAAAAGCTAGCTCTGTTTTACAATATGCATTCGAAAAATATGATTGGAGATAAAATGATAATACTCTCTATTGATGGATACCAGTAGCTACATAGATAGTGCCGAGATAAAGCATAAACGTCCCATAAAATCCAGATCAATATTGTATTAAAAAGATAAACTTTTACCTTCCATATTTGCTAAAGAGTCGTTCAACATCACGCGTCCGTGTTCGAGAGGACAAGTGGCCAACATAGAGTCGTGTACTTCCGTGACGATCGTCATACCGAGGCATCTTTACGCTAAAACAAAAACACAAGCTTTGAGTTGATCAATAGACAAAGAGAGACTGAACAAATGTCTTTTAGGAACGAATCGTAGTAACAAGAAGTCCAATTTAACGACTCTAATCTTCTTAATTGATAGCAGATTACATATATACTGTGAATTAGCAAATTTCTCTCACACAACAGAAAATTGGCATCAGAGTTATAAAGAAAATTTCTCCAACCGAATTCGGAAAGTCCGAAAAGACCAGTTGAACAAAACACCACCATTACAGCACATAACACAGACACATTACATCGCCACACCGTCAATTTTGTGCTGTAATCGTAGATCAATAAAATTCCATGAAGAACAGAATCGCCTTTTAAAGAAAACAGATCGAAATCCTTCGGAAAATGCTAACCAATCTACAATTCGATAGAATCGAAGTCATACCTTCAGATCCGAGAGGTTGCCGAGTTTTGACCTTTACCTTTCTTTCTCAAAACAGAGCTAATCCGCATCTGTTCTACAACATAGCACATTAAAGAAAGGAAAAGATTTAACGGTCAGGAATCGCTTATTTAAAATCAACGGTACAGATTCCATATTACATATTCCTCCTTTGAACAAAGACAAAATCATACGTGTATTATTATAAGCTATATCACAGGATTCAGCACCAACGACTAAATGAATTAGTAACTACTACAAATAAGCAAAATCTGATACAAACTTAAATCCAACTTTTTTGTATTTTTTTTTAAATGAATTGTTAAGTGTACGTAACTTTTATTTGGACTACAACTATGAGTGAGTTACAGAAACAAAAAGATACGTACATGTGGGATCGAATCAATTATACAAACAAACCAAAATTTGACCTAATGTGAAATAGTGAAATTCATTAAAAAAAAATTGCGGAATGATTTTAACATAAACCACCGTCCAAACATTTGTGTGATTAGTAAAATCTTACGAAATCATATAATCATTAAGGTACTCTACCATTTTTACTTATTACGATAACTTAGGATTTTAACAGGAAAAAACAGCCACTGTACACTTTAAATCACAACAACCCATTTTCATTAGTTACTAATTTTGCTTTGATTTTAAAACAAAAAGCAGTCATTGCCAATCCCCACCACCAATTTCTCATATTTATCCTTTTTGCCCTCTCTTATATGAAAGTAGAATAATATCATCCCCATCCCTTAATCATTCTCTCTCGACATTTCTTATTTAATTTCCACTTATCTTTTCTTCAAATTCAAGCTTCACTTATTCATCCACGTTTCTAAACCTTAAAAAAAAAAAAAAAAAAAAAAAAAACCCGTATATATTACACATACACAAAACCGAATCACTGGATGAAACCCAAATAATATCACAAATCACAAAAAAAAAACGAGAGATAACATGAACTCAGTTTGCATCTCTAGCTGCATCAACGATACACGTGACACGCGCGTGCCGGTTCGTACAACGTACGTGAATCTCTATAAGTGGCCTGAGTCCGACGCTGAATTCGTCCGTTCTGTCCACCGTGGAGGCGGCGTACCAACGGCGCGTGTTGTGGATAGCATTTCTTGCCGGCAAATGTATCTCCGGAGCTACACGTTCTCTCGGGATGATGACGAGAAGAGTAAAGAGGAGAAGGTGACGTCAGCGACGCAGACGTCGTGTCTAGGGAGGGTTAAGGAAACGGCGTTGTTCAGGAGGGGGAATAAGGAGGAAAGTGACGTCATCGTTGAGAAGTCGAAACCGCGTCGTCGTCGTGAGAAGAGGAGACTTCAGAGGAAGAGGAGAGAACAAGCTTGTTCAGTCATGTTCAGGTTTTTTCGAAGATTACTGTCTTGTGCTGCTACCGTAGATGTTGTTGATCCAAAGTAGTCACGTTCAATATTATAATTAATATTTGAGTTTTTTTTTTTCCTTTGTTTCAAGAGTTATCCTCAATTGGTTGATCTGCTTCTTCTTTTCTGTTCTTTTGGGATTTTTTTTTCTTTTTTGTATTCAAACTTTGTATCATATTATATCTAGGAGTTTAATTTAATACCATGTTTTGTTTTTGTATAAAACTTATAGAAGATATTTATATGCATGAGTAATGTTGTAAAAATATATCGGATTTTGGAAAAGAAAAGAAATTTACTGGTTATTATTTAAGTTTAATGTTGTTTACAAATGTTTTTGGTAATAGACCATGGAAATTATATATAAGTTATTAACTTAGAATTGCAAAAGATACATAGCCTACAAATCAAATATGTATACCAAAAAATTATGGAGCTTTTCTTCTTTTTTTTAAAACTGAAAAAAAAAAAGAAATTGTTATATTGAAACTATTAGGCGGGGAATTCCAGCATCGGATGCCCGTGGATTTACTAAAGGTGTAAAAACAAAGTTGTTCAAACACTTGTAAAAGAAGAATCGTAGCCAAACACACAGATCTTATTTCTAAAATTCTTATTTCTTTCTTGAAATTAATTACTAGATATATATATATATATATATATGTCAAGAATAGCTACAGTGTTTGTAAATTTTAACATAAATAATACTGCAATTCGTAAAAGATTAACGTAGAAATAGATAAACTTAATCATTTCTTTAAAAAAGTCGTCGTGTTTTTATATCGAATATATCCTAATATAATTATTAAAAACTAGCATGTTGAATATTTTTCTCTGAGTTTCCATTGTCATATAGAATCGGAGGATTGAGTGTTGAGAGTTGATAAATCAACGGCGCCGGTCGTTTTACATACCGCATTACAAACTTTTATCTTACACAATCTACATATTATAATGATATATCGCATATTAAGCACACTTACGTGAAGGTTAGTGCATAATTAGTATAGGGTTTTAGTGGAACAATTGGGATTTAAAAAAAAATTAATAACCGAGTTACCAAAATTAACGTCACGCCTGTTATGATTAGTGGGGACTTAGTGAACCACGCATAATCACGACCACAACATGAAATAAAATATGATTCACTTTTCTTGTGTCATGAGTTTTTTTTTCTACGATATTATATGTGAAAGAAAGATATCCAAAACATTTTACCGACCGAGTAAATAAATTACGAAATTGTAATTTCATCAACAATAAATTTTACTTGATATAACATATAAATCGATTTTGATAGACGTCGAGAACTATGTTGCTTCATTTGTACAGTAATGTCATAGTTTCAAACTCTTGACTAATAATTCCCGGATACAATGTCGTAGCAAAACAGTTATTGGGTATGAAACTATGAAAGAGTGGAAGCAATAAATAAACTGATCATTTTCAAAAAAAATAAAAAATAAATAAATAAACTGACATGCACCAAACAAGGCATGCTTTAATTCTGACGCTTAAGCTCCAAGACTCATCATTAAGGAGACAATATGCCCGCATATTATTCAACCCTTTCGTCTTTGTTAGTTTATTGATTTGCTTACAAAGGTAATCGTAATAATCATTGCATACATTCCACGTACTCTAAAGGCTTATATATCAGTATATCACCTTAGAAGGGTTAGGTTACACAAAGTGAGAATAATCCGGAATTATAGTGTTTTTCTTGTTTGCCATTTCTTTTTAATCTGTGGATAATTGGTTTGGGGCCATCAGATAAAAGAATCGAAGCATATCTTTGTAAATGTCTCCAAGATTTTTCGTCAGCACAAACCTTCGCTAACAATAATATATATGTAATTCAAAAAGAAAATTAAGAGTTACACAGATTCATTTCCAAATGATAAACACAAATCATCTTCCCATTACTAATTTGTTTGAAGCTGTACTATATATACTGTATTAAACAAGCCTAAGTTACCGTATAAGAGAGCACTAAACTTCGCATATGTTTCAGAACTCAAGCTCTCATTTCTTCAGGGCAGGCTGTGCAGCTTCTTCTCCTTCTTCATCAACACCAAAATACTCATTCCTCTCCATTGGTCTGAACATAGAGAACATCAAAATATAAAACGCAAGACCTGCAATTTCCTCAGCTGCATTGCTCACCCACTGATACTCATAAGTTGCAAGCACCTTCAACGCAAACACAACGATCCTCGTGAAAAGCAGATACGCAATCACCAAAATGTAGAATTTCCTAAAAAGACTTAACTTGGCTAAGTTTATAGACGCTTTCGCATCGGTTTTCGATGTCTTTCGTAGAGAACAACACATGGACCAAACCATAGCCAATATAATCGCGCAACAGCAAATCACGTCCGCGAGCAGGAAGATTTGATTCCAGATCACCCAATACTCGACGAAAGGTCCAGTTTCTCCAATCACAGTCGAAGCAGTGTTGGCTAAAACCTGAAGCGGAATTACGATCATCAGCAACTTCTTCTTTTTTTCTTGTACCTTGGGTTTCAAGAACGACCAACCTGTTGCGATTAGCACGATCACCGTAAACAGCAAAACGACTTCGGTGAATCGGAAAATGTAGAAAAGAATGTTCCAGCCGTGAGCTGTGCCTGTGACTTTCACGTAGTGTTGAACCTCGGCGGCACAAATCAGATTCAGGGCTTTCATTACAAGCAGAGCCGTCATTAAAAGGTGGATCCTTTGGACGATTTGCTTGTTGTTGTAGCAGAAATAGACCCAGAGACAGAAGAAAAGGAAGTAGCAGAGGGAGACGATGAAATACAAACCGGGTAATTGGGTCGACCCGGGCGGTAAGAAAATCTTAGACCCGTTTGGATCCAGATTGTACATCTCCGTTTGGATCTTCATCGAGACCCTAGCTTCCGGAACGCAATTCGCGAAGAAGAGGGAGTATTCGCTCGGGGACGTTATCGAATAGGAGAGGTCGAAATGGGACTGATTCCGGAAGGTGAACAGATGGAGGATGTGGTGGGATTCGAGGATGCAGAATCTAGGGTTTCGCTGAATCTCGAGGAGTACCTGCTGAAGCGATTCTTCTGTTAAAAGGAAGAACCCTAGCCCTGACGACGAGTCCGGACTCGGAGAAGATGAAACAGAGGAAACCGAGACGGTTATATGACCGGTCTGAGTAAACCCGAATTTCCCAATGAGAACCACTGGCCGAGAATCATCGGAGATAGTGAGAGTCTCAATCTCCGCCACCGTAACAGCAGTGAGGAAAAGGAAGATGACGGCGGCGAAAAAGGGTAAGCTCGTCATTTCTCACTTCTCCTGCCTTGCTTGTTGTTTGGGTTCTGCTTTACCGGAGCAACTGAAATTGGCGGTTTAATTAAACTACTACTATCTTCGTTTTTGTTGACGTTGACCCTGGTCAAAGTCTTGATGTTTTGTTTTTTTTTTGTTTACTTTGACTTGGTCTTGATGTGTTGAAACCATGATCAAATTCAAAGCTCCAATTTTATTTACTGCTTTCAATCTCTTAGGGCATCTCTATCCGTTGAAGATTGAAACTGAATATTTAAACATTATAAAATTAATATTTTTTATTTCATTTATTTTTAGATTTAAATTATATCCTGAAAAAAAAAATAAACAAATATCTTACAAAGTAAACAAACGTATCTGAAAACTTTCATATAACATACATTGCTTCTTTCTTTCTCCTATTAATCAATTTTTTAAAAATACTTTAATGTTTAAAAACTCATGTAAAAACTACAGATGGACATGGTCTTATAGTTTTATATCCCAAAAAAATATTTGAAATATTCATTCCTTATCACAAATTTACAAGTGTATATATTATTAACTTGGAAAAAAAAAGAAAACAATTTAGTGTCAAACTGCTTCAGAGAGCTCAAGCTCGATCTTCCTTGAGGGAAAGCTCTGCAGGAATTCTTCTTCTTCATCTTCAACATCAAATGTCTCATTATTTTCCGTTGGCCAGAACATATAATAAAACACCAAAATATAAAACGCGAGACTTGCAGTTTCCCCAGCCGCATTGCTCACCCACTGATACTTATAGTCAGCAATCGCACTTAACGCAAACACACCGACTCTCGCAAAAAGCAGATACGCAAAAACCAAATCGTAGAACTTTCCAAAAAATGGTGAACCGGCTAGCTTTCTAACCGCTTTTCTCGATGTCTGTCTCAAAGAACACATCCACCAAAGCACCACGAGTCTCATCGCGACCCAGCAAGATAGATCGCCAAACGAGAAGATTTGTTTCCAAAGTAGCCAGTTTTGGATGAACGGTCCAGTCTCTCCCATCACAATCGAAGCAATACTGCCTAAAACCTGAAACGGGATTACCATCATCAACATCTTCTTCTCCTTTCCTTGCAGCTTCGGTTTCAAGACCGACCAACCTGTTCCGACTAGAACAATCGCCATGAAGAGCAAAACGTTTCCGATGAATTGGAAAATGCAGAAAGGAACGTTCCAGCCGCGAGGTGTGCCTGTGGTTTTCACGTAGTGTTTAGCCTCGGCGGCACAAATTAGATTGAGGGCTTTCGTTAGAAGCAGAGTCGCCATCAAAACGTGAATCGTTCGCTTGTTGTTGTTGTTGTAGCCGAAATAGACCCAGAGACCGAAAAAGGTCAAGTAGCAGAGGGAGAAGACGAAAAACAAACCGGGTAATTGAGCTGACCCGTCAGGTAAGTAATCCTTTGACCCGTTCGGATCTATATTGTACATCTCCGTTTGGAACTTAATCGAAACCCTAGTTTTCGGTACGCAATTCGCGAAGAAGAGAGAGTAATCTCTCGGGGACGTTATCGGGAAGGATTGGGAGCGAGGAGGCGGAGAGAGATCGTGGATAGTGAATAGATGGTGGACGTAGTGTGAATCGAGGACGCAGAAGCTGGAGTTTTGCTGGAGCTCGAGGTCTGCCTGGAGAATCGATTCTTCTTTTGCAAGGTAGAACCCTATCCACGAAGAAGATGAAGGAGACGATACTGAGACAGAGGAAACTGAGATGGTTACATGACCGGTCTGAGTAAACCCGAATTTCTCCAAGAGAATCACTGGCCGAGAATCATCGGAGATAGTGAGTGACTTAATCTCCGCCACCGTGAGGGTAGCGAGGAGTAGGAAGATGACAGCGGCGAAAAGGGGTAGTCTCGTCATTTCTTACTTCTCGTGCCTTGTTGTTTGGGTTTACAAAAAATGGCGGATGAATATAGCAATCTTCGTTTTTCTTTTCGTTTTTGTAGACGTTGCCTCTGGTCAAACTTTTTTTTTTTACTTTGACTTAGTTCTAAGTCATAAACTTTTGTTTACTTTTCACAAAGTCCTAAATCCTAATGAATCTATTTCTAATCAAGCAAATTTGTAGACTGCAGTTTTCTTAATTTTAAGCTAATCTTTTCTAATTTTCAAGTTTCAGCAATTGCACATGGTCTTAACATTTTTGTTCACCAAATTCATAACATTTTTGTTTACTTGCAACGTATCATATAAAAAGCTGCTAATACAGGTGATTCATACTAATTTTTACATTTCTTTGTTTATATATACAAAATCTATAAACATGAGATCTTTAATTATTTATTTCTGGATACAATAATCTCTATGTTCTCGAATGATTTTTACTGCTCTTTCTTTCACTCCAATCAAACCGCATAAATTTTGTAGTTATGCTTTTGATCCACTAACTCAGGATCAAACATCATCCAAGCTAGAGACAATTTAGAGCCTTCAAACAATTTTCTTTCTCTGCTTTGAATATCCATGCAGGGAAACAAACTTATTAGACCAAAACCACACGTTTGTGAAATTCTTATTTTATTGCATTTTAAATTGACAAACCATTTGACCAACAAAAATAAAGTATCTCATCTTTAAAATTTTCAGAATTTCATACTATTCCTGTTGAAATCCTTTTTTTTCTTGCATTGTAAAAGTTTCTCATCTTTTTTTTTTTACTCCTATTGCAGAAGTCTCAAAACAAATTCAAAGTTAAACCTTTTTTTATCTTTTTACTTGTAGAGATCATCTACATGGGAGAAGCAACTGAAATTACAAGTATAAAAGATGGAAAAAGTGGTGAAAAATTGTTCAAAAAAAAAAGTTGGTGAAAGAAGAAAGAAAAACAAATTCTCAAAACAGGATATGGGGTGGAATGTGGGAGAGATGTCTTAAAATATTATATTATGTTTATCTAATTTTCTTTAAAAAAACTATGTTTATGTTATTGCAATGTATCATATAAAAAGCTGCTAATACAAGTCAGGTGATTCATACTAATTTTTACATTTCTTTGTTTACATATACAGAATCTAAACACGAGATCTTTCTTTTATTCCTGTTGAAATCATTTTTTTTTGTATTGTAAAAGTTTCTCGTCTTTTATTTTTTTACTCCTATTGCAAAAGTGCAAAACAAATTCAAAGTTAAACCTTTTTTTATCTTTTTACTTGTAGAGATCATCTACATGGGAGAAGCAACTGAAATTACGAGTATAAAAATTGGAAAAAAATTGGTGAAAAATTGTTTAAAAAAAAAAGTTGGTGAAAGAAAGACAAATTCCCAAAACAAAATATAGGGTGGAATGTGGGAGAGATGTATTAAAAGGTTATATTATGTTAATCTAATTTTCTTTACAAAAAACTATGTTTATGTTATTGCAACGTATCATATAAAAAACTGCTAATACAAGTCAGGTGATTCATGCTAATTTTTACATTTCTTTGTTTACATATACAGAATCTAAACACGAGATCTTTCTTTTATTTCTGGATACAATAATCTCTACATTCTTCTCTACATTCTTGAATGATTTTTACTGCTCTTTCTTTCACTCCAATCAAACCGCATAAAGTTTCCGGTTATGCTTGTGATCCACTAACTCAGGGTCCGACATCATTGAAGCTGGAGACGATTTAGAGCCTTCAATACGATTAGCAATCACCCAATAACACATAGTCCCAAGTGTCGAAACCATGATCAAAGCTCCAATGGCGGTTACAACAATCGCAAGAGGCTTCTCTTTATCTCCAACAACAACGAAAGACAGCGACAAGAAGGCGACTGAGATCATTATGCAAGCCATCCACATGAGTTTGTTGATTATCGCCATCATTTGCTTCTTAGCTTTCCTCTCTATAACCACAACTGATGTCTGAACCACAACAACGGCTAAAGAGATGAAGAGCGCGAAAGAATCAAACACGACGAAGATCAAGAACTCTGGTCTCGAAGCTGCTCTCGCTTCTCCGAGTGTATACCCTGCAGGAACGTCTTTCGGATCATCCGTGAACTGGCCTGGAACGTTGAAGATAGCTGCGAAAGCTACGGTTGCTATGAGAATGGCGACTACAGTTGTGGAGTTTATGGCGTTGTTGAGTCCTTCCGTGTGCATCTTGTTGACCCGTTTAGCGATTCCTTGGATCTCTCTTCTCGTTTTACCGGTCTGTTCAAGCTGAGTGTGCACCTCGTGGCCTATCTCGCTCACCGTTTCTTTCAGCTTCCTAGAAGAGCCTGATGTTTCCACCCTTGCAGCTGGCTTGATGGATCTTGCGTTCTGCATACCAATCTTCTGAAGAAGCGGTACAATCTCGTGCAGGCCGGTTTTCTCAGCGATATCAAGCGCTGTTTCTCCTGATTTGTTAACCGACACTCGACTGATTTCATCATACTCTAAAACCGTCTGAACAATCTGCAAGAAACACGCAAGAAAGATTCTAACTTGAACCCACGCCATTAACTTTAAAAAGACAGCAATCTCAATCCAACCAATCAATTACTACCTCTGCTCTGTTTTTACGGACTGCGATATGCAAAGGAGTGTTTCCTTTATTGTCCGCTGCATTGATCAACGGAGAATTTGCTTTTATCAACGCATCCACGATCTCAGCGTTCTGTCCTTTAGCCGCCATATGAAGCGCGGTTTGACCTTTCTTGTCGACCCTTGTAGCCATTCCAGGCTTCTTTGCAATAAGCTCCTTCACAATCTCTGTGTGTCCGTTCCTAGCCGCAGAGTGCAAAGCGGTTTTACCATTGCTTTTTGCAATAGCGGCTAAGTCCACACCTTTATCCAGCAGAAAGCAAACAATCTGTCCATGGCCCTGTGAAGCCGCCGTGTGAAGTGCCGTCGTTTTGGACGAATCAAATGTGAATGAAAGCTCTGGATTTGCTTCCATTAACACATCAAGAACCTCTACAGAAAAGACGCAAAATACAAATCCTTATAAACAAGAAAATTTCCAATCATTGGTCCATCATCATCTATTTGGACTTTGTCATTCAGCAAACAATTGACAATTTGAACATAATTACGTAATTGCTAATTGTGTGCTAATAGACTAAAGATAGTTAACATGAGAACGAATCCCAACAAATCTCTGGGTATGTCTTCATGTGAACTTTTGTTGATTTGCACATACATATTAGCTTATAAAGTAGATTTCCTCTTCAACACTATCTGCTTAAAAGTTGCTAATCGTGTGTTGACTAAGAGATTCACATTTATATCTAGAAATTTGGGTCAACTCACTTAGGTTTCCGTTTTTGGCGGCGATGTGAAAAGCGTCGAAGCCGTTTTTGGCTTTGGTTCCGGCTAAGACAGAGTCGCAGTGTTTCATCAGAATCTTGACCATGTCGGTGTGACCGGATTCCGCCGCCACGTATAAAGCCGTTTCTCCTGACTGGTTTTGCTCCGCCAGCAACTCTTTCAGCTCTACGCCGTTGCCGTCGTATTCGCCGATCATCTCTAAAAGAAGCTCCGTTCTGCCTTCTCTAACCGCCGTGTGTAACGGCGTATCGTCACGTCTCGCCGTTATCTGCTTCGTCATCGTCTTTTTATTCCCTTTCATGGTGGTGATTCTTGTTGAATCTTTGGGATTTAAAATTTGGCCGAAAAAAAACCAGATCGAATTACAAACTGTACATGAGAGGTTTGGGGAAGAAGAGGGAGGATCAAAATCGACAAGACTCACATGAATTCTGGAGAAGAAACAGAATATGTCTATTACATCTTCTCGTGGTTTTGGCCTCTTGTGTTGTATATCATATCTTAATTATCTTACTACAGTAACATGATCAAACTTAGTGTCGACTCGAAATAGTAACATCATTGTTTTTTGTTTTGGTTTCTCATTTTAAAATAAAAAAAAGTTCGGAACCTTAAAAACTACACTTGCTTTGAGATTTAACAAGTTCATATATGCTAAATTCGGTTTTATTTGATTACTATGATTTTTGTAATGACTAAAAAACCAAAAACTTCCAAGGCAGTTGAACGAATATCTGCAATTCAAAATTGAACGTAGAAAGGAATTACACATCTCAACTAATTTGTCCATTCTATACAATTTTACCAAACGTTTGATACATAAGTCAAAAGCTTATCCAGTGTAGGACACCAAAAGGAAGGAGCACCTTTTTCAGATATAGATTGTTAATCAGAGAAAATTATTCTATCCTATAATTTATAAATCAGAACGAGGAAGATGCCAAAATAATATAATAAAAAGGAGGAATACTTTTCTATATTTACTTTTTTTCTCTAGTTACTAACAAGTTACTGAATATCATAAACCTAGAACAGAGCATGTTATCAGAACAACAGAATCACTTTTAAATCAATAGTTGAATAGAAAAAAAAAGAATTCAAATGAAATAAAAGATACTAGGTGGTTGCCCGCACATATGTGTAGATATAATTTGTTTTATATACATAGTTAATTGTAATATTTAAATATTGATTAGTTTTTTAAAACATTGGTATGTTTGTATATATATTGTTTTAATTTTTTACAAACTTTTTTCTGAAACTAATGTATTATAAAAACTTTATTTTTATAATGCTTGTAATAATATATAATCACAAATATAAAGTTATGTTAAATAATAATTAAATTTTTATAATATTTTTTGAATATTTCTATAATATGCGTTATTTCTCCTTACACAATCTATAATATGCTTTTCTGCGTCTTACATAATATGAATTTGCAAATACATATATAATATATTTTTCTTGATTTATTGTAAATTAAACTGAATTAGTTTTTACCATTTTTACTTATTCTTAAGAGCGGATAGATGGTTGGCACGCATGTGGGGACATACCAACCACTTCACTACACTTAGAATAGATAAATTTTTAAAAAAAAAGATAAATTGTATAATAATTAAAATAAAAATTAGTCTGCAATTAATCTTAACAAAATACATGAACAAAAAAGTTCGCATGCGACTTCAACTAATGTACAATTAATATTTATGTTTGTATGTGTATTTGTAAACAAATTAAAATATGGCTCTTAGGTGTTAAAAAGTTTTTAAGTGACTTTGTAAAACAAAATACGAGAGATTTATTTTTAAATACTTCTATTTTTATTTCTTATTTATATTATTTCATCTTATTATAATTTATTCTTTCATTCGGTTATTTTTTATTTTATTTATGTTCTCAAAATTTTGATATACAATGAAAATAAATTTATGTATATATATATATGATATAATTTTTATTTTTATTTAAAATATGATAAGCGATAAGATGAGATGGTAACATAAGTTATATATATTTTAGAAAACAACAATAAAAAGATGATAAAAATTATAGAAAAATATATGGTCCTATTAATATTATAAAATAATAATTAGTATATACTTTATTCATTTAGTAAATATTGGCTTGAACAGAAAAATTATTTAAAATTACGTTTTTTTCAAAAACAATTCAATAAAAATTGATTATTTTTTATTATTTTTAACATTTTATTCTTTAAATTATTTTTATCATGATTGTATTTTATTTAATATTGTATTATTTAATAATTTGTTTATTTAAAACTTTTTTAGATGTTATTAATATATTTTATAATTATTAACTTTCCGGAATAAAAATATATCAGAATTCAAATATTATTAATAAATAGAATTTTTATTATTCTATTGGATAATTTAGTATTATTTTTTCGTTTTATACGAAATTATAATATATATATATACATATTGTTGAAATTTTTTTGTAATTATATTTTATGAAATTATGAATATATGTAAAAATTGAAATTATAATAACTTTTATTTTCTGTTAATTTAAATTTTTTAATTTTAGTTTTATAAATATAATCTAGTTTATTTATGTTTTAATTCCATAATTTCTATAATTTTAATTCAACCAATCAAAACATTTTGTTTATTTTAGGAAGTTTGACATGTCACATTTACATGTCATCAATTAAAAACACTAATTTTGGCTGCAGTATTGACAAGTCAGCTATTTTCAATATTGTTACTTCTCAATTAATATGTAGTAGATTCTCTATGCCACTGAGATAAATAATATTTATTGCCATTGGAAAATGACATGAAGATATTTACAAATGCAGCCGCCACAATTATTGGTAGAATCTGTGTGAACGTGGAAAAATGATTCCACAACATTACGAGTAAGTTTAAAAAGAAACTCCTAACATTCGGTTAAAACGTTGAAAAACACTTTTATTTTTGTTGAAAATTGGGATGAAACTCCTAAATCGTTTCCATGGTTGGATTAGTTCCACTTTAATTGTTTCATTTGCCTATTTCCATTGACAAATACGGTGCCACGCGCTCTAAACGCGAGTGGACTCTATTATGGCAAAACATGATACACCTTAATAGACACAAGAATTTATTTGACTAACGTCTTAACATCTCGACCGCATAGCGCAGTGGATTAGCGCGTTTGACTTCGGATCAAAAGGTCGTGGGTTCGACTCCCACTGTGGTCGAAATTCTTTCAACATTTTTGATGATTTACTCTCTGAAGTTCTTCTGAGCCAAATCCCACTGTCAACAATTGTCTTTTTTTTTTCTTAAATTTTTTTGATAAACAAAGCTTGTTACAGAATCAATTTAAGCCGTCGATCTACACCCTTCTCCCATTGTAACAGAATCAACAAATTGATCTATCGGCTTCTCAAAGTTTGCATTAAGAAGCCCAATCAATTATGAGTTTCCTCTGGCCTTATATTCTAAAGCCCAGTTCAAAGGTTATTCTGGGTTTTTCTTATTGTAGTGCGTGGGTTTTCTTTTCGGTATAAGTTTAGAAAGACGTTTGCTTAAACTTTGTTTTTTATTTTCGTCCCACATCGCTTAGCTAGAAAGACGTTAGTCCTTTCCTAGTACTATAAATAAGAGGACGAGCTTCTCTTACAAATCATACCTTTCTCGGCCTTTTGGCTAAGATCAAGTGTAGTATCTGTTCTTATCAGTTTAATATCTGATATGTGAGCCATCGGCTCACACGATATTAACTTTATTTTTTAATGGAGAAAGCCCACTAAGATAGTTTGCTATCTGGGCTTTTGCGAGTCGCCCATGTGTTGCACTACTGCAAGGGCTTGGCTCAACCCATCAAACAATTAGTCCAATTTTGAAATTTAACACCCGAGTTAAAGGTTGTTTCGACATAAAGTAAGATAAAGGTTTGGGAAAGTTTGTAACTCGCGACCAATCAACAAAAATTTCAATGATGAGGGATATCTAAACAAATCTGAATTTCTTAATCGTGTTTCCTTACTATAGTAGATAAATAAGTTTGTACTGAATTAATTTCATTTCATTTTCTCTTATACTAAGACTAAAATAATTAAAAACTCAAGATTACCAATGAGAAACCCCGTGGATTTGTTCAATATTTATGATTATGAAGAAAAAATGATTCGAGCCTCGAGAGAGGCAGTTCCATAACAAAACTTTGGTCAAAATAAAAACACAAGGTTTTTGACAAAGAGAGAGAATACATAGGTAATATCAAAAGCTGTTCTAGAAGCTAAGCTGGAGAATGAAACTACACTTTGATAGCATACTTCCTCACTGGGAAATACATCTCTTTCTTCTTCTCACGCTCTGTCTTTAACGAAGACTGTAACACAAACAACCCGTATACCAAAGTCAAGATCTTTCTCCAACCGACGAGGTTAACTTACAAAGTCATTTAAATATGTTTCAGTTCTTGCAATGATGGAACAATAGTTAAACAATTTCACAAGGAGAACCAAGCAAAAATGTGTTGGGAAATGATAATGATAGATGAGTATTAAGACCTGGTGCTTGGTAAGACGTCTGCGGATGGCACGTGTTTTCTTGGGGCGGAGATCAAGAGGCAAAAACTTCTTGTTCTTGTATGCTTCCCTCAGAGCAGATTTCTGCTTCTGGGAGATCACTGTCAAAACCTGAGCAATCGATTTTCTCACAACCTTGCTGCAGATCAAAAGACAAAACTCTATTAATTGAGTTGACAAAATAATAAACCCACAAAATCAAATGTGTGATAAACAGCTTGTTCGAAAATCCCATCTTGATCGACTTCAAAACAATGTTCGAATCATAGATTTGGGATAGAGGTTTATTGCAAATCTACACAACACATTATATATACGACATGTGGCAGAATCCAAATGATGATACAAGTGCAAATTCGAAACAGAGGAAAATAGCTAACTTCTTCTAAAGTTATCAATTTAACTAACAACAACGCCAATGCAATGTTCTGTTAATCCTAAATCGAAATGACGAATCTCCTAATAATATAGAAGACTAAATCCAAACAAATGTGGATATATACACACACACACACAAACGCTTTTCATTTGTGTCTGTTATGTGAATATATAAAAGGCAAATACGTACATTTTGGAGAGCTTGTTAGGGGCACCTCCGGTGACTTTAGCGACACGGAGGAGGGCGAGCTCAGCCTTGAAATCCTTCAGCTGGCCTTGAAGATCGGTCTTCGATTTCTCTCTAAGCTCGTGAACCTTAATCCTTGCTAAACAAATGTAAACGAAACAAAATTCAATCAGAATTGCGTAATTGATACATAAAGAGTTTTTAAGGAACCGTTCGTCGTCATACCCATTGTTAGCTTGCTGGAATTGAACTGCTGTGCCGCTACTTGCTCGTTTCTGGCTCCAAGAGTCGCAAACCCTAATTTGGAGGACGAAGGCTATTTATACGATGCCTTTGTGAGTCAGAGTGAGTTAAAAACCCTTAAAACCCCGTCTGACGAATTATATAATGGGCCGTTAAAAGCCCAATATTTATATTCATGTATTATGGGTTTTTTATATACAAACACTTGTTGGGTCGTCTAGCGAAAAGATAAAAAAAAAAGTGGGAATAGTGAAAGCATTGGGGAATCAATTCGTCAATAAACCAAAACCCCTAAAGCATCAGATTCTAATTTTTTTAGTTTGGTGTTTGTGAGAATTAGATTCGGATTTATCAATAAGGCATGGCCGAAAAAAAAAGTTGGGATTATCAAAATACACATCGTCTTCTTTTTTTATGTTCAAACAAAACCATCAAGTCATTCGAATCACAATAATTCGACGCGGTTTCCAACTCTACGTAGCCATCTCACACATTTGTTTGATAAGAATCCGAATAAAAATACATCTTTTTCTTAAAGTCGATTCCATCAACGAAAAAAATATCTTTAACAGAAACCTAAAATATACATTTATTTTATTTTATTTATATATGTCACTACAGAAACCTCTCCCCATTTTTTACACAACAACTACATACTGTACTTTCTTTTAACACTCTTTGGCATCATAAGCAAAAAAAAAGATCAAAAATGTTATGTGCCTCTCAAGCATCAACAACAAACATTTGCTCAACCATGGACCAAACCTCACAACCTTCTTCTTCAGCCACAGTCCGGCTCGGAGGTCGAGCCATCGACCGTCATAACCCAATCATACGTGACGGTCGAAGACTAACTCCTCCACCTTCTCCAAGCCATAATTCCCCCTCTTCTTCTTCTTCTTCTTCTTCTTCTACTTATCATACTCCTCTTAAGACTAGATTAGGTCTAGAGAGTAGTGAGCAAAAACGTGTTGCAAAGAGGAAGAGCAAGAAAAGTGACTGTGACGTTGGTAAGTCACCGGCTGGTTGTTTTAGCAGTGACACTCCTCAAGGTTCTTCAAGGTACTTACTGAGCAACCCGGTTTTCTTTGACGGGTTTGTTGATTCCGACCCTATTCCATTACCTATTGAACCGGAGATAACCATAGCTGAAGATTTGGATAAAATTCATGACGATAGGTTGATAATAAACGCTTCTAAGTATCTCTCTTCTCCTTCTTCTTCTTTCTTGGAGAAGAAGCAACCTGATTTCTTCGACGGGTTCTTGGATTATGAGCCGATTATGTCTCCCGATAATCCTTTCTCCGAACCCACAAAAGCTTCTCCGACAGCATCTCAGAGCTCTCTTGAAGATAAAGATGTTTCCTCGTCTCCGGACTTCAAGTTCTCTCCTCCACAACCTCCACCACCTCCTCCTCCACCGTCGCCGCCGCAACTGGAGAAAAACGCATCTTCAGATCAAGTAAATTGTCAAACAAACCCATTTTTTATGATCATTAATTTATGTCTTAAATCAAACATATAACAAATTTTTCTTTAAAAGGTGGTTGTTTTGAGAGTGTCACTTCACTGCAAAGGCTGTGCAGGGAAAGTCAAGAAACATCTTTCAAAGTTGAAAGGTAATTAAAAATCAAAGTGTACACCTTTTCAAGATATTTTATTTATGATGAATTGATTGTGAATATTAGAGAACAATTTCTGAAGTTGTAAAGATACTCTGTTTTGGTGCTTTTGATCGTTGTGTGTAGGAGTTACGTCGTTTAACATAGATTTCGCTGCAAAGAAGGTTACCGTGACGGGAGACGTAACGCCGTTAACTGTGTTGGCGAGTATTTCCAAAGTTAAAAACGCACAGTTTTGGCCAGAGATTATTCAGAAGTAATCTATGTTTCCTCTGTTTTCTTCTATGTTGTTATGTTTATTTTGGAAGACAAAACTTGTGAAAATGTTACTCTCTTCTGTGCGTTTATTTGTGTGGTGGTAATGGCATGATAATTTACAAAAATTATTACAGAACTTAGTATTAGGAGTTTTTATCCCCACCAAAAACTTAAGGGAATGTATTGAAATTGAAATTTGAAAAGACTTTGTGATTATTCTAAAATTTCATGTTATTCTTTTTTTTTACAGCAATTCCATGTTATTTTTTAAAAATATTTTACCAAAATCTATGTTATTAAATATAAAATTTATATATAACCAATTATATTCACTTAAACTTCTATGTTATTCAATCAAGAATTTGTAAAAACTAAATCAAATCTACTGATATTGAAAACCTTTTAAATAGTGGATTTTAAAAAATATTTAAATGATTTGGTAGAATTTCATAATTTTAATATCGAATCTTATCAACTTTCTCAATATATATAAAATCACTTAAAAATTCGTTAGAGGGTGTATCGAAACTAAAATTTTAGAGAACTTGAAAAGATTTAATTTTTAAAAAAAAATTAGATAATTTTATGTGGATTAGGGAAGTTGATATAATTTGATATTAAAATTAATCTATCAAATCATTAAAAAGTACTCAATATTTTGTAAAATCCACTATTTAAAATATTTCAAATAACAATAGATTCGATTTTGTTTTTATATATTTTTGATTGAATAACATGGATGTTGAAATAATTTTAATTGATTTTATATAAATTTTTTGTTCAATAACATAGATTTTGGTAAAATATTTAGAAATCATTAGTTGAATAACATAGAATTTTAATATAACCACAAAATATTTTAAAATTTCAGTTTCAATACACATCTTAAAACTCTAATCTTTTCTAATTCTCTAAATTTTCAAATTCAATACATTCCCCTCACTTAGTATTTAGAGTATCACTTAATTGATTGGACAATTATATGTGAGATAATGTCGGAAGAAACAATTCTTGCACAAAAGTAACTATCTTGCAACAAAAAAATCCCATATATTTATTGATTAAATGGAGTTGAAATGAGTAGACATAGATTTGTTAGAAAAGTAATATTTGTGATGGAGAAATTAACCATTGTCCTTGTGGTAATGTGAAAAGTAAATATCTTGCAACAAAAAAATACTAACGATCAGTTATTCGTCCACTGAGAGAAAAAAAAAAAATCTGTAACAAAACTAAATCATATAAATTTGAATATGGACAAATATCAAATTCCCACAGATCTTTGATTAAATGGAGGTGAATTGACAAGGCGTTAGATTTTGGTAGTCAGCGTAGCTTTTATGGAAACAAAATTAAATTTCCAGAGATTGTGGGTTAAATGGAATTGAATAGAATACAAACATTTTAGTCAGCGGGGAAAATCAATCAAATTCAAGATATTCATAATCTATATAAACCCTCAAAACCATGTCAAATGAGATATTGCATTTTAAAAGAAGCAGTAGCATTAGCGATGAAGAAATCAGCTGTTGTTCTTGTGGTGATTTCGTTCTGTCTCGTCTTGGCTTGCGTCGCCGAAGCTACTGAGAAGGACGAGACCAGAGGGTTGGTGTGGTCTAGAAAATTGGCTGCAGGACAGGAGCCAGTCAAGGTCGGCCTGAAACCGTGGTCGCCATCCCAACGCATCTACTTCGGAATGTTACCGAAAGGCGTTCCGATCCCTCCTTCGGGTCCTAGCAGAAAGGAAACCCCTCCATCGCCTCCCAGATTCGTGTAATGATGATCTTCTCAATGCTCGTGATCTTATATTTGGATGTATGATGCCTTCTTCAGATTTTTATATCTGATTGGGTCATTTGTCATTCAATGCAAACACAATATGATGTAGTATTAATATATCTCAGTTATTTTCCCGTTCAATCTTTTATTTCATCGAATAATTATCATCACTGCAATTTGCAAAAGATTTTGAGTTTTCTTTCTCCAACAGATTACTTTGCAAAAAGCTTGTTAGTATTGAGCACATTGGCATCAAAATAATCTTTATAAGGATGATTCTCTGGAACCAATCTTCGAAACTGCTCGAATTGCTTCTCTGCTTCGTCTTTCTTCTTCAACAACGTATAAATCAGACCTTGGCATAGATACGGCCTATAATCTCTAGGCTCATCTTTCACCAGCTCCTGATAAACCCTAAGCGCTTCAATCGGATTCCCTTCTATGACCCTAATCTGTGCAATCAACAGCATGAAATCGCGAAACTCTTTCTTCTTATTTTCCTTCTTGCATTTCTCCATCGCTTCGCTGATTCTACTCTCGAGCTCTGATATTTTGGATTCGGAATCGGAGTACGCCATTACCAATCCGTGATAAGCTTCGACGCGAAACGGGTCTTTACTCAGAACCTCCTCGAATCCTTTCGTCGCCGAGTCGAAATCGCCGCCGTAGGTATGTACCTGAGCCTTTAGGATTCGCCATTCTTGTTCTTCCGGATCGATTTCGATCAGACGGTTTAGAATCTCCAACGCCTGCTCGAGATTCTTCGACTGGAGTTTGATTTTCATCAGCGATTGAAGAGCTTCAACGTCGTTTGGATGGCTAGAGAGATGCTTCTCGAGCGCTGCTTCTTCCTCTTGTCGCGAAGAGTTTTGGTCCGTTTCGCTGGATTCTTCGGCAGCGAGACCCGCCGCCGTGGATGACGGTGGAGAAGGAGGCGCGATCGGAGCTGCGGTGGCGGGTTTGGCGGCGATGTGTAGGGAAGCAGAGAACAAAGCTGCGGCTGTGGTGAGAGTTACACAGGTTGTTTTGAGCAAAGAGGGTTTAGGGGTCGATGATGAAGGCGAAGACGAAGCCCTAATGGCGCAAGTCCGAGACGGAGGAGGCTTCTGTATGATCTGGTGTGAACTAGGTTTAGCTTGAAATCTACTGCGACTACTGGGCCGTAGGTGGATCGTTTGGCCGCAGAAGTGAAACTTGGCAAGAGACGCCATAGTTGGCTCCTCCGATAAAAAAAACCCTAACGACGGCGATGGGATTTAAGATAGAACGAAGAAGAAGAAGAAGATACCAAAGCGAAAATGCTGTTGAGACTTTAGATTAGAGTATCAAAACGCGTCGTGTTATTTTGGGCTTTTGATAAATAAAGAATTAATGGGCTTGGCAGAATTAATGGGCTTGGCAAAATTAATGGGCTTGGCAGAATAGGCAACAAAAACAGATAATAGTTTGTTTGGTGAGTGTGTTAAGGTAGCCGGTGTATGATAGAAGTGCACAAAGAAAGTTAGATCAGTGACAATGACACACGGGTTTAACCACAAGTCTTGTTCAAATATATGGTTTGTGTTATTGTTTGCCTTTGAACAGAAGTTGTTACCTTATATTCTTACTATATCTCAGATTCCAACAACTCTTCCTAGTTGAACAGAAGATGAGTTTTTGTACAATATATAATAAACCATAAAACCCAAGATCAATAACATCTCACAGTTTTCAAACTAGTTACAAAATGGCAAAACACACTTTAGCTCTCGTGATATCGTTCAGCATCCTCTTCGCTAGTGCCCATGTACTTGATGCAAGCAAGACTAACCTTCCACGCAAAACCAAGGGTCTGCACCGGTCTGGACCTTCTCCAGGGAGTTCGGACAATCCACCTGGAGCTCCTCCAGCAGAAACCACTAGCCGTTTTCCTGTGTCTGCTGTCCCTAGGCTGCCACCAGTAACTCTTTTGTCTGCTGTACCTAGGCTGCCACCAAAAACTCTTTTGTCTGCACCAAAGACTCCTCCAGCAGGAACCACCAAGGATCTGCACCGGTCTGGACCTTCTCGAGGGAGTTCGGAAAATCTACCCGGAGCTCCTCCAGCAGAAACCACTAACAGTTTTCCTGTGTCCGCTGTACCTAGGCTGCCACCAAAAACTCTTTTGTCTGCACCAAAAACTGCAGGCAAAAACTAGACTTTGTTAGGAGTCTTTGTGCTGCAGATAAACATATATGATGTAATAGTCGCCGGTAATAATAAACTATCCCTATTCAGTTCTTCGTAACCTTTTTAAAGTTCGATCTATGCTTGAAACTTTTGATAACCGAGTTACATATTTATTCCGATAAAGACCCGCTAAGAAACTTTTAATCACAGACTAAAGGTGTCATTCTACAAATTCAGCGATTACTTGAGGATAGCGAAAGTCCACATACCCAAAATTTAAGCATATTTCGAAAAATAAACCTTACATAGTTACCTGTTCTTCGTATTAAGGGTCAAATCAAATACACTCTGGAACCAAATCACTGAAACTGCTTGTTGTGTGCTTCAGCCTTACTTCTTCATCAATGTAAACAAAAGATTATACATAGAAATGGCCGAAAATCTCTAAGCTTACCCTTAAGTCCTGATGAATCCTAAGTGCTTTCAACGCTAAATTGTGTAATCATAAGCGTGAAATCGCGAAACTGTGTGATCAATAGCTGTTTCTAGCATGTATCTCTGGTAATTGAGGCTACGACTCGCAGTAACCCGTGATAAGCTTCGACACGAGGCGGAATGTTTGGTCAGAGACACCCCCATAGTTGCGCTAACTCGGAGACCCCTAACGACGCCGACGACGAAGAGATAGAAAAACAGTCATCCTTAGTTTTTGGGCTTTTGGTTACTATTAAATCTCTTACACGACTAATGGGCTTTATAATATTAATGGGCTCTCCAATAATACCAAAAAAACAATTATTTAGTTACAGTGTGTTTATATATAAAGTGAAATCTTGTAGATCAAGAAAGAACCTATCAATACAAAGAAAACAGAATCTCATTGTTGTTGATTAGTTTTTAACCAATTAGTTTCAATTCTAATAAAACGAATTTTCGTGACGCCTAAAAGTTATTCCTTTTTATGTAACCGCTAATATATAATATCAGCATTATTCGAATACACAACACAACAGTCTTAATTGAACAAACAAGAAAACAAAATCCTATCATTTGTATTTGTTCATTGAGAAACCCATCTTCGTCGTATACTCTCGTGAGCTTGTGGCTACAAATTAAAAGTTTGATTCCTCCGCATTAATGAATACTCTCTCCCATTGACCAGGAGATGAGATGTTAACGTTAGAAGAAGTATATGCGAAGGTTACGCAAATAAACTGGAACCGTCGGAAACTCTTTTTTCGTTTAATCAACAAAACATAATTAAAAGAATTGGAACTGCATGCCAAAGAGCTCGGAACTACATGACATTATATACGTTTTCATTGGTACTTCCAAAGTACGTGTCGTTTTAAGCATTTCGTTTTCGTGGTTGCTCTTTTTCTTCATTGGTGCTGTTGTATCCTATCATTTTGCTTTCTATATTAAAAAATATATGAAAAAAGAATTTGGAAATAAAAGAGGGCACCAAATTCGAATCTATTTTGAAGAAACAAGATAGATTGACTTTCAAATCTAAGTACTTGTTTGTCCTTTTAAATTTAGCTAGCAGTGTAAAGGAAAAACCAATTTGGCAAATTCTTATTCCAGTCCCATGTGTAAAATAATAACTTGCGATCCCGGAAAAAAAAATTATCTTGTAAAAGAGAGAGGTATTATTAGATCAAAGTTTTCGTCATAGTTAAGTTTCCATCATAGTTCGTAGTAAATATTGTTGATCCTTAGAGTAATAGCTTTTGGTTATAAATTACATAAGAAGTGAAAAATTAAAAAAAGGTATCAAACCGATCGAAAAACTAGACTGGCCATCTCTAGTACTAGTTAATTAATAATGTGATTTCCTCATTATTTGCGCGCCGTTGTTATATTCGTCAACTATTATTCATTTTCCATCTAATGAAGGAAAACTTATATACATCGAAGAAGAAAATTTAAGAATGGTCCAGTCAGGGTCGGTCCAATCAATAAACCGAAAAAAGCGGAAACTGATTTTGGAAAACAACAAATAAAAAAAGATGAGAGTACTCTTCACCAAACAGACCAAAACTTAGCTTCAACACTGACCCAAAAAAAAAAACGTAACAACAAAACAAAAAAAGCCACCAGAGTTTTTAACAGCCATCACCAAATCCTAACACGCAATCCTATGTAGTGACGAACATTCGCACGTGCCTCCACGTGCCTCCACGTGCCTTCCACGTGGCATCTCCACCATTCGATGCCTGTCCAACACTTTTCTTTCCAGCATTGGTTTTCTTATTACACACGCCTCAAACTAATCAATGTCGAGCTCTACGAAACTTAAAAGAGTTTTACAGCAAATTAGCTACTGTTAATATAGCATGAAAGTACAAAAAAAAGTTAATGGTCATATAGTCTGATAGTCAAATGACTATATCTAAAGTGTTTGAAATTCTATGAACCGAAATCAATTAGTATGTTTCAGTTCAACTGTTCAAGCATGTATGAAATCAAGTTTGTTACCTTGATGTTATAAAACAAAAAAATTGTTACCTTAAAATGGCCACGTATATTTGAAAATAAGCAAATAAGTCATATCGTAAATAAAATCGATTTATGTTTTAAGGTCGATGAAAAATAAAAGTTCCCATTGGTGAAATTATTCATTAATTCCCTACTGAAAATTATGATACATATTTCTATAAGTAGACATAGGATCGCGGTTCATTCGTACATACATATACACACATCCATATATATATGTATGTAAGCAGATGTCGTGATCTTAGATTGTAGTTCGTGAAAGCAAATCTCGGATTCTTCGAGCTGTCTCTTTCTCGGTTGGTATTTCTTCTCTTCTTCTCTCGTAAGCCTCGAAAAACTCTTTGTTCTCTTTCTCTAGCTCCTTCCACACTGCAAAAATTAATCAGTTCTCCACTCTTTATCTTATATACATATACCATTCCATATGTATTTGTGTATATGTGTACCTGTGGAAGTGATGATAGGCTTGATATTAGCATGCTTGAACAGAGCATCCATACACTCTTCTTTGCCCATGTTGAATACGATGCATTCTTCTATCAAATGATGCACCTGCATCCCATAAATACGCATTTATATAGTGTGATGACGGTCGTATATTTATCATATGATCAGCATCAATTGAGAGACAAAACAATCAAGATCAGAGATTGATTTAACAAGCAGGAAAAAACAAGTTTGATTAAATCGGTACCAAATGGATGTAAGATGCTTGTGAGCTATTATGATCACCCATGATATGATAATGATTCAAAGAGTACTTTGTGTTATTTGTAGAGAGAGTAGAGAGATGATGAAGGAAGGGAGAAGAGAGGCAGGTGAGAATAGGGATTTAAAACACTACAAGAACAAAAAAGAAGATGATGGTCATTAAAATATTTATAAGACAACAAATATCTAGAATTTTTATTGTTATATTTCATTGTATATAAAATATAGTCACGGAATGGCTTAAAATGGACAGGATTTGTTTGTTTATTTATGTAATTGATTACATAATAATATTCACTTATCAAATAAAGCTATGATTGTTACTCTTTCTTTTCGTTAAATTGACATGTTTGTGTATTATATTCATGGAATCGCCAGATTCTGTTTATAATACATATATACCGTGAAAAAACTGATAATAAAAAGTAAAGTAAAATATAAACTGAATTTACTTTACTTTTTCCTCATATTTTTATTATCAATTTTCACTTCACTTTACAGTATAGAATATTTCAGTAAATCAACAGACATATTTGTAAATATTATAATTATTAAAATATGATATCCTTAATCTTAACGGCGTGCTGGTTTCTGCTAGTATCAGCTGCTGACTTGTAACATTGGTCTGGTGGTAGGGCCCATTATCTCACGTGGGCTTTTGCTTATGATTGGCTGAGAGGAGATTACGAGAGATTTTACGAAACGGGAATGCATAACTCGTAAGCTTACGTGGCGATGGGCTCGTTTCCCACGTGAAGTGGGACCTACCTAAGCTATAGTAAAAATATGACCGCGTTTTAAATAATAATACTGTTGCTGTTACTAACTTTTACTAATATTTAATCAATTTTTGAATTCTGCCCTGTTGTAAAGCCACCCAATTCCAAACTACTCACAGTGGTTTTCTTTTGGCGATAATTTACATGTTTTTGTTCTTACCAACAATCGAGATTCTCTTAATTCTTACAATTACTTACAGACCGTAATAATTTTATTCACGAAACCAAATTTAAAATGTAGTATAAATGATTCTACTATTGTTGTAGAACATATTTTATCGTTATGAGAGAGAATACGCATTTGATTCTTGATATTTATTGAACATTGTCTATTGTTTTTATTGACCATTTAATTTTCAAATCGCTTCTTTTCAATTCAACTTTCACTGACAAAAACAAATTTGTTACCATTACCGTACTACTTAGCATTAACTACATGTTTCTGATATCCATCTTCAGTTAAACCTTTAATTACATTGAAAATTCACCTTTAACCGATTTGTACTAATGAATGCATTCTCTCGTGACAAGAAAAACAAGAAGGTCAAATCCTTAATTTGATTTGGACTCACCTAACGGAAGTAGGGCGTTGATTTCATGGTTTTTAGTTAGAGCAAATAATAAGGTCACACAACAGCATTGTTGAAGAAAAAAAAAGAGACCATTTTACAATGAAAAGTTTGGCTAAATTTAATAAAGGACTTAGTATTAAGTATTAACAACAACGGTGTCGTTTTATTATATGTAAATCAAAAGTTACCCGTAACTTTTCCAAATTATCCAAACAAGTGTGTATATATGGACTTAAATATATTTAAAGATTAGACAAAAAAAATGCATGGTCCATGGGGCCGGGCAATACGAGTGAGTGTGGTGTGGGTATCCGGAATAGTCAGTTGAGCCATATGGACGGTTGATGTAACCAGAACAAGAGTGGTTATATGATACCATTTTGTAAAAGCAAAAAAGGTTATGTATTTAAACAGTAAATATTTTAGCAAAAAAAAAGGTTATGTAGAAATAAACTTTATAAATAAAAAAAAAGCTGGGGCAGATACACGTTAACATCATCTCGGAAGTAATGGTATCATGCTTTTTTGTTTTGCATTCCAAATAACCCATAGATACAATTCGTTAAATGTCCAACCCGCGATTAACAACCAAGGAACTATTAATCATCCAAAATTTGTCCTATTGCATTTAGTAATCCAAAATGAAATCCCATAATTACGTGTGGAAAACAAAAAACTTACATACGTACACATTCAACTGCTACGAAAAAGTGTGTCGTAGAGACAAATTTATTTCCCAACCCATCATTCCATTCCATCATTACACCACCAATCAAAGCAATAAAATCAAACCAGCCAATATGTGATCCACAAAATTTGATGTACTTGGTAAATTAAAGTAAGAGTTGCAATGAGTTCGATGTACTTAGAAGTTTCCCCACATCTTAGGAAGGCTTTGGTTGGATTCTTGAATCTTTTGGGGGACCACTAAGTTTGGCAACGGTAGTATAATTACCGCCAGCGGGCTTTTACGGGCTTTGTATAAACTTGTTGTTTTTCCTTCTTTTTTAGGTTGATATTGTTGCTTATCACTTGTCTATCCTTAAGTTATTGTTTTCGAATGGATAAACGTTAGGTCATTATTCACGTGGATAAGTGGTGGAGAAGTTGCACTATACCGCTTTGGAATTTCAATGAACGTAGTTGTGTCTGTTGAGATATCTGAGGTGAAGTTTCTGGAGTTTCTGGGAAAACACTAATCAAAAGTGTGTTCTCCAAGAGTTTACAAATACTGAAGAGCTACGCAACAATATGATTGAGGAGCTTATGGACCAGTATGGAAGGTTTGATCTTGTCATAGGCAGTAGCCTGTGTAACAACATTTCCAGAATTAATCGGGTTGGTCAGAACGGATTTGAAGGAGAACACTTTTCACTGTTCTATAATTATTGCAGGCTTTTCGAAAGTTATTTTCTATCTAATGCAATACATTGGCAGTATATATATATGCATACTCCTCTATTTATAAACTTATTTAAGGTAATGTTAATGAATATTTACACAAGTAATCCTGCTAGAAAATTATTGTAGAAAGTAGAAACAGCTGAAATTATTAGTCTAGGAGAAAATGAAAATCAAAGCCAAAGAAAGCTATGACTTCACTTTCGAAAAATAAGAATTTTGCTAAGTGATTATCAGAATTTAATTGGTAAACTTTTGTCATATTCATAATAATTTTGATTTAAAAGTTAATACTAGCTGAACGGTTGAAGATGTAGGTGATAAAATGTAAACCGAATAGAAATCACATTCTTTTTTTTAACAACTTGTATGCATGCAATTAAATAGTTGCACAGAAAAAGTACATTTTGAGATTTTTTGAAGATGTAGATTTCTTAACTACCATAAATAGATTGACTATGGGTGATGAATATATCCCTAATGTGTGAAGAATGTCTCAAATTTGTTGTAGATCATCCAAATAACACTTATGGTATGTAAAAACGTTTCTCAATTGACTTTTGGATTGATTTTGTGGTTCTAACGATTTATATCATATTTTTCTTTCTTAGAACAAGACTGATGCAGCTGAATTTGACACGGTTAATAAGATGCACCTATAAGCAATTGAGAAGAACCATATTTTGATCATTGTTAAGAACAGTGATTTCCATTTTCCCTATTTTAGTAGTTTTTCTATTTTAATCTGAATGTCGCAACTTCAAAGTGTCTTTTTGGATATAAAATTCTCCAATTCCTTTTTAGTTCTATTGCTTTTTAAGTTTATTTCCAAAGTCCTAAACTTTGAAGCTGGTGGCTAAAAACGCCTTAAGTTGCAAGAACTTTGATCTCACCACAAAAAAAGTAAAGAATAAAGACAATTGCAATTTCGGAAAATGTGAAATACGAGATTAAAATAATCCCTAAAATAATCCCAAGCTCGATGGCAAAAACTCAAAAAGAGAAGGTGAAGAAAGATTGATCATTCCTAAGTTTATGCGTGTGGCGACTTAATTTTCCGGCCTAAACTATTTTCTCCTGTCCTTGTTTATTTGTCACAAGGCCCAATAAAGCCCGAATAAACCCCCCGACTCCAGTGCAGCGGCAAAATAGCCAGCCGTTAATTAGTATGATAACTATTAATCATCTGACGATTAAAACACAGACACGTAAGCGATCCGTGTCATATTTCAGAATCCAATTACAACCATTCCACGAAACGTATATATTAGAAATCGCATGGTTCAAATCGTAATCAACCTTTTTCACAGTTTGTTGAATTCCACCGATAATGGCGCCGAAGGCAGAGAAGAAACCGGCGGAGAAGAAACCGGCAGAGGAAGGACCGAAGGTGGAGAAGAAGATAACGAAGGAAGGCGGAGGGAGCGAGAAGAAGAAGAAGAAGAAGGCGAAGAAGAGCACGGAGACGTACAAGATCTACATCTTCAAGGTGTTGAAACAGGTTCATCCAGATATCGGGATATCGGGGAAAGCGATGGGGATCATGAACAGTTTCATCAACGACATCTTCGAGAAACTCGCTCAGGAATCGTCGCGTCTCGCTCGGTACAATAAGAAACCGACCATCACCTCCCGCGAGATCCAAACCGCCGTCCGTCTCGTTTTGCCCGGCGAATTGGCCAAACACGCCGTCTCGGAGGGAACCAAAGCCGTCACCAAATTTACAAGCTCCTAAGACCCGATTCAGAAATTTAAGATCGATTGTTTTGTTTGTTAAATCTTCTCTCATCTGATCCAACTCATGAATAATATACAGTGTTCATATCAGTTCTTCGTTTCTTCTGATTTGGGAAACCAATTTTGCTGCAATTTCGTATGATTAAAAATAAGATCAAAAATATATGAAATGTACCATATCTTATTGCAAGCAGGACATTGTCTCGAAATCACAGCGACAACCAGGTTTTTATGAACGTGACACATTTTGTTTACAAGTAAGAGATGTTATGTCTTTACATACATACAGAGAGAGAGAGAGGGAGAGAGATAATTACGAGGCCTTCTTAGGGGATTTGGTAGCCTTTGATGGTGACTTGGGAAGTTTTGCAGACGAAGAAGATGCTTTCGCAGACTTGTTTGGGAGGAGAATCGGGTTGATGTTTGGCAAAACGCCACCGTGTGCGATTGTGACGCCTTTGAGCAGCGTCCCTAGCTCCTCGTCGTTCCTCACGGCTAACAGAACATGGCGTGGTATGATACGATTCTTTTTGTTATCTCTCGCAGCGTTACCAGCAAGCTCAAGAACCTGTATTTGACAACATTTATTTATGTGATCGATCATCAGTCTCTTTTTTTTTTTGACATTCAGAGATTCATGTGGATTCACTAAATACATTTGTTGAAAAGAGTAATCTGAAACATGCACAAGCATTTGCAATATCACATGATGATTCTCAGTGTAGTTTACTTGAATATCTATGGTTATCAATGGAAGAACCCGGAATTGAGGAATGGTTTTCTATTATATTTATTGTTTCCCGATAAAATTTGGAAGAAAAGTAATCTACTGTATGAACGAGATGAAACATTCTAAAATAAACCCAGATGGTCAACGAAACATTAGTACCTAATACCAGGACAAAAAAAACCAGAAATTCCACAATAATTCAAGCCAAAATCGAAGAAATTTCGACAATTCCGATGATATAGAATTTTAGATAGCTGATCTGAAAATAAAAGGACCTCAGAAATCTGATACCTCAGCTGCAAGATACTCGAGCACGGCGGCGAGATAAACCGGAGCTCCGGTTCCAACACGCTTCGAATAGCGACCTTTCTTCAGATACCGGCCGATCCTACCGACCGGGAACTGTAAACCGGATTTAACCGACCGGGAAACAGGTTTCTTTTTGGGACCTCCGCCTTTTCTTCCAGCCGCTCCTTTTTTAACTTTGGATCCAGAATCCATAGCGGACTTACGAAAGGTTTGATCTGAGCTATCGGAATCTGCAACAGAGAAGATAGCTTTCGCGTGCGAATGAGGTTTGGTTGGTTTTTCGGTTGATGAATGTTAGCCTTCTGATCAGAGATAAAATCAACGGCTGTGGATTGCTGATTTGGCAATCGTTGGAAATGTTTTTCAATTAATGTTTTTTCCTCAAAATCAAATCTCAGGTTTACAAAAATGATTAGACGATAAAATCATGTTACTAATCACTTTTGTGTAACATCGTACGCCTTGCATATTCACATATTCACTAATCATTTTTGTAAACCTGAAACCGAGATTTTTGTTTTCAGGAAAACATTGACAGTGACTCATATTCACTAAAATTATCTTTCAAAGTTTTAGGTAAAAGTTTATTGTCAGTGCATTATATCGACTTTAAATTAAAAACTTTGAAAGACAACTTTTAGGGGTAGAGAGCTAAATGTTAATGAAATTTTTTTTTGTTGGTCAAGTGAAAGAATCTTTTCTAAGTTATCTAAATTACTACTGCTTTTATGTCTTGTTTCCCAAAAATACTTACAAAGCTGTTGAAATACTATCGGAAAACAGTTTTGTATTTTGTAGTTTTAAATGTCTTTCTTCGACGTATTAATTTGTAAACAATAACTGTCAATTCATATTATAAGTATATTCTTTAATTTTGTAGTCAGCGTATGTATTTGTGAAATCACCATTTTTGTGTACTCATTTAAATCAATCTTATCAACTTGAAAATTCAGACTCAGGAAATTAAATACATGTTTGCAAACGTGTCTGTCGTATGGCTCTATGGGACGACTTATAACAACATTTACTTCCAATGAGACTGACATCTCCTCACATGGGGGAGAAATGTTTGTCTTCTAGACAGGAAAAAGAAATGAAAAAATAATTGTGGGTTCTTAATTTAATGTTAAAAAAGCTTATCGGAAGTTTTAATTATCTGTCAGACCTATTATACTACATGTTCTCATCAAATGCAATGAACTTTGTTTCCACTAAATGCAATGAACTTTGATGGTTATTGGACAAGTTTACGATTAATTACAATTACATTTTTCAACATTTCAGTACGTAAGACTATTCAGATATGTGATTCACTATGTTTAGTAGTATTATTGAATAATTCTGTATTTTCCCACACCACGTGGATTCCTGTATCTGATGGATATACATTACAATTTATATATACCACCTAAAACAAACTATACGGAGTACAATTTTATGGTCAACCTTAGTTATAGATTTGCCTAACTAAAGATAGATTATAGCCGTTTAGGTAACTGGTATAAAACTACAGTTTGCACCATTTTTTGACTTTTGGTCAAAATCATTAGCATGCACACGGAGCACAAAAGGTATGGAATATAATGGGGATTTTTTATATTAAAAAAAAATGAATATATGGAGATACTAGTGGTGCTGATTTGGAAAGAGTTTTGATATATATTCACAGTGGCTTTGAAAGGATGCTGAGACCCGAGGATTTATTATCTTCTGTATATAGATTTTTTTTAAATGGAAGTGAATATTAGAAAATTTAATTTCATCATTTTAAACAGTAAATTAATAAATAAAAACAATGGGCATTTTCAACAACAAAAATCATGGTCATGTCATAATATCTTTCATTGATAATTCAAATTGCAATAAAATTAACGAGCTTTTAAAATAATTAGCTACATACAAAATGAATAAACTTTCAAAAACATATATATATATATATATATTTTTTATATAGAACTTCTTTACTATATTTTGTTAACATTATTATAAAATGTTAACAAAATAATAAGTATAAATTTATATTATATAAAAATTAATATTTTGTAGAAATATTTTTGTGCTCGATTTAAATACATTTTTGCTATTTATAATATAAAATATTATGAGATACTTAATATAAATTAATTATTCTAATTAATATAGCATTTATTTTTATGTCAAAATAATTTAAATTGCGTAAATAATATGAAATTTTTGTTATTAAAAAATTTAAAAAATATATTTAATAAACAAGTATTTTTAAGTATTAAATTTACCCTACATTTATACGTATACTCAATTTATGATGAAAAGAAAAGTTATCCAAACGTAATACAAATTAATTCTCCTAATTAATATGATATCTATTTTTTAATATTTAAGATAATTTTAACAACATAACACGAAATCTATATTATAAAAATTATTGGAAAATGTATTTAACCAGTCATTCTAAGTGATACATGTTTTATCATTTTTGTTAGTATATATGACATAGTCAGATTCCATATTTTCATTCAATTTTATGATAATTGTTGGTAAATCTTTTATGTCATATTCAAAATGTATGAAAATATTTCCATTTTTTAAAGAATATACTACTAGAATTTAGATTTTACGAATACACGCCCTCAATTTGGATAATCACTGTCTACCTAACCCAATTGTTTTCACCCTCTTTATATAAATCTCTCCATCTCTCACTACCGATCTCATCACTTACAGAAACACAAAGTCTCTCTCTATAACATATCTCTCTGCTCCCATTCCTTCTTGTCTGAATCTGTAACTAACCATGTCGGAGAGACCAAACCGTCACCAGCGAAGACCTTCTCAGAGCGTTTTCCCGATCTCCCTCGAGGATCTCTCCGACATCTCTCTCGCAGCAAATCCTCCCTCCTCCGCCCCTTCTCAGCCGCCGCGCCATCAGATCCCTCCGCCGTCTCCAGCGGCTCCTCCGACAAACCGTAGCAGCAATGATGACAATGCTAGCAAGGAAGGGAACGCCTCTTCTAATTGATTTCGCTTTTGTTCCGTTGTTTTTAATTAAAGTTTCAACCTTTTAATCATCATCGCTTTTGTTCTTCTTCTGTTTTCTTTTTGTAATCCCCCTTAATAATCAGATTTTCTCTTCCGTTAATTAATCTTATAGTATTTGATGATGAATCAATAGTAATTTCGTATTTGAATGTGTTTACTGATTTCGGGCTTCTGGTGATGTTTATTGAATGACGAATACGAGGAATAAGTTTAATTTTTAGTTTATAACAAACTCAGGTTGAAACAATTGATAAATCGTGACAAACAATTTACTGAGCCAGAACTGTTATTTTTCGTGTAAACGTTAAGAAAGTACACAATAGTGGAGAATTTCTTCGAATCTTGTATGTTATGGTTGACGTTGACCGAGAGATTCGTGGGTCTTCTCTGTATGAAAAGGCTTTGAAGTACGAAAACAATAGCAATATTAAAATATGATCAATAGACTCGAAACTCATCAATACTGATAATCAATTAGTAACCTATATGAATATTTAAATTACTCGACTCATATATACTTAATTGCTTATATATTATGTGTAAATGATCTCTTCATCTTTTTTAAAAAAATGTTAGAGACAAATATACATAAAAGAACATACAAAAGAAAACTGTGTTGAAGAAAGAGACAAAATGTTAACTGATGTCTCCATTGAGCACGCAGATCAGATATTTTTTCTTTTCTTTTGTCTTTTTTATTTGGCTTTCAATTTTCTTTTCTTTTGTCAATCGAACATCTATTGAAATTGTTTCATTTTTCTAAATTAAGTTCTTAAATGAATACTAAATATTAGGTTTCAATTACGTTTGGCACGTGTTGGCCAAAGTCACATTTTTTGTGAAACCTAATATTTATGATTATCCATTTATAAATGACAAACGAGAGTGGTACATAAGTTAGCTTAACAAAATAGTTTAACTAGAACGAGGCATGTAAGGGACCAAGAGTAAAGTGCAAGTGCAACCCATACATACACAAATACTAGTTTTTACAACCTTTTTCTATATGTCATCATGACATCTTGTCAACAAATATTCCAATAATACTGTCATGACTGATATAGTTATCAAACATAACATTGTCAATAGTATTTTCAAAGATGGGTTATTACAGCTTGGAACTGAGCACAGAGCTGTCGACCTGTTGCAACCATCAGAATTCATGTGGCCAGTAGTTTTGGTCGCTATAAAGATTGATCATTTTTGCTGAAAAATAGAATTGTTGGTGTTGTGTTAAGTGTATATAATAAACATCGATTAGTCGCTGTGAAGATTAGCAAGCCCTTATTTATATCCCCCATTATTATCAGATGGGGAAAAAAGTAAGCGAAATGATTAAGGTGGATCCAATTTTATCGGGAGAAGACTAGCTAATGCATGGGATAAGATTCCGTCGGTGTTTCCCAACGACAATTAAGCAACTAAAAAGAAAGAGAGCTATACTTTTTCTTGGGGGGTCATCAACACTAACACTAACACTATACAAACATCTTTTCCTAACATTAATATTATTGCCATCACTTTTCCTTTGAATTGATTTTGTTACAGTTCGAATATATGTTTTAATACTATCTATCTTTTGGTCAGCAATATCCAGTGCGAGAATAAAGGTAAAAGTCGGAGAACAAAAGAAAAAGTGAAAAGACAAGTAACCAAAGCCACAGTATCCTCATGCTACTTACATATATATCTCATAAACAAAAGAATGTATCATCGTTTGATTGTAACTGGGCATCATTTTGGTTACTTGTATATATCTTGATATATGAATCTCATCTGATAACTCAACTACAATAGAACACTTTCGAAAGTTTGATCAAATTGTTTTGTAACTCATGAGTCAATTTACAATTGCTAATGAGTCTTTTCAATTTCCTTGTCTTTTTACAAATGCTATTTACAAAATAAAATATTTTCGCAAAGAAAAACAAAAAAATTCCGTCTGCTTACACAAGTTTGGAAAGAGGTCAAATTTGCATATTTTACACAAGTTTGGAAAGAAGTCATATCTGCAATTTTGCATATTACTTTGTTTTTTTATCCCAAAAGAAGGAAAAATGAAAACGTGTGACCACGTGGTTGCAAGGAATCACGTTTTGGTGAGTGAGGCTATGTTTGTACTGGGGACCCAGCCCAACTAACATCGTTAAAGGATGTCGTTAGAAAGCACATAAACTAAACGTTCATTTTTTTCGGATTTTATCGCTTGAGACTTTGAGTTGGTTACGTTATGAACCAGAATAAACCGAAATCCAGCTACCACTGGGACGAAATAAACCGAACCATCCCATCTCTTTCTTGTTTTTTTTTAGTTGTTAGGTTAGAGAGAAACATGGAATAATCAAGAGATGAACAACCATTTTTTATTGTCCACACTATATTAAAAGATTAGCACGGTTACATGCATATTCACTCCATAAAATGTATTGGAAACAAGGTACATCACAATATCACATCCAAATCCCACACATGCTTTACTATAATTTTTTTTCACTCTTGATTAACTTTTAAGTAACAAGAAGCAAATCTTAGTTCCATTAACTGGTTTCCTCGAAACCCATGTAGTTCTTTTTAGAAACCGAGTTGATGAGCTTGACGCTGAAATCCCAGAGTTTTTGCCCCAAAGTCTCATCTCTAGCAAGTTTGCTTGGAGTGACTTGATTGCAATCTGCAAAGTACTTTCCTGTCACTCCCTTCACACTTGGTTGCAGAGCAACATAACATGTTGTAGCTGCTCCCTGTCGACATAACAACATTGAGCATCACAATCTTGTTCTCATAGTCTTAAAAACATATATTGGATCTTGAATTTGTCTAGTATATAGTACCTGAGGTATATTTTTCCACAAATAGAAGCTGAAGAACTTCAAGAACCCTGTTGAAAAAGGGGGTTAAATTAAATTAAGTAATAGTGAAAATAAAAAAGGAATAATCTGAAGAAAAATAGAGAAAGAAATTTACTCATCAATATAGCAGTGTGTTGGAAGAGATTGGTGAGGATGAGACCTGGGTGAACTGAATTCACTGTTATGTTCACTTTCTCTTCCTACCAAACAAAATAATGCCACAACAAGTTTTTGAGTTCTTAATTTCTTTTAATCTTATGATTTTGTGATCCCTAACATCTAATAAGTACTAACACTTTGATATATATATGTTAATTTGTTTGTGTGTGAAGGCGACCTGAAGTTGACGGGAGAGCTCATTAGCGTGCAATATATTGGCTAGTTTTGATTGTCCGTAAGCTTTTTTATCCGAGTACCTGAAAAAAAAAAAAGATGGTCATAAGATGCAGTGATAATCGTTTAAATCACTGGAGGTTTCTAAATTCTAGGTTAATTTAACTATCAAAACAACTAAATGTATACATATAACTTACCTGCAAATGTCATTGATGCTGTCGAATTGGATTCCTTCTTTGTAAGTATAGATATGAGCTATAGATGATAGATTCAAAATTCTTCCTTCGACACCACTGCTTTTAGCTGTGCTCTTCATTGTGTCTAGGAGCAAGTTGGTCAACAGAAAATGACCTATATAGTATAAATTCAACAGTTTAATATTTCAAATTTTAGGTTTATTTTCTGAAAACACATTACTAAAGCTTCTTGAAAAAAAATCCTTTTAAAAATATACTATAATTTACCAATGTGATTAGTAGCAAACTGCAATTCGATTCCATCTTCAGAGAGTTGGTATGGACAGAACATTACTCCTGCATTGTTTCTGCAAACAACGTTTTTTCGCACAATTTATATCGATACAAAATCCGGTACAATGTATCCGGTTAATTTTTATTTACAGGAACCACACAATCTAATGATTAAAAAAAAAAAAATTATTGCTGGGGCCGGTCTGCGCGTCTAGGTGGGTTCAGCTCGTGTTTTCTGGGGCTGGGATTAATAATGGTCCCCCCAACGGTACCCACATTGAAATGGTAACATTGATAACATGAATAGCTATTAAATGGGTAACACATTAAAATAAACATTCTACAGCAACTACAAGTTCACAAAGAATACACTAACAGCGACTAAATGTTTAGGGCTATTATAACGTTTTTTATGTTAACTGAAAACCAATTAACTTTTTTTTTTTTTTTTGAATGGTTAACGTTGGATGATGTTAGGTATTCTTATTACTGAGGTGTAAAATAAATAGTAGATGAAGGGTAACAAGGCGAAAAACGTTGTTGTTGTGAGTGTGTATACACCATTTCAAGACCAGTATCAACGATGCAAACGCTAAAGTTGGCGGTCCAAACGTTTTTAAAGGGCGAGAAAGAGAGAGAGAGAGAGAGTAGAAAGAGTACATGAGGAGATTGAGAGGAAGCTGGAGGGCGTGAAAGTCACGAACAAAGGCTCTGATGGATTTCAAGGAAGAGAGATCTAAGTGGAGCAGTGTCACACGTGCGTTTGCGTTTTGTCTGAGAATCTCGGTTTTGGCGTTTTCTGCAGCTCCCATGTTTCGGGCACCAATTACCACATGAGCACCTCTCTTCGCCATTACCCTCGCTGTCTCCATCCCTATCCCTCCCGTCCCTCCTATTACAATAATCACAAATGATCAAATCCAAATCAATTTATTTTTATTTAAATAATTTCGCATCCTTTTATGTTTTTGCGGTTGCGATTGCATTCCTCTACGATTTGTGTATTATGACCGAAACATGGTCTAATCATCAAAACTCGAATAAAACGAATTCAGCAAGAGTAAAAAACACAACAATGTGTCTAGTGATTAATGATTTTATGGTATCATAACTATAATTGGCATCTTAACATTGATAGGTAAACACAGTCAACTTATTATATGTATGTACCTGTGATGATTGCAGTGAGATGAGTTGCATCGATCCCTTGAGTAACCTCTTCAGCTGTTGAAGCTGAACCAAACCCACTTGGTCCCCTTTTCCCTGTGATTAGTGAATATAGTCCCATTTTCCCTAGATAGATCTCTGTATTTACTGATCTGCCCTTCAAGAACCAATATGAAAGAGAGAGGGGGAGAGACAAAAGAAGAAAAAGAAGAAGAAGAGAGGTTTGAGAGAATAATGTGGTACTATGAGAGAAGCATATATATAAGTGGCAAAGAGTTTCCTTAATGCCTTTTTTTTGGTGCCTTCTAGTTTCATCGACCTTATTACGTGAATGTGTTGGGACCGGAATGGGTCTGTGAATAGTAAATACACACTATCAGACTCTACCCCATCCACACTAAAATTAAATATATATTACATAATAAATACTATATTTTAAATAAAAATTTGTCACGATCGATGGTGCATGCAGCATACTCTAAATCAAGTTAAGGAGAAGTTTGTATTTCTCTTCCGAAAGAGAAAATGCATGTCAAATTAAGCATGTCTATTTCTTTTAAGTCATTTTCGTCTATTAAACCCTGCAATTGGGTTCTCGCTTTCAAATTATTCGAATAGGCAATTATTTTTTATTTATAGTAAATAATTTATAGTAACAATGTCTATTTATTCAAATTATATGAAAGGAATAGTTGCCGGTATCAAATTAAGCATGTCTATTTCTTTGCAGTGTGTGGAAAATGATATATAGTTTTAATTTATTTGTTGCTATCAAACAAGTTTTTTTCTTCTGCCAGACCGGAATTTAAAACCAAAAATAAAATAAGTATACATCGTAATTTTTCGTTAGTAGTTGTGGTAGTATCCGCCAGATCGGTTTTAAATTTTTAATACACATTTGGGGATTGATGATTAATCCAAATTAAAAACAACTGGAGGGTGTTAAGGTGAGTAAACTAGTCGAATAAACTAAATGTGGAAACAAAAATAGGGTTGACCAAATTATTAATGAAGGGTTGGTGAGAAACCGTTGGTTACTACTATACAATTGTTCATCGACTTGACATCCTTCTTTCTTCACATGTTTCCAGTGAGTGTGTTACCACTTACCCAAATCCTTCCTAATTAATGTAGAAGAATTTCTTTTAACTAACCATCTAGTTAATTTTAATTTTTTTTAACAATATAGGGAGGTTATACAATTAAAGCCACGACTGTAGTAGTTTAAATTCTTAACCAACAAAATTAAAGTTGTTTGGGTTGGTTCCTCCATGTAGAGAATACCGTAAACGGATATGCTTATAACTAAATCCAAAATTTCTATACATAAAGATGTAAAAAAAAAAGTTGTATTTCTAACATATCTTGAAACTGAAATTAGACTGTGTCACATAGCACATGCGTAATCTCTTTTCAACTCGAGAAAAATGTTCGACTTCCAATAATGCATGATCAACACACTTATATATATGATGGAACAATAAAAATAACTACACTAGAGTTTTAGATGTATCAAAGAAATTTCGTGTTAGACTATAATTTAAAAAAAAAAAACATAGCTAAGAATGATCAAATTATAAATTCAGCAAAAAACAAAAATGATCAAATTAGGTTTTTATGATGATTTTAAACGACCAATACTATTCCATATGAAAAGCTGTTTTTTGTTTGATCAAGATATTTCTCTATTACAAACCTAGATCATACCTTTTTCTATATTAATAACAATACTATGAAAAAGAAAACCAAGTTAAACCTATGTAAGACAATATTTTGATTGGCTTAGGAAGAGCAGAAATCTTAAAAAGAAACCCATTAAACTTTACTCTAACGTTATGCAAAAAAATGAAAAATACTAAGTCGGTTGAAAAGTGTTGACCGACAGTTAAAATGGGGTTGTTATTGGTTCTTGTATTTTAATGGATTCGAGAATCCAAACTAAATATAATGTTATTGATTTTTGTATTTTAAAATTTATATTGAAATACAATGTTATTGGTTCTATGATTTTAAAATTCATGAATCGATTGGAATGGAATGAGAAATCTATTTCTTCACCTTTTTGCTAATAACCATGAAATATGGATTAAGTGGAACGGAATTGACTGGGGTGGTAGAGTTGTAGAAACAATAATGAAATACAGTGTTATTGGTTCTATCATTTTAAAATTTAAATATTATAAGAAATTGAATTTTAATTGAATTTGAATGGATTTGGAAGGATTTTCATAACTAAAGTACAAAGACCCAAATACAAAGTATAACCTTGGTATTTGAATGAATTTGATTTTTTTCTATTTTACTGATTTTAAAATCAATAAATTTTTCAAATCCAAAAAAAATATATAAATTCACCAAAATACAAAAACCAATAACTCATAGTAAGATAAATTAATTATACAGAATGTATTATTCTATATTCTATTCTAACTCTTAGACCCAGCTCATAGGTGTTCCTTTCACTTCCCGTAATTCCAAGTTCAGAGAATCCAACTTAAGAGATTTGGATTTATTGATTTGTCTTGCCCTCCAAAAATTGATTGCTGGGAGCCTGATAATGACACCGTTAGGTGTAATTAATTACTTTGGCCCAAATTGGCGGGAAAAAAAATGACAGTTAGGTGGTAGATTTACACAAGAGCACACACACCACTATCGAGATTAATGTCATATTTATTATTATTATATGCAACATAGCTACAATTTGTTTCTTCCATTTATAGCTGTATGATGTAAAACAGAGAATTGAATAACTTGTACTGGTAGTTGAGATCATTAGTTTTTTATTTACTTCAAAAGTTAAGTCAATATTTTAAGATTAGTTTAAGAAGATTTAGGATATTTTAAGAATATTTGATTTAACTTTTAGTATTAAAAAGAAAAACGAACCAGTGGCCACCGTATACCAGTTTGCAACAAAGAATTAGTATTTTGTTTGGCCTGCAACAAATCAAACCTGATGGCTGGTTAATAGAATATACCAACCTACATTTAATTATAACTGTTCCAGTAAAAAAATATAAAAGAACATAGCCAATTATATCGCTAGATCTCAAGTCTCGCCGATAGTCGAAATAATAGAATAATGAAGGCATTTACTATTTTCAGCGGTGAGTGGCACATGACGTCCGGCTCATGGCATAGCGGAGTGATGTGACCATGTGACACTGTGAGTCATCATCTAGATTGAGACTTGTTATAAAAAATTAAACATATCGTTTTCTTCGACCAAGATAGAATTCACATATCGATTGCATTTTTCATAATTCGTTTGAAATTCAACGTAAGGCGCCAGGCTAATTATTTTTATCGTTATAACGAAGAACAAGAGAGAGAATCACATGTATTTTTCGTTGAATAGCGACGCAAAAAATGTGTTTCCCAAAAAGAGAAAAAAAAACTTGTATTTGCCAACGTACTACTAATATTATTGTGTATCTGTATGTAATGACTACTACATACAGTTTCCATACAGTTCCCATACTCATGCGTGTGCACATCTTTGACTTTGACATGGGCGGGAGATAAAGGGATATAAAGAAGGGGGTGTGTATATACTACTATATAGTATATACGATGAATTTATACATACGGTGAATAAATTAACATGGATCACAAGGGGCCCATATTTGGGACCACATATATTTATGTCTTCAATAGGCCCATTAAGAAGCCGAGACCTCTGTAGCCGAAAAGTAAGCGTGGCATTTGTCGTAATTCTCACCGAAAGTTGTATGTAACAGTACTAGCCCATACTACGTCCGGCTGGAGCAGACAAAAAGTTGGATAAGGAAGAACAATTGACTTTAATATATTTTAAATTAACTAGATTATATATATATATATAAAATCCATAAGAGTTATTTATATAAAATCCTTAAGAGTTATTTCAACGAAATATGCCAAAATGGTTAATATGTACACTTGATGAGTTCTTTGATGTCGTTTATATGCAGGAATAGAAAATCATTAGCCTAATTATACTGTATAGTATATATCCATATAATGAATATTGTATTATAAATGGCTTCTGTATAGTGAAAGGAGTTTAAGCCTTAAGGCCCCCGCCATGTTGATGTTGGGTTCTAAGAGTTTATCGCTTTAAAGTGATGATGAATGTGGAGAAGCCAATTTCATCATTTACATATTTAGACTTATTCACTTCATTTTCAATTAAATTATATTGATTTTAAACATTTCTTGTAGGTATGGATGAAACAACTATTGAACAATTGTGATGGTTGCTATTTTTAAGTTGGGAACGATTGATTCATCTCCTTCAATATTCCCTGGAAATCCCATCGATTTTCTAAAATGAATATGTCGAACGAGCTATCATCTCAAAAAAGAACTCTGAAAAATTTTATCAAGACGCTTGAACTGATCAATATTGTATAAATATTAGAAATCTGTATTTGCTGGGATTGCAAAAAAAGTAAAAAATAACTTTGACAATTTTTGGAAGAAAACCAGAATCAACACTCCTAACGGCTTCATCTATGGCGATTTGTTAATTGCTATGTGATCTCATTTTACTTTTATTTTCGACTGTCTTTTTTGAGTTATAAATGACTTTTTGTCTTAGAATTTAGGAAATTGCATAAAAGGAAGAGAAGTAATCAAGAGATAAATAAGCCACTTATTTCTGCTGTTGATAAAATCTTCAGAATAAAGAGATAATAAGCCACTCAAGCAGCGAAAAACACTAAAAATTAACTTTGATGATAAACTGATGAATTATCTAAACAAAAATAATTTAACATTTTGACCAAAAAGTGAACCAACTGAAATAAATGTAATTATTACATAATTAAAAAGAGTAAATGGAGACGGCTAGATATGATTACAAGAGCCCGCGGAGCCATGAGAGAATCAGACGAAAGATATAGGTAGCCCATATATATAAAATTCCAATAGGCCCGTTAAGAACTCAAGGGTCTTTTTACATAAAGTAAGAGTTTATGGCAGCAAAACAAATTTCTACTAAAACTGCGTGGCATTTATTGTAATTTATCCCGAGAAGATTTTAATTAACAGCATCTCTATCTCGGATCGTTGTTTTTCCTCTTCAATTTATCACTGCAACAAAAGCCCTAGCTGCTTTCTTCTTCCTTATCGATCTCGGACGCAGAGAAATCTCCGGCGAAGCGAAGATGGCAGGTGGCTTGGACATGTCGCTTGATGATATTATCAAATCGAATCGAAAACCTACGGGATCTCGTGGCCGAGGCGTTGGTGGTAGTAGTAGCGGTGGTCGCGGATTCGGCGGTTCGGGTTCCGGATCCGCTCCGTCTCGCCGATTTGCTAACCGCGTAGGAAACAGAAGCGTGCCGTATTCAAGGGTCAGCGATTGATTTTTATCTCCTTTACATCTTCCTTCCAAAATCAGAAAATTCCGTAGAGAATTCATTAGGGTTTTTATATCGGTTGTGAAAAGAAAAAAATGGAAAAAAAGTTGAGATTTGTCTTCGTTTCTTCTTTGACGAACAAACAGCCGGTACAACAACAAGTGGCTCAAGATGCGATGTGGCAAAACGACGTTTTCGCCACTGACGCGAGTGTGGCGGCGGCTTTTGGGCATCAGTCGGCAGGTATTGGCGTTGGCGTTGGCGTTGGCGGTTCTTCAATCGAGACTGGAACTAAGCTCTACATTTCCAACTTAGATTACGGCGTCTCTAACGAGGATATCAAGGTTTTCCCCCAATCTGTATTTCATTCTTTGTGCTATAGTTTCAGCCTCGGCTAGTAGAAAAACTGTTGCCTTGAAGGTAATCTAGAGCTGGGTTTTTGTTTTTAGGAGCTCTTCTCAGAGGTTGGTGACCTTAAGCGATATGGGATTCACTATGACAGGAGTGGAAGATCGAAGGTACTTGATAAGCTTTCTACTGCTTCAGCGATAAACTAATAAAATGTACTTGTTAAGCTTTCTACTGCTTCAGCGATTTGCTATCAAAATCGCCTTTGTCCTGATCAAACGGAATGCTTTCAGGGTACTGCTGAGGTTGTTTTCTCACGGCGTGGCGATGCCTTGGCAGCTGTGAAGCGTTACAACAATGTTCAGTTGGATGGAAAGCTGATGAAGATAGAGATTGTTGGAACTAATCTTTCGGCTCCAACACCTCCACTTCTTGCTCCAGCTCATATACCTTTTCCTGCAAATGGGATACTTGGGAACTTCAGTGAGAACTACAACGGGAACTACAACGGGAACTTCAATGGAAACTTCAGGTTTGTGCTGTTTTTTCAGTTATGATTTCGCAAGGGATCTTTTGATATGGCTGATGCGTTGTTCTTGAGTTAGTATCTTGAGCAAATGGCTTTTTAGTTAGACTGGAGTTATCAGCTTATAGGTTGATTACCTGAACCCTTTTGGTCGTATTAAATGTTTTGTATAACTTGGTATGCATACAGAGGAAGAGGAAGAGGAGGTTTTATGGGGCGGCCTCGTGGTGGTTTTGGCGGTGGTAATTTCCGTGGTGGTAGGGGAGCTAGAGGAGGAGGAGGAGGTGGTCGTGGCAGTGGCAGAGGACGCGATGAAAAGGTATCTGCAGAGGATCTTGATGCTGAATTGGACAAGTACCACAAAGAGGCTATGGAAACAAGTTAAAGGAGCGACTAAATCCTTTGCAAGACTATGTATTCCTTTAGTGCATTATATGCTTATGTATGAGTATCATCTTTAGATTGATGATTGATGTCAATGGGTCTGACATTTTCGGGGTTTAGCTAAATTTTATTTTTAATCTCTTTGTGAGTTTTTTTTTGCGTTTGCAATTGAGTTCAGAGATACAAGCGTTGTGTGTGCCGTGGAACTCAAAACTCTTCTAATTTAATCTACTGTCTCTTGAAACTTATATGCATCTTCAAATGTAAGCATTTGCAATAAGATGAAACTACTGCATTTACAAGTTAAATTGTAGTGGAACGCAACATCAACAAAAACCAAAATAATATATAACATGTCTCCAAATCCTAAAGAGAGTGAAACGATCTACCAATAAGCCCAGTATGACCATAACCCTAATTAGTAATTACAAAAGTTGTTGGAAGCTGATTATCTGATTTTCATCTTCTTGGTTTTCGAGGATCCGATCCTTTTCCTGTCATGAAACAATATTGTATTATAATAATGAAACCCATCTTCATCAAACGCAGTTTCTTCATTAAAAGCAGCTTCAAAAGAAGAACGAACCTTGAGATGGAGTGGAGTAAGTCCCACGACCTTCGTGTACTTGGATAAGATTTCGATCCTGCAAAACCGGAACTGAAGATGTTAAGACTCTGTTCTCATGGTTGGTGAAGTTAGTGTTGTTCAAGAATCAAATTACAAACCATATCATAAACAGGTATTTGGTTTCGCCAATACTCTAGTGATGACACAAGCACCCTTCCTGCAAAACAATATAAAACAGAAACCTTTTTTACTGAATGCTCCAAACAGAGCCTTTGAAAGTGAAGCAGTTGTACTCTCTATCAATTAACCTGATCTTGACCGTTTCTGTCCTAATGAGTCAGCAGAGACTGCATTTGTCTTCTTCGCTTCTCTATCCGGTGTTACCTTCGCATTACATAACAGTGGAGTCAATATAAACCAACAACATGAATAGCATAAAGATTATTGGTTACAAGGAATCATTATGGTTGATATATAAGTATCTGATAACCAGAATGTGAGACTGTGACAAAAGGGAGCGTAGTTACCTCCTCATCGAAGTCGATCTTCCGGTTTGTTTTTTCCCTTGACAAGTTTGCTTCAGCTTCTTTAACCTCCGACCCCGAATGATCCATAGGCTCTACTACATTCAAGCCACCTTTAAAGGTCTTCTCCCTTTTCTTTGATTTTCCTATCTTTCCAGGCTTGCTACTATTAAATTTACCTTTTCGCTGTTCTGAAGTCAGTGATTCTTTTGTAGCATTTTTACTTATTAATTTCTCGCTATCTGTACCAGAATGCCTTTTACCACATGCGTCATTATCGATAGCGATACATTCATCTTTTTCTGCGTCATTGCCCTTAGCCTTATTCAAACCTTCAGTACCATGATCTTCATCATTAGCAGTAGGATGCTGGACTTCACTCGCATCAAGTTTCTTTTTGTTCTTTGCCCTTTTGACTTTGGTCCCAGAGTGATCCACATGCTCTACTACATTGCCGTCACCTTTGAGGGTCTTGCCACTTTTCTTTGAAATTCCCTTCTTTCCACGCTTACTACTCTTATCTAAGTCTTCAAACAGGGAATGTGGAGAAGCTCTTGTCACCTTAGGTTCACCTTTCCCCTGTTTTGAAGTCAGTGATTCTCCAGCAGCACTCATACTTGTTACTCTATCAACAATATCAGCACCGGTATGCTTCTTACCACATCCATCCGCTGGCGATATCACTTCATTATTGATAACTTCACATTCATCTATTTCCACATCACTGCTCTTAGCCTCATCCAGACCTTCACAGCCATGATCTCCACCATTAGTACGATTCTGGACTTTACTCTCATCGAGTTTCATTTCATCACCTTCATTACAGATAGCCTCGCATTCATCTTTTTCCACATCACCGCTCTTAGCCTTCTTCAAGCCTTCATTGCCATTATCTCCATCACTAGCAGTGCTCTGGAGTTTGCTCAACCCAAGTTCCCTTTCGTCCTCTGCCTTTTTTCCACCACGTTTGGATTGCAGACGAGGGGGATTTTTTATATCTCTTGCTACAGAACAACCACTGCGAGTATCTTTCTCGTTGATGTTCTTCTCAGTCACAGGGCTTTTAGCTCTGCTCTCGGCGGGACTATCCTCTAGTCTCCCTCTTGAGTTCTTACATGGTGATAAAAAGGGATAACAAGCTGCATTAGAGAAGGACATTTAAACACGGATGCATCAGAAATAAAAAAAAACACGCATCAAAAGCTGTTGCTTCAAGTCCTAACCTTTATCGTTTACCGTAGGGACGGTATTGACATCAGTGACTCCTCCAAAGCAATTGTTACAAATTTGTTCCCAACTAGGAGGAAACCCGAAGATGAATTCACGGGAGATCTACTCTCAGGAAAACAGAAAGAACAAATCAAGTCAGTCCATAAAACACTAATGGCTCCAGCACATTTGTTTATGAGATATTTCAAAGCGAAGTAAGTGATGTTTGGATAATGCGAAGAAGAAGAGATTACCTCAGGGATAAATCCACTTTTAACAACGCGTTCTTTGTTAAGGAATCCTCGGAGTGTGATGCAGATTCCGTCAGATGCTTGGAGTGTGAAAACATCAAAGGCTTTGATGATTGGGGAAGATGTAAACACACGCATTGCTCGTGTCCTAATTATAGGCAAACAAAATCGAGATTTCAAAAGCTAATCTCAGTAGAAAAACAAAACAAAATCTCAAAAAATTCGAAGTCTCTTACTCGACGGAAGCTGCAATCTCGGTTCCAGCAACACCAAATCGTTTCCCCTCGAATTCCTTTGAACATTTGATCAGCCACCAATCTCTCAGGATCACCTTTTACATAAACTCAGAAGGAGAAGAAGAATGAGGCCAAGTACGCTGATGTAATTCAAACACGAGGAAATGATTTTAAAAAATCCACTCACCGTTTTCTGGAAAGCCGAAGAATCGCCGTCGAGATTCGCTTCAGCCATGGAGCAGGATACTTTCTTACTCGAACTTTGTCGATTCGTGAGATTTTCTTCGGAAAATCGAGAAAGTTAGGGTTTAACTGCTATATGCTTGGCGGGGAGATTCTCTCAGTTGAGCTAGTTATCTGGAAATCCGGTTTAAGAAACCGCTTTATTTTTCTCAAGTATCCGGTTTTGGTTAAGGCTTGAGTTGGATATTTTGGTTATCATTTCCTGGCTTTTAGATTCTTCTTAACCGATGCAAAAACTTAGGGCGTCTTGCAATGGAGGAACTTATAAATAGACTCTAACGTACACACAAACAGTTTCAGAAGAAGACGAGACAAAACTCAAAAGACTTAGGAAATTTCTGAAGCTATAGAGAGATTCACGAGCTCAATGTTTCTACTTTATATATATGAAGTACACAGTGACATATACTTTTTAATAAACGTCTGGAGGCAAATTCCCAGAGAAAGAAGTCTGTTGTTGTTGTTGTTGTGACCTTTGAAGATGGACTTTCATGGCGTAGTTGCTTATCTGATGAATGAGATATTTCACAAAGGAAGCTTTAGTTAACCGCGTTGATTTGATTGATCAACAAGATTGATGTTTCGAGTGAGTTTACCTCTAGCTTATGAACTTGTTCTTGGTATTGCCCTACCACGCCTTTCAAATGCTGCACTTCTTTGGCCTTCTCTTCGTTCTCAGAGCTACGCTGGTGTTGACTCGCGACGACACGTTTTAAGATATGGTTATCATTGATCAAACTCTGTAGATCCTCCTTTAACGACGCATACTCAAGCTGCAAAGATTGAGGAGCTTCTTGTTGAGGATACAAATCTAGGCACAAGAGAGTTTTATCAGTATGTCATCGTACTGTACCTTCTTTGAGGCACTGGAGTTGTGCTTTTCGCTTCTCTCTAACGCTTCTAAGATCACCACAACACGTCGCTTCATATCATCAATGTTTATCGCCTTTGCCATCTCGGATACAAGCAATTCGACCCATTTAGCTCCATCGATCCTATCCTCATCACTGAGACTTCCCACAGATCCATCAAAAGAGCCAGCTTCTGTTCTATCCAAATCGCCATTGAACAAAATTGAGCGTAAACTCTCTTTTGCATCTTCAAACACATTGTTCTTGTTGCTCAAAACCTCTCTGACAAACTAATTCAAAATACCATCAAATACAAAAGCAGTCAATTTTCTTTCTTTTCTTTTGCAGCAGCATAGTATAGTAACAAGTTTGAATTCCATAACACGCATTTAAAAACTAATGCATCAAAGTGCTTTGATTATCTCAATGTTTATAAAAAAATTCCCCTTTCAGCTTCGTTAGTTGAAGACATCAATCAATGGCTACATAAAACTGTCACACAGTTCATTTCATGAAAGAACTATATATAACTTGCACACACAAATCAATATATACACATATATGTAAATAGATTTGATGAAATAAAAGTATGAGGAAACATACGATATGAGCAATTAGCAGGAGCAATATTCAACGGTTAAAATGGGAAACTGTATAACGCTGTATTTAAACGAACCTCAGGATCAATGGTAGGGAACATGAGGATCAAAGATGCAACCGGGTCATTGGATCCAGACCCGATTTCGGATGATCGGATTGGCGATCCGAAGCTTGACCATTTGGATCTCTTATTCGTCGGGGACGATGAAGACCCAATGAAATCATCGTACCCGATCCGTTTACCGCAAACTCTTGTAGACATCTGTAACGCCGAGAAATTGTCCTAAAACCACAAAGGATTTGACTTCCAATAAAAGGGAAAACCCTTGAATCTGAAGTTCGATCTGGGATTACTAGTGATAAATTTGAACAAATCGATTAGTGAACCTCAGTGATATTGAAGAGGGTTTTAATTTGGGGATAATATGAAGAGACGAGAATGTGATGACTTATCTGACACGTTCAGAGATGCGGTAACTACATGAAGATAAAAGAACCATTGTTAAAGTGTCGCTCGCCAGTGAAGAAGAAAGAGAACAAAGACGAAACAATTTAAAGTTAAAGTAATATAAATATTGTATTTGCTTACATAACAACAAAGTGGCTGTAGTTTAGTGGTGAGAATTCCACGTTGTGGCCGTGGAGACCTGGGCTCGAATCCCAGCAGCCACATCTTTTTCGTTTTTCTATTTCTTTCCAAACGACGTCGTTTCTTTGTTGATCCTTTTCATTGTAAACGACGTCGGTTGTTGTGTCAACCTCCTTAACAGAGTCTTCTCTTCTCTGGTTCTCACTACGATCTGCTTCGTAAACTCGAGAGGGAAGAATCGAAGAGGAAAGTCTGACTTTACGATTTTGAAGGTAAAAATTTCAGAGTTTTTCATCGGAATTGATGTCTATCTCTCAAATATTTCGTATGCATTTGTGGATCTTAGGCATGGATCGATTTCCTAGGATACATACATGTAGAGATCTCACGAGACTCTTTTTTCGTCTCACTGCTATGAGATTCAGTAAATTCGTATTTATTTTGGGTATTCCAAGGTTGATGTTATTGATTACACAATTCCTTTGGCCAATCTGGATTTCGTGCTCAACTGCTCTCGATCTCGTCTTTTATAAAACGGATCCAGTTTTTATTTTCGTAGTTGACTGAATTCTCCATCTCTGATTTGCATATAAGCTAGTTGTGGACCCATCCTCTCTTTGTGAGGTATTTGGTATAACTTATCAGTTCTGGTTTGGAATTGAAATAGCAGAGAATATGATTTGAATACTGTTTTGAAAGTGTAGAATCGTGGGTGGTTTTTAAAAGATTTGTCTAAATTATGCAACCAAGCATCTTCTTGCTTTTTTAATTCCCTTATTGTTAATTGTTGTGATGTTACAGATGTTTGACGACCAAGACCTCGGCTTCTTTGCCAATTTTCTTGGGATTTTCATCTTCATTCTGGTGATTGCTTACCATTTCGTCGTGGCAGACCCCAAATTCGAATGATAATGAGGTTTCCTCTTTGTTGGTTTCTACAAAACAGATATATGTGTCGGAATCAAAATATCTTTAGCATTTCATAGGTCGAGATGTTTCACCAGTAATGTATTTTGACAATGTGGTTTTGAATACATAAAGACTTGCTTTCGTAGTGCTTTCGAGTTACGTGTTTAAAGCATGTAGGTCTTCTCTCTCGCTTTGCCGCTTGTACCACAGTTGTTGAGATTCCCGTGGTATGAGTGAGTTTAGATTTGATACTCGTGAGTTAGTAAACACACTTAAAATGAATTTCTTCACATAACCATGAGAGTTGTTCTATTTACAGATTTATTTGGTTCACATTAGCTTATGAACATTAACATTCCAGCCTTGATATAGTTCACTGAAAGAATGAAGTTTTTACTAGAACACTTTCCCGTTGATATGGTGTCGTGTAGCTCCTTGTAAGCTGAACTTTGGATAAATGCCTTAAAGAACCCAAAGGCTGATTGTAGTTTGACTATTGTTCAGTAAAAAGAACAATAGATTTGATGGATGCAAATCTTGTTTAAGGCATTTGTATCTACAAAATCTCCAAAACACACTCTTGGAGTGTAAAGTAGCAAACTCTTTTTATTGCTCCCTCCTAGTGTAGATAACTCGAGAATTATTCTTTAGCTTCTTTTGGCATACTCACTGGTTTTTAGAACTAGCCGTTGTAACTGGACCAACGCAGGGAAAAGAGAAGTACAGTAATAGCTGAAGCACAGCCTCATTAAATGCACAAGACCATTCTCGTTTAGCATTCATTGAAGGAGAAGTAAATGGTCTAAAGCCAATGTTACCCAGTGAAAACCAATAATTCAATGTGGTTTATATTATTTTTATATTCTGACCCAAAACATGCAAATAGTTTTAATTTACATGTGACGATAAAAATTTATTTTACATGTACAATTTTAAATATAAGGAATTGATTTTGGAAAATTAAATTTAAATATATTTAACAAAACTAAATGGAAAAAGGGGTTTTGTCAAGATAAAAAAAGGGAAACAATATCTCACCAAACTCTCGTATTTACCTTCTTCAAAATAAGGAAGATTATGATCCGCATATGTAGGAGGATCAATTGAATAACACCACTTGTGCACCTGGAAGAGAGAGAAAATACGCTCCCCTCACTGTAACCCATTGGAACCTCACAAACCAATCAAAATACAGAGAAACACTAACGTGTACAAATTAGGGTTTTACCTCACAGCCATCGAACATTCTCGAAACATTTTAAACAGCCTGGTGCCTTAGATCTGAGTTCTGAATAACAAAATTTAGACCGTCCGATCAAACCCAAGCCTCAGGCCACAAGTCTATATAAACAAATCTCTTCTTCATTCCTGCTTACGAAAATCAAACCCTAGCCGCCCTTTCATCTTTTTCGTTCTCTTTCTCAGTCTCTGTTCTTAGATCTCCTGTAGTTTATTCTTTCCGATAAAAATGTCGGGCAAAGGAGAAGGTCCAGCGATTGGTATCGATCTCGGTACTACCTACTCCTGCGTCGGAGTATGGCAACACGACCGTGTTGAGATCATTGCTAATGATCAAGGTAACAGGACGACCCCGTCGTACGTCGCTTTCACCGACTCCGAGAGGTTGATCGGTGATGCCGCCAAGAACCAGGTCGCCATGAACCCGGTTAACACCGTCTTCGGTATGTAATTTCATCTTTTTCCTTTTCTCTCGTGATTGTAACTAGATCTCGTTCACCGTCTGCGTAGTGTATTTAGATCTGAGGATTTGTAATCAGTAGTATATGTTGGATGTATGGTTGCATCAGTAGATCTGACTGGTCATGATTACTTTTTCTTCACATAGTTACTGATTTTGTTCATTCAACTACGTAACACCGTTTTTGCTCTTGGAATAGATTTTGCTGGTTACCTGTCGATTGTGCTAATAATAGCTTCTGATTTTTACGATAGCTCTTAGAACCCAGTTGCTGTGCTTTAGATTTGTTCATTAGTACTTGATAAATCCAGTTAATCTCTCAAATAAATCTTAAGATTAGTGTTATGCTATTAGTATCCAAAACTTTTTTCGATTTCTGCTTTGTTTAAATTAGATTATGATTTTGATTTTGTGTCAAGTGCTTTGCTCAATCTGTTTTTGGCTGCCTATTTGATTTTGTGTCAAGTGCTTTGCTTAATCTGTTTTTCTTTGCTGTGGCAGATGCTAAGAGGTTGATCGGTCGTCGTTTCAGTGACAGCTCTGTCCAGAGCGACATGAAGTTATGGCCATTCAAGATTATCCCAGGACCCGCCGACAAGCCAATGATTATCGTCAACTACAAGGGTGAAGAGAAACAGTTCGCTGCTGAAGAGATCTCTTCCATGGTTCTCATTAAGATGCGTGAGATCGCCGAGGCTTACCTTGGTGTCTCCATCAAGAACGCCGTTGTCACCGTTCCTGCTTACTTCAACGACTCTCAGCGTCAAGCTACAAAGGATGCTGGAGTTATTGCTGGTTTGAACGTTATGCGTATTATCAACGAGCCCACCGCAGCAGCTATTGCCTACGGTCTTGACAAAAAGGCAACCAGCGTTGGAGAGAAGAACGTGCTGATCTTCGATCTTGGTGGTGGTACCTTCGATGTCTCCCTTCTCACCATTGAGGAAGGTATCTTCGAAGTTAAGGCGACAGCCGGTGACACCCATCTTGGAGGTGAAGATTTCGACAACAGAATGGTTAACCACTTTGTTCAAGAATTCAAGAGGAAGAGCAAGAAGGACATCACTGGTAACCCAAGAGCTCTTAGGAGGTTGAGAACTTCCTGCGAGAGAGCAAAGAGGACCCTTTCCTCCACCGCTCAGACAACCATCGAGATTGACTCTCTCTACGAGGGTATTGACTTCTACTCCACCATCACACGCGCTAGATTCGAGGAGCTCAACATGGACCTCTTCAGGAAGTGTATGGAGCCAGTCGAGAAGTGTCTCCGTGATGCTAAGATGGACAAGAGCACCGTCCACGATGTCGTCCTTGTTGGTGGTTCCACCCGTATCCCTAAGGTTCAGCAATTGCTTCAGGACTTCTTCAACGGAAAGGAGCTCTGCAAGTCCATCAACCCCGACGAGGCCGTTGCTTACGGTGCTGCCGTCCAGGGCGCTATCCTCAGCGGTGAAGGAAACGAGAAGGTCCAAGATCTTCTGTTGCTCGATGTCACTCCTCTCTCTCTCGGTCTTGAGACAGCCGGTGGTGTCATGACCACTTTGATCCCCAGGAACACAACCATCCCCACCAAGAAGGAGCAGGTCTTCTCCACCTACTCGGACAACCAACCCGGTGTGTTGATCCAGGTGTACGAAGGTGAGAGGGCCAGGACCAAGGACAACAACCTTCTCGGAAAGTTCGAGCTCTCTGGAATCCCCCCGGCTCCACGTGGTGTGCCCCAGATCACTGTCTGCTTCGACATTGACGCCAATGGTATCCTCAACGTCTCTGCTGAGGACAAGACCACCGGACAGAAGAACAAGATCACCATCACCAACGACAAGGGTCGCCTTTCCAAGGATGAAATCGAGAAGATGGTCCAGGAGGCTGAGAAGTACAAGTCGGAAGACGAGGAGCACAAGAAGAAGGTTGAGGCCAAGAACGCTCTCGAGAACTACGCCTACAACATGAGGAACACCATCCAGGACGAGAAGATCGGTGAGAAGCTCCCGGCTGCAGACAAGAAGAAGATCGAAGACTCTATTGAGCAGGCGATCCAATGGCTAGAGGGTAACCAGTTGGCTGAGGCTGACGAGTTCGAAGACAAGATGAAGGAATTGGAGAGCATCTGCAACCCAATCATTGCCAAGATGTACCAAGGTGCTGGTGGTGAAGCCGGAGGCCCTGGAGCTTCCGGAATGGACGATGATGCTCCTCCTTCTTCAGGCGGTGCTGGACCTAAGATCGAGGAGGTCGACTAATCTGTCGATTTTTGACCTCTCTCTTTCTCCTATCTCTCTCTTATCTTTTACTGTTTGAATCTCAAGAACTTTTATGTTGAGCCTTTTAGTGGCTCTGTTTGCGTTTTATTTTTTGTTAGAACTTTTTTGAACTCTGGATTTCGGTCCAGCTATGATGACGGATAAGTGAAGGTGTTTCAGCTTTATCATACTTGTGTTCCGTTTAAACTTTTGGTTTATAATTATAACCACCTCTTCAACTGTCAATAATTCATCAACACATACACGATTGATAAACGTTGAAGTAATATTAATCAATTGGAAAACAACAATGTTGTCAAAATCATTGCCATACAACGATTTTGCAGTGTGATATTAATTCATCTATATGATTAAAGAGGATGATAATTTTTGGAACACATTAAATTAGGTTTAAAGTGGATAAATGTGATATTCCACCCAAATTTCAAAATAACTGCGATGAATTTTCGGAATATGATCTCTACCTTTAGTTATGGGGAATATCACATTTAACCACTAAGATTAATTACACCTCTGGTTCTTAGTATCGAAAATTTTCAGACTTCAAATCTTCATATGTCGATGGATAGAAGCACGACATTTGAACCTCATAAACCTTTATATTCAAAACTAGTTTGCATTGTTATCCAACGTTTACTTGGCTACACAAATATTGATATCTGATTAGCGTGTATAGGTATGTGTTTGATATACTGTAAGTTTGAATAACAAAGGAGAAAGGATCATCAAATTACAAAGACTCCACTTAGCTTCGTGGTTAATTAGGTGGCATAAACTAGAGGCAGTTTTTTTTTTTTTTTTCGCAGTAGACAAAAGAAATTTGTACTTTAACCAAAAAAAAAAAGATAAAAGAAATTTGTATTGCGGAATGCTAATGGAAATTGATGTAATTACTCACAGACCAATTAAATAGCGTTTTAAAAGCCAAATCTATACAATAAAAGCCTCACCGCCATCACAACCAATAAACCGCCTTCCTTAAGTTTCTTACCGGGACCGAGTACTGTGCACATGTTAGCTTACGTGGCCATTCATAAGCCGACCACCATATGAAGGTTTGCGGAGTTTTCCAATTTTTCAGACGCGCTTTTTCTGTTTTATACAATTTGCTCTTTTTCCTTTTTTCAAGGAAAACACAATTTGCCTAAGAATTGGAAAAAGGTATCATCTCTCTATGACCGTCGGATCATTCTAAACCTAATCGAACGGTCAAGGATACCCCTCCGAACATTCTCGAAACATTAAGCCTTGAGCCTATAAATAAAGAACCTCGACTTTGACTCTTTTTCTTCACAACCTAAAATCTTTCTCTTCTCTGCTCAAAAACTTTTCGTCTGTCTTTTAAAGTTCTTGCTCAAAGCCTTTTTGATTCTCTCTACTAGTTTTGATAATGTCGGGTAAAGGAGAAGGTCCAGCGATCGGAATCGATCTCGGTACTACCTACTCCTGCGTCGGAGTATGGCAACACGACCGTGTTGAGATCATTGCTAATGATCAAGGTAACAGAACGACCCCATCGTACGTCGCTTTCACCGACTCCGAGAGGTTGATCGGTGATGCCGCCAAGAACCAGGTCGCCATGAACCCGGTTAACACCGTCTTCGGTATGTAATTTCATCTTTTTCTCTCTCCTTTTGATTGATTGTATTGGAGTTTAGTACAATTCTGATTTTTAGGGTTTATAGGAAGATTTGAAAGCATAAAAAATTCCCTTTATTGTTTACTCTATCTAAAAGTAAATCTACCTTGCTGTTGTGAAATTGTAGAGTAGTTTTAGGGGTTTAAAGTAGCTTGAACAAAAGATTTCGATTTTAATTTGATGCATATTCTGAACTGTTTTGAATTATGTGACTAAACTCTGTTCAATTGTGACAGATGCTAAGAGGTTGATTGGTCGTCGATTCAGTGACGCGTCGGTGCAAAGCGACATGAAGCTATGGCCATTCAAGATCATCCCTGGACCTGCCGAGAAACCAATGATCGTCGTCAACTACAAAGGCGAAGAGAAGCAATTCGCTGCGGAGGAAATCTCTTCGATGGTTCTCATCAAGATGCGTGAGATCGCTGAAGCTTACCTTGGCTCTTCCATTAAGAACGCCGTTGTCACCGTTCCTGCTTACTTCAACGACTCTCAGCGTCAAGCCACAAAGGACGCCGGAGTTATTGCTGGCTTGAACGTTTTGCGTATCATCAACGAGCCGACCGCAGCAGCTATCGCCTACGGTCTTGACAAGAAGGCAACCAGCGTTGGAGAGAAGAACGTCTTGATCTTTGATCTTGGTGGTGGTACTTTCGACGTCTCCCTTCTCACCATTGAAGAAGGTATCTTCGAAGTGAAGTCAACAGCCGGAGATACCCATCTTGGTGGTGAAGATTTCGACAACAGAATGGTTAACCACTTTGTGCAAGAGTTTAAGAGGAAGAACAAGAAGGATATTAGCGGTAACCCGAGAGCTCTTAGGAGGTTGAGAACAGCTTGCGAGAGAGCAAAGAGGACTCTTTCTTCCACCGCTCAGACCACCATCGAGATTGACTCTCTGTTTGAAGGAATTGATTTCTATTCTCCAATCACCCGCGCTAGATTCGAGGAGCTTAACATGGATCTCTTCAGAAAGTGTATGGAGCCTGTCGAGAAGTGTCTCCGTGATGCCAAGATGGACAAGAGCACAGTGCATGATGTTGTCCTTGTCGGTGGTTCTACTCGTATCCCCAAGGTTCAGCAATTGCTCCAAGACTTCTTCAACGGCAAGGAGCTCTGCAAGTCTATCAACCCCGATGAGGCTGTGGCATATGGTGCAGCCGTTCAGGCTGCGATTCTAAGCGGTGAAGGAAACGAGAAAGTTCAAGACCTTCTCTTGCTTGATGTCACGCCTCTCTCCCTTGGTCTTGAAACCGCTGGTGGTGTCATGACCACTTTGATCCAGAGAAACACGACGATCCCGACCAAGAAGGAACAGGTCTTCTCTACCTATTCAGACAACCAGCCAGGTGTGTTGATCCAAGTCTACGAAGGTGAGAGAGCCAGAACCAAGGACAACAACCTCCTCGGTAAATTCGAGCTATCTGGAATCCCTCCGGCTCCACGTGGTGTCCCACAGATCACGGTCTGCTTCGACATTGATGCGAATGGTATCCTCAACGTCTCTGCCGAGGACAAGACAACCGGGCAGAAGAACAAGATCACCATCACTAACGACAAGGGTCGTTTGTCCAAGGACGAGATTGAGAAGATGGTTCAGGAAGCGGAGAAGTACAAGTCCGAAGACGAGGAGCACAAGAAGAAGGTTGAGGCCAAGAACGCTCTTGAGAACTACGCTTACAACATGAGGAACACGATCCGTGACGAGAAGATCGGAGAGAAGCTCCCGGCTGCAGACAAGAAGAAGATTGAGGACTCAGTTGAGGAGGCAATCCAATGGCTTGATGGTAACCAATTGGGTGAAGCAGACGAGTTTGAAGACAAGATGAAGGAGTTGGAGAGTGTTTGCAATCCAATCATCGCGAAAATGTACCAAGGAGCTGGGGGTGAAGCAGGTGGTCCCGCCGCTGGAATGTACGACGATGAAGCTCCTCCATCCTCAGGCGGTGCTGGCCCCAAGATCGAGGAAGTCGACTAAGTTGTTCCTTAGTTTTTCTTGCTCGATACTTGGCTTCTTTCAGTTTAGTGTTGTCGGGTTTTATGTTTTACTTTCTTAAACTTTATCAATTTCTTGAGACCCTTCTTCATAATGCTAGAATTTTACATATAAATGTGCGTCTGAGTTTGCGGGAAAAAAACGAGTACAAATTTTTAGCAACAAAAGTTATGGACAAAGGACAAACACGCACACAAGGCTTTTTCTGATGTGATAAAAAAAAGAGTAGAAGATGCTTGTTAAGGTTTGTGAACTGACTAAACAGACCATATATTTAATATTTTGCCGCCTAACACGAAAAATAAAGTGAAAAGTTAACAAAGAAAAACTTTTCATTTAATAGCACTTCTGCTTTTACTTATTTCCCCCCCATTGTATAACAATGCTTCTACAAATACATAAAACATGGTTACATCTTTCATCACGTCAACTTAAGCTCGCTGGCTCCTCCAAGGTGGTGAGGCCGTAGATAAACCCTGACCTCGTGTTCTTCCTCCACTCCTCCTCTCAATTTAGGCACCAGAATCTCCAGAACCGGTCCCGTCCCATCAAAATACGCTTCAATGTTTGCTTCTTCCGGAATCCGATTTGGCAACTGTATCTCCCTCATGAATTCCCCCGGCGGGCAATGCTCAGCCGTCTGATCAACCAGCTTGAAAGTCCGGTCGCGTCTCTTCACCAACGGAGCCCGCGACGTGCTTGAACCCGTCACCTTCACGATACCATTCGTGATACTGTTCCTCCATGTAACCTTGACGGTGTTCAAATCCACAAAAGGTAGAGTTATTACGACCAGGTAAGCTTCTTCGTCCTCGTAGATGGTTTTTGCTGCAGTAGCGGGACCGTGAACGTTCTTCATCACTCCAGTGAAGTCGTTTACCCAACCGGGCGGGTCCTTGGCAAGGTGGGTCTCGATGTTGTTAACGGTCAAGCAACATTCTTCTTCGCTGCTTCCAGGGGATAAAAACTCTTTTCTCTTCTTGTTGTTGTTGTTGCCTCCTCCTACACCTCCTGGAGACTGATCAGATGAGTCACCATTGCTGCTGAAAGAAGCGTTGCTTGTCAAATGTAACCCCGAGCCATTGAGGATCTTCTTGGCGGCGTTGTTCGATGCCGGTTTTGCGACATGAGGCGGTCTCTCGAGTTCGAAATCTGTGTTGGGGAGGTTTCTCCATGAACCGAAATCACTAGCATCGGGAGGGAGAGTGAACTTCAGATCTCGACCCGTTAGCTCCATCCATCTCTTCTTATCTTCTTCACTGACACAGAGCAGACTCGGCGAAGGCACGAACTCGATCCCGTGAAGACATTGAGGGTTAGAGAGTCCCCTGTAGTGCTTCCTCTGCATCCTGTGAGACCGAACAAACCCTTTCTCCGCGCTGAACGGAAACGGACGCTCGCCTTGACGGGAATGCCCGTTCATATAGCTTCTCAGCTGCATTTTCCCGAGCGCGTTATCGGGTTTATCCTTGAAAGCCCACATGTACATGTTCTCCATATCATGCTGAACAAGAAACACATCGAGCTTGAGATCAGATTTATCAAAACCTGTAAAACATCCTCCTCCTGCTGTTCCTCCGCTAGTTTCCCTAATGACCTTGGACTTTGACTTCTCGTTCAGGGACGGTCTGAAGTAGAAGCTGAAGAAGAACCAAGCTCCCCACATACTATCCACTCGTTTCAAGCATTTTCTAGTGACTTTACTCTGAACCACGTTGAGGAACGTCTCGGTCTCGTAGACATGTGAGCTAAGACCAACATCCAATATGTTATCACACGAATCCAAGTTCCATGTCGGAGAGCTTCTCCCCACAGACAAAGGCAGGTTGATGTCTGGAGGGTTGTAGAGCGTGATTTGCCGGTTACCATTGTTCATCTCCAGATCAAGCTCTTCGTGAGACGAGCCACTAGAATCCATGGATAAAAGCGTTGAAGGGTGATGATTCTCCATTGACAAAACCGTGAGAATCGAGCCTTTCATTTCACAAAATGAAACGAAAGATCGACGAGCCGAATCGAATAGAGTCTCGTTAGATCTATAGAACTCTATTTAAATTCAGTGGGTGGGTCAATCTCCCAAATCCCAGATCTCCCAATTAGCCATGAAGCCAAATTGAGATCCAAAATCCCTATTCCAGAAAACAAGTTATCCTTAAAGTCTATCTCTTTTTTTTTTTAATCTCGACCAAAAAGGAGGAGATGTAAGCGAAGACGCTAGAGAAACACAATATCCAACCCTAACCCTAGAATTTCCCGAAATCCCCCAAAAAGCGGCGGGAAACTCCGACTCAAACCCATCCGAGAAATATACATCGAATTAAAAAATTTCCCCTTTCCTTTTTTTGCAATTACATCCAAGTATCAAACAGGTTTAAGAACCAAAAACGAACCTTTAAGAATCCGAAGAAATCGAGCCCAGAAAATACCTTTTGAGATAAGCAAAAATGAATCGAGAGGAAGAAGAGATTGACGGATCCCATAGAGAACACGAAACCTCCGTCATTTTGACAATGATAAATCAATCTGTTGAATCCAATCTTTTCTTTCCCACACAGATTCAACAAAATTTAATCCTTTTTTTTGTTTTTGTTTTTGTTTTTGTTTCTTCTTCTTTTCTTTGGGAACTGTCTCTTTTGGTAACGGTGAGAATGAGATGTGTTTATGTAAGAAGAAGCGAAGGTTCGTGGGTGAGAGTGAATGTGAATAAGAGCTACGAAATAGAACCAGCCTGAACTAGATACCACCTGATCCCCACTCTCTCTCTCTCTCTCTTTATTCTTTTTTTTTCATCTAAAATTAAATATTATTTTCTTCTCTCTAACAATTTTGATGAGTAGTGCTTATCGTTGTGTTACATGTGCTTATCAAAACAACTATTTTGATTTAAGAATAAAATTGCAAAAGACTATACCACTTCTTTGTTCTTATTTTCCTAAGTGGTATATTCAAATGGCCAAAATAAGATTTGTAAACTTTTTTACCTTTTTAATGTTATGGACCGTATGACGAATCTATTTATCTTATACAATTTGAGATTATTGTGTCCAAAATTGTTGTATTTAGGAGTTGTTATTATTCTTGCGAGATGTTAGTCTACGCGGAGACATGGTTGGTGATTATTTGAGTGATGTGATTTTATATTTTAATTAGTTTTATAAACGATTGTAGTGACTAATTGCGTTATTGTGCCCCCATTGAGTGTAACAAAACAATATTTTATATCTAATTATTAATCCATTGAAATAGGATGATGACGAAGTGTTAGTATCTTACGAATTTAATTAACTAATCCTGCTTTGTTGACTAGTTTAGTGCATTTATAAATTCTGAAACAACAGAATTAAAGGGTTTAAGGATAATTACGAGGATAATGATTTCAGATTATAAATTAAAATACACATTGAGTCAATTTTTGGAGTATCATATAGCGTGTTGATGTATTTCATTCACCATGTCTTTGTCAATGTATATATAATTCAAATTTCAAATTACGAACTATATAAAAAAATACTACAATAAAATAAAATTTCTATAAATTAATATTCGATAAATTAATAATTATTATAAATTAATAATTTTTGCTGGTTCCAAATCGGGCCAGTATAAAAATTGACAAAATTTGATAAGATAATAAGATAATACTTTTTAAAAAAGTTTTATGTAAAAATATAGTCTCAATAATAATATAAATTAATAGTTATATATTTAGGCATATATTAATAATATAATATAGTAAACTATGATAATATTGTTGTTTCAAGTTTATAAAATTTGTTTGATTTATCTTCCAAATTTATTATTATGATATTTTTTGAATAAATTTTACATTGTTGAAAATATTGATTTTGTTTTTTGATGAATATTAAAAATTCAAACTAAAAATATATCTATAAATTTATAAAATATTAATTTATCGATAAATTAATAATTAATAATTTATCGATTAATTAATAACTTTATAAATGAATAAAATTTGAAAGTTCTAATATTATTAATTTATAGAAGTTTTACTATAGGAATGGGTTGTGTGAAACATGAGTTTAAGGGAGAAAGAAAAAAGGAAAACAAAACGTCGAGTTGAAATATTGCCACCAACGCATCTAAAGAAGAAGAAAATCACTGGACTAAATATTTCAATAATGTTGTGTTTATATAGGGATGTATGTTCGGTTCCTGGAGGGACACTTCACATTTTATAGATATCCTAATACATTATATGTGAACGGAAGTTGACAAAACAAGACAAATAGGGTTATTAAAATTAGAATTAATGAACCCAAAAGAGAAGAACGAATCAAACATGACTTTAAGCACTCAATAATTGAGATCTGAGAGGACATTGAAGATGACCCCAAAAAGATATTGGGAGTTGCCACCTCTCATATCCATACAACGACAGATAAACAAACAGCAAACAAATACTATTATACTAGAACACACTACTACTAATTTACAATGGCTCAAAGTATATTTATATTTCTGAGTATCTGACAACACACAATTACATCAAAGTAAACAAATCATTATTCAAGTTATAGTATTTCTTTTGAAAAAAAAAATGTTATAGTATTCCTTATTTAATCTTGTTAAAGTACATAGTTTTGAAACGTTAACGAATAGAGATTGTTATGATGGATTGTTTAGTCCAGATCGGTCTGACCAAGCTATATAAATCACAGCCTATGCTAGGTTTTGTCGTGATGTTGACTCCTTATTGTCTAGAGTTTATTCATTTAGATTTGAGTGATATTGCAAACCAAATTTACGGTTAAACGTCAATTCTGTCCAAACTAAAAAATGATTTGGTGTGTCTGGTCTGATTTTGACCGGGTTTGTTTTAACTTATATAAGTAGAGTTGATTTTTTTTTTTTTTTCGTTTTCTTACAAACAAAAGGAACGATCTTGATCCATACTTGATGGAAAGTGGGTTGGAAAAGTCCGATAACTTTTCACCTACCAGAACATCTATGGTTTTAGCTTCTAAACAACAACTCGACTAGTTAAAAATACAAAAATGGTATAACCAATCTTTTGTATAAAGAACAAAAAATGCAAACTCATCCACCAATCATAGAGAACAAGTGGCCAGTGCCAAGTGGTGGCACATTTTATAACATATCCCCTTTTAAAAAAATGAAAGACCTTTTAACTGGTTAACAGATTAACCGAAGTTTGTCATTCAATCTCATTAGGTTATCACGCACTAACCGGTGGTTCATATAATTAAGATGGTTTTGTTAATCAAGGACAAAAAAATTGAGAAACTATTAACTTTCGGTCCAGTGCAACGCAACCTTGTAACACGTTCCAGCACTAACGTGTAAACCAATAGTCTAATATGCATCAAAGAGAAAGGAAACTATATTAAAAAAAAATAATTATGAAGCTCTTTATAATATAGTTACAAGTTGATGATACGGACCATGTCTTATAAAACGAAGAATAATAACTTTATATAAGCGATAATGTTTTCAATAACTCGATGCCAACGTACCAAACGTTTCAAGATTCAGTGAACTTAATATTATTATTTTTATACAATTGGATCGAATACAGACACAACTGTCAATACAATACATGATAGATAGGGAAAGACCAAAAATAAAAGAAAAAAGAAAATCCACAAAAAAATGGTGATGCACAGTTCTTATTTTTTACACATGTTTTGTTTTAGGCATTTAGGCCCATTGGTGTTGAAGTTAAAAACAAAAGCCCATTTGAATCCCCGCCATTAGATTCCAAAAACGACGCCGTTGACTGTAACTCTTGGGTTCCACCAAGACAGAGCGTGCGTGTGTTGGTTTTGTTGAGCCTTGTGGCTTTTATGGGCTATGGAGAAGCATCGTTGCTTCTGCGTTTCTCTTCTTACTATTGATCAGTTGGCCAGTAACTCATCAAAACCCTCATCCGATTTGCTCTTCGCATCTCTGTAAAAAAAAAAACCCTAGAAATCTCCATTTCTCCGCCATTGGAGGATCACTGCTTCTTCGCCTTTGATCCCGATTCGGTATCTGAAACGGACCCGAGCTTTGTTTTCGTTCTGCCCTTGTTTCTCTGACTAGGGTTTCTTCACATCGCTAGATCTCATCCACTAGTTGATACCCATTTTCATAATCACATCTTGTTCTTTGATAGAATTTGAAGTAGGAGATATCTTTTTAGAAAGCGATAATTGAGCTGCACAGATTATATTGAAGAAAAAAAAAACATAGGGTTTTCTAGATTTTGTGCCTATTGTTTCATCGATTATAGTCAAAGATTAATCCGAGATACAAACAACTAAAGGCTTTTGGTAATTGATTTAACCTCCTGATTCGTCTTGTTAATTGTGTGAAAATGTCTACAGAAGGAAACAGTGTTTATTAGCGTATGGAGATGGATTTGTTTGCCACTCCAGAGAAGCAGAGGCATCATCCTTCAGCGAGCTTGGGGAAAACTCCAGTGAGAAGGAAGCTGATTGTTGATGAAGACAACGAGATTGGGTCAGTCTATGTTGTTAATATAATGTGCTCGCAAGTAGTCTCTCGTTTTCACTTGGAGCTAAAATGTTTTTATGAATTTGTCATTGGTGGGTAAAAAGGTCAGAGAAGAAAGGGCAATCCAGAACTGCTGGAGGTGGGCTTCGCCAATTCAGCGTCATGGGTCAGTAGCTCCTTAACAATTTTCTTCCCTGACTCGAAAGTAATATTGTTTTGGATTTGATTAAGATTTTCATGACTGTTGTTTTCTCAGTTTGCCAGAAGCTAGAAGCCAAGAAGATAACCACATACAAGGAGGTACTACTCTTAACAAAATGAGTTGTCTTGAAGTTTTTAATCCAGAATGAATTTGAACTGATCTGTAGTTGTTGATCTCTCAATCACATACTTCAATACTCTTTCTAACTAGGAGTCCTGCCCTTGTACAGAGTAATGCATTCAGAACTTTGTACTAGAAAATGTGGAAACCTATGTTTGAGACTGTGGTTCTTGTGATTCCAGGTTGCGGATGAAATCATTTCAGATTTTGCAACAATTAAGCAAAACGCAGAGAAGCCTTTGAATGACAATGAGGTATTAGCAAGATGAAGAAAGTGATATTATCTCTCTGATATTTTGGAGCAAATATAAGCTGTAACAAACATGTTCTTGTGTGATCAATTAGTATAATGAGAAGAACATAAGGCGGAGAGTCTATGATGCACTCAATGTGTTCATGGCGTTGGATATTATCGCAAGGGATAAAAAGGAAATCCGGTGGAAAGGGCTTCCCATTACCTGCGAAAAGGATGTGGAAGAAGTCAAGGTCTTGCCTCTAAGCTTGGATTGTCTTCTGTTTTATTTCTGTCTCTCTTCGTCTTCCTTACTAGTCTTTGTGGATCTCTCATACTCGTGTTTGCAGATGGATCGAAATAAGGTTATGAAAAGTGTGCAAAAGAAGGCTGCTTTTCTTAAAGAATTAAGAGAAAAGGTGATGATTCTCTTTCTTTTATTATCTGTTGATGGAAATCTAAACTACTATAATTTCGAGATCTTGTTATGCAAGAGATTACAAAAGCCATTGATTTTGCTGGTTTTCTTGAATTTGTTAAACATCTGTCTGCTTTGTATTGAGTCGTAGTAAATCACATTCTGGTGTCTTGATGAATTGTCAACGGTCTTTCTATGTTTTATTGATATGTTTCCTCGAATGTCGTCATCTTCAGGTCTCAAGTCTTGAGAGTCTTATGTCGAGAAATCAGGAGATGGTTGTGAAGACTCAAGGCCCAGCAGAAGGGTTTACCTTACCATTCATTCTACTTGAGGTAATTCAAACTTCTTTCACTTAAGTTTCTGTTGAATATGTCTTTTCAATATCCTAATCTATCGAATCTCTCCATAGACAAATCCTCACGCAGTAGTCGAAATCGAGATCTCTGAAGATATGCAACTTGTACACCTCGACTTCAATAGGTACTAAACACCATTTTTTTTCCAAAATCAAAATCAGCTTTGCTTATATCTCTTGAATCTTTGATTGAAAATTCTTTGCTTTCAGCACGCCTTTCTCGGTCCATGACGATGCCTACATATTGAAACTGATGCAAGAACGCAAGCTGCAACAAAACAGATTTTCTTCTTCTTCTTCTACTCATCATCAGTCTCAACATTCCTCTGCTCATTCTTCCTCCAGCTCCTGCATTGCTTCTGGAACCTCAGGCCCGGTTTGCTGGAACTCGGGATCCGTTGATGCTCGCTGACCGACAAAACCGTGATTCTCAAGAAGAGGAAGAACAAGCGAATCTAATTGGTATACTAAAAAATTTATACATCTGGTTTAGTTTCAATTGAGAGACTGTAAAATTATGATTCATAGGCCAACAAACGTTTGTTTATCCATCCAATTTTCACTTTTTAAATGGAACATCAAGTAATTTCATCAACAAAACCGATTGGGTTTACTTTTTTCTGAGATCATTGATTTAAACCAACTGATCCGAGTTTAATCGATTGGGCGCTATATTATTCTATCTCCGCATTTAAAATTTTAAACCAAACGAATTTAGATCCCGGTTTGGTTACTGAAATAAGAAAAGGCGCGATTTAGTTAGCTTCAGTTACGCGCTTAAATGGCGCGTGGTTATTACCTATGCAATGAAAATTCGAAATTCCCTCAATTTCCCATGCAACAAACATTTTTATTTTTGGAAAAAAAAAGAGACATCGCGGCGGTTCGAGGGAAAGAAAAGCGAAATTTGTTGGGGACACTTGGGAAGAATGTTGGACTGTTTTTATTTAATGCATATTATTACTTTATATAAAAAAGATTGTTAATTTCACTAATACTTATACTCATTCTCAAATTCTTTTAGTCATCACTCTAAGCTAAAATTATTTAGTAATTGGTGTTGGCCCATTTTGTCCAACCTTCTCCCCTTTTAGTTACTAAGATAGACCTTTAATTACTTAATTAATCAACACTGGGGGATACTTCCTCTTTTGCTATATATATAATATATGAAAGCAATTAGATTCATAATTAAGAACTTGATTGAAAGAAAATAATGATTTTGCTGAAGTATCCCCCAGTGTTAACACCATGTTATTTAAGCCAATTCAATAGAATAATATACACAAATCCACATTTTCATTTAAAGAAATTATGCATGTTCGTCGAAAATTATAGTTATATATTAGCCCTAACTGTCTTATATTGATTTTGGTCTTTTGTAGTCTAATAACATTGTTTCCAAAGTTCATGACATATATCAATATTTTCGTTATTGGGGTGGGTCTGATCACTCAGTGTTGTCTTTTTATATACACAAAATTAAATAAAACCAATTGTAATAATTTTTACTGACTTTAATAGCACAATCAGTCAAGCTTAGTACTTTTGTCTAATATTATATATCATCACAGTACAGAAGTAGCAGTATTGCCAGAAAGAGAAAATCAGAGAGAAACTTATGAGTTAAGCAATTTGACACACTCCCTCTCCTCCACCTTCCCAAAACCCTAAGCAAAATGCATAAAATATACTATAAAACAAAAAGAGCCACACAATAACACTGTGGACACACTCAAATTCTATTTTATTCATCTATATAATACAATCAATATAATATTCGAACATATTCCATATGTATACGTAGGTATGTATATATATAAATAAAGGTTCCTCCTTTACCTTTGCCTTCTCTCTCTATCTTTCTCTAAGCTCTCCTCTCCTCTCCTCTTCCTTTATCTCTCTCTAAAGCTCTCCCCTTTGTTTTTATTGATGTAATTCTCCACTTCTTCATATAAGCCTTCACCCAAAAGAAAAAATCCCAACTTTACTTCCTTTATTTGCTCAAAGAAACAAAACAAAACTAAAGAGAGAAGATATCATCAAAGAAGAAAAAGATCAAAGATGGTTTTTTCTTCATTTCCTACTTATTCTGATTCATCAAACTGGCAACAACAAGTAAGTTCTTATTGATTGGGTTTCTTAGTTTTATAATTTACGTGTGTACTCAAGAATCAATTAAAAACAAAAATAAAGAGAGGATTAAACAAACGAGAAAAGAGGATAATAATATTCTTGTTCCTTTTGTCACTTTTAATCTTTGTATATCTGTGGTTGAATTTGAATATACTCATCAAATTAATTCTTTCTTTCCTTCTTTTATTATTTTTTGTCACAAATTCTAAAAACTTTTTGTGTTGTTTTTGAATCATTTCTTCTTCTCTTTAGCATCAACCAATCACATCCACCGTTGGATTCACGGGAAACAACAACATCAGCCAGCAATTCCTCCCTCAACATCCTCTCCCACCGCAACCGCAACAAACGCCTCCACCACTTCACCATAACGGTAACGGTGGAGGTGGTGGTGGTCCCGGTGGGCCTGGTGGATTAATCCGGCCAGGTTCGATGGCGGAAAGGGCAAGGCTAGCCAACATACCACTGCCGGAAACAGCCTTAAAATGTCCAAGATGTGACTCAACCAACACCAAATTCTGTTACTTCAACAACTACAGTCTCACTCAACCTCGCCACTTCTGCAAATCCTGCCGCCGTTATTGGACTCGTGGCGGAGCTTTAAGGAGCGTTCCTGTTGGTGGCGGTTGCCGTAGAAACAAAAGAACCAAAAACAGCGGTGGTGGCGGAGGCGGCGGTAGCAGCAGTAGCGGTAATAGTAAGTCACAAGACAGCACCACAAGCAACGACCAATACCACCACCGAGCCATGGCTAATAATCAGATGGGACCACCGTCTTCGTCAACCTCTCTGAGCTCGTTGCTATCTTCTTACAACGCCGGATTAATCCCCGGACATGATCATAACAACAACATACTTGGGCTTGGATCATCTTTGCCTCCTCTCAAGCTCATGCCTCCTTTAGACTTCACTGACAACTTCAACTTACAATACGGTGCCGTGTCAGCTCCTTCTTACCATATAGGCGGTGGCAGCAGCGGCGGAAGCGGAGGAGGAGCGTCGGCTCTTTTGACTGGGTTTGACCAATGGAGATTTCCCGCAACTCATCACCAACTTCCTTTGCTAAGTGGTTTAGACAATTCTTCGTCTTCCGGATTATACCCGTATGATCAACAAACTCAAACGGGTATGGAGCAGCAGAATCCGGGCTACGGGTTAGTCACCGGGTCGGGTCAGTACCGACCTAAGAACATCTTTCATAACTTGGCTTCGTCTTCTTCTTCGTCTGCTTCATCAGCTATGGTTACAGCCACGGCCTCTCAATTAGCTTCAGTGAAAATGGAAAATAGTAACAATCAACTCAACATGTCTAGACAACTTTTTGGGAACGAGCAACAGCTTTGGAATATTCATGGAACTGCATCAACCGCAGCCGCAACAACTAGTTCGTGGAGTGATGTCTCTAATAATTTCAGTTCTTCTTCTACTAGCAATATATAATCAGTCATTTCACTCTACGGAATCTATTGTGATGATGATACTTCTATTTATTTCTTATTGGGTGTGGACGTGTGGTATGATCTTATGTACTTAGTTAAAAGTTGGTACATCGATCGATCTTTTAGGTTTTTGTTTTTTTTATATTACATTACAACTACTAGTTTTGGGTTTTGTTTTTTTATTTTATTTCTGGATTCTCTTAGTTGGTTTTTTCAGGCTGAAATTAGGGTTTTTCTCATTGCAAATTTTTATCTTTCAGTTGAAGAATGAGGATATTATCATTCATGCGAGTAGTACGGTGTTTGTAAGAGTTAGGTATGTTCTAATTTAAACTATTGAATGAGGCTCATCGTCTTGTTGCTCATTAGTATTTTATTGAAATCTCTAACCAACTTAGACTCCAGCACATAAATCAAAAGTACATATCACTTGCTACGAGAAGGCATAATATCAATAATGCACCTTTTTGTTGGAACTGAGACAAAAAAAAAAATTATAAATATAACCATGAAAAAGTATATATGACACGTTTGCCATAGTTAATTAAACTGTGTGGAAACTAAGGTGGAATTAAGCTGCTGTAGTTTCATCGTAAATTTATGTCACAAAAAATTATCTATTGTAAATTTACATTATTTTTTAGAATTGAATTACGATTAATTTCATTAAATATTGGTTAAGAACCAATTCTAGTTTAGGTGATTGTATTTTATGTTTCCTTTTAAGCCATATGAACCACGTCATTACATAGTAAGTGTTCTTGTGGTGAGCGTTTTGGGTTTAAGTTCTCAATAACAAATTAAAAGACTATATATTTAGTCTATCTTTATGAGCTTGTATGAAATCTGTCCAAATTCCGCATAGTTTTATGACTATTCCATTTTAAAAATTATAGTCTTTTACGGAATACTTTAATTAGACTTTTTGATGATTTTGATGTAAAGCAAAGAAGAATCTGTTTAAGACTTTATCTACAAGCTATCTATTTGAACTAGACTACGCTTACTCGAATTCGTAAGTATTTTGAACTGAAATTGCAATTTAACACGCATTACTACCACATTATAGTGTAATGAAATTCAATTATTGAGATTTTTTTCCGATATCATAATTAGCTCATGATATCTATCTCATCTCCCTGTAACAAATAGCAAATTCATGTTCATGATATATATGTCATTTATATATTAAATATCTTTTTCTCCTCGGCAAATTTATGGGGAGATGTGTATATATATACATATATATACATATATATATATATTAGTGTAAATTAAGTGATGATTATAGAATGAGTGTACCTTATATAGTAAATTCCATGAACCATGGTGATTATATAATGGTAATATGGTATATACTTATAAACATTTTCTAGAAAATTAAATAAAAAATGATGTATGGTGTAGAAGACTGGAAGGTCTGGAAATACTAAGGGACAGTGATTTCGTTATGCTGCAAAGGAACGTTCTTTGTGAATTCCGAGAAGTGTTTTGTCTGCTGCCTAATTTTATTATTTAGACTAATACAAAATATTTGTACTTATAATCATTTCGAGTGTCTATATTATAATATACGTATATGTGTAGTGGAGACCAACCCGCCAAATATACAATTAGATTAATTAGTAGAATGCATGCAATATCCACGATAATGCATATCGGTTTCGAAAACGACAAAATAAGATCAGTCCACTCTTAAAAAAATAGTCTTATAGCGAGGATAACAAGTGATAAATTATCACAACGGGTGCAGAATATATAAAGTTTTTTATTAGTTGAGTATTACAGTGACTCTTATAAGGAAAATAAGTATAGATTCGACATCTACAGAAATAATGTCGATTTTTGTTGCCAATAATGATTTTAGACTAATGGTGCTTTGCCAATTAAAAGACACATCTTAGAATTTCAATAACAAACGTCACTGGAGAATATCAGTAAGTTATCTCTACTGGCTATTTTTGGAGAATATCATGTAGGACTAAAAAAAAAACAGTTCAGGAAACTTAAAACAAAATTAAGAGAAAAAACAAAGTTGACCGTACTTTTGTTGAAAATATGTAGGTTATAAGGTAAGATAATTAGGAACTATTATAGAAGACGTACGTTGTTTAAATTTAACTAAGTTAGCTAGAAATTAAAGATGAAAACAATTCTTCAAACAAATAATACTATTGTTGGTAATTAACATGACTTGAACTGTTTTACAATATCACTTGAAGGATAAGGTATTCGAACCATGGCAACATTATTTCATTACCTAAGCATACCCGACTCATATAAAATATGGTGATTTAGAAACAGTTACGTAGGTTAATTATAAACTCTTTTGCCTCCAACAAATAGAATAGTACTAGTACTACACTACTTATATAAAATATAATATTTCTTGAAAGAATTTCAGAGAAATAGTAAAAGAGACTGAAATCTAACGTCGTAAGGACGACCGAATCAATGTCGGAACAATGAGTAAAAGAAAACACCGACGCGCCTTGGGAGAGAGCAAGAGGCTCGTGACGTGCACGGACCACTAGGCGACAAAAGTAACGGTGCGGTCAGGGGAGGTAGGACCCACGCTCGAGGACCGAGAGATTCGAGCTTGAAATTGCACGCGCCTCGATGCACGCGTGAGAATTTGAGCCCAAACAAAAACAACGCTACAAAATCCCAAACTCTGTACTTCTGATTTTTCCTTACATGTGACTGACAACCAAACTCTCTGTTTTAACACATCATCTAATTATTGTCTTTATTTTTTACTTCCAAAATAATTTTAAGTGTTTTTTTTTAAATCGTGCAGATACAAATACAATGTCAAGATACCAAAAGAAAGTATAGGAATATTTTCCATTAAGTGTATAAATATTCATGGTCGTGCATTTTATTCGTTTTGAAACTCTTAGATTCGGTCATAGTCTACGAGTCGTAGCGTAGCTAGTAAATTTTGGTACAAACCGGTCCATGGAGCCGGACCAGCGAATCTGGAATAATGTTAGTCCAAATATGGATATTTCAGGTAACTATTTGTTGACGACTGAAAATATTGTATATTAATTAATGTCACGTGGAAAAAGATGCGACACTCATAAATCTCTAGTAAATATATTCCTTATATATGAACATAAAAATTAATACTACTATGCTAGAACATGCCTCCATCTCCATGTATAGTTTTCTGTGAAGATCATTCTCTCTTTATTGTAACTTCGCAGCTTTTACTTTTCTGTGACTAGTTCCTTCGCTTGACTGATCTTACTGACTCACTGATAGTGTAAGGGCGTAGTATTTGTGGTACCTGAACCTAAAACTTCAATTGGAAACATGAAAAAATAGTTAAATCTGTGTCCCCCCAAAAAAACTAAAGTTATGGGAATAGAATATTGTAATAAACTATATTCTGCTAACTTTATTTTTTTAAACGGACGTCGGGATATGGTTACAATAAATAGCTACATAATATAATATAAATATACTACAAGTAAATATATGATGATTACTTGACTAGTTATGAATCGAGTTTGGATGCTTTAGTTTATTCCATATATGAAATTTTAATTATAAAAAGATGATTTTTGTAGAGTAGTAATGACATAATTCAAATATTCGAAGTATGGGAATATCTAGCTTATGACCCATCTATATAGTACATGTGATGAATATTTTAGCTGTTCTATCAAGTTTTCTAACTAAAAATAAAATGAAGATTCCATACTAGTGTCCTCTCTACCAAATATCTTAGTTGTTATTTTTCTGATTATAAATTTTGGCCAACCCCAAAAAAAAAACAATGAGGGTCCCTCGATCTGGTAGCTTTTTGATATGGCTAAGTAAAATTGTCGACGATTTCCTTAACAACGTTATGCATCTCCTACGCCTACACTTATCATTACCATTGACAATCTCCCTCTAATTTACTCCTATAATTGTGTTTATCTATCGATTATTTTAACAATTACTAAAATATGTAGTTAGTTACACAACCATTATTGTGTTCACATACTAATTAAAACTATTAGACGGCTTCTTCGATTTAGTCAATTGAAGTCTACTTCTGTTTGTTGATATAGGTTCATTAAACTCAACAAAAAATGTAATTTGGTTTTATTTCCAAAATATAGCTTTCAAGCCAATTCACATGTTTTAAACTTAACAAATTTCTCGAGTCCCATTATTTTGCGAAGCTAAAATTTTGTTGACTAAAATCTGTTTTATTGATTGCGAATAAGATAAGATGACCCGGATTTTTTGAATTTAAGAATTAGCGTGTGTCTCAAATATAGGATCTTAATGAATTAACAGGTAGTACATCGTAGGTTTTGTTTTCTTTACCTTAGATATAAATAGATGATCTGCGTCTGTTTACTGGTAAAAGAAGTTTTCTTTTGTTCACTTGTCCCTATCGTTGCCCACAATCAAGACGGGCCTTAGGGTTACTCACCACTTTTCAATTTCTAACATATTTGACGTCACACTGAATTTATATATATGTGTTATGTGATTGGTACATGCACCAATCATTTTCAAAATTGTACAACAATTTGATTTCCTTTAATAACACAAGCCATGCACCTCAAGTTGCTTTCCTTTTTAGATTGACCAATAACTAAGAACCACATGTAACACACGTATGTATGTATGTACGTCCAAAATGGACCACAAGCATTCATACTTTTTTTTACAATACTAATTAATCAATGAGTTAGATTTTAAGCAGCAGTGTTAAGAATATCTATCGATGATATGATATCTTTGAGAAAAAGAGAAACAAATATCGGAATTCTGATTGATAATTAGAGTGTTAGTTTTCTTTTATGTTATGTCATAGCCAATACGAATTTGTTTTTATATTGAATAAGATCGGATATGGTGGCCGATAAGTCGATAACAGATGATTGTGACGACTGATGATGACTGCCCATATAAAGTTGCTTGGTCCTTAAGAAATCACACGAGGCCTAATTGCAATATTGACCATCACATTAAATATTATCACATAAATTTAGTTTGTGGACAGTTTTTGCTTACCTCACTACTTATAAAGATCACCACCAACACTTTCAACTTTCAAGCACATCAACATCGATAAAGCAAATCATCATTGAAACGAATATTTGAAATCAGAAAGTAGGCCCAATTATGAAAGACTATAATGGGGTCAAGAATGTCTGTTTTTAATAACCAGAAGATTTGTTACGAATATTTGAAATCTGGAAGTAGGCCCAATTATGAAAGTCGGTTTGTGAACCAAATTGGACAGTACATAGACCAAAACCGGTTAAGCAGAAGACAAGGTGCTCAAAATGGTTTCGTTTTAAGTTTTAATCATCGTTGCTACAGAAAAGATTATCCAAGGAAATATTCGGCAAAAAAACTCTAAAAACAAAGAAAAAACAGTTTTTTCAGAACAGAGCGTCGAACCAGAGTGAACGCATCACTTCTTCTCACCACCAGACCTGCACATAAACGAAACCAAATCAACGGGTAGAAAAAAACATCGATTAGTAAGCTGCATATAACAAACGGTGTAGCTAATAAAAATGAAAAGAAGAGTTAGACCTCATCTTTCGGAGGACACTAGACATCTCCTCTCTCTTCCTCTTGGCTCTCTTGTGAGTTCCCAACTTTCTCTTGGCAACTTTGAGAGCTCGCTTGTCCTTGCCGACCTTCAAAAGCTCAGTGATCCTCTTCTCATAGGGAGCAAAACCAGCAACTTCCCTGATGAGACTCCTAATAAACAGAGTCCTCTTGCTTGTTTTCTGATTACATATACAATATACCCGTATCAACACAAAAAAAGAAACCTCAGGGCACCAGGAATGATTACAAAACTTCACTTAAATGGAGACAGATTAACAGAAAATAAACGATGATTGAACAATAGATGATTCAGATTTTACAATAAAAATCACAAACATAATCAATTGCCTATTCACCTAGTACTGAGAGAAATAGCTACACGCCCTCAATGAAGAAACAACAACAAACTGTGATGAAGACATGAAACAGAGAAGCTCAATGGGGAAAAAGAAGACTAAAATGTTCGATTTTAAGCTACTAAGCAATCTGGTAAATACCTACAGTTCTAAATCGCTTCTATGTTTTCCCTAAATTGTAGAAACATGTTTTGCTATTAAATCAAGAAATGGAATACAAGAAAGCAACGAATTTTTTTTTAGCAAAAACTGGTTTCTTCGAAATCTAATGAACTGGAGCTGTTACACTATGTAAATCATAGAATCTAACATACAACCAAAGAACATCGATGAATAGTGAATCAAATACAGAACTCAGTACAAGTGAACGAGCATACCCCTTTTCTGTTGTTTGGGCGAGGAGGTTGGTCGCGCTTGGTGACAACGTGTCCTTTGTTTAACCCGACGAATAAGCCAGTGGCTTGTGAAGCCGTCATGTTCTTCAAATGAAAAAAAAAGAAGAAAGCTCAGATCTCGATTCTGTCCGACTTTCTCTAAAAGTCTACGCTATGTTCTACTACTATCCGTTCAATGTCGATTCTACCGTCGAACAAACCAAAATTCATAAACAAATCACAATGCATCGATTCCTAGACTTTCAAAATCATCGAAGGAGATTAGATATGAAATCAGCAAAGTAAAATCTACAATCGCACATCGATGGATAATAACACTAACCTGCAAACTGGGTTTGATCTCTGATAGCGCCGCGAAGGGAGTCGAAGGAGATCGGATGAGAGAGACAGAGAACGCGCTTTTATAGTCTTTCCAAAATATAACACACAAGGGGATTAGGGTTTAGCAATTTTTCAAGAGCTTCTTTTTATATTTCCATATCTGCCCCTCCTATTATGGGTTTAATTATGTATAGATGGGCTCATTATGGGTTTCTAGTTTATTGGCCCTTTCCAGATTCGAAAATTAGATAATGGATCCGTATGATGAACTGAAGAACCATCGCCTTTATTTTTGAGTAAAAAAGATAGATAAATATTGTATGTTTGATTGTTTTATTTGATCACGCAAATGAGTTCTGTTCTGTGTGAGTGTCTTTGTTATTTGATCATACAGAGATTCAAACTCGCACAATCACTTTTTTTCAACCCTGCACAAGTATTCATATTGATGCAATTCAAGCAAGGAGAAATGATTTCGAACTCTTACATAAACTATTAAAAAATACATTTGAAACACAAATACGGAAAATACAATCATCGACGAAGAGCTCCTAAAAAAACGAAGAGTTCACATTTCTCACTTTATACTCTTGAGGACGAAGAATGACATCGGGTGCCTCCTCAATATCTTCATCAGGCTGAGGCAAGTTCCAAACTATTAGACGTTTTTTTCTTGTAAGACAAAGGATTAGATATAAACGCAAGAGTGTCTGTCACCTGCACTAACTGAAGCAGCCGCCAAAGCAAGTAATCAATGATCATAACCATACAGAATAGCTTCCCTGCCCAAGCTCCACATGAGAGGAACCTACAATGATCAAGTATATATATTATATATATGCTGAAGAAAAATGGGGCTTTTACATCAATCTTGGTGAGTAAGGATCTAAAAATGTACCGAGATAGACGTTCTAGAAGATTCCTATTGGAACACTTCAAGGCACGGTCGTACACAATCTCGGTTCTTTTTGCAACATCTTGCCAACTGTAGAGCTTCTTCATCTGGCAGCAACAAGCAACAAGAAAAAAAACTAAAGGCTTGGAACAACAAGGCTCATAATATCTCTTAATAGGTAGTTTGATTCACTAGTTTTGGATTTGAAGTACACAACTCACTCGATTGTGCATCTCCTCGGGGTTGATACTTGGGAGTATCGATATTGCCTTCTCGATTGCTCGTACCATATCATCTGGATCTGGTTCTGCAAGTACAACCATGTCATCCGGAAGGACCTACACAAACCATAAGACAAAACCTGATTTTATCAATATGAGAGAAAGAAACAACGAGAACAAAAGCGAAAGGGCAAAAGAAACGGTAGATGCCTCTGGGACACCTCCAACACGAGTGCTGACGGTTAACAATCCGCAACTAGCCGCCTCCAATATAGCTATGCAGAAGGCTTCTGTTAAAGAACTGGCCAGAGGATCAATAAAAACTGGAAGTCAAGCAAGATACAGGTAAACCGATACAAAGACTAATGTGGAGTTGTAAGAATCAGCCTGCACCTGTTTAGGAATATATGACCGGTTACCAAAACAGAGCGCACACGAGAATGTGGAACCGCGCCTAGCATTTCCACTCTATCCTGAAGAGAATGCTTCTCTCTCATTTCCTCTAGCCGCACATGTTTTGGTCCATCTCCTCCAACTACAAACCGAACCTTTCAAGAAAAACCGAATATCAAAGTAAATCCGGATACCAAAGAGATTCAATGAGTCTTCTGTGCTGGGAGGGGTTTAAACTCACATTGGGGTATAAACGGCATACTTCTGGAATGACCTCAACAAGCAAATCTGCACCTTTACGGTAAACCAACCTACTTATCACAACTATAGTGATGACATGGTTACTTGGGGGCCGCACAGAAGCTGGCTTGAACATAGCAGTATCAACAGCGTTTGGTATCATGAAAACCTTCGCTGGCGACAATCCAGACCTCAGAACCGTGTTCTCCTTGCTCGTGTGTGAGACACAGATCGCCTGGTCTATATCTGCTAAACTGAACTGCAGGACCTTGTTCATATGGATGCTCCCGACATCAGAAAACCCGTACAAGGAATGGTCCGTGAAGACGACTTTGTACCCCATCGTCCGTGCGTGCATCAGGGCTTCGTGACAAAGCGTGGAGAAAGCTTGATGGCCGTGGACCACAGTGATTCTCTCGCGTCTGAGTATGGTTCTCACAATGGGAAGCGTTGCGTAAACCGTGGGGAATGTGGTCTGCATAACAAAAGGTCTCCAAGGCACATAATAGACTTTGAGTCCACCAGTCATGTATCGAACTCCAGAGCGGTTCCCATAAGCATGTGTCATAACCACCACCTTCAACAATTAGTGAGCAAAGAGATTACTTTACGGTAATGCTACATTACTTGCTTACAGCAATTGGTGATACTATTGAAACTTGTACGTATTTTGATCACACCGGATTCAACTCGCAATTTGATTGATTTCACTATGCAGCTAAAAACGGGGGAAAAAAAAGAGAAAGTAATGATTTTGATCTCAGACTGACCTTGTGTCCGAGCTTTAACAGGCATTGAGAGAGATAGTAGATGTGATTCTCCACACCACCAAAGTTTGGGAAGAAGAAATCAGAGACCATTAAAACCCTAAGCTTTGCTTCCGCCATTTCAGGCACTGGATTAGATTCGAAGCTCTGAGATTTCTGCTTCATAGTAAATCACGATGTAGTACGCGTGAAGACTTGTCGATTCCACAAACTTTTAGATTCATCATCGTTGAGAAGACTAATTTGAAATCAGGAGAGGAAAAAAGATCCCAGTTTTAGCAAATTTGAAGATCAGTGATGCTGGTGACCAAACAAGTTTGACATTTGGGCCTTTTTATAATTGGGCTTATTTATTATTTCTAGTTTATTGGGCTTTGTCAAGATATTTGTGTCGTTTGAATAACATCACCTTAATTTTCCAGAACATAATCACCATGCAAGAAAAATGATTTCAAATTCCCGATACAAAACATTTGAAACAAACAAATACAAAATCAAATCAGAATCTGTTGCGTTAATAGATCATAAGGAAATCTAATTCCACATTTCACTATGGTTTCAAACTCGAATATTGACGAGCGAGCTTGGCAATTAAATCTCGGATATTCACATAGTCGGCGTGGACGGTGTGGTTGATCCGATGGCTCTTCTCTCCACCATGAGGAAATGTCCAAGAGACTGCACATTTTTACGACCGTTGTCCTCGTTTATAGAAACCTTGTTACGGGCAATGATAGTGGAGCTTGTGCTTAATTTGGAACATATAGAGAAAATCCATGGCTTGTAAGATTTGAGATTCTTCTGATGTTGATGGTTCCTAGACGCTGGTTGATCAATCCTTGTTCGGTTTGATCTTCTCGAAAGTTCTAGAAAGCTTGATATCCCGATTAGGTTTCCTAGTGTGTAGCTCCTGTCGCGGAAAAATGATCCCATCGACTGAAAAATAAGAGTGTAATTAAGAATTAATATGTTATACTTTGTATATACATGGAAAAGGTAAAAGTGTGAATTGATTTGTGATTGTGAATGGTAACTAAATAAATATAGAATGTATGAGATTATAGAAAATGTGGTGTTTTTAAAAATTTAGAACCATAACGCAAATTGGTAACGGAATTGTATAATATTTTTTTGCAATCTTTTACTTATCATATAAAAACAAAACAAAACTCATCATTACGTTGCCTTGCTATTGTTTATTATTTTGCTTTTGTTTTTGTATATTATTATAAAATTGGATGAATGACAAGAAAGATAAAAATGAACATAGTTAATTACAAATTTTCGAAACTATATGAATGACAAAAAAAATCTCTGAAATCACATAGTTGTGCTCAGTGGATTATTGGCAAAGTTTTCCAATGATTCCACTTTCCAATACGGTGTGATCAAAAGAGAAATTGCTCTGATTAGTATTTTGTTTTTTATTGGTATGAGAATTAACAATTTCCGACAAACGTGGCCTTTTCAGACAAAACCATCACAGCTTTAAAGGAGCATACAATTGGTTCACGTTCGCTCTGAAGTCATCTCAACCAACAACAATACTATTTTAGTATTTTCTATTTTAATAAACAAAAAGTAAAAAAAAAAAAAAAAATGAAAGGGAATGTGAATTCAACAGATCCAAAATACTAGTCAAAGTATAATCAGTATTGCGTTTCTCTGGGGAGGGAAAAAATGTACACAGATTGAAACGGCTCACCAGTTAATATGCAAGAAAAACAAAAACAAAAGTATAACAACAAAATGATTTGAATGAAATATTAAAGCAATTAATTGATCTTACCAGATATCCAAGATGAATGAAATATTAAAGCAGGTATATGTATAGTATAAGTAGAGGAGTGTGTATATATAGCTGACCTGTGAATCAAGATCGGATGAAGAGTGTGAGGAGGGAGAAGGAGAGAGAAGAGAGCTGAAGGAGATTGAACCAGCAGAAACTTGTTCATGATGATGATGATGAGTTTCTCTTGCGAGTCCACCAATTCTGGCATTGACTGGTCTCAACCCAAGCGGCCATCCTTCCTCCTAAAATTAAACATAAACGTCCATAACACAGAAATGTATATGTGTGCATTATATGCTGTTGTGTTAGAGAGCGAGAGAGAAGAGAGTACCTGGTGAGCCATATCTGGAGTTTTGAGACTCAAAAGAGAGAGGGTCTGGGTTGAATAATAATGGAGCAAAAGATGTATCAAATTAAGAATAAGGGATGTGTATATACTTTTTGGAGAGAGAGAAATTTTGCCCAAAAATCAAAAAAGTAATATAATGGCTTCGCCCGGGTTCGAACCGGAGACCTTCAGTGTGTTAGACTGACGTGATAACCAACTACACCACGAAACCATTTTGTTAGACGTTGAGAAGTTTACATATATTAACTCATCCCATATCGCAAACTTCTATGCCGCCATTAGATCAGAACGTCGACATTTATAATTATAGCTTTGCATATAAAAATATCTGATTTCAGGCTGTGGCAAGATATCATGTTGTGAGGTTTTAAAGTATTTAATTTGATATTGTTTAGAGTTGATGTGAAGTGGTCTGACATCCTGGTTAGCATTTTGATATTTAAGGTTTAGATTCGGTTTTCGCTATGGTTCTGTGTAAAAGTGGCTAAAAGTAATAATTGTGTCTAATCGGAAAATAAAAGCAATGAAGAAAATGATGTGGATATGACAGAAGTACATAGATTACCGTTACAAGCTCGAAACTGAGAAAAGTGAGAAAAGGAAATGATCTGTGCTTTGGTGTGGACAAAGACCAGATGCTTCGTCTTTGTGTACCTCGAGAGCCATAAACACTTTATCCTTTTTGGACCACATCATTCTGTTTTGTAGCTTTCTATGTTGTCCTTTAAATACTGGTTGGGGCTCAACAATATGATATAGTAGAGTTTTTAAAACAAATTTCTCAAAAGAATCAGTTGATTCTAAAACTCAGGTGTAACGGTCTTTTACTTTGTTTTAGGTTCCATTTAAAACTAGCGATGTCAGTCGGCAAAGCCCCATACTAGCACGAGGTCGTACGGACATAACTAGTATATTCTACTCGCCTGACCGATACTGTAAAATTCTTAACAAAGAAAAAAACTAATTTAATAGTGATAAAAAATGTATCAAACAAACAAATTAATCTCACTGGCCCAAAAGATCCCACGACTGATGAAAATAGACCAAATAATATTGCAGAAGATACGACAAAAAATATATTAATTCAACAACTGAAACAGATTTGATTTTTCATCTAACACTATTTAATGCTAGAAAACATCATAAGTATTCAAAGGTTGTCATGTACAAAATCGATTTGAGTTATGTTCAGGCGGCAAAGTACTTTCTCTTATACAGTCAATTCAAAACTCTGTTGCGAAACTCTCTAGCGATAGATACACGTTTTGGCGTCAGAACTATAAATCATTTAATATAAGGTTTCTTTCTTTTGATCTGTGACTAAACAATATACAGATTAGACTCAATACACTATACAAGAACTTCGTAAGAGCTATACACCGTGTAAATATATGTACACGAATTGCGTCAAAACAGAGAGCCCTGACGACTGACTCTGCGGGGTAATCCAAAATTCTGGTAAGCCCGGATTTGGCCGCCGATCGTGGCTGTAACGATCACCATTCCCCAAGCCGTTGGTTGAACCAGATGCGTTCCATGACTGCCGCTATTATCGAACCAAGACCATGAAGAAATCCGAGATGAGATCGATATAGAAGGTGAATCTCCGTGCTTTAGTGACTCTCCGGTATTGTTCTCTGTTTCATTTTGCGGAATCTGCGCCGTGGCCTCATCTTCTTGATGTTGTTCTGTGGCTCCATCCGCCGCGTTGTCGTTGCTTTTCTTAGGTAACGGTGGGAGGCCGGACTTTTTACCGGCGGTTGCGTTTTCTTGTGTAGTAGTAGTTGTTGCTGAGGGCTTTTTCGGGGTTTTTCTCGATTGGGTTTGTGTGGGTGGTGGTTCGCCTTTGACAACGCCATGCCAAGGGATTGCCACGGAAACGTCTTTGCAAGGGAAGGTTTCGTAAGAGCTACACATGGCGATTGTTTTTCTACCGGTGATTCCTAGTCGTGGCTCCTCGTGTTTCCACACGTAAACCTGTGAGTCTTCGCTTGCGCAGACTATGTGTTTCGCATCTAGTGTGTATGATGCTGTCATTTGGCTGCATGTGTTTTTGAAACCTGGTTTATGGATCAATAGGGAGACTTTCAAACATTTTACTTTGTGAAATCAGACCAAGAAACGAATGAATTTGTTTTCAGGCTACATACCTCTGAATTTTTGAACAAGTTCAGTACCGTCAAGGATCCGAATGCGTGAATCAGCTGAAGTTACAAGCACTTCTGATGGATTAATTGGCGAAAACTGTTAATGCAAACTCAAGGTTAGTAAGAATCCTCTCATGATAAAAACGTTTTAGCCAAAAAAAAAGTGAGTAAAACCTGAAAAGCTGTGATCTTTTTAGCTTGAGTTTTCTTTTTGTTTTGCAGATCAATATGGTTTGTTTGATCCAGCTTGCAATCTGATCAATCAAAAAGGGAAAAGGTTTTCAAAATTTATGGAGAGTGTAAGGTTAATTACTAAAACATGGTTACAGAATAGAATAAGTCTTTAGCCAATGTTTACCCTCTGCACTGTAAAGCCGACAATTCCCTTTATGTGAACCAACAAATGCCGCCTACGTACCAAATACATAGAAGATATCATCAATACGAGATCGTCAATTTCAAGTATATGCATGTGACAGTTCCGGAGAATTATGTACCTGACCATCAGGAGTGTAACAAACCGCGGTAACCATTTCTTTCAGATCATTCCACTCCACTACTTGACGGTTTGATATGTTCCATATGCGGATCTTGGCATCAAGGGAGCCACTTATGAAGTAATCTTCATCCAATGGATTAAATTGTACACAAGTAACTGAAAACCAGAGAGTAAGACAGGAATCTCCAAAAACAGTAGCATTATGACTATAAAGGACATTTCTTTTTCTTACCATAGTCATTGTGGGCAAACAGTTTTAGACAGCTTTGAGTTTCCATATCCCATAACCGCACGGTTTTGTCCTTGGAAGAAGAAAGCAATAGCTGCATGAGAAAACATGGTTAAGTTTGTTAAGTAGCAATCCATGGCTGCTTGCATCAATGATGGCAAGGAAGGAACATAAACGAACCTGTGACCGAGACCAGGATAAGTCCAGAACATCATCCAAGTGGCCAGTGAAAGAGCATATCGGTTTATCTGATAATGAGAACACAGTCTCAGGCGCATGGACATAATCTGGTATCTGGTTTGCTTTTCTAGTGGATGAACCTTTCCCTTTTTTCTTCTTCTCAGGTGGCAACTCTGCATCATCACCTTCCGCAGGCGATTTATCCGTGGAAGCAGACATTGAAGGATGAATTGGTGTCAAGCTCCCTTCATTCATTGACATGATTTCACATTCTTGAACCTCCCACACATGAATTGTACAATCCTCCCCTGCACTTGCTAATAAATGTGTGTCTGGACTGAATTTCATAGTCCAAATAGCTCCTTGATGAGCTTGAATCTCTTGGCACAAATGCAAAGCACTGAGTTCTTTATGAGACTTCCCTGAATGTCTCACCTTTACCCATTGATTCGTTTGGTCATTGTTCTTCTCCTGCTTTTGGTCCACTGCTCTCGGAGTACTGCTACCACTACCATTTGTCTCTTTGTCTGAAGCCTTGGAGCTCATAGAATGAGCAACATCCTTTATGTTCTTTAACAAAGCAGCCCCTCTCTTCTTGCTTACTCTCAAGCTCTTTGACACAATCGAATTGAATTTCCTAAAATCAATCGTGGAATTCGCGTGTTCTCGTCGCATAAGGTCCTTCACAACAGATGAATACCCAACGCTTTTCTCAAATTCTTCCATCGTCAACTGTTTGCCTGTTTGCATATCGCTGAGCCGATTCCACATCCCATTCTCACCATACTCCTTCACGATAAACTCTTTCCCGGTGTCGAGATTCTTTATCAGGAAGAAAGCGCTGAATCGAGTATTGGAAACTACCGAAGAGAGCAAAACGCCACTGCGTTGCCCTTGAGGCTGGCCGTTTGGTGGGTCCGGCGGCGAGGCTTGCGTTTGGGTGAAGTACGGACAAACTCTCGCGCACGGAGCTCCAATCGCTGACGCCGTTCTAGTGAGCCGCGATTTCGGCGTTTTCCCTAACATTTCCTCTTTCCTATTTTTCTCAGCAGAAGACGCTTCGATATCAGAATCAGATCTCGACCGTACAAGCAAAACCGACATCGATGGAGATCGATGAACCCGCTGATGATCCACCGGAGAAATCTGTTCAGGCTCCTCAACCTTCGCTTCCGCAACGCCTCCATCCACAACGCGAGCACCTCCGCAATCTACCGCCGTAGGCTTGCTCACGCGCTGGATCGAGATAGCTCCGAGCATACTCTTCTTCGACTCGAGACCCATTCCGTTCAGAAGCCGACGGCGACGCTCCGTAATAGATCCCGGCGCCGCCATCCAGATATCATAATCCGGCGACATATCCGGCGCAGGAGCAGCACGAGACACGGAAGATGCGTTAGATGAAAACGAGAATCGGCAATCATCGAACTCACCTTCCTCGTCAGAAGATGATGCTAAATCCGCAGGAACGACGGTGGAGAGACGGTTAGAGCTCTCGAAAAAATGATCATCGTCGTCTTCAACCTCGCCTAACCCCTCCCAATTCATCGCCATCGTCCTCTTCCGTTCCAATTTCCCGTTTGCGCCGCCTCGATTCGCCATATCTGTACATAGGTTTCGAAATTTTCTAGATTGTCTTAATTTTTCGCCACTGCAATTCAAAATTTTCTCGCGAGTTTTATTTTCTTCGTCTCGTTGTTGTGTGATTTGTTTTGGAGGGAGAGGAGTGGAAAGGAGAGAAACAAGGGATCCCTGCCATTAAAAATGGCGGATCCGTACAAATCAAGTGTTACTTTTTGATATCTGATGATCCGACGATCTTCAACTCGCCACGTGTGCTACTGTATTTACATTGATTTGAAAAGTAGCCCGTATTAAAACCCATAAGCAGTAATACTTCGTAACGGCCCATTTATGTTAAAGGCTTAAAGCTGGAAGGTTTTGGCCATTTTGCCACAAACCTTTACTTATTAACTTACTGATTTAGTTAGTGTTAGTATATTACACTGTTACAGAACATTTTAATATTTGCATTCATGAAAGTAGAAGAATATATGTATCTAATTAATTTTATAAATTTATGGAGTTA